CTCTCCCGGACTCCGGACGGAGTGATTGAGGGGTGTAAAGAGGAGGATGTTTCTGCCCGCCGTCTCCACCCCCACCACACCCACCCACCCATTCCCCCTTTCCCTCCCCCTCCTCCTCACCAAGACGGCTCTTAAGTGCTTGTGGGTTTTTATGTTTGTAGTGTTTTATAGAAGTGGGCAGGAGCCAGAGGCTGTAAAAGTATGGAAGGAGAAGGGGGGGTTGGAGGAGAAGAGGAGGCGAAGAAGGAGGAGTGGAGAGTTACTGTAAATCCAATCTTTATTGAGAGCGACACAAACGACAAACAGCGCCCAGCCAGCCTCTCCCGCAACGCCTTGCTTACCTGATCAATCAGAGGTGACAGGGAAACGGAGGAAATGACCTAAGTGTCCACCTGTTATTTCTCTAGTGTTTTTGCATTTATCTGCACATTCAAATACGCGCACGTCTCATTATGCAAACATCCACGAGTGTGTTTTCTCTACGTCTGCAGTCAATTACTAACCAACAGTCAGGCCTGGAAGCCCCACTCCTAACCTGCCTACCAGTCTGCCAGTGCAGCGTATAATTGGCCACAGTTGGCTTCAATTGAATGTTTTGCTGCTTTAGGGGCTAAATGATTTTTCAAGGCCTTCAGAGCAGCCATGGAAAAGACACAACACTCCCCTCCACATGTAAAAAACCACTGGCACTGCTCTCTGGTAAATCTGTAACAGGGGAATCATTTTGCCAGCAATTTCCTAAATGAGTGTAACTAACCATCTCTGCGTAATTGTCCCTCGATGTCTGCTCTTTTGTTTTAACATCACATCCTATACGACTGACATCACTCAGAGCCTCTTAGTCAATCAGTTAGTCATCGGCTGGAAAGGTCAGCTGCTTACTCGACAAAATGACCACAGTGACAGGCGGCAAGCCAGCCCATCAGTCACACTGAGAAAGATGAGCTGGCTCCACAGCCCAAAAACCCCTCTGTGGATACCCTGTACCTGCTTGTTGCCATGGCAATGCAGTCCGAAGCTTCAATACAAGCCTGTGTCCCCTCCCTGCATCTCTTTTATCCTCTTTTTCCCTTCTCCTCCAGACTCTCCGCTTCGCTTTTTCAGTCGGCGTGCTGACTCGCTCTCACGCTTCGTCTCTCTGTCATGTTTCCTCTGGCGCTGTTGTGTTTTTCAGCCTGCCCCCCTCACCTTGCCTCGTCCTCTCTGCTAAATGGCACTTTACTGGCTGTTTCCTCTCGTTAACTCCATACAACTTTGCATGGTGGGACTCTGTAAAAGCTCCAGTAAAAACACTAAGTCCCATCTACAAATGCAATTTACAATTACTCTCTGCACACACTCATAATTACTCAAACATTTGTAGGCCGATGTATGCATGAATGATTTCCAGCTGACATGCGCACGCCCACACACACACACACACACACACACACACACACACACACACACACACACACACACACACACACACACACACACACACACACACACACACACACACACACACACACACACACACTCACGCATAGGCGGTAATGCTGTAAATGAGAGTCAACGATCAACATATTCACAGGATGCTGGCAAAGCGTACACCTGCTGACAGTCAGCTGCCAATGAGCATCTATCATTTCCTGCTAAAGCCTCATCATCAAGCAGCATTTAGGCGTGCTGGCCCGCCTCTCTCTCCCCTGATAAACAGCCTGTGCCAAGACTCCGATTCAATTTCCCCCCATTGCCCAAAGAGCCTTGAGGGAAAGGGTCTGCAGTAAATGAACTGGCTTTGGGCTCCATCTAATGGTCATCAGGAAAACCCAACTCAGCCTGTGTAAGCCAGAAACAGCAGCAGATTGAGGGAGGTGTCTTTACGTTGAAATCAGAGCAGTTTTACTCACATCACAAGACTGGTGATTCTGACAGTAAATAACATAATTCAGAATATTCCCTATGTTTACCCTCTTTAACCACATTTGTTTACAGCTTTTGTGATTGTTATGTACCTCATAAGCAGATGCTAAGACTGCAGTTTGTTTTAGTTATTTTAAAAATGTCAATTATGGGGTGCCTGTTGGACCTTACAGTTAAAATGAACACCTCATGTACAGAGGTGATCATTCTTGAAGCAGGTGGCCCAGATTAGTTTCCAACTACAGGACTCTTTCATCTACTATCCAAAGGCTTAAAACACCAAAAATAAAGCTTTAAAAAAGCCGTAATGTATTTCACTGACTGAAAATAATAACTGAAAAAAGACTAAGAATAATCAACATGCATAGGTTACACCATTGACATGTACATGTATAATAAATATATATATGTATATATGTATAAACATATTTTCTTCATTTATATTATCACTGTATTGACCCAGACATAAGACGACCCTGATTATAAGGTAACCCTCTGTTTTCAGATAAATTTTTTAAAGCCTTCTTGAAGACCAAATCTAGTCTTTAGAAAGACTGCACTCTCTGATAAACAACTTGGCCGGCTGATGAGCCACGCTGTTATCAGCATCCACCATGTCTCTCCATTTTTCTCCTCCTGGGAAAATGACTGACAGCTGGCCTCAGTCACAATGGGTAAACTCGCTTTACATATCAGCGGCACTGTCCCCTGTTTTTACAAGCATTGGCATTCCATCGAAGATAATCAAACTTTAGTCCAGATGCATTTAAGGAAAATAAAAAACACAGCAGAATCACTATTGTTGGAATAAATGTTTTAACAATCTGCAAGATAACTGCCTTTTTAGGGCTAAACACCCCTAATTCTCTCATTTCAAATCAGTTAAGTTTCCCAGTAAGTTCTGGGCTAACTTCTTCTGTCAAAAATAAACTATTACTAGACTAGAAATAAGCAGTCAGTATTAGCCTTCAAAAGTCACTCCAATGTAACTTGAGTTAATTTACATAATTCAATTTCAAAGGCTTCGGTTCATAATCTGTTTAGTGCCACTGAGACTTCACATAAAAACTAGCTCAGCTTTCAGGTTGCTTTTATTCCTTTTGAAGTTTTGAGGACAACAAGACAACAGCAATCCCTCTGAGTTAAACCCTTGCTGTTCCTGTTCTTGTGCTCTTGTTTGTCTCGTTCACACTACTTTAACCAAACTTCACAGAACAAACATGTAGGTAACTTTAAGCCTGTAGCCGTCCCACCTACACTGAAGAAACACCGTTCTCATTATCACAGCATAAAACCACCCTCACAGCTGTATTTTAGAGCTGCATTTCTTACACACAGATGCACAAACAGACCGGAGGCTGCGCTCAGTTTAGCACCTACTTTTTAAATCTATAATCCCGACACTTTTTTCTCACTGTTGTCTTTCTTCATCTTTTTGTTTTTAGACTTGTGTTTATTTCTTATTCTATTCGCATGACATAACATGAAATGAATTCGTGTTTCACTCATATACCTGCATTGACAATAGCATCTATCTCCAGCATGGTGATGTCACCTCTGTAGAGGGAAATCTTCTGGTCCAACTTTTCATTCCTCAAACAAACAGGTTCCCCAGAAACATCTGAAAAAAACACACACAGAGAGACTTGTAAATCTGTACACAGTTTGTCCTTTGCTGAATGTTATATACTCAAAGCATGACCTATATGGTGGATAGAAGTATCTAACAGTTCAGATTAAAGTTAAATTCAACATTTTAGCAGGTCCTAGTTTATGGGTCAGCAGTGTAAGAGTAAGGCAGCAAAAACAAAATTTAGTCAAACTGACCTGCCCTAAAACCTGTTGTGAAGTCCTGTAATTCCATTTCAGAAAGTGATATTCAAGTATAATTTTTACAATAATTATAATTATAATTATTATTGTTATTTAAGAATAATGATAATAAATAACAACTTTAATAAATAAGTTGCTGCTGCATTATAAACTTGTGCTACAGGTTTTTGCAATAACTGCTTTCTACTCTTATTTTTCTCGCTTTTTCAACTCTGCCATTTATTAACTTTGCATAAGATGAAACGGGAATAGGTCAAATATTCTGAAAGAAAGACAAAACTACTGGTGTCTTTCTGTCCCTCCCACAAGGTCTCGGCATATGTGAGGAGCACATAAACTTTGACAAAAATCAGGTGTCTGACCTGCAGTGGGAGTCCACACAGGGATGTCTTCCAGTGGCACAAAGCCTGATGTCCTGTAGTACTGACGCCTGTCCTTCACAGAAAGAGACAGCAAGAACTCTGGGAGAGACAAGTAAGAACAACAGTCAGCATGTGTCGGCTATATTTAACATATTGATCTTTCATGATTATTTTGCCATGCTGAAAAGAAACTCAATAAGAAAGGGTACAGAATTTGATGTAAGGAAAAGTGCCCTGCTCTAACTTCATCTCATCCTGTGGAATATGTAGGGAAGTATAGTTGAGACAGATATACTTTGAGGGTACAACTAAACATTGCCGTCGTCTATAAATCCCTTGACTTGTTTCTACTGGACCCACTTATCTAAAATTAATGTTTGGAACAGCTTATTAAACTCATTATTGTGCTTGTGGTTTCTTCTCAATTCAATATAAGTTGGTTCCGATTAATGTGTCAGGTAGACTATATCATATGAAAATTTGCACTCAGAAAGAACATGATAGTAGCTGCCCAGCTGTATCATTGCTGTTTCTGTTTGGACCTGAATTGTGTTTTGTTTTATTTGTACATCATGGGCTTGCGGTGTGTTCATTCTGTTTGTTGTAAAGGTACTTTGAGTTGGGACATAGCTCATTTGGATTTTTTATAATAACCATGTGGTGGTCAAACAGTATTTCCCCTTTTGAAGCATACAGACACTGGTTCAGGTCTACATCAATCATCAGGTAACCAAGCTTGGTCATGTGGAAGGTCACTTGTTTTCCATTGTTTGTGGTTTTGTGGCTGTTGTGAAATAAAAATTAAAAGTCCTTTTAACCCCGTTCTGGACAGTCTCACCCTTGGTCTCCTTCCAGTCCCCCTTAAAGGAGTCCAGGTCAACTTTCTGGGCCATGGCGGTCATAGTTCCTGTGTGGAGACTCTGGACCAGTGCTGCTGTGCCCGCTCCGAGGGTGGCACCGAGTACGAACTTTCCCAACCAGCCTCTCTTTCCCCGGGGTGAGAAGGAACCGTTACCCTGGCTCACCTTCCGGACTACTGCTGCTGCTGTTGTCGTCGTCGTCGTGGAAAACCTCCCCGCTCGGAGGGCAACATTAACATGGCCGCGGACAGGACTTGTTGCTGGCTTACCTCCCAGCTGGGGGCTTCCAGGAGATACGAAGTGCTTAAACTTGACACCAGCACCGTGGAAGTCAGCACGGACTCGTCTCAGAGGGCCGGTTGACAGCGGGGCTCTGATGTGTGAAAAGAGAGCTGATATCTGCTGTGCCATGCCTGAGTGACAGTGAGAAGGTAACCTTAACGGTTCGTGTTACAACAGAGTGGCAGGTATAAATGTCAGCAACACAGTGGACGAGTTTCGCTTTCGGTACATTCACACTGAATTCCAAACAGTCAGAGTGTGCGCCATTTTTGTTTTAAACTTTAGCATTCGGGCCGTACCATTCAAGAGGGGGGTTCTGTGACTCTCGCTAAACGACAGATTTTCTCAAGCATCGATAAGCGTTATTTTTGCGTTTTTTTACCTAGACCTACGCTTTAATATCAAAAACAGTGATACAGCGCGGAAAAGAGATATCGTATTGCTTTATTTCTAATGACACACACACAGTACAAACCCCCTACATGCATTAAATAGGGAAGTCGAATCCTAGGACTACAAATTTACGCCCCCTATGTGACTGTCGGAATTGCCAGAATTACAAGATGGCAGTGCACCTGCTCACTGAGCAAGCCTGTGAAATTGAGTTTTATATTAAGTGGTTTGCTTAAGTGTCTGATCACCTTACGATTAAAAACGGCAGTCATCCTCCAAAAGGACTCAATCCCTTTAACTACACACTAATGCATCAGAATGTGTTCTGTCCAATTTTTCAAATTGCATTTAAATCCAATGCAATCAAATACTGCTAAAATATGAAGTTGTACTCTTTATATTTGTCTTTATAAACTCTTTTTTTTTCAGATAAGAACCCCTCACAGATAAAAACGTATTTGCTATTATTACAGTATTTGCAGAACGTGTACTGTGTTTCATTGGTGCTGCCTCTGTTTTTTTTCTTCATTTCCCTCTGGGATTAATAAAGTATCTATCGATCTAGCTATCTATCTGAATGCAGGATTAAGATACACTTGAGCCCCTAAATTATCTATATCTGTGATTTAAGAAAAGTAAGATCTTGATTTCAAAGAATAATGTCCTCCAAATCAAACCATTAAATGATCTTTTATTTAAATGTGATAAGATGAATTTGTTCCAAAAATAGAAGGCTTGACAACACCATGATATATTAGAACAGAAAGCAAAATGTTTGCTGTTAGGACTAAACATTTTTTGGGGAAAAAAATCTTTACTTCAAATCTGAAAATTTTACAAAAGCTACATTTGACCTTTGTGGATCATAGCCAGCACCCCAAAGTACTAAGTGTTCATCAAAGTGTAAAATATGATCACATAAAAACTTATTTGATATGTAACTGCAGTTATCAAGAAAAAAGAGAGAGATGCAATTATGTGTGCAGTCTGTCCACAGTGTATCTCATATCTCGTCTCCCACATGCTGCATGCAGATGCGTGTGCATATTGCCTAGTGTGCAACACTCAAACGGGCTGTCAGTCAGACTATTCACATTTCCGCCTGGCGGAAACTGACAAAAAAAGGAACCAGCCTTGCTTTCAGAGGTGACAAGCAGACAGAGCTACCCAGACCACAATCTGCCCAGCCCGAGAAAGGAGAAGCTGCTACACATTTCACTTGAAATCCTGGGAAACTTTTTCAGAGATCTGACAGAAGCACAGGGGTCAAAGAGTTCCCATTTATCAAAGCCTTGGACAGAGGAGAACGAAGGTAGTGCCTTTTCCAGAGTGTACATATGATGGTGTAACTGCATGAGGGGATGGGTGAAATAAGAGCAGTGTGAAAGTTAGGACTGGGTGTGTTTGTGTGGGGCGTCTGTGTTAAACATGTAATTGTATGGTCATCATAAGGATCATGTCACATGACACAATATTGTGTATAAAGTGAGTTGATCACCGTTTACAATTTATCGATCATGCAGAGACAGAGACAAAGAGAGTTCAGGCCTCCCAGCAGAGAAAGGGTGTAGCCTGTTCATGGTAACGCTGGGGTTTTATTGCAGTAATACAGCTTGTATTTTGTTGTACATATTTCTGTCAACGCAGAAATGGGGAAATAAAATGAAACTTCTGTAGAGTCATATCTTTAAAAAAGGCTTCAGTTTGAGTTGCTGTATTTTTGTTGACTGAACTTCTTACTGAGAGAGGGTCAGAAAGCGGAAGTGTGTGTGCCTGATGATAGTTCAAGTAAGAACAGGAAGTGCACATCCAATTGGACACATCGTATGTATGTGTGTCAGTTTTACCCTGTGTCATGTGATATTGAGTTTGTATCTGTTTGTATGGATTAGCGGTTCACCTATCCACATTTTTTGTCATTTAAGGTTTCACATTATTCAAACTATGAAGCTGTGTAATGCGTCTTTCAAACATATATTAGTTCATGCATATATGAAACTCATTTCAAAGGCAGCCAATCCAAAACTAATTTTAAAGACTAAAAGTTTTATTACTGATATAAAATGAATAAATAGTTGATCATTTGAGTGCATTTGTTGAGCAGCTTTTCATAATCATACTGTTTGTTTGGTAAAAAGTGTTACTCTGTTATTTTACTGTCTCATTTTTCTTTCTTGCTTTCTTCTCCTCTCCTGAAATCCTCTCGACTGTCAGATCTTCTCTCTCTTTCTCCCAGTAATGGCAGCATGGGACCTGTCAGTCACAGTGGAGGACCTGGGCCCTGATGCTCCACCTGTCACAATCAGTGTCGCTTCAGACCTCCACGTTGGTGGGGTCATCCTAAAGCTGGTGGAGAAGACACGTAGGTTGCTGTCTGTCTGTCTTTCTCCAAGTCATACTAGACAGACTAAATACAGTTACATAATTTGCATGGACAAAATGGTTCCCTTTAAAAAAAGTCATGTGAAACTTACAGAGTTTACAGTTTTCATAGTTTCACTTAACTGTTAACACGTTTTTTCTTCTACGACTTAAAATAACAGATGCGATAATGGTGCATTATATTTCCTCTGCAGAGATCAAGCGGGATTGGTCGGACCATGCTCTGTGGTGGGAGCAGAAGCAGCGCTGGCTGCTGCGGACAGCCTGGACTCTGGAGAAGTATGGCATCCATGCAGATGCCCGGCTGCTCTTCATGCCTCAACACAAACCCCTGAAGCTGGGCCTGCCTAATGGAAAAACCTTAAGACTGAGAGCCTGCTTCTCCAATCCAGTCTTTCAGACAGTGACTGGCATCTGCAGACAGCTTAGTGAGTATCAACCCTCTAGCTGTGTTCCCAACTGTCCTCCTTTTGTCTTACCTACCATCTTCTTTTCCTTTTCCTCCTTCTTTTGGTCTGTCTGTCTTTGTTAGAGTCTGTCAGGGTTAATGTGACCAGACCAACAGAGACAGACAAAGGATGTAGAGCTGCAAACCAGCACACTGTTTACAAAGAAAGGCTCTCCAAGCTCACGGGCAAAAGAGAATGGATGTCAGAATTCAGACACCAGCTGTAAAGATATGCTTAAGATCAGTACTGTAACACGGATGAATTGGGGGTGAAAAAGTGGATCTTGACAGATGTAGTACATTAGGTGGGACCTATAGAATAAACGTTTTGAAAAGGACAAGATGTGGTGGTTAATATTTGTAGTTGACTGAAAGAGAAGAGTAACAGGACTAGACAGAAGATTTGGAAAGATATATAAATACTGATGAAAATACATTTTTTACTTTCCTTTCATATTTTACCACTTTTCCCTCTATACACCCTTCTTTTATCTAGTCTTTTGCATGGTTTGATGTTTCTTCTGCCTACGTGTGTCCTGCATAAACGATTCATCACCCTTTCAACTATTTTCCTGAACAAAGGGGAAGTTTGACCCTGACCTCATTTGAACACACAGTCTTACAGTCCCGAGTTGGGTGTGCTATGGTTGCTTCACAGGGTCACTTTTTAAAAGGCAAGAAGTTAGCTAATAAGCTGTCAAGCTGAAAACTTAAAGAAGTGTTAAAGTATTTTTTTTAGATTCTTCTGGAATAGGATCAAGTATTGGTGGGCATTAGTCTGTAAACAAACCTTGAAGCACTGTTGTAAATGTAGTTTGAAGTTTATGACTGTAAAAACATTACTTGGTTCACAAATCTTGTGTTCAAGTAATTGCAGGTTATAAATTTAGCTTTAGCTGAATTAGACAAGAAAGATTGATAAAATATGACAAAACATGCCACTATCACACCACAGACAAGTTTAACTTTGCAACTGGACAGCTCATCAGATAGTCGTGGGCGCAAAGAGTATTCTTCAAAAATGTTTACTCAGTAAAGCATTATTTTACCACAGCCATTCATCTTCTCTGTTCCGACTGCAGATATCCGTCACCCCGAGGAGCTGTCACTCCTTCGTCCTGTAGAGGAGAAGAAAAAGAAGAAAGACAAAGACGCAGCTGAAGAGATCTACGACCTGACTGAGGTGCCCCTCTCCTCGGGTACACTCCTTACACTGATTTCATGTTTATTTATTTTGTACATGCAGAACAGTAAAAATCCGTGTGAAATAAAATCTGTGGCTTTTACAACTTCCTTAAATTTCCCACTATTATGACCCCTATCAATGACTGAACTATTAGTACAAAAAATCTAAATCTAAATTAATTTACGTGAAATAAATGAGCAACATATAAGAAATGATCAGCTTTTTACAATGTCTACCAAGTGCACTTCTTGGAAAAGTTTGTAGTTAACACAATTATATGTCCTTTTCAGTATCACGGCCCAGCCTGTACAATGGCATGCCAGCTCATTTTGCCGACTCACCTCAGATGGAAGAAATCTACAAGATGCTATCGGCCACCCAGCCTCCCCCCGCCCCCGAGGTCATAGCTAAGCAATACCGGCCAGCCAGTGTAGTGGACAAGGCCCACATCCACGGCAGGTTTGCATCCACATATATAATTGTAATTAACCCTTTACACAGGATCAGTCCAGAAAAAGACAATATCATAGTAAGGGGGATATCAATTGTGGTATGCATAGTAAGCATTCATGTGTTAGGTTCTCTCAAAATATCTAAATTCACGATTTGTTTGCTGTGTATAAAGAGACAAAATCGAATCCAACAGATATCTTCAAAAACGTTTGTATCTTGCTGACTTTTGAAAGTCAAATATTTTCTTTACTTGGATTACTTTATGTGGAAATTGTGAAAACAGAGCTTTTCAAACTTGTAGCTAACTTTCTCATTTGATTTCGGATACCATGACAAGGCATCAATACAAAACTATGGCTATTTCACAAATGTAAGAGATGAGAAACACCCCATTTTTTTTATATCTGTACACATATTAAAGGGAAATACAGAACATTTAAGTTGACTGACAGTATTGAAAAGTCAATAATATAATAACCCACATGTGCACATAACTTTTCATGTTTATTAAATATAATCAATACTTTCCCTTTCAGGTGGTTAGACTCCTCCCGTTGTCTCATGCAGCAAGGCATCCAAGAAAACGACCGACTGTGGCTTCGCTTCAAATACTATTCTTTCTATGACATAGAGCCAAAGGTGTGTGTAATTGTGAACACCTTTTGAAAACACAGAATTTGTGTACCCTTGTGTGTTTAGAATTGACTCACTATTTATCCTTGGCTGTGCAGTATGATGCAGTGCGTTTGAGCCAGCTGTATGAGCAGGCACGCTGGGCCATCCTGCTGGAGGACATCGACTGCACCGAGGAGGAGATGATGCTGTTCGGAGCTCTGCAGGTATAAAACTTTGCTGCTGTGCAACAAAACATATTTGAGACAGCGGGGCTGGAAAAAAAGATGCAGGATGTTGAAAAAAGTGGATATCTTCTAAATGTTTCCATATTTATAGCAGATGCAGAGTTACATAGAATAGCCTACTTAAAGTAAAAATCTGCTTGACTTTTCAACCTATTTATAGGTATTACAAATTCATTGAGACACCAGAAACTGCATGTCTGAAATGTTGCCATAAGGAAAATCTTTTTGACTTTCCAAACATTTCAGTTTTTTTCTTGATAAAATGACACTCAGAGTTAACCAAACTGTATGACTGATGAATCCTATGCTACTAGATAAATACAGAAATAACTTTATATGTGGTGTGAGATAAAATACTGCATACCCTGACTTACATTCTGATTGTATGGGTTTTAAAGGGCATAACATTTGATGGACTGTCATGTAGAAGAAATCAGATCCTGATCGTCTATTTTTTGCTGTGATGTTGACATTGTTAATAATGAAAGTTCCTTATAAAATACATATTTTTAGTAGATCACATGTATCAGTCCCCTATTGAAGGCTTGCAGCTAATTAAAGCCATCCTAGTTTCACTTCAGTTCAGTCTTTCAAATGACCAAAAGATGTTCAAAACATTCTCCCACAGTACCACATCAGTAAGGTGTCTCAGTCGGAGCCTCAGATGGTCAGCTCTAATAGTGCAGCCATGGACGACCTGGAGTCTGCCCTGCTGTCCCTGGAGGTCAAGATGGAGGGAGAGAGCAGCTCTGCATCTGAAATGCTGGTCAGACATGATGGATTTTCTCATTTAACACAGAGACAGTTGGATTTAGAGAGAGGGTGTCCCACCTTAAATCCTGACAGACCTCACAGAGACTGAGTGGACACATCACTTTGCCGCCTGCAAAGAAGCATCTTTTAAAGTCTCATTATTTCCTCATTAGAGGCACAGAGACTAGATGTTTTTCTAAAATACCATTAGTTACCAAGTTCTTGATGTTCTAGGACTGAAGTTACAAAAGTTTATATAGCTTAGTGTCACTTTAATGATGTCAAAACACAGCAGGAGGGATATAACACAGAAAAGAAGAATGAATCCAAACTATTCATCTTTTAATTCTTATCTTCTCATTAAATATATATATATGTTTTTCATCCAGGAAAACATGACTGCACCTGAGCTCAATGATTATCTGAAGATTTTCAGGTAAGACTTATTTCTCCCCCATTAGCACCAGCAAAGTCCCAGGGTAGTATTTCATGAAGTCATTAACAAATAAATAAAAAGTTTGTTTTTTAGTTGTATCAGCTGCTTTTTGTTCTTCTGTGGCTTTGCAGTTGTTACATACAGTATCATTGTGAATAGATTAATATCTGTGCAGCATTGCCTACATGATTTTTCATTTTTTTCAAAAAGAAATGCATCTCACCCTCGTCTCAGGATAAGAGATATCTTTTGATTTCAAAGTGGGTCATGACATTCTTAAAACTGCTGTGAGAAACTTTTGGTTTGTGTTGGTACTGGCGCCTCCTGTGGACAAAGTGATACCTCTACAAAAATGTCAGCATCCATGGACTTCAAAAACATTGCAATTAAAACAGACATGGGAAATGAAAGCTGTATTTTCTCATTTTTGCCTGTTTATACCAAGTAACAATAGAGCAAAGCACTAATTACTTCTGGAGGAAATTCATATATTTCACTTTTCCCTTTTGTAACCTTTAATATCTGACTTCTTGAATATTCTCTTGATCATCTGTTTCAGGCCAAAAAGGCTGACTCTGAAGGGATATAAGCAGTACTGGTTTAAGTTCCAGGATACCTCGATCTGCTATTTCAAGAGCAAAGAGGAAAGTATCGGAGAGCCCATTCAACAGATTAACCTTAAAGGTATTGGATTTACTATTTCGTTATAATAAATTAGGAAGGAGTGAGGAAGCAGTCAAACCTTTTATTCACCCTTGTGCGGATCACTTCTGAGCTTTTTTCTAGGCTAAGGCTAGAAAAAAAAATTGGCTCTTTAAACAAAAATGAATCCAAAAGTAAAGAAATTGAAGTTAGCATGAAGATACAAGCTACATGAAGCTTTTCTATTTGTTCTTCTTATGCTTGATTTCTTTGTCAAACCTGTACATGACTCATGTCTGTGTTGGCTGTGGTGTAATATTTCTCCTGCACACAGGATGCGAGGTGGCTCCAGATGTGAATGTAGCAGCACAGAAGTTCCTAATTAGACTCCTGATACCAGCGCCAGAGGGCATGAACGAGGTCTACCTGCGCTGTGAAAACGTGAGACCACACACACATTCCTCTTCATCTCTGTACATGTGACATGTTGTCATTGCACCAGCTCCTTTCATCACACAGTCTCGACTCTCTGTTGTTGTTTCTTGCCCTCCAGGAGCAACAGTATGCTCAGTGGATGGCTGCGTGTCGACTGGGCTCCAAAGGCAAGACTCTGGCTGACAGCAGCTATCAGAGTGAGATCCAGAGCATCCGATCTTTCCTGGCAATGCAGAAGACCAGCAGTGGTTCCCATGGCAACGCAACTGCCAGTGATGAAAGCATCAATACTCACAGTCTAGTATCACCACGCTACCACAAGAAGTACAAAACCAAACAGGTACAACTTCAAAATAAAGAATATGATGAATTATCTGTCCTTGGATTTCTGAAAGCAGAATAATGTGGCTTTAATTGGCCAACACATCAGGTGAAAGTGTGCCAATTGAGCTGTTCTGCTGCTGAAAGTGCTGCTCATTTTTTCCTCAAGGCAGCAAAATTATAATTACATCTGGCCTTTGACCTTGTACTTGCCCCTTCCAGCTGACCCCTCGTATCCTGGACGCGTACCAGAATGTGGCTCAGCTCTCTCTGACAGATGCAGTGATGCGCTTCCTGCAGATCTGGCAAGCTCTGCCTGACTTTGGCCTCTCCTTCTTCGTTGTCAGGTGAACTTTTAAAGTTCCGTTAAAGTCCTTACAGAACAGAGAGTCTGCTCGCTGTCAAAAGTTGGCAGGATTTAAGTTAAATTTAAAATGTGATGGGCACATACTGTGTATAAAAGCAGATAGCAAAGGTGTATTGAATACTATTAACTTAAGAGGGCATGACAGAAAACACTTGGGGTTTTGAGATAAGATAAAATAAGATCTCAAATGGAAATTCAATAAATATAATAAATAAATATTTTTGTTTGTAAATCTGCGTTTACAGGTGAGAAAGCGACAGTAAGCTACAATCTAAAAGTCCATTACTACTTTCTGTCTAGAATGATACTATCCTGTAGAGAATTACAGATACAGGCCTTTTTCAGAGAGTGTTTTGATACGTCTTTCCTGTGAGATGTGAAAAACATCAAGTGCCTGCTCCAAGGTTATTAGAGACATGAGACTAATTCAGAATTGAAAACTCAAACTTCTACCTCAGTGTGACTCAGCAATCATTCACAATCGTTGGAGTTTAAGATCTATTATTGACCCTAAAAATTTTTGTAGAAAAGAAGCCTGAAGTGTTTTTTTGTGCCTGACAGGTTCAAGGGAAGTCGAAAAGATGAGGTTCTGGGCATCGCTCCCAACCGCCTGATTCGCATCGACTTAGGTGTGGGTGACGTTGTGAAGACATGGCGTTACAACAATATGAAGCAGTGGAATGTCAACTGGGACATCAGACAGGTGAGGCTGAAACTTCTGAAGGAGTCTGGAGGATCTCAAACTTCAGTCTTATAGAGATACTTTGAATTAGCTATAAAGGGACACTCTAAAGTTCTGGTTTGGAGAGGGTCTCTATGAGTGTTTGTGTTACTGAGTACAGGCGGCACAATTAAGAGCAGATCTTTTAAAGGAGCCTCTACCTTTACATCACAACACATTTTGTACAAGATAATTACAATTTTTAATTCCACATCTCAGCTTTAATACCTTCCTTTTTGTGCTTCTTGTCCTCTAGATGGCCATAGAGTTTGAAGGCAACGTCAACATCGCCTTCGGCTGCGTGACGGCAGACTGCAAAATCGTTCACGAGTTCATTGGAGGTTACATTTTCATGTCCACACGCAGTCGTGAGAAGAGTGACACACTCAATGAGGAGCTTTTCCACAAGCTGACCGGAGGCCATGAAGCACTCTAAGACTGCGACACACAAATCCTTCACAGCTCACAATGATTTCTGTGAGTGCCAACCACGAGGGAGAGGATTTTATGCTTCATTCAGTCCTCTCTAAAACATCTCAACAGTACAACAAAGGGTCAGAAGAAGATTCCTTTCATGTGTTATAACCCACTCTGTCAGTGCAGACACATTTTTGTATAATCTTTGTTACACACACACAGACACGCTGTCAACGGACCAGCTATGTCAGAGAAATGATCACAAAGTACATCCAGACAGCTTATGTTGATCCCTTCACTTCAGAATGAACCACAATATTTAAAGTACCCCTTTACTTAGATTAGAAAGTATCCCTTTGTCCAGCACTGCACTCTTACTTCAATTTTAGTTTTTTTATTTGTGGCACATAATAGAAGCCACAATATTAACCCCATGAATAAAAAAAAAATTAAGCAAATATGGCTTGCTTCCCAAACTAACTTGAATAAACACCATTTCTTGAGAAAAAAAACACCAAAACATTTTTCTCTTTTGTTTTCACTCCTTGTGCTCCTGACATATATGGTGCTCATCTATTTTTGTCTTAAACAGGAAGTTTTGCACCATTTATCTTCCCTCACTTGCTGTGTTTGCATGTGTGTGTCCATATCTTACAAGAAACGGTTAAGGCAAAAGCCAGTAAACCCCAGAGTAAAACCACAGAGCCTGCATCCTCTGCTTCTCCATACTTAGTAATGTGACCAACACAGAGACACAATGACCTTTAAAGGTATGAGTTAAAGGCCTGACTGCTTCTTTCAGTGTGGGGGGTTTTCTGTAAGCTGGTGATATATTTAACATGTAGAATAATGTTAGAATAAATAACTGAGTAAATAAAATGTGTTGTCAGCTAGTATCAGATGGCTAAAATGTCTCACAGAAACACACCATCTCAATCCTTTTAATAATAAAACAAAAATAATAAGTTAATCATTTGAGTTCTGCTAAGGATGAGTCTCCTCATGCTGAACAAAATGCTGCCTTTGTATCCAGGATAAGCAACAACCAACCCCTGGATGCTGGAAGTCCAGTGAATCTTTCTTTGACCAGTGATGGAGCAGTATCTTCCTCTGCTTTTACTGCAGTGGCAGGATACTTCCTGAAAAATAGAACAAAGTATGTTTATTCCTTGAATCAAGCTGTAAAGGATAAGAATTGATTTTTTCCCTTACTTGTAGGTCTCAGTCTTAAGGCTTGGCTGAAGTATTTAGGAGGGAGTTTCCCCTCTGCGTTGCCTGTAGTCAGCAATACGCCGTTTTCTGACCAGAAGAACTGAATACCATCTGTACATGAAAAATATGTAAGAGAGCTTCTTGGTATACACAGAGGCTGTATTGAGTATATTTGGCAGTGCTTATCAGGTGCGGACTTTACCAGCAAGAGCTTTAGGGACATCAATATACACTGCAATTTCACAGTCTCTCCTCATGCCTGGCAGGGAGATAAATGACAGAGTAGAACCTATTTGTCAAAATGTTAAGCTGTCAGCACCAACACACTCTGGTCCCCAACTCTCTCTCTCTCACACACACAAAAACAGTTTACCGCTAATGACTCCATCCTCCTCTGGCAGGCCGGGTGCCAGGTGGATGTGCGTTCTCTTCATGCGGCTCAGGCCCTGCTGCTGGATGGAGCTCCAGTAGCGGAGATAGGTGCCATGAACAGCCTCCGCAGGACAGTCAGAAGAACCAGCCAGGACTGGTTTTAGCTCCAAGTCCTGTACCTGAACATATTTATGCAACCAGTATTAAGACAGGGTTTAAGAAAAAGGGCATATGAGTGGATTTTACAACCAAATTAAATCCTTAAAAACAAAAAAAAACTGTTTTGTCACGAATCTCATTGAGAAATCTACAGATGAAAGCCAAGGGTTAATATACATCTCATTTTCTGAAATGGTGTGACTTTTGAAAGCAAATGCATCTGCAAAGATTTAAGAGGAATATAAACAGCAATAAAGTAAATGCAATTAAAGTTGAGGATGCATCAAAGCTCAAGTGTTCTATCCTCAGATGTACTTTTACACCTTCACTCTGCACTGATTGTACTTAATTAAGATGACTCAAATTCAATTTTTCACTTCAATTTGCTGCCAGAGGAACAAACATATGTCACCTGGAAATGAGATTGAAATTGATGTTCTGAATGTGTAGATTGTGTAAATTATACTTGAGTGCATTGTCAGGGACAACAAGGACTCATACAGATTTGCTCTGTATTTCATTTATAAACAGGAGAAAGCAGAATGTATTAGTAGATACTGTAATAATAAGTGCGGCAGCTTCATTTTATATTGTTTTAGTTTGCCCGTCTACTTTTGAGACCCTGGAATGTGCGGTCTCTGGATAAAATCGTCTTCAGATTGTACACCATTCACTCAGTATTGCAGTCATTATGTCTAGATTAAAACTGAAAGCCTGCATTTAAAGCATTGGGTAATTGTAGATTGGTGTATTAGACCTTTATTGGTATCTGATACTTGCTATCTACATACTCTTACACTGAAACTCTCTGTGTCTCTGTGCTGCAGTGTTTCTGTTCCTGATTTATCATGATAGCTGACCAAAAAGAAGACTCTCAACACGTACATACAACACGTGTATCTGTATTCAGATGGAAAGTGCATCATGAGATAATGCTTTGTTGGAAAAATCAAATATCCTTCAAAAAATGCACACACTTCATCCTGATTTACTGCCTTGCATACCTGTACTGTATGGCCTTGACTGGCTCGAATCTGTAGACGACCATCCTCTGGGTGAGGGCAGAGTTTAAAGCGCTTCTTGTCATTATTGGCCACGACTCTTTCTACATCTGTCAGTGAGTATGAGCTGAACTGTGGGTGAGCTAGGAGCTCCTCCACAAACATGAAGCCATCTGTAAGAAGTTTAAAAACTTAGTCTGCAAGTCTTACAGCATTTTGAGCTTCATAGAATACAGTCGCTGGTGTAGAAGGAATGACTTAAGCAAGAGTTAGTGGTTAAAGCAATATTAAACATCAGGTCAAGTAGTACTTTTTCTTGGGGCCCATTAAATGTATCTCTAATCGCACTTACAGTATAATCAGTATATTTCTAAAATCACTTTAGAAGGACAGATGGTTTGAAAGAGGAGTTAAAGAAGCCATCTTTACCAGGCTGGAGAAACCTTCTCTGAACAGAGGGGGTGGACTCAGGCACAATCTCTCTGGCACTTACAATGCAGTTTGTCAGTGTGTGAATGTACTGTAATTGGGTGAATGTGTACGTGGTGTTAATGACTCTTTGAGTGGTTAGAGGACAAAAAAACAGTGGTATATAAATGCAGCCTATTCACCATTTACCATATAAATCTACAGTTTATGGTACCTATGAATTTAGAATTAATTAGAGGAATGTTGTCGAAGAGTCGGAATGCACTAGTTAAGAGAAAGTGTGTCACTCAGAGCCTATTGTAAAGGTATTGTGAAGTGCTCACCTGTGCCCATGTGGAGACCCATCTGGTTTGCCCCGTGGCGAAGAACATAGGACATGGATTTAGACAAGCGTACATCTCTGTCCTATTAAGGAGGAGACATTATTAAAGTGAGAGAGAGAGCTTGTCACTAAGAGATGTCAGAATAAACAAATCTCTGAATATTTGCCAAAAGGAAAAGGAAAATATCAATAGGGGAGAGTGGGGTAAGATGAACCATTTTTCCTATTTCGGATCACTACATCAAGGCAATCATAGTTTTGTCTCTAACTCGTGTATCTGCATATATTTCACGGTGTTGTGCATCTCTGCAAACTAACAGAATGAGTGTAAACATAACTGACTTGATAATATAGCATGCCAAAAAAAGTGGTCTCCTATGGTCAACTTACCCCACACACGGGGTAAGGAGTGGGGTAAGTTGAGCTGTATTCCTACTACACCCCTACTCTCCACCCCAGCCCTCTCTCACCCTCTCTCTCCCTAAATAAGTCACTTCTTCACATTCATGTGTATTTTTATCTATTATATGTTATTCAACTGGTACAATAATTCTTCTTATTATTGCATATAACTGATAAAAAGCTGTTTGAATGAATTGATTCCAAGCAGCAGGGGGTGGCTCAACATATCCCACTCTCCCTTATAGGGTTACAATTTCGTACCTCTCCACCACGATTTCCTCTCCTTCCTCTCCCTCCTCTTCCTCTCCTGTCTCTGTCCATTCAGGTAAAGGCCTTAAACAGCACCTATTTATATCTCAGCTGGAACGTGTTTAAAGACCTTCCTTGTCGTTGTCACCGTTTGTTGTCAACAAACTCGGGTCTAACCGGGTCTAGCATGCGCGAAATGTCACTTCCTGGTAGTTCCTTTTCCCCGCCTGAGGGTGGCGCTGCGATGATGTGTTGCTAGTACCAATGAGGGAAAGCTGCAGTTTAACCTGAAAGAAAACATCACACCGACAGGAGCAGCAGGTAAGAAAATGTGCAACATTTCCAAGCGGAATAAAAGAAGTGTTCTCACTAGAGCCTGGACATTGGGTATTTTACTGTTACTTATAACTTGTAACCTTTATAAGAAATCAAAATATGCTTCTTTCGCTGTTGGTTTCGGAGTTTCACACAGAGGCTGAGCTATCTCTGCTAACTATTGTTAGCATAATTGAGTTGGAGCTTGCTGTTTACTGCTTAGTTTTACTGCTTGAAAACTTGACAACATATGCGAACTTTATGTTGATATATAACATGCGTTTAGTAATGTTTTTTTCCCCGTGTATGCCCTTGAAGGTCCTCTTTGGTGTCGATAATAAAGATGAGCTCATAGACGACGCTGGAAGAGCTGGTTATCATGGAAACGGACTGATAAGACCCTCAACCGTCAGAGTCTAGACCCAACATACCGTAAGTGTCATCGTTTGTTTTTTTTATTCTGTAGTGTCCTGAAGAAATCTGCTTTTAGGATGTGTCGACAATGGATAACTCTTGACATGTAGGGGAGAGTGGGGTAAGTTGAGTTACCCCCTGTTGTGAAAGAAATGGTGAAAGAAATCGATCACGTGACCAAATATTTAGGAGATGGGCATCAATTCATGAAGTCTGTGAAGGTTAGAAGCACATGGGTGAAGGGGTTAGACATTTATTTAAAAAAAAAAAGAAACATTTTTCATTTATGAAAGTGAATTTAGTCTGTCATAAGTTTTATTAGAATTGTGTTCAGACCAAAAAAGATCATTTTAAATTTTATTTTATACATCAATTGTGGTATCTATGAGCTACAACATGAGGTCAAAAACCTAGCATAAAAGTCCACCATTTGAGCTTAGAGGACTAATAAAGTCATCATCGTAGTTCTGGGGTAAATTGAGTCAGTGGCTTAACTGAGAAAGTAAAAGAGTCTGATGAGAGGATCAGAGTTTCAGTTCAGATTGTTGAAATGTTTTACTTTTTCTTTTCAGAAATACAGCTGTGAATGTTCTGAATCACTTAAAGACATTTTCATGTTAAAATGGCTTTTTACAAAACAGCTTTTTAGCAGTTATACGCAGTAATAATAAGAACTATTGTACCAGTTGAATAGCGTATAATAGAAAAACATACATATGAATGTGAAGAAGTGACTATTTTTTTTGGGAGAGAAAAGATGAGGGAGGGCTGGGGTGGAGAGTGGGGGGGCGGTAGTAGGGATACAGCTCAATTTACCCCGCTCCTATGGTCAACTTATCCCATACACGGGGTAAGCTGACCATAGGAGACCACTAATTTTTGGCATGCTATATTATCAAGACAGTTATGTTTACACTCATTCTTTTGGTTTGCAGGGATGCACAACATCTTGAAATATATGCAGATACACTAGTTAGAGACAAAACTATGATTGCCTTGATGTAGTGATCTGAAATATGAAAAATGGCTCATCTTACCCCACTTTCTCCTACTCTTGAAGTGCACTGAGGGCAGCTGAATGGTTAAGTATAACAATCAACAAGTGTCAAAAGTCAGGTGGAAAACAATAAAACACTTTCACACACATAGAAGAAAATGACGTGCTAGCCATGGTAATTCAGACTGCCCTGCCCCTAAGTAGGACCCGTCATGTTACCTTGGTTACAACAGTGTCCTCTTTGGGAAGGCACCCTGATGTTGGTTCACTCTGGAAGAAGTCCTTTCAGGTGCTCTGTAATTACCCCTTTCACTGTGAGAAGCATTATGTAATGATATCTGAGGTGCACTAACAGTTTGTCTCATCCTCTGTTGCCCAGGTGATGGAGTTCCCCCAGCATTCCCAACAGTTGCTGTCAGCTTTGTGCTCCCAGCGCCGGCGGGGCTTCCTTTGTGACTGCACCGTCCTGGTGGGCTCATCTCGTTTCCTGGCTCACAGGGCTGTTTTGGCCTCTTGCTCGCCTTTCTTCCACATGTTCTACTCAGACTCTCAAGGGGTCGGCGGAGGGAACAGCACCAGCAGCTCTGTCACACTCGACAGCGACATCGTCACGGCTGCTGCATTTGGCTTGCTCTTGGACTTTGTGTATGAAGGTGTGCTACGGCTGAATGAGTCTCCACCAGTGGAAGATGTATTGGCAGCTGCAAGCTTTCTGCACATGAACGAGGTGGTGAGAGTGTGTAAAAGACGACTGCAAAGGCGAGGGCCTCTGGCTGAGGCAGACAGCACCCGTTCTGAGGAAAGCGCTGTTGCAAGGAGGGGCACAGAGACAGTGGGGGAGGGCAGGGGTGATGGTGGAGCTGAGCCCATGGTGGCCACGGCAGGAGATCATTTGAATCCGACAACGGCGGCATCAGTCAGCGCAGCAGAGAGGAATCAGCTGAACTCAGTGAAGTCTGAACAGAGGACAGGTGGGGGGACATATAAATCTAGAGCTCAGACTCCCTTGAGCCCAAACCTGGCAGATACCACACAGCCTGGCATGGACGCCCCTCCTCTGCCCCCAGGTGGAGAGCTGGCACTTGGGATAACCACGTGCCAGTCTGATCCTGCCTCAGGAGGTCACATCAGAGTACAGGCTGGAGATCAGGGAGAGGGGTCAGCACTCAGTCCATGCAGTTCTACAGAGTCATATAGGTACAACACTTGTGATTTTTCATTGATCTGAATGTCAACCAAGATAATACAATAGTAGCATCTAAGGTCTCTGGCACTTCACAGAAATTTAAGTCAACAAATGGAATTAAATGCCCCAATTTTTAAAAATAAAACTTGATTAATTTAATGAATGTAAGGGACACTATACTTTGTTTATTTAGTGTTATTTTTCAGTGTACTAAGAACCTTGTGCTGATTTAAAATGAATAATAATATACGAATTTCACTTTGGGGATCAGTGAAGTTTTTGTATTGTATTGTAAAACTAAAATGTTCCTTTTTCTCTGTTTGTTTTAAGCCACAGCGGTAATCAGCAGCCTTCCTCATCTTCGTCGTCCTTGGTAACAGTGGGTCAGGCCAGAGGTCAGTCAGTGCTTTATCTTCCCCACTCAGAATCCAGCCTCTACCACAGCTCTGTTCAGCAAGACACACCAAGACTACTCACTGAAGATTCCTTCAGGCATCCCCTGGGAGACCAAAGAGGTGCAGCAGGTGGAGAACAGCAGATGGTTGTGCTAATCCAAACATCAGCACCATCCTCACGCAGGGAAACAAGCCAGACACACTCACAGCGGCAGAGTGAGTTCCCCCAGATTCGAATCCAGAGTGCTGTTTCGCTGCAACCCCAAAGTCTGGACCCCCACCGCACTCAGACTCAAACTTCAAAGGGACCTAATGTGTTTGCAAGTGCTCATCCTACAGTCAGACATGAGCGATCTCTTGTGGGTGGAGTGAGGACAGATGATGAAGATAATGAGAATGTGAAAGTCAAGGTGGAGGCAATTGTTATATCTGATGAGGAGTTAGAGGAGGATAAAGAAGAGAGTGCAGAAAGAGAACCGGTGATGGATATAGATGATGAGTTTGAAGATGACATCCAGGAAGAGGACCTTAACAACCCTCAGTTTCTCTCCTCCCACTCACAAGGCCTCTTACAAATGACCTCCAAATCTAGTGACTACACCTTCCCCCTCTCTCCTGCCTCCTCCTCCTCTGGAGCTGGCCCTTCCTCCCAGGACACTTCTTCAACCTCCTATGCTTCCTCCATCAACCCTTCGTCCACAGCTCAGAATCAGTCAGACCCTCCTGCGTATTTCCAGGACTTCCAGGACTCTTTGGGAAACTTCGCAGACGATGTACCCACATGTGAAGCCTGTGGAAAGACTTTCTCTTGTACATACACACTGCGTCGCCATGCAATCGTACACACTCGTGCACGTCCTTACGAGTGTCACTACTGCTACCGGAGCTATACACAGTCAGGTGACCTGTACCGACACATTCGCAAAGCTCACGATCGCTCACTTCGCACAAAACGCACCAGGGCTGACTCGGACATGTTAGAGCCTCCCCAACCACCGCCGCCACCACAAATACCACCTCTCCTCTAACACACAAAACACATCTGGGGCTTTCTTCATCTCACAGCACCTCAACCCCATCTTCCACCTCCAACATAAGACCAAGTATGAGTATATTCAGAACTCAACATCCAGCTTAGCCTCCCAAGGTATTGTCCTGTATTTGTATATGTACTCTGCAAATGCCCCTACTTTGTTTTGTCCTGACATTATTACTCTGTGGTTAGACAAACACAGTAAACAGACACACACAGACAGACTCTGCAGTCAAACCAATGTTGCTTTGGAATAGTATGGAGAAATAACTGGGTAAAAAAATAAAAAGATGGATTAATTTTTTTAATCTTAAAAAAAGGGGCCTGAATGTCTCATCACTTTTTCATTTACAAAAGAAAAAGTCACTGATATTTTCTACAAGTTGTTAAATCTTAGGCCATGAGACGATAGACAGTACTGGGCGTGATGCCACTTATGTATTTTATGTTATTAATTCTTCTATAAGTAGTTTCTTTGACAGTAAGTTGTGTTCAAGGAATTCAGTGTTAAAATAAAAATGAATGTTCACCTAAGGCATTCGAGCAGAAAATACTGAAGTGATTTATCACTTATCAAAGTGACAGTGACCATGTTATGTGAGGGCATATTGTGAATTTGTGGTTTGTTGTCCAAACTTCTGAATTCGCCAGATATTTTGTGAAAAGATTTTGCTCTGCAGCTCCAGTTTGGTCACTTGGAAGTTGTAAGGAGTTGCGTTATGTTGAGCTATTTCAGCCTTCATTTACTGGTGAAGTGAGGGAGAAGTTTTACAGTGATTTTGTGGACAGTACTGTGTTAGCCTGTGTGCAGAGTCTACTTGTGAGTACATAGTTAAGTGAAAATGATGTGTAAATATGTTTCATTGAGTTACATAAAGCACAGGTGTTCAACAACTCCTTTTTTATTTCTCCTCAAAAACATAAAAATATAAACACCTGTTGTTTATTGCTCTGCCACAGTAACAGTTGATTTCTAGAGTATTCTCACAGACTGTAGCTGGTCACCAGTTTTTTGTAACATGCGGAAGTGAACTTTGTCTCTCTTCAGTCCTCCACCGGCCCGTGGATCTGTGAAGATGTAAAATTTCAGTGTCCTTTTATTTGCAACCACAGTATATTCTAATAAATAACTGTTGTTAACTTGTCATTTTTATCATGATGTAAGAGGGACTGAATCAATGTGTCAAATCTATCAAGTCTTATCAGAGTAGCTTTAAAAACTAACTCACCGCCTCTGCCAACTCTGGCCAATCCATTGCCATAACAACTGTGTCGTCAGAGTTCGTCGGTGTCTCGAGGTTCCAGTAGGTCAGTTTGTCAAACGTAGAGGTTAATTTCACTGTCCTGTCCTAGACACACATATATGGGTACAATTTAGCATCACACAGACATGGTAACTAGATTTCCTGCTCAATGTGAACTGTTAGTGTCATATTGGGTTGTGAACCTCTTGGTCAGAGCCGGGTTTGTTGATCTCTTTGAGCACTAATCCAGTGTAGCCTTGTGGACAGCTGAGCTCCTGTCCCTTCAACCCTCGTCCTCTGAATGACACAGTCTTCTCTGTAAAGGGAAAAATGCACTAATGATAAACATATTTTTCTTCTCTTAAAAATTAAGAAACCTCTTAAAACCCATTCAACGTGACTATTTGTTGTTTTACGTTAAGCGTGTACCTTGTTTACAGTCTTTCGTAGTAGCAGTTAAGTACTGAGAAACCTGAGCTGGCCCGTCGTGTTCAATCTCACAGGGCATCAAGTGAACAGGGACTCTTGGTACTTGGTCCACTGCTGGCGGGAGCTGCACTCGTGTTACACTGGTGTTACAGGACATCCTTAGACCAGGGGAGACAGGAGGACAACATTAAACGCAAAATTAACTTTGAAATTATTCTTGAACCACATTTGCGTTTTCACAAAGTCAAATAGAAAGGTTAAAAAAACTCCCAGGTTGTCTTTAAATTCTGCTTATTAAGAAGATGCCATTGAGTTCATAATAATGAGTATCCTACAGCTTGTAGTGACAGCAAAAGTAATTTATCAAGGAATAAATAGCAATACTTTTTGAGGGCTTAAAACAATGTCTGAGGTATATAGGGGAGACTGGGGTAAGTTGAGCCACCCCCTGTTGCTTGGAGTGGGGATACGGCTCAACTTAGCCCACTTTTTTTTGGCATGCTATATTATCAAGACAGTTGTGTTTAAACTCTTTCTGTTGGTTTGCAGGGATGTATACCATTTTGAAATTTATGCAGATACACTAGTTAGAGACCAAACTATGATTACTTTGATGTAGTGATCCGAAATATGATAAATGACTCATCTTACCCCACTCTCCCCTACTTATTTCACAGAGGTGTCTATAGCTGATCAAACACTGATGCTGGTGAAGACAGGACTGTGAACTCTTTCCCTCACAACCGAAACATGTTTTCTTTTGCCACGCTTATGTATACCGTTGACCTGATACATGATAAGTGGTAGTATAAAACAAAAAGCATTAGAAATACAAATATTAAAGACACAAGTGCATATTTACCTTTCTGCAGGTTTCCAGTCCGGTACAATGTTGTACTAGTCTTACCTCTCTTCCCTTTGGCGCCTGCCGCAGCGTGTGATTGGACAAAGTTTTCTTCTTCTACGTCGAGCCATAATTTGGCGGGTTTCTGTTATAGACTACCGCCCCCTGCTGGCGAAAAACTATTCCGTGTTTATTTTAACGTTATTTGACGTTTCTTTAATTTACAAGACTCATTTGAACTTTTTAAATCATTTCAATTTCGAAAAAACAAATACATACAAATAAATAGATAATCTTAATGCCTCTTTAGCCACAATGGAAATAATGTTGGCCGTGAAAAATATTCAACCATTAACAGTCTTACACCCTCATCATATTAATTAATCTCTTGCATAATTTGCCAAAGAACTCACTTCAAGTTCCCAATACCTTGTTGTCAGTTTCGTATTCAACAATAAGATCTTTGTTATAGTTGACTGCAACATCTGTTTTAATGTGGGATGGAAAAAATTCTGTCCAATGGCAGCTCTTCAGGAGCTGAGGACAAGTTATGAGAACAAAAACGGCCCAGTGAGAAGAGGAAGGAGTCAAGCTGAGGACCAAGAGACTTTGAGGAAAGGAGAAAGGATTTCCCAACAGTTCATAGTTGGCCAACCAAAACAGGAGGTGAGTTTTTACAAGTACTATTGCAAACATGTTGTTGCTGGATACAGCACTGTTTTATTTTTATTTTATTTTATTTTTTCCTAGGGGCGTATACTCAGTTGTATGGCTTTAATGTGCTGAGTGTAGTGCAACAACCTTCCTTTTTTTCATATTCCTGAATCAAAAATATTGACAAGCTACAAAAATAAGCAAACTTTTAAATTTTGTTGTGTGTAAAATAGATGAACGCCATAAAATCCAACATCATTATTACATTGCTTCTACTATTGTTACTTTTTTCCATCTTGATCAATACTAATGTGACTTTACTCCACTGATAATTGCTGTCTATCCATCCTAATGTTATGCACTTCTGTACCCCCACCTACTTTATTTTGGGATCCTTGTATTTCATGTTATAGTGATTTATATGATATATTGAACTTGTTCTGAATTTCTGCTCCATTGTCAACAATGTGTTTACTGTATGTAGCACATCACTGAGATCTGTGGGCTGTTGACACAGTTTGGAGTCATCTGACGTGAACAGTATCTGCTTGTGACTGAGATTGGACTCAGTGGTTTCAGCCGCTCTTCATGCTTTGAAAGCAGGGTCTTTGTCTCAAATATGAGATCATAATTTCATTTACCACACTGAGTTTTATAATGTGACGTATTTTTTGTCAGGAATCATAACCTTTTACATGAAGCAAATGATCAATCTAGCCATAGTCTGTTGACATGGGTTGAACAACTTCATGTTGGTCCTTATCTTTTGATTCTGAAGCTGTTCCTGACAACCCTCTTCAAAAGTGTTTTGTCAATATTTTCATCCTTGTTTGTCAATGTTCAGGTTTTATGGATGGAGACAGTCGTTTGCATTCAGGAGAAAATGAAGGGCGGTCCTTCTTCCTTGGATGGGTGTTAGGGAAGCTTCGAAATGCTGTTGTCATGACGTTGAAACGTATCCGTCAGAGGCTACTGCAGGTCATCATTGTGGCCTTCGTTGTCTTCCTGCTCCTCTGGATCGCTGCCTTTCTTTATGGGAGCTTCTACTTCTCATACATGCCCCAGGCAACCTTTTCCACACCTGTGCACTTCTATTACAGGTGTGTATCAAGAGTCCTATCCATCTTTAGTTCCTTTGTGTTTCATTCTTACTGTCTTGATTTTACTCATTCCTTTTTTTCCCCTTCAGGACAGACTGTGAATCTCCATACTCTTTCCCATGCTCCCACCCAGTCGCCAACATCTCTCTGATCAGGAACAACAGACATGTATGTATAAACTTGTGTTTATATCTTCATCTTCAGTAATGCAGAATTCTGTAATCTTTCTAAAATGCACATTCAGGTGCTGACATTCGGCCAGGCCTACAGGATGACTCTGCAGCTGGAGATGCCTGATTCTCCAGTCAACCAAGACCTGGGGATGTTCATGATAAGGACAGCCTGTTTTTCTCGAGATGGAGAGCAGGTTGCCTCCTCGGCTCGCTCTGTGAGTTGCACTCGCATTTGCTTTTCTCTCCCTGCAACTAAATGTGTACGAACAATCAACATGTCCTTCAATACTTCCTTCATGCTTCTCTGATTCTCTGAACTGCTGTGTGTCTCTCAGACAGGACAGCTGCTGTCTGCCTCCAGCTCTCGCTTTGTGAGTACAAACAGAACTTTTTTAAACACACAACCTGATCAAAGATAGAGCGAAGCCGCTCATGTTTGCTGCAGGGAGCCAATACAACAGGAGATGACCCCAGAGCTTTGGACTGCCAAGTAAACAAATGATCAAAAAATGTTAGGGATGAAATGGGATACTTTCTTATACTGTAAATTGCAATGCAGCCATGTACAACCATCTTACCCAGTTTATCAGTGACTGCCAAAGTGTGGGCTTGTGCAGACTGCTGGGCATGAAGCAGGTAGTGCTGGTGTGTGTATTGATACTTAGCTACTGCACTGAAAACATTTTTAGCACTTAAAATTAGCAGTCTTCTCTTATACTTTATCTCACTCTCAAGTATTGATCCTTTAATGGACCTCAAAATAATAAACATTTTTAAACTGGGCCATTATATTAGTGAGTTTGGGACTGGTTGTGGCGGACAGGTTGAATTATGGCTGCAACAATAAATTTAGAGAGATATTCTAAATATTCTAACATCTTTTTATTTACCAGTGCACCTTACAAAAACTAAATTTAAAACATGTTTTACGAGAATAACATACCAGAAAGTGAAGTTTTAAACTTAGGACTCTCTCAGTATTTTAGTGAAATCCATAAGTGAGCATTACTATGCTGTTGAACTGGGCTTCTTAACTCTTGTGAGAAGTGAAGTTATGAACTCTGGAAGATCAATCCAGTAAGATCACCTTTGTTTATGCTCATAAGGCTATAAAACATCTCCTTAGCATATCACACATCTGTTAGAGCCCAGTACTCAGGAGAAAAAAAGGTCTTTTTCTATGATGATTTTAAAAATAAAGGAATGTCTTATTGTATCTCATTATTGCGGTTGTTCCTGTAACGTTATTCTATCACATGCTGTTGTCAGAGCATGCTGCGGTACCGTTCAGACCTGCTGAGGCAGCTGGGGACGGTGCTGTTCCTCCCGGCCTTCCTGACCGGCGTCACTGAGCAGAAACAGGTGCTGGAGGTGGAGCTCTTCTCAGAGTACATTGAAGACCCTGTGAGTTCTGATCTGCTGTGAATAAATGTGCATGAAGTGAGAAAGAGCAGGTATTAGGTTTGAAATCTCTCTAATAGTTTTCTTTGCCTTCATGTACAGTATTCCCCCTCAGTGACTGGCATGATTGAAATCCTGTCCAACAAAGTTCAGATCTACTCTTCTGAGCTCTTGATTCACGCTCATTTTACTGGAATCAGGTAAGAGTCAGGAAGTGCACCAACAAGAGACCTGACAGAAATGCAGCTCCATTAACTTTCCACATCTTGATGATTTTTTTCTCTTTGTTTCCAGATACATTTTGTTCAACTTCCCGCTCATATCAGCCCTGGTGGGAGTGTCCAGTAACTTCAGCTTCCTCAGTCTCCTTTTCATCCTCAGCTACTTGAGGCTGCTGTTTAGAGTCGGCCAAGGACCAGGTCAGGTGAGACCTGTCACTGCAGACATCAGTGACATGACACCTGTTTTTAGCTGCACGTCTCATTAGAGGTTTATTTAAGAAGGGACAATAATTACATCCTTTTGGTTTTACATACAGATGGATGACAACAGAGATTCTTATTGGTTTGTTTTGTTTGTTTTACAGCCCAGATCAGACGTGCGACTGGCCGAAAGGGAAATTTCTGAGTACAACACCCTACAACAGAATGGGAGGGATTTGGCTGCAAGTACATAACAAATACACAGAGACTGTCTGAGTTATAGAAGCAATTAGCATCCACCATTTAGTTTTAATTAAGGATTATTTTGTTCTAGGTACAGCAGAAGCGATGGGGTCCTTCCAGGCGGTCTCCACAAATGATAGGCAGGAGGACACAGAAGTCCAGAACTGACAGGCACTTGAGACCACTAATAAAGGAGAGGGATGAAGTGTAGGAAGCAATGATGAAGAATTAAGAGAGTCAGAAAGCACCAGTACATTGCTATCAGAGGAGTAATGTAACCACAGGATTGTGTTTTTGTTTTTCTAGACCCCAGTTACTCTTGCTCCAATTCACAATACATACCCTTATATTTTGTTCAGTATCTATGTTATATACTGCTTATCATCAGTACTTTATTTTACAGTACAGATTCCCTTTAGGTACATGCATTAAAGGTTTCAAAATACTAAAAAAAAAAAAAGATCAGCTGCAGTTCCTGTTGTCTTAGAAATGTGATTTAGTGAAACTGTTGTTTTTGCAGACTTATATTCTGTCAGTATCCTGTTCTTTTAATGGCTGTCTTCCATTTATTTTTTGGACAGAAAGCAAAATAAGTTATCAAAATGTGCCTTGATTATACTCTTCAAAAGTAATAATTATTGTTATGGTCATTATTATTGTTAACAAGACAAGAAACAGTGCATAAAATCCTTATAAACAGGATCGGTGTGACCAAACTGCATAGTATGCTAGGGTTCTGATGAAATGTACATGATCTAGCTGGAAACCAATACTAACCTTGTTTTAACTGTTGTAAAAAAAATAAACATTTGAAAAATCTGCTCATCAGTCGGTCTTTCAGTTTAATCCATTGTCCAGAGAGGAAAAACTACCATGAAGTCCACAGTCATATCTAAGAGGAGTTTGTCCAGCCTGCTCTCTGACACAGGCTGGTGTAGTTCCTGGATGTGTTGTTGGCTCACGGCTGCGCAGGCTGAATGAAGTTTGGGGAACTTATTAACGTCACTGCATGCAAACTATTGGCACTGGCGGAGAGAATGAACTGACAGTGAGATCTCACCAGAGGCAGTGGAAACTAACGGGTGGAGGACAAGGGTAAGATCAAGTTAGATTTACAGTTTTACTGTTAAGTAAAGTACTGCAAAAATGAGTTGAACTGTTGAGGCTTTTTTGAGTGTTTTATTGGATGTTTCATCTATTTCTTCTAATGTGCTTAAACTTTGCATCTCTGTTATTTACAAGCACATGTTGTGCTCTGAGTGTTGATTCACCACGAGCCCTTCTGAGTGGATTCATACACAGACACGGACATGATGAGTGAAAACAACATGGAAGAGACGAAGATACAGGTAGAGAACAGAATACCTGACCAACATCTATCTTTGGATGAGGATCCTCCCAGCAGCTGCAGAAAGGTCCGAATGAGATTCAGACCCAAACTCCAGTCAACCAAAAGTTTCCCTCCTTACAGCCAGTGTATAGGTGGCCTTGGAGAGGATGAGGACAGTGGGTCTGATTCTGAGTCAAAACTTGCTCACCAGCCTTCAGACTCCACAATAAATATGGATGGTAGTCAGGCAGTTGAAAGCATTGAGAGAAAAGAGGAATTTGAGTCACACAGAAAATGTGCAATGGAAGAAGTGAAGGCAAAATGGAGGACAAGGCGGCGGGAGAGGTTAGGGGGCAGTTTTGATACCGAAAGGTTGGAAAGTGCGAAGTGGAGCATCAAAAAAAGAGTGGACGAGCCTGAAGAGGAGAAAAATTTTGACAATGATAAAATGGAAGGAGAAGAGTGGAAACGTTGTGTAGGTGGAAAGAGAGACAAAGAGGATGAGGTGAGAAAGAGGCCTTCTCTTTTAGCAGTACAGAGAGAAGATGAGGAGGGGAGCAGGGAGACCCCTGAAGCTGAGGAGATGCCTGGGATTACAGAGGGCTCTTCTCCACAACAGTGGACCTCCCCTCATCCAATTCTCTCCAAGCTTTTGCACTCCTCCTCCTCCTCCTCATGCTCCTCCATCAGCCTCTCCACTGAGGAAAGTGATGACGTCTTCAGCGAAGGAGAGGATGCAATCTCAAAGAGGAAGACATTGAGGAAGGTGAGATGAAACCAATTTTGATGTTCATCCAAACTATGCATTTACAGCACCCCTGTTTATGTGACTACTCTGGTGTAACAGGGAGGCTCCAAACTAGATTTCTGAACTGATCTGTGTGCCTGCGGTTTGGGTGATTTGCATTAGATTGAAAGAGGACTTTGACAAGGTTGGATTTGAATAGAGTTTGCATTCTTGGTGCTGCTGCCAACATAGATATGAGAGCAGAGACGAGCAGACAGTGAAGGGAGGATTAGGCAGTTATTCCAATAGAGAACAGTCCATCTTTATGATCAACATTAGGGATGCAAAAATTTGCGAGTCTAACGTTTCTTAAGCTCAAACTTGTGCTTTAGTGACAATAACTCTACTGAGCTAAGTCTGTGTTAGCCTCTCATAATTTGTCTTAGGTGGTGGCTGTTTCAGGTACAGCTGCACACGAAATGCACTGACGCTCAGCAGGCTTGAGATGTTAGTTTCAGTATAAACCCCCTTAAATAAGTTTGAGGCTTTTTCAGGGGGGACATTCTGACTTGTCACACTAGGAGAAACGCACACCATTTACTAAAAATGTCTCCTAATTTTGTGTTTAATTCTGCTTTGAAGAAGTCTCATTTGTGACTGGGCTATGGTTTCATAAACAAAGCAAACATAAGGCGTCCTAGAAGTCAGAACCTTGAGTTTCCCGGTCTCCTACATAAGGAGGGATGTTGAACTTGCATCTTTAATCCATGTGAAGTGTAAAAGGTTACCAAAATCCAAGCAGAGTAGTCCCTATTCAACCCTACATGCAGGCTGGTGCCTTTCCTCTCACAAGCATGTAGATATTCAGGTTTAGTGAGACCTAATTCTTGAGTACTGTTTTTTGATCTCTGTTTTTGTAAAGACTTGTCATGTAAGTCGTGTATGATTGCTCCTCTTTTGTTCCTCAGTGCCGCTCCTGGAAAACATACCTAACTATGATGCACTGGTCCCTGCGGCGGCAGAGCTCCTGGGTTCAGCTGGCTGGACATCAAGGCATGTGTGTGCCATCTTTCAAAATAAGACAAATACAGGCACTCAAGAGATTACTGTCATCACAGAAACATCTCAACACTTCAAATCTTTCTCTTTAATCATTTGCTAACTGGACACAGATCATGGTCCCATATGTGAACACCTTTGCTGGCTTATGTTATAGAGCTTGATCTTATAAAGTTCGTTATAGTATTTCAGTCCTAGAGTTCAGACTTTTAATAAACTGGGCAAGACTTTGATTTGAAGGTAAATTCAGTCTGGAAAGGTTTGGTTTTATAAAACACAAAAACGATTAATGACCTTGCTGTTGTCAGCAGGTAACTTTCAGCTGGGCGACAGTGGAGAGATCTTGAAGCTGTACAGTGGGGTAGAGGAGAGATGTCTTGAAAACCTGATGAAGGACTCACTGAGAGCCTTCGTCCCCCGGTATCACGGCGTGGTCACCAGAGGGGAGGACTGTTATATTCGCTTAGATGACCTGCTAAGCGGCCTGAAGAGACCTGTCATTATGGACTGCAAGATGGGAGTCAGGTGGGTGAGAGAGAAGTGTTAATACCAAGGGTGAGCTATATTTGGACTGAAATACTCTGATAAACTAATTATTGATCTTTTCACTTTTATTCCTCAGACCATATTCTATTTTTGTAAGAATCAAAGGACATCTCTCAATATTTTTATGATATTGCTTTTGTGTATTTACAAAAATTCAAATCTTTTTTCTCCTAAATGCAACACTTTTATTTATAGCTCTTCTCTGGGTCACATGGATTTCAATAGCTCTTGATTTTAAAGTCCTGATTGAAATAAGGAATATGTAAAGTATTGTATTAGTAATTTATTGAACAGCCAAATCTCAATAAGGCTTCCCTTTTCTCTAATTATTACTTTAAGATATGTTCATTTTTGATACTTGCTGGTTAATTCTAATGTAGCTTTAACTATTTAAAGTGTTTGAGTGACTTGTAACTGTAAGTTTCTTTGTACATCGTAAGAGTTTCTATCTTAGAACTTTTCAGGAAGAAGAACTTCTCAAAGCTCGAACCAGGGCCTCCCTACGGACTGACATGTATCAGAAGATGGTGAAAATGGACCCTTCGGCTCCATCTGCAGAGGAACACGCACAGAAAGCAGTGACAAAGCTGCGGTACCTTCAGTGGAGAGACATGACCAGCTCCACATCCACACTGGGTTTCAGGATAGAAGGCATTATGGTGAGAGAAAAGGCGAGGGAATTTTTCTAACTTTTTGTCCTGGTTGACAAAAAAAAAAAAAAAATACATAAGCTGTATTCAAAGGCTCTTGCCTCTCTCTCTTTGTGAGGCAGATGGAGGACGGCAATGTCCAGCGAGACTTCAGGAAGACTCTGACTATCACTCAGGCCACAGAGGTGTTGCTCTACTTCTCCAGGTGTCACCTGGACATTCTGGTCAGTTGTCTGCCAAAGGAAAACTATCTGCCATATGAAAACATGTCACTAATCATTAACTGACAAGCACAAGTGTACATTAAGATCAGGGAGTCAGTGACTATGATGATTAAAAATGTCGCTCAAACAGGATTACAAAAAACAGGATAATTCATTTGTGAGTGACTTCAGTCAAACACAACAGACACACTGACAACTATATTTGTCCATGTGCACACAAAGCTTTAAAAACAGAGGCATCACCCTTACTAAGTAAATATTTAACACAGAATGGAATCTAGAAGATGACACATGACAATAATTGAGTATGTAAAACCAAACATTTGAAAATAAACCCAACTCAAAAAGAAAACTCAATTAATTTTTTTCCTGCACATATAATTTTTACCACAGAAACTTTTTTCCTGAATATTTTGAGATATCATTCTCACCCTTTTTGTTCGCTTTAAAACCAGAACTTTAGTGCTCTTTCTTTTCAGAAAGCATACCACTCCAGACTCCTTGCCCTGAGTGAAGCGCTGAAGACTTCACTGTTTTTCAGGACCCATGAGGTTAGTTCACACAAGAACACAATAACTTTCTGCTTTACTGTGACTTAAATGTGAAACTTGGTAGCTACAAGAAAATGTAACCCGAAAATCATTCATTGAACTATAAGGAGCTCTGAAATGTTCTTGCTTATCCAGTTTAAATTCAAGTCAAATTATCTATAATAAATGCACATATTTTTGACTTAATCAGGTGATTGGCAGCTCGCTTCTCTTTGTCCATGACCTCAGTAGCAAGGCCAGCGTGTGGATGATTGATTTTGGGAAGACAACCCCCGTACCTGACTCCATTGAGCTCTTGCATGATGTCCAGTGGGTCGAAGGGAACAGAGAAGATGGCTACCTCATTGGCCTGACCTCCCTCATTGCTTCTCTGGGCCAGGCCATCACTGTGGCCTCTTGGCAGCAGCAGGACAGCTGTGAAGGAGAAAAAAATGTTACCTGAGCTATGCTGAGAAATATGGCTAAACAACACATACACTGTAGGTCAGATCAGGACAAAAAAAGCTACTGTTACACTCTGAAATGCTGCCTCATTTCATTCACTGAAAGAAACCCCAAAGGAGGACTTTTTGATTTGAAATCCAACATCACAGAAAAGAGAAACTGCGACTCAGTTAAAGTTCAGACTTGTGACAACTGTGTCTTGAATTTACATGTTTGAAATGTTGAGACAGTTTCTTGTCATAATGAATAATGTTTATTATGAATGTATATTAAATCATTCATTCCTATTTGGTGGTCTAATCATTTGAAAGCAGGCCTACATGAAGATTGTGTTTGTAATTAGAAAGCTACCTGTGATGGGCCTATTCATCTGACAAAGGTTTACCATAGTTTGAAAATAGCTTTAATATGGATTAGACTCAATTTAAAATTGGATGCTTCAATTTAAATTCTTTTTGAATATTAGTAAGTAAAAATGTAATAATAACAATTGTTTATATTATTATTATTATTATTATTAATTCATGTTTTTATTAATAATAGGAGTTGTTTATTTTTATAAATAATATTATATTAATAACAACAATAATAACAATTACAATTACAATAATAATAATAATAATAATAATAATAATAATAATAATAATAAATGTTATTATTATAGTTATGATTATTATTATTATTATTATTAGTAGTAGTAGTAGTAGTAGAAGTAGTGGTGGTGGTATTCATTAAAACAGTAAATATGTCTTTTAAGAGGATAATAATATTGACCTTGTTGTTTTTGGGTGACGGTGTTTCTAACATTATGTCCTCCCGTTGAAACCAGCTGTAATTATAGTCTATGGGTGGAACATACACTGAAGAGACACCTCCCAAAATATAACCTCACTTAACACAAAGACTAAGGAAGAGATTTTAACAGCTCTCAATATTAGGGCAGGGGAAAACCAGTAGCTTATTGTCACGTACAGCTCTGCCATGACACATGCGGTCGAGCCTGCAGTGAGGTCAGCGTGAAGTCGAGGATCACGACGTTATTGGAAAGACTCCACTGGGTGGCACCATCCTGCTGACTGAGCTGGAGACATGTGCGCGGGACACAACAATTGAGACAGAAGACAGACGGTGACATAACTTTGGTACATTATTTTCATATCCTTTTTTTTTTTTTTTTTTTATCAGGGCAAAGTAAATTATCTTAAATTGTAGTTGATTTGGGTATGAGGCTGCAGCAAATTGAATGCAGGATCGACGTGGCTAACTAACAGCTAGCTAAATTGTTGCACATTCATTGTGTAAGTTGATTCTTCAGTGTAAGCTTTTTCTAAGGGGAATGTCACTTTTTTCTTCTTATTCGTTGAATTAATAGGAAAGTCCTCGTCCGTGGAGTTCAGGACTTTTCTAGGATGGACCATGTGAATGTCTCCCGGAGGAGCTACCCTAACCTCTCTGTGGAAGCACGTGTGTTGAATCATGGTGAGTGAAGTGCATAATTACGTTCTGGTAGAGGCCTCCACAAAGACACATTTTCATCAAGGTAACATCGAGGTTTGAAGTTAGAGGTGTCAACATTTCATTACAAGAAGACAAGTTTAAGTTTGATGAGGGGATGAATCTTTTGTTTTGTCGTTTAAAAAATAAACTTATTTAGCCTTGGCCATAGGTCAATGTGAACCACGTGTGAATAAAGTCAAAACAGTGTTATCCTGAGTAATTATTAGTGTAAAATCTCAAAATCAGCATTCTCATATAAGATACTCACATGATATAAAGCTATTAAGAGTCTTAACATGATTTATATATAAAAATTTAATTAAAAAATGTAAAGGTGCTTTTAGGTCTTAGAAAATAAAATGAAACAGTTCAAAGTTTCATAGTTGTAGATTTAGAGCAATAACAACAACTTATGGTTTTTATCTATTACCAAATAATTTTATTTTTCCTGATTTGAAAAATACTTTTATCTCTCCACAATATACTGAGGACAAATGTGGGGATAGTACATACATACTTCATCCTGTTTTCAAAAACTTCTTCAAAGGCAGGAAAATACATCATATTGATTTACATACAATGACAAACCATAACTAGTGTTGTGTCGTTTGCGAACGATTCTTTCAAAAGAGCCGAATCTTTTACGTAAACGTACTGAATGGAATCACTTCCTCGAGTGATTTGTTCGTTTCTCAATTCAGTTGAGCTGAAGTGAGATACAGTATTGCCAGTCGAGAAGCCAGCAAACAAAGGACTGCATGCACGGACACCTGAATCACTTTGTGAATGAATCATGCATTGAACTACACTCTCTGGAATCATTTTTGTCAGACAAAACTAGCTTTTTTTTCTACTGCTAAATTGCCACCATAACAACTTGCACACAGTAGGACACAGCATGTAAAAAGTAGTGCATAAAACCTGCAGGATCCTTTCATTGCAGCGGTTTGCCAGGGAGGGTACATGTTCAGTGTGTATTCTTCCAAACGTTTAGTGAACGAATCACTCACTGAGCCCAATTTACTGAGCAGATCTGATAAATAGCTTAACATAGGACAGTACACTTAAAACATCATGTCTTCATGATGTCTTCTCGTCCTCAAGTCCCAGAAGCTTTGAATTGAACTGAATCCTGAATCGTTCAGTTGTGTATCAGTTCAGGAGGTCGGACTTGCAGGCTCCTCCCGCCAAGCGCTACATGATTCAGTGATTTGGTGAACGAATCTTTTGAACAAATCTTTTTAGTGAACTGATTCTAGTGATTCAGTACATCAAAAAGAACTGCCATGCCCATCACTAACCATAACATGAGCAGCTACCCAATCTAGTGAAGCCCAATACAAAGCCATGCTACCTTTAATTCTGTTTTAATGAACCCTTTACATTTTCTATTTTGTTTTGACTCAGATGATATTGTCCTTTGAACTGGTTGTTGAAGATGCAGTGGGTGTTGGTGGTGTACTGAAGATTATCAAATTGAAAGGTGTTCATAGTAATTTGTTAATGGAGTGGAGAAAATACTCTGGATGGCCCAGCCAGGCTAAAACGATAGAGCTGTTGAATTGGATAGAATGCTCAGATGTCAATCACGTAATGACCAGTACAGACGTTACACTACAACGTTTGCCATTTAGTATCACCATGGCAACCCAATAACACCGATGAGCACTGGAATGTAAAGACATCGTCTCCTGGTCTCTTATATTAAGTTTAGGGGACTTTGGGCTCAACGACCAGGGCCTGGTTTACTAAGACGTCTGTTGAACATGTTTGGTCTTCGCCGGTATCCTGTTTCACGGTGGTGTTTTCACGGTAGGGGGAGCAATGTTACATGTTATATACATAAACTGATATTACTGGTGTCAGTCAAATAGTAAAATCATTTACTAAGTTAATTTTGTTTTCGTTTTTAGCTCAGTCTTTATGTTTTTTTGTTTCACACTCGACAGGTCTATTGTTTGTAATGCCCGCTCTCCGTTGTTGGCCCGGAAGAGGAAAGTATTTAAATTTCCGCTGTCTTCTCGTTGTCACGCAGTAAGAGAAGCTAACTATAGCTTAGCCACAAACTGGTTGAAAAGCAGCGACTTGACTTATGTGTTGTCGCCTTTGTTTCTCATCGGAACGACGTGGCATGTGTCTGCTTCGTCTCTAGTAGTATACTCGTGTTTTGTAGAAGAAAGAGACGAAGTCCTACGCGTTTTATTTTCCAACCAGGGCTGAGTTTCTTTATCAAACACCATTCCAGAAACATGGCGGATGGCGGACATTACTACAACGGTAAGTGATGTGTTTACGAGTGCACTAACCTTAGATCTATCGTGCTACCTTTCCTCAGACCGAGGGAGCTTCATGGTGAGGAGAGTGGTCAGGGACGCTGGTTTCTCAGTCTTTGGAGGTAAAGTTATGTCTTAGCCTCCCTCGAGGTATGGTTGTTGTTTTCTGGAAGTACAACACTCGACTTAAATAAAGCCATTTAGTTTTATAATAATACCAGAAAACTGTGTTTAATAGATATATCAACAGAGTAAGTATACAAGTTCGGACCTGTATTGTTTTTGTAGAGTATTTTAAATGCTTGGTAAAACGAATCTGTTCCCCACTTTAAAAAAAATGAATCTACTGAAGTCAACTTTTGTGAGACAGAGGTAATTTAAGGTGAGTAGGATTTGCTGTTATTTTACATAGGCATCCTGGAAATAGTCTGAATCATTTTTGTGTTATTTCAACCAACCATTGAATAAATGTTCTGCAGGAATCCATTTTTAGCAGAAATTATATGTCTAGTTTTTAAGTTTACTTTTTTTATGTGTGGGATAATATTTTGAAATAAAAGTCAATAACTTTTGTACATTTTTCCCATTTTCAGAGCATGATGATAGGACTGCTCCACAACAGTACCGCAACCGGAAAGGCAGAGGCGGCAACAAGGGTCAGTCATATGACAGGTCCCGCAGAGACCGTCGAGGAGGCCACCCTGGAGGTCCTGGACCACGGTCTAGGCTTGATGATGTTGATGGAGATGTAACCATGAGTGACAACTCCCAAGACAGCAGCTCCCAGAACAGATAGTAAGTGTGGCTGACTTTCCCAAGGCGATGCATCACGTGAAGCATTAAGACAATAGGGCAAATGTGTCATAAAAGATGGCAAATAGTCTAGTCATTAAAGTTGAGGAGAAAAGAGCTTAAACTTTACTTTTTATGAGAAAGGAAGAGATGTAAATGTGCCTCAAGAGATTCTTTAACTAAATGCTCATGCAATGACTAATACTTACAGGATTTGTTCGCTGCTTAGACTTTTATGCACAAAAAGAAACTTTGCTGTAGTCTGTGGTTGCATGAAACACAGCATCCTGGTTCCTTTTGCGAGACTATAAGTATATAGCAGAAAATATTCTCCTTAAACAACCTTAAAATATGTATCGGTGGACAATGACTTAAAAGTGACAGTTTTATTTTTTGCCTTTTTTTGTGCGTGTGTGTGTTTTTCAGCAACCCATATGTAATAAGACCTTTTCGGAAAGGAGACAGACGGTTTGACAGGCGACAAGGCAAAGGAGCCAACAGAGGAGGAGGAGGAAATAACTTCAGAGGAGGGGACAGAGGTGGTGGTAGCAGTGGAGTGGGGAAAAACCGGTCAGGCTGGTATAAAGTGACGGTACGTCTCATCGAAGAAGAAGTAGAACTTTATTGATCCCTGAAGGGAAATACAATATTCAGATGTGGTGTGTTATCTAGATTTTGTATCCTCTTTTGGAAGGCCATATTTTGCTTTCTTTACTGTTGACAGATACCACATGGGAGGAAATATGACAAGAAATGGATACTGTCAGCCATTCAGAACATCTGTTCAGTCACCTTCACACCTGTACAGGTGAGGTCCAGGCCTGTCCTATTATTCAATCAAAACTTGTGTGAATACCAGTGTAACATTGTGTCATTTATTCATAAAATGATGTATCAAAAAAACTGATAATTTCTCTTCCTCTTTTTATCCAGTTCCATGTTGATCATAACCGTGCTCATTTCTATGTGGATGATTCCGCTGCTGCTAACGCTTTGCACAAGTGTTCACACAAAATCACAGACACAGACGGCTATAAGGTGTGTACTGAAAACAATGAAAGACATGACTTTTATTTCCTCAGTTCATATTATGGACTGATGAAGAATCTGGCAAACTGATGAACGTATTATGCCATCACGTGCAAACAATGAATGCAACCTGCAAGCAATGGTAGTAATATTGTTTTTCTTTCTACAAGATAATTTAGGGAAAGGTTTCAAGTTCTAGTGAAGCAACCATGGCCTCTTCACAGTAAACAACCATTAATCACACTTCATTTGTTTAAGGTGGAAGTGCATGTCAACCCCAGCAACCCGCCATCCTTTCTTCTCGCCGACCTGAAGCCAGAACACTTGGAGCACCTGAAGGTTAACTAGATGAAATGAATGTGAAAGGCTGTTGTAACAATTCTGACATTTACGGTCAGACTCTCATGTTAAATGTTTGTCTATTACAGCAATGCATGGCAAAACGTTTTGATGGCTCACAGCAAGCACTGGACTTGAACAACATCCGAACTGACCCAGGTAAACATGTCAGGGTTTCAAACTTGCCAACCTGCTTAGGGTTGTGGTGGTACAGGGTCTCAGAGTTAAACTAAGGCTGTGAAGATATTTATTTTGCTGACTGCGTGAGGCTAATGCATAGCTACACCACCCCAGGTATACCATGATAATCTCTCATACCAATCTTTGACTCTAGACAGTGCCATATGCCAGTACAGTTGTTACTGCCAGATCAGGCTCTTACAGGAGCTCATATATGTAAAGATATCGTGAATTCAGTGACATCTAGAACTATATTTTTCCTATACTGAAAATAAAAATAAAGTTATTTCCTAGTTGAGCAAACTTGTTCTTTTTATTATGATCCTTACTTGAATTTTCTTGACAGACTTGGTATCCCAGAACATCGAAGTCATCTTGAATCGAAAGTCTAACATGGAAGCTGTAATCAAGATCATCCAAGAAAACATTCCAGAGGTAATTTCAATGTCCTGTATACTTTTGACATTATTTGGCCATGTAGTAATGTGATAACCTGCCTGCAAACAGCAGCTGCGTTCCAATTAATGCTACTGATCAAACAATATGCTTTTGTGACTTTTTCCAGTTGTCAAGCTTGAACCTGAGTAACAACCGAATTCACAAATTGGATGAACTTACTGAGTTAGTAACCAAGGTGCCTCATCTGAAGACCCTCAACCTCTCCCACAATGAGGTGAAACTGACTGCTGAATGGATCTGCAGAATAACAACTAAATAAGAATCTGAGCCGTTTAGTGAGATCCCCTTCTCACACAAGTAATCTTGTTTTGTTTGCTTGGTCGTCCAGCTGAAGTCTGATCGAGAGCTGGACAAAGTTAAAGGCCTGAAACTGGTGGAGCTTTGGCTTAACAGGAACCCGCTGTGTGACTTCTTCAAGGATCAGGCCGCTTACATCAGGTCAGTCAGTGATTTAGGGGGGTGACCAGTTTATGCTGTGTGTCATTTTGGCAGTTTAAAGTTTCCCAGGAGTCTTTGTAGCAGAATTCTGTCTAAGAAGACGAAGGGATTCCTGTTGTTTGCTGATGTAAGATGCCAGCACATTAACTTAAAAAAAACCCTTCCACAGCAATCAAAGATGAGCTTTTGGACAAGCAGGAGCAGCTCTCATGGTTACTCTGTGTACGTGTGGCACAATTCAATTTTGGAAAGAAACAAATAGATTTATTTGTCGTAATGCTAAGTCTCGTACTTTTCTTTTTTTTATACATGTTTTTTTCTGACTGGATACTTCATGTTCCCTTTTAACTCTGAACAAAACAAATCTTAACATTTCTTGCCTCTAAAAGTTGCTAAGGATATCAAAATTGGCTGCAGTTCCCTGTTACCTTCAGCCCTCTGAGATTCCTCCTCGTCTCTCTGACAGTTAGTAGTGATCTCTGTGTTGCATCCTTTCATGCTTCTGTTCTGTAGTGTGGTTCACAGTGACTCTGTACCCAGCACTCCCCTGCTAATATCTTTAAAAGTTACTCCATAACCTGCTGCAGAATACCATTACACTCCTGAAAACTAATTCACATACATGCAGAAATACAAAATAAAAATTGGAGTGTAAAGCCCATTTTACAAAAGCATTAGTAAAGGAGACATTTAACAAGACAAACCCTCTACACATTTTGTTGAACTGGTCTGGGAGAAGAAAAAAAAACTCTTGACTTGTAAACAATCTCTTGAACTGCAAATGTATTTTTTAATGAGAAGTGAACAATCAACTTGTTGTCTTGGCAAATGTTTGGATGAAATGCCGAAAACTCACAGCTAGTGACTTCCCCTCCCCTCATAACACCCTTGCCCACTCGCCCCCCCTGTATCAGGCCAGTATGGAAGGCTGGATAGCCTATGACGGGTAAGATCCCACCTCGAAACCCTGGGACAACCTAAGGCAGGCACAGTCACGATTACTGGCCCCAGTCCCTGTGAGCTCCGACTCACAATGAAAGCAATGAGAAGGCATCAAGAAGACGGGGCTCCACAGGACAATTGTGGGCTGAGGAGGAGGGGACTAAGTGTCATTATCAGTGACCAATGATGAGCCAAAGAGAAAAAGCAATCCATCTCTTCCACTAAGTTGGTTCTGTTTGGCCTAAAACTGGCCTCTGCCATTCAGGGAATCACTTAAGGGTTTGGAAACTACCCTCGACTAACTTCTGATGGCGTTAGTACTGGACTGAAATCCGAAGTTCAGTTTGTGCCTGAAATACGTCTATTTAAAAAAAAGAAAGGAGAAAAAAAAAAGAGAGCACTTCTCGGCCAGTTTGTGATGGCTGTGACCAGTACATAGAAGCTTGCACTTTACATGGAGGGCCAAATAAAGGGTTTTACATTGTAGCCACTTAACCTTTAATTCTTGGGCTCCTCTGTAACCAGGGTTTGGGTCCGAACCAAATTTAACGACTTAAAGCCAATAGCGTTAAGACCAGTTACTACCTGTGCCTGAAGACCTGTCTCCTCAGAACTAATGGTAGCTTTAAGACACTTCATGGATAACTGGTTTGGCATTGCAGCAGGGGAAGGCTTTAGGATGTGTGGTGGGACTGCTGGGTCTAGCTCACTGTGGAACCTGCTTTCTGTTTTTGTTTGACACTCTTCTCGAGCGGAGATCTTCCCTGAAAATCAAGGCTGCAGACACCTACAGTTTCTTACATGATGACTAGGGATTGGCATCCTTTCTGAATACTAGATCACGTGTCCGAGTGTTTGTGTGAGTTTTACTTAATTTTTTCTTTTTACCCAGACCCAGTTTTGTGTTTTGGTGACATGGATTCATCTGTTTTCCAGCATCTTGGCGAGAGTTTGAGTGGGAGTTTACACATGACTGGCGGTAACCCCCTCTCTCCCAGCACTGTATACCGCCTTTTGTTTTACAAATTGAAAATAATCTTTTTCCAGTGAGGCCTGCTAGAACTCGGGTTCTATGTGTTTGTGTGTGTGCACTTAGAAAAGTGTGTTATGTTGCCCCCCTGTGTCAGATCTGTGTGTAGCTCCAAAATGGGGAGAGGGTGAGTATACCTGCTGGTAAGTACATTTTGGAGAAGAAGAAGAAGAAGAAGAAGCGTTACAGTGCCCAACTTAAAACTTGTGAAAGGAACAAGAGTTTTGATGATGTTTAATCTGAGTATCTACAACTATCCAGGATGACAGCTCTGTACTTTTGGCTTTAGGGGCTCACCATGTTCATGTGATTAACTTCCTTGTCTTAGATGTAATCAAAATGTTAACTATCAAATATGTGGCCTGACTGATGAAGCCAACATCCATTAGTGATGGTTTGCAATCATCAAGGTATTATACATCTGATGATGAATAGAGTTGAATCAGCTTTTTTCAAGGTGGTCTGAAGGAATCAACCACAAAGCCCTCTACCTTTTATAATGTTGTAATTGAAAGCCCACCATGTTATCCAGCCCAAAGGATGTCTAGCAAATGTCCCTGTATTGGAATCCTTCAGCCCTACATGAACACCCCTATTCCAGCCTAAGTTGGTTATGTTTACCTGTAATCCTGAAATCAGGTTGATTAACTCTAACAAATCTCTCCACTGTCTTTTCAAAAGAGGTTAAGTAAAACTCACTGACTCATCAATGGAACTAGCAGACTGTAGTTGCACTGACCTTTGTTTCTGTCTCTCTTCTTTGCTGCCATCACAGTTACTGTGGTGTTTGTTCATTATGAGACTTGGTGTGTTAAGTTAACTGCGTTTTCTGATGTTTCTCTGCTAATACTCTTTTTACAAAAGCTCAGCTAAACACAAAAGCAGCTCTTCCCTCCAACAAACTTTTTTCCATCCATCTAAATGTTTCACTTGGACACTGATATATTTGAAGTTTGAAGGCACCACACGATTCCAAACAAAAGTCCTCGAAGCATGAGATGAGAGTTAGCGGGTCAGCAGCTGTGACTGCCTTTGGTACCTAGAGTATTGAATGTGAACAATCTGCCAAATGCAAGTTGGTGGGTGATAATAACCTTCTTGCTCTTGATGTTTGTTTTCTGTACCAGTGCTGTGCGGCAGAGGTTTCCCCGGCTTCTCAAACTGGTAAGTCCTCTTCTCATGTTTAAGTTCTGAGACACTGGTCCACGTAACAACATATTTCAAATAAAAAAACCCTACATGAAAATGTTTTTAATGAAATATTCGATTTTTAAGAACCTGTTCTCACATAGTTTCTCAAGATTCTAGCTTTTGAGACACATTTTAGTGTGGGCATCCTGGCATAGTGTTTTTGCAAGTTGTAAGGAGAAGTGCAGACCCAGAGTATCTTTTTCAGTTTACATAAAAAGAGAGACTTGACTATTTGAATTCCAGATTTTAGTGAATACTTAGTTACAAAAAACGATAATATCCATAAGGAAAATAGATACAAAGCAGTTGAAGTTCATCAGTAACAATATCCGTCTGTCCTTTTGTTTCTGTCTTTCTTCAGGATGGACATGACCTCCCTCCTCCCATTGGCTTTGATGTTGAAACTCCCACCACTATCCCCCCCTGCAAGGTCACCTGTTGTTTATTTTTCATCTTACAGTTTTCTTTTTTTCCCCCCAATGTAGTGTATTTTCTCTGGAACCTAATCATTTTCTTTATTCCTTAAATTATTTCACCTTTTGGTTTGAACACTTACTCTTACGCCTTCAGGTGAAGGTTTCCTTACAACCGTCATCTTGTTTCCTGACATATGATCTTTTCTTGCTGATGCAGGGCAGCTGTTTTGGCTCTGATGAAATCAAGGCTCTCATCCTTCGGTTCTTGCAACAGTGAGTGTTTAGCTTTTCTGTAAATATTTTTCACACAGCCTTTTGTTTCACCAGTGGGTTAACAATGTTAAAATGAAGAAATATAATGTAACCCAGAGTTGCTTATTACCCTGTTTGACTTTTTGTGAAACTCGTAGAGCATTAATAGATGATTGTGTTGCAGGTACTACAGTATATACGACTCAGGGGACAGACAGCCACTCCTTGATGCTTACCATGATGGAGCATCACTGTCCCTCACAACACCGTACTCCACCCAGAACCCTTCAAGGTGAGAACACACAGAATCACATGTAATGCAAGAAATGCCTGACAAACACTTAGAGTTGTTAATGTAATAGATATTCACTGCCCTGTTCCTTGAACCTACTCCTGCCTACCTGAGTCTCTGCTGTATTCATATTGATTTCACCTCTTTTGTGGTTGTAGAAGCAGTCTGGGAGAATACTACAAAGACACCCGAAACCTGAAAAGGATCAAAGACTCGAGTAAGTGTTCATCACAAGCTGTTAACAGGTCATAACGACAAAAAGTTAGCGTGACGTTAATAATGCTGTGTGATGTCTGCAACGAGAGTCTTCAAACATGATCTTTCTTCCTTTAGCGATGCGGTTTCGGCTTCTGAAACACACACGACTGAATGTGGTGGCCTTCCTTAACGAGCTGCCCAAAACTCAGCACGACATTGCATCCTTTACGGTTGATGTGAACACCTACACAGTGAGTCCATTTTAGCTCTGGCACCCCGCTCTGTTGAAAAGCTGTTAGGTCACTGAATTATGTCCCCATAGTAACGTTCAATTGTGTGTTTTTCATTTCCAGAACACACTACTGTCATTTACAGTCAGTGGAGTCTTCAAAGAAGGTGAGGCCATCGTGATTTTTAAACTTTCTTCGACTGCAAAGCTAAAGTGGGATCAATCTGTCACTAATTTGTCTCTTCTTTGTGTTTAGTTGTTGTTGATGGGAAATCTCGTGAGTCTACCATGGCCTTCTCTCGGGTCTTCATCACAGTCCCAGCAGGTGGTTCAGGGTAAGTCAAGGAAACACCCAGTGGTATTCATGATCTTCTTGTCGTCCTTGATGTTTTCTCTGAGGATGGGGAATAGCAAACAAGAACAGTGATTAAAAAGAAAGTGGATACCAACACCGTTGTTTTCTCAGCTTTCACAAGTGTATATCACTGTTCATGAAGGAAAAATTACTGAAATACAATATAGCAGCTGAATTTCTACACTTTCTGGTTTTGTGACTGTATACCTTATTTTCACATTGGTTTAGAATAAAAACCCTTAAGTGTTAGCCGAAGTAGATGTAGAACAAGTTTTGACACAGCCAATGAAGACGAGGGCAGAAGAGCAGCAGGTCTCACAAGATTCAGGGACTCTCAACTGCCACATCAAATTTCCATCTTATTGAACACACAGTGACACATTTTATCCTGGACATTAGTTTGTTGATCAAGCAGCTAAACAAACATTCACTCAGGAAAAGTCGTCGGCTCATTTTATTTGTCCAGCTCAAGGTTAATGCTGCATCAGTATGTCATACAGCAAGTTAACGTGCTTTCACTGGCCTTAGATGACTGTGCTGTCTTTAAATGACATGGAAGCTACTGTGAAGATGAACAGTTTTAATGTACTTCGTTTTTTCTACTGTTCCTGATTGACACAGGAACAAAATATATGCTCTATTTACCAGTTTCATAGCTCTGCCAATGCAGTGTAATATGACTCAATGTCTCAAATCTCAACTATTTGTCTGGCAGACCTAAAGATCAATTGTTCAAACAAGCCCGGAGAACAAGACTAAGTTTTTGCTGATAATTTCAAATAGTGAAACAGTCTTTCTCACCACTGCGTTCCTGCTGTGTGACAGTTTGTGCATTGTGAACGACCAGCTGTTCATCCGCATGGCCACCACAGAAGAGATTCGCCGAGCATTTGTCGCTCCTGCTCCAACTCCATCTTCCAGCCCTGTCCCCACTCTCACCGCACAGCAGCAGGAGATGCTCACAGCCTTCTCAGTGGAATCTGGCATGAACCTGGAATGGTCCCAAAAGTGAGTATTTTTTTATGAATGTGTCAGGTCGGTAATGGTAATATGTTTTTCAAATACATTGACCCTATTTGTGTTTTTCAGGTGTCTGCAAGACAATGAGTGGGATTTTAACACAGCGGCACAAGTTTTCACCCAGTTAAAGGTAAAATGATTTACTTTTGCTCCCTGAAGCTTTGTAAAGGTTTTCTCACTTTAACCGTGGGGTCCTTGACATTTGTATTTCTGTTTTCTTGTATTCTGTTTTCAGACGGAGGGCAAGATCCCGGATGTGGCATTCATCAAATGAAGAGTTGAATCATAATCCTGTGAAATAAATTTTTTTATTTGAGGCTTTTGTTTTATTATTTTCATTTAATTGAGAATAATGTAGATTAAACTAACTGCTGTTGTTTTATCAGCAAAGTGTTCAGTCTTTGATCTTGGGGAAAGTACAGTTTTTGGTTGTAAACTTAAATTTGTTGTTCATTTGTATAGCTGTCACTTGTTTTTCATAGGAATAAATGCGAGGCCTGCGGCTTCATGTGTCATGTTCACATTGATTTGCTGTTTTATGTTAAACAATAAACACTATTTTAATACAATTGATATTTCACTGAAACCATGATACACAAAATTAAAGGTCCTTTCACATAGAAAATACCTGTTTCACTTATAAGTATCGTTGACAGTAGTTAATGACACTTTGTCAGGAAGACAAAGTAGAATGAAAGCTCCTGGACAAAGAAGACAAACAACATACATAATATTGTTTTTTATTTTATGCTTAAATGTCAAACTTGGTGAAAAAAGACATGAAGTAACCAAAGGGTGGCAAAGTTATAATGATTCAGCACCAGCATTTTGAGTTATATCATGCCCACCTTCCCACTGCTAGAACAGGCAGTGTGTCAATAGATAGATAGATGGATAGATAGATATACTTTATTGATCCCGAACTGGGAAATTCCCATGTTACAGCAGCAATAAAAACATAAAATTAAATATAAGAAGTATGTACAATACAGACTAAATATATACAATAAATATAGACTAAACATACTAATCATCCTAAGAGAAAAAAGTGGGCTTTCCACTAGTAGTACTAATATGAAATCAGTAAAAGCAGTCAACAGCTGCTTTTCACCAGATATCAGCAAAGTCAATATTGTTTGGCTCGACCTCGTTAAAAAGAAAAAGATATTTCCGTAATTTAATGATCATGTACTGTAAAATAACTAAATAGTGACTGTAACTATTTTTCTCAGCGGTGTTTTAAAAGTTTACGAAAACCAAGTGGAGTCATTCCTGTAGGGAAGTAGGACCTTATTAAGATGGCGCCTGGGTAGCGTCGTGCTCCCGTTTTCCGGACTTCATTGCGTCACTCCGACGCGTGACGCACGTACGTTCACCATACCATCAGTTGGCGTATGATAACAATAAACAACCCTGAAACAAGAGATACGCACCAACAGGACGAGCCGCAGCGATTTGACGTTTTGAAAATATGAGCCGAGACAGCTACGGACATTTGGAGTAACTTGTCGTCAAGTACCGAGGGAGACTTGTCGGTTCTGACACAAAGGATTTCTGAGTTTTTGTGTCAAGCCTAGAGGAGAAGTAGAGTTACGGTTTACCCCTTCCTTAGCCCCTGTAGCTAGCGGTGGCTCATTCCTTGTTTTTGCACACTTGGTGTTAGTTTGTTATGCAGTTGCCAGAGGACTGTACTCGAACTTGTTCTCCTCCGCCACCTCTTCGTTCCCTCTCCCCGCTTTCTCTGTCCCTATGTCTCGCTGGCTTTTCCCCTGGTCAGGCTCAATCAAGAAGCGGGCCTGTCGGTACCTCTTACAGCACTACCTCGGTCACTTTCTGCAGGAACGATTGAGCTTGGATCAGCTGGGCTTGGACCTTTACAACGGCAGTGGTGTTATCAAAGAAATCAACCTTGATGTCTGGGTGAGTGTGACGGATGTGAACTTCACACCACAGCAGTACTCATCATGTGTTTTTGTCGGACTCGTGCACCCTTGACTGTTTCGCAACTGCTCCCTAGTTCAACAACAATCTCCAGCGTCATCATACTCATAGCCTAGCTCGCATTTCTTCGAGGAATTACTCTGATGTCAAACGCATCATGAGCCCCACAGACCATCTGCTTCAGTCCTAACACTCACACTGGTGTCTCAATGGTGTAAATGCATATAAAAGTGACCTCAGAGTGACTGGACAAAAGTGAAACCAGGTTTTCTACTGTTTACCACCTTGTGTCTCTTATTGACTTCTTCCTCCCCTTCAACAGGCGGTCAACGAGCTACTGGAGTCTATTGGGGCTCCTCTGGAAATAGTGGATGGCTTTGTCAGCAGCATAGAAGTGACCATCCCTTGGCAAGCCCTCCTAACTGATCACTGCACCTTAGAAGTTTCTGGTCTTCAGATAACATGTCGACCCAAGTATCGCATCAGTAAGTTGTCTTGTCCTTGGGCCTACTTGTGAGATTCCACCATCAGTAAGTCAGCATCAGTCAGGCACAGAATGATATCTATATTTATATTTACGGGATCCATTATCTACAAAAGAAGTTTTTTGTCATTTGAAAGACTGAACACGCTCTAGGTTTGGTGAAAAGGCCAAGTATGTATTTGTATGTATCAATAAGTATTCTGTTCCCTCCCCTGTAATACATAAGGGCAATGAATCGCAGTATTGATAATAGGACTGGGCGATTTGGCCAAAAAGATGATCACGATATACTTTGTCATATTGTCTGATCTCGATTATTATCACTACTTTTTTTTAAACTACCAGTTTTAAAGCATCTGTACTTAAAAATAAAAAATAAATAGATAAATACTAAATAAGACGTTAAATAACTTTTCTTCTCAACAATAACATCTTTGGAAGATGACTCAATGGCTGACGCATATTTTACTGCCCTCAGCTCCACGTTCGGTTACTCTGTTTACTTGTCCAGCAACTTACAGAAGTGAACAGCAAAAGCTCGACTCTGATTGGCTGTTGTGATGCACATTTTCACCAAGTTTGATCGAGTAAATAAGCTCACAGCTGATCACTGTGATCGGACTGAAATTTATCACGATCATTAATCCCGATCACATAATCGCTCAGTCCTAATTGATAATAATGCATATTCTCCGTGAATCTCCAGTATCCATTTCATAATTCCTTATTTTCTATAGACTATTTACTTAAAAGATAGACACAGAGGAATTCTGGCATTGACAGTGTAAAGTGACTTTGTCCATTAAGTCACATTTTCCATAAAAAGGTTCAACAGGAAAATAGCAGGACTCATCTTGAATTATTAGTAATCAGCTGCAGAGACAGAACTGAGTCACAGGTTGTGATGTTTGCACTCAGGTGGGGGCTGGGACTCACAGGGCTGGTCATCAAGTATGACCTCCAGCATGCAGCTGGCTCAGGAGTGCCTGAAGGACCCCCCAGAGACGTCAGAAGAGCCACCTGCCCAGCTGGAGGGGCTCGAGATGTTTGCACAAACCATTGAGACGGGTGAGCCAAATTCCACACACAGTGAAAAAGTGTCAACACGTAAACAACATGATTAACAGTTTGACACAGTTATAATGAAAAATAAGAGACTGTGAAAAAAACAGGACTCACAGACCTTTGTTTGTCTCTCTTTTTATCCCTGTTTGCAGTCCTCCGTCGTATTAAAGTCACTTTCATAGACACTATCGTTCGCATTGAGCACCAGCCCCTAGACCTGGAAACAGGTGTTGCCTTAGAGGTGCACATCAAACGGTAAGTCTAAGAAAATTTCTACTAACTTAATAAAGACTTAGAGTTTTCCAAATACTGTACCTGCTTTAAGATTTTGTATCCTTTAACTTTTTGCTTTAAATTTCAGATTTGTTAACAACACCTTAAAGAGTAAGCATTTCATAACATCATAAAAAATAATGGATTCATTCTCAAAAAACAAAAAAAATATCATATGCTTGTGTTTTAAAACGTGCCGATACTGAGACGATTATGAGGTTTGTAAAAAAAATGCCTCTTAGAGTTAATTTCTCTTTGCCCTGTTGTAAGTGATTAGATTCTCAAGTTAGTTCTCAGGGTGCAGATGTGAATTGGTGCTCTTAGATTTGGCTCATGAAGACATAAAAGTGTCCCACAGCCATGTTAAAGGGGGATACAAACGGTAAGCACAAATAGGATGGGGCTACCCAGGATGAGATGAAGCAAAATGATCAGTATGTTGTTATGCACTCCGTTCCTTCTCACAGTATTTCTTCCTTAATCAGCCAAAACAGGGCTAACCCTGTCCATGATCAGTCATACTTCCTTTTCCGAATTAGTCTTGTCATTACAGGAAGAAGGCAAAATGAAAGCCATGGATAACATTAGACATTCTCTCCGAGCATAAGCAGATAAGGGGAAGAGCCCTCTGCTCAGTTACGAGCTCTGTTGGCCTTGTGCTGTTAGACAGATCCAGCATGAGGTTCAGTTTAAACAGAGTCAGTGCTGATGAGGTCATTCACCTGAGCTGAGTTTTATCAGTGGCTGAAAATAACTACAGGATGAACTTAGGGTGTGGTCAGGTTGGGATGTCAGGGGAGTCAGTTGGCTAAATTTGTAAAGTAGCCTCAGTCCATTTTCACCAAAATGTACAGTTGTGTGAATAAAATATGTCTACATGGCTGTTTTTCTACCATCATGTTATTGGAATCATCACGTGGAATCAGTCTTTGAGTTTCTTTGTTTATTTTTGCTGGTTGATCTTCCATGACTGTGTTCCTATTTTCTAACTGTTACCCTGTTAAACTGAATTGTCCGTGATTATTGACATTGCTGCTCAGTTGGGATGATTTAGGGTCATTGACCAGAAGGCCCTAATCATCTCAACTTTTTAAATTTTCTCTTTGGTGAACAGCTGGTCTGAATTTACTGTTAAGTAAAAACTTCACGTGTTATTTGTACTGACTGGAATGCCATGGTTACAGAGTTTTTAACTGCTTTGACACTTTGAGCTTTTCATCTAAATATAAATAATTTTCTTCAATTCAAAAAATTTTCTTTTCACACATATTGTGAGTGTATCTTCTGGTCTTGCTATGATAAAGTTTTTTTTTTCACCCTGTTTCTCAAGGCTGGAATATTTTGATGAGGCAGTACGAGATCCAGCCAGCCAGACTGCCGTGCCTGTCGACATCCACCAGCCGCCTGCCTTCTTGCACAAGATCCTGCAGCTTAGCGCTGTTCAGCTGTTCTACGACAGCACCGGCACAGTTCAGGTAAGTACATGATGCACTGCTAAGGACTCTCTTTGGAGATTCTCTGGATCTATATCTTACCCTTTTATTTGCTTTCTGATTTTATCTATTTTTTGTGCCAAGTTGCATTAGACCCCTCTAAAAAGGGGTAAAAAAAAATCCAAATGTAAGCTTGTATTTACAAAGGCTGATCTTGTATGAATACATGTATTAATATTTGAATTCAAGGAACCAATAGGGTTGTACCTCTTGCCTCCAGGATGTTGCAGTTGTACTGACCTTTCAGACATACATTTGTTTCAACAAAGATGTTCAAATATCTCCTCATTTTAGGATCCACATGGAGACGAACATCCTAAATCAGCTACAATGAGTGAAACAGAAGAGGACGATGAAGAAGAAGAAGAAGAAGATGATGATGATGATGAGGAAGGGGAAGAGGAAGAAGAGCTAAAGCCCCAGACTTCTGCTCCCTGTCCTGCATCACAGCCGCTGCTCATCGGAAGCTGTTCTGGTTTTATCGAGACCACCGTCAAGATCAAACAGAACGACATGTTGCCAGGACCAAAGGTTGTGAGATTGTTGATGTTTGTTTATGTTTGTGTGTTTGTTTGTGTGCTGCAGTATATTAGAGGCGCTGTAAATGAATCATTGTTCTCCTATATTGTGTGTGTTTCTCTCTGTTTATCAGTTTGAGTTGGATGGGAAGGTAGGCTGTGTTCACATGCTGCTGTCTCCAGATCAAATAACACACCTGACGGACCTGCTGGCGGCGCTCTGCATCGACACAGGTATGTTGAAACATATCCACAGAGGAAAACATTTATTTATCCCAGAACAAGTCTGCACCAGATTTTTCAGTATCCACATGTCAGTTTGACTCCTTGTGAAATCCCCTGAAGAAGGGATCTGATTCTTGGCTTTAGATTGTTTTTTAATGGACCTAAAAAGCAGAACTACTAAACTGCTTTAGAAATCAGCACAACTTATGCAACTGAAACAAACAAGAAACAAAAGACAGAAGATTGAAAAAACACTGTATTCAGCATTTAAGCAGTTAATTTAGTGATCGGATCCAAGCCTGATGAGCAGCATACTGAAATTCCCTTTTTCAAAAGTTAGTACAGAGCAGTTTGAGGAGCTGTTGACAGGAATAAGTCCTGCTGACAGCGGCTGTTTTCTCTATTAAGAGAGTAAGGTCTCACACAAAATACCCCACTCTAAACCTTACTAAATTTCCTTCTTAGAAAAATGACTCAATCTCTTTCTGTGTTGCCTCTTCACCAGAGCCTGACGCCAAATGTGTTGGAGTGCACAGTCGTCCTTTGGACTCTGACGATCTGCGGATGATTGAGGAGGACCTCAGTAAGCAGCTGGGTTCCAGCCCCAGAGACAGAGAGTGGGATGAGGATGAGCCTGACATGGAGCCCTATGTCACCAGCCTGGAGAATGGAGGTAAGACAGGAGGAAAGGTACATTTACAAATATAACATGCAGTTGAAAAAGGTGAACCTATAACCCAATGAAAGTCACAGCGTACACTACGTGTCTAAAGCTGAGCTGTTAAAAATTCAAAATACAAATGCCTAATTTGTTTTTTCTTTAGACCTGAATGGGAAACGTTGTGAATCTTTAATGTTAGAGGAGAAGAAATAAACTCAAACAAGAAACAAATAGGATGAGTTCATAAAAATTTCTGTCTTCTCCTCTCCATTGTGAGAAATATAATCCAATATTTATTGTATGATGTGTATGTTTGTGTGTGTTTGTGTGCAGAAATGTTTTACTCCATGGGTCCTGCTGGGATGAACAGTAGCGTAACATCCGTTCGCTCTGGCAGTGAGATGTCAGACAGCGATATGGAGTCATCTACTCAGAGTCTAGCCAGCTTCACACAGCCTGCAGCGCTGTCTGCACAGGTGCAAACTTAGTTTTTTATGCCTGCATGATTTGTATTATTTAGTGTTTAGTGTTAAAACAGTATTTTAATCAAGGCTTTCTGTTTCAATATTTTTATGATTTCAAGTTTCAAGATGATTTCAAACACAGCAGCGTCTTTGAATAATGTCCTTTTTGCTCTCCTTACTTAACTTACCAACATAACGTCATGAACTCGTAAACACATCATGTCTCAAGTCATCTGACTTCTGCTTTTGTTTTCCCTGCTAGGGCATGATGAACTGCCCCAGGAGGTATCCTGTAGCAGGCTGTCTGTCGAGTTTACCACATTCAAGCATGAGACCCAGAGGTAGAGTCACCGCAATCACTACTTCTTATTTCTGACAAACATCTCTTCTCCTGCTTTGACCTTATTTCATTTCAAGTTACCAAACTGAACAGATGCATGCATGGAGATATTTTTGATGTGTGTTTGTAAAAAAAAAAAAAAAATCACAGTACTCATCCTGTCCCTGCAGGTCGCTCACACAGTGGCCAGGCAGAGCAGCTGAAGCCTGATGCTTTGCTAAGACTTACCCTCGGTGGCCTCACCCTGACCCTGCTGCAGGAAGACCCGCCCTCCAGGCTTGAAGGAGCTTCCTCATTGGCTCAGGTGTCTCAGGTGTTTTTCAGGGAGCTGGTGTTCTTCAAGGACAGCATGTTCAGTGAGAGAGACTTCCATCATCTTAGAGGCGGCTTTGCTAAAGCCTGCCCTCACTCCCATCTCAGGTAGAAAAACACTAATGCATATTATTTTTCTTGTGAAGGGAGAGGGGGGTGGAGTTTATTTGGACTTGGCTGCATACCTCATTTAATTATTAAACAGTTTCAAAGAGTTTGATACTTATTTACAATAAGAACAATGCTTAGAAACTAAACTTTAATAATAGTGTTAAGTTTAAAGTGTCTCTGAAACAAAGCAACCCTTTGACATCATTTTAAGGGATGTCTGAAAAGCCTCTCTCTTATACACACACAAATACACAAGCATGTACATGTACACGTTCACCACTGTTGAATACAATGGATGTTCTTAGCTAGGAGTGATGGCTAACTGCTTGTCCTCCTCTCTGCCAGGGTGACAGGAGCAGCGGTCCAGGTCGCTTGTGAGATGCGGAGCGGAAGACGACACAGTCGGGCGATGACCTCCGATGTTTCCTTCAGCAGACTGGAACTGTTGGAGTGCCTCTGGGAGGATGGAAAGCCTCAGTACAGTGAGGTAGATGTAAATCTTTTTCTGCATGTGTCTGTTTCCGCCATGTAAGACTGAACTCAATTATATCTTAGAGCAACAGTCGTATTATTCCCTAGATCATTTGCATTACCTCTTCTATTTCACCTCTGTCAATATCATTTTCTAAATTAGTCCGAAAACTTAATCAATGGACACATCTGTCACTTTTTTTCATTGGTTAAAATTCTCACTTTCTGCCATTTCAGTTGCTTCAGTTCCAGAAAGCTGGTTTGTTTACCATCGGATCAGCTGCCAAACCATGTGCTCAACTACACTACGGCCTCACTGAAAAACACCTGCGCAGAGTACGCTATAAACACACACTCACAAACACACACCCGCATGCAAAGTCTTCTCTTTTTTAGAAGTTATTGTGTTTATTTGATCCATTTAATCAATTTTTCAATGTCAAGTATCCAGTGTCTCAGATTATTTTTGTTAACTTTAGTTTGTTTTGTCTACCGAGTGAATTAGCTTAGTGTCACTGCATTAGTTACTTGTAAACATTAATATCTATATTAAAGTTCATTTAGTCTTTTTATTCCCAGAGTTGATCTTTAGGAGGCTGAATTATTCTTTGAGATGTATGGGCACCCAAAAAACGGTACCCTGAAATCCTAAACTTTAACAATACCAGTAATCAAAATAGTAACCGAGTCTAAACCAGCTTTGACTCTATGTAAGTTTTAGCCCTCTCTCAAGACAAGCTTTGGTACAGCACATTTCTCTTTGGGACTCTTTAAAATAAGATGCGACTGACATGATTTTATGTGTTTGTTTGCAGGGTAAACAGCGGGTAGTACGGCGGGAAAGTGTAGTTCGGGTGGAGCTGGCAGAGCTGAGCGCTGAGCTGGACCTGGATGTTATCAGTCGCCTGGGCAGCCTGAGCAAAGCCTTTAGCCACTGTCCCACACAGACTGTTGGTCCTGGAGTCATGCAGGTGGATAACAGCACACACTTGTTTCATCTGTTACATCGTTTCAGAGAAAACTCAAAATGAATCTTAATGACTTTTTTCTTTTGCAAAGTCTTGAATTTTTTGTCTGTTTTGGAAATAAAGAACCATAAAATAAAGGATTCTTGGAAATTGTTGTAATAGATATTCGATGTTTGTGTTCCCAATTTTGAAAATCTCTAAAATTATGATCCAAAAACTATCAAAAGGTCTCTCTGTATCTTTCTTCTTCAGACACAGAGCAGTGAACTGTGCTCCTCCTTCACCCTCCGCTCCCCCCACGCCATCCTCAGACTCCGCTTCCCCATACCTGATCTACGGCCCCTCCCTAAGCGCAGACCTCCGACTCAGAGGGCTGTGAGGCAGGAGACCTTGGTGCTGGAGCTAACAGAGCTGGAGCTGAAGCACCAGGAGGCCCCAGACCTCCAGCCCGAGCAGACTGTCCCTGGACAGCCGTGGGCTCCCTGCCTCACCCAGCTGCTGGAGGCCTCCTTCACCGACCTGCACGGTGGGAACACACGGCTTTGTGAAGTCATAGCTTAAATTAGATGAGTTAGTTATTTGTTTCAAATCAAACTAATGCAGCAGTGTGACCCATTTGGAGGTCCCTGTAAGGTAGAAAACTTCACTTCTACTCCTTTCAAAAGCAAAAATTGAAGCCCCAAAAGGTTATCAACGTAAAAAAAAAGTCATTTTTGTCAGGAAAACATAAACATCATTGTCAGCAACTCAAACCTATAAACTGTCCTTCCATAAATGTGTAGCTATACAAATGATGTTGCCTAAAAACTTGTCATGGATTACCAAGAGCGACTGAAGCTCGGTCAGACTTTCTAAAAGCTGAATGTTGACAGTTAACTAAGTAATTGTCACTCCATAGGTTCATATGAGGGCTGGGAAGGTGGCTCTTTCCCCTGTATCAGAGTGAAGAAGAACCGCGACTCTCTGCCCAGGTTAGAAGTGTTGTTTTGAAAATGATCAGATGAACAGTAAGAAATGTAGCTAATGTAGCTTTCTTTAATTCTCTGTCTATGACCAGGATATCGGTGCGTGTGCGTGGAGGTGAAGCTCAGGGCCCCTCAGGAGGTCTGGATGGTATGAATCTCGGCCTGATCCGGGACATGGGGGCCGCTTTCTTTGAAAGTCACTGTGAACTCAACAACAAAACCAGCTCTCCGTTCTCCTCGAACCGCACCATGTTTGAGACTGAAGAGGTGCATTCACACACTGAGGAAAAACATGATGTGTTTCAGTTTATCAACCTTCTTGAATAAAAACTCAACATTTGACTAATTCCTCTCCTCTGTCCTTGTATCAGATGGTTATCCCTGCCGATCCGGAGGAGATGCATCAGTTTCAGGTGCAGTGTGTTGCCCAATGTCAGTGTGCTGTGGATATCAGCTTCCCATTGGCCTATATCCTCCTGCCGAGCAAACAGGCCTTTCAGAGCATTTATAACAGGTACGTCAGCAGGAGCACAAGTGAGACAGCATCTCGGGTATATCTGTAAAAGTTGAAATATTAGAAATTATGTTCAACAGAAAGATTAGAGATTCCTGTGACACACATTGGTCTTTAAGAGTTTTTAATTTGTGTAGAGAAAGGAGCAGTATGGTAGAAAATAAAGTGCATTTTTGAAATTGGATGAAAATAGACTTCTTTATTTGGTTTATGAGTTGATGAAAATGTACATGTGTAAAGAAAGAATATTTTACTTTGTTTTCATTTTCAAACGATTCTAGTGGAAACCGATGTTTGCTCAGGTGCAGTGCCTCCATATATGTGGTGAAAGGCATAATTTAGTTAAAAGCCTTTACTGGAATCCAAAGACTCTAGTTGCTTTTTTGTCGTTGTCATTTTTAGAGAAAGATCCAATTTTCTTGAACATATAACAAGGTTAAGTGGTACAATATGCACCCTGTCACCCTTCAAACATTATTGATTTGGACCGGTTCTGTAGAGCTCTTATGTAACCCATGGCTTCATCCTCTAGCTTTGTTCGTTTCCAGTCTTTATTTTGGTCTTGAATCATGAACCAGATGTTACAATAATTTTCCATCGCCCCTCCATCCAACAGAATCAATAATGATCTGCTGATGTGGGAGCCACCTCCACCCTCGGCCAACAGCCCAGACCACAGCTGCCATCAGCGTGACGAGTTTCAGCTCTGCAAGTCAGCCTTTAGACTCGGTGAGTTTGACTGCTCTGCTGGGAAAAAAAAACTTCACATGTAGATCTTTTCGACAAATTAACATGTTCGCTGAATTTTTTCTAATTTAATTTTTACCTCAGACTCTGACTCGGAGGAAGACGAGCCTCCTTTCTACATGGCCAATGAATCAGATGGAAAGACACAAAAGTCGGCTCCTCGTCCAAACCACAACCTCAGTCTGCTATCCCTCACTGTGATCATCAGCAAAGGTCGGCTCCAAGCCAGGACAGACAGGAAGGTGAGCCACAGGGCTGCTAACAGCGCTGCAAAATCCCAGGCTTCATGTGATTCATTTCTCACAGCTGAGTTTTCCATTTCCTTTTACCAGTGAGAATGTAACTATTACAGTAATCGCTGAAATTATGATGTATTAATCATAATTTAGGGATTGTGTTCTCGCAACTTTTACTTGAAGAATGGAAAAAGGTTTTTGTGTTACAAGTCAAACCCCAAAACTTTGTTCAAGAAGTTTAAAACTGTTCCGATCTTCTCGTTTTTTTTTTTCTGTCCATTTATTTTCATTAGTGTCACTTGTGTTTCTTAAATGTTTTATTGAATGTTATTCATTCAGGAGGACCAGAGTCATGGGGAAATTGTGCTTGACCTGGAAGGTGGGAAGATATTCAGTGTTGCACAGCACCAAAACGATCCCAATCTCAACTTCCTGTGTCTGGAAAGCAGACGAGTGGAACTCTACCATCAAGGTTCACATTGTCATTTCACTATATTCAGTTGGTTTTGATTTATGCTACCCAGAAGATGTTAATATGCCCCTGTTTATCCATTCACACCAATACAGCAGTGGTCAAAGACACCCCCATCCCACAGAGGTTGGAGATGCCCAACTTCACTCCTCCAAAGCACTTGGACCCTACCATCTACCCCACAGAGGTGGGTGTGAGCAGCGTGAGTGGCAGGGAGGGAGAACTGCAGATGTTGTCTACAGCTATCAAAATCACGCTGGATCCACAGAGGAGTGTCAAGGTAACTTCTGCAGTAATATCACATTTTTCAGCTGGTGCTACGTCAGATTTATGATACTCACTTTTTGTTTTTGTCTTTGTAGGAGTTTCTGGTTGCCCTCAGACTACAAGGTGCCACCATGAGACATTACATGACACAGGCTAATCACAGCTGGCATGAGCAGGTGAGGAGAGCTGAGTCAGGTTTTGATCTTGAAGGACTTTCTTGAACTTCATTAGTTGTGAATAACTTGCAATAACTCAGAGTGATCATTGAAGGATGCCCATCAACTGAGGTAGATGTAGCGGTTTTAGGGGAATGTGGTACGACAAATTAAAGTTAATGTCAAAATGATGAAAAAGTATTACGTATCGCACATTTATTACACGGAGCAGAAATTTTCTAATGCTGTGAGCTGCTGTTAACATCAGCCTGCTTTCCCTCCAAACCAGTGTCTCTGCCAAAACAATCACAGATTTTTTCCTTGTCTTCTTCCCAGAGATAATAAGTATATGGTATCACTTTGCGAGTATGATTTATGATGACAACTTGCGCAACCAAATAAATCTGCAGACAATGCTGTTATTTCAGCAACTGGGATTTGGTGCGTTTTATTCTCCAGTTGTGGAGTTACATGCTGTGCTGAAAGCAAACACAGTGGATGTTTTCCCTAATGTTTGCCATCTGATGTTTTCGTCTCTCTGATGAACTGAGTCTGTGTTTGTGTCTCACAGCTGGTCGACTTCCTGGATGTCATCGATGATCCCATTTTGGGATACACAGCACCTGCTGTCATCACTGTCCTCCACACACACCTTGCTACCTGTGCGGTTGACTACAGGTATAAACAAAAAGAAATGTGTGTTGAAATGATGTTAAGCCTGAGCTGTTTTTTTTTTTTATTGACATCTTCAGTCTTTCTTTCCACCAGACCTCTGTATCTCCCCCTGCGAGTGTTGTTCACTGCAGAGTCCTTCTCTCTGTCCAGTAACATCATTGTAGACACTGCCACCTTCCACCTCAGGTATGTGTCAACAAATACTCATACATGAAGATATCCTTTTAGATAAAGCCAGTACTAAAAATGCTCCATAATAGAATCAGGACGGTGCTTTGAATATTTCCATCAGTATGTATCACATCGTATGAGTTGTGTCACAGTGTCTGATGACTGTCTGTGATGTGGTCAGATTCATCCTGGATGACTCTGCTCTCTACCTCTCTGACAAATGTGAGACTGACACCGTGGACCTGAGGAGAGGTGAGAGACAGACCTCCGTTTGTTGCTCAGTCCTTTTTTTTTCTTTGGCTGTTCAATTTGTTTTTTTGTTTTTTTTTTAAGATGTTGAGTTCTTGTGTGAACTTAACCGAGCCCTGTGTGCAAAACAACAAATAGAAGTTCTTAATTCAAGCCAGTTAAAGAATTTGTTCCTGTTTCTTCCACAGTCTGAATCTTTTAAAGATACGATCTGACATGTTTTGCCACTGATGAAATGAGTCATTTCTTAAAAGTGCAGGGGGCTGGGGCATAAATCATCTGTCAAACTGCCAAAATTGACTGATGTCACTGACTTGTGTTACCAGGAGCACGAAAATGAGTCATTTTTACCACTTTTGTCAGGATGAAAGGATGACTGTTGGCTCTGATAGTGTGAGTGATATCGGAGCTTTTATTAAGGTACAGGACAGCTTCATCCCCTGTCAAAGGTGAATTATTTTGAAATTTCAACATCTAAACTATGAAGGCCAGTGGACCTCAAACATGATCTTTTCTGCTTTTACTATTTCCTTTTTTTTAAATATTGTGTTTTTAAAAAGTGATGCAGCGGGGAGTCACTAAGAGATGTCTCATTTTAGAGTGAAAGCAGCATCAGCAGTAGTGATGTTAATAATGATCTAAATTGATTGAATTATAATAAAAACCTTGTTTTCTTTTGTTACACAGACTATGTGTGTGTTTTGGACATTGACCTGCTGGAGCTGGCCATCACCACATGGAAAGGGAGTGATACCGGAAAACTAGTGAGTCTGTCCCTTTTATTCAACCAGGTCTATGTACCAGTTAACATCTAACTGTCCCTTTTTGCTGTTACCCTGTTTTATTTATTTATCTTTTTCCAAGTATCTACTGATACACATCAATGTTCATAATATGACTGGTACAGCACTCATGCTTTGTTTATTTATTTATTTATTTTCACCATGTGTTCCTGTATATATATCTTTGAACAAGGGTTTGAGTAAAATTGGATGTTCCTGACTGATGAAAACGAAGTAAACAGCTGCAAAATTTGATCCTAAACCTTTTTAAATGATAATAAAAATATTGGGAACATCCTTTCACCTCTCTTGGCATCAATCTTGATCACTCTTTGTGTTTTAATGTAAACGTGCTTTCTCTGTTCATCAGTCCCAACCTCTCTTTGAGCTCCGCTGCTCCAACAATGTGGTCCACCTTCATACCTGTGCTGACTCCTGTGCTGCCCTGGTCAATATGCTGCAGTATCTAGTCTCCCAGGGCGACCTGCACCCCCCGCCACGACACACCTCACCCACCGAAATTGCTGGCCAGAAACTACCAGTAAGTCCTGCATATCAAAAATAGAATTTCAATAACACTAATAAGAATCAAATTTAGGTATTACATTTTGTTTATTTGTTTTACTTCCTGTCGTTTTAGCTGTCAGAGAGTCCTGCGTCGGCGCCTCCTTGCCCCCCAGCTGAAACCGCAGAGATCAACCAGTATGACCTCACTGACGCCTTAATAGACACAGAGAAGAGCCATCGAGAGGAGAGTCTTGATCCAGGTGCTGTCTCTCTTTGTCCACACTAGTGAACAATACAACACGAAACCATCCTTGTTTCATTTTTAGTGACTGATCGATTTTTTTTTCTGCGTTTGTCCAGGTTCACCCACCATGCCCAGAGGCTCGCCTGTCTCTGTTTACCTTTTCCCAGGTGAAGCTCCAAAGGGCAGTCCATCTGTTCCATTGGGTGATGACTCTGAGCTTGACGGACTGGTTGCCACAGCGACAGAAGCACAAGCAGACATGATGTCTGAGGAGGGCTCTGAGGGCTCCACCGACAATGATGATTTTTGCATCTTGGAGGCTCCCGGCATGGGCATTCCTGTGAGCCTCTTCATTTTCTGATCCTCTTCTTGAATTTCTTTTTCTGAAATAGTCCTCAAATCATCATACTAAGTTTGCATATATTGGATTTGTTGCAGCCCAGGGATGGGGAGCCTGTGGTAACAGTGCTGTCATCAGGTCCAATCAAGGTGAAGGACAGTCACTTCTCCAGGCCACGAGGCAGCTCAGACCTGCTGCGAGCTCCTAGTCGCTTCCCGGTGCCCCAGAGCAGGGTGGTGCTGCGGGAAATCTCTGTGGTCTGGCATCTCTATGGGGGTAAAGATTTTGGTGGCAAGCCTGTGTCCATCCACGCCCAGCATGCAAACAGGTAGGAGCTTCAGAAATGCAGCATCTCTTACAGTACACTCATCATACTTTTGAATCCATTTTTCTCTCTCTTCCCTTTTTAACAATACATCTCTGTCTTATCAGAGGTCGATCCGTCTCAGCTGGGGCCCGAGGATCTCCGTCTCGATCTGTCGGTTCTTCTCGGCCCCAGAACTCCTGGCGGTGGGCGGGAGGTAGCGGACGTCAGCACACACTGCTCATGGAGATCCAGCTAACTAAGGTACAAATTGAGCAAGTTGAGGCACCTGAAATGACAAAAAAGTTTTAAACTGTTTTTAACTTTGGATTCAAGTGGTTATTTGATCACAAACTCACTTTTTTATTGTGTGTGTTTCAACAAAAGAGGAATTAATGAACTTTACATGTTTATCATTTATATACATGAGTGGAACTGATCATCTCATCTTAACTTTTACTTTTAGGTGTTATTATATTTATTCCTTTTTAAGCTACTATAACCTTTCTTTTAGATCTCCATAATCCTTCTGTTTTGTCCTCCAGGTGTCCTTCCAGCATGAGACCTACCCAGTGGTCGTAGCAGGGCAGGATGGAGAGGGGTCAGCAGCAGCTGCAATTGGTGTTTGTCCTGGTGGTGAGCAGCCCCTCTCTCGGCAGGTTTTTATTGTCCAGGAACTGGAGGTTCGAGACAGACTAGCCTCCTCACAAATCAACAAATTCCTCTACCTCTACACCAGCGAGAGCATGCCGCGCCGAGCCCACTCCAACATGGTGAGACAATGGGGAGGGAGGAAGACTGAAATGAAAAGAATGTGAGAGAGCTCGATTTAAGACTGAGGTGGAAATTATCATCAACTTGACTCTCAGACGAAAATAAGACTCCTGAAAATCTCATGGCTTATGTCATAATAGTTCATGTGAAATAAGATCAAAGAGACATGACATTAAAACGCTGAAGAGAGCAGTGTGAGGCCAAGTCAGTTTTGTTAGACCATCCGTCCAGCGAGGTATTTATCCCCAGAGCTGAAGTTAGGAGCTTAACCATATTTGGTTACATGATAGATACACGTTCTTTTACTCAAAGGCAATGATTGAAATCACCATATGTGCTTAAGACACTTAACACATGTCTAAAATCTAAAGACGACAGTGGGAATGCTAAATTTTGATCCCAGAGTCAAAATATCATAATCATCATGATTTTTGTGTTTCCTTCTTCTAGCTGACAGTGAAAGCCCTGCAGGTGTGTCCAGAGTCTGGTCTCGGTGGTCCAGAGTGCTGCCTCAGGGTCAGCCTGTTGCCACTACGACTTAACATTGACCAGGTAAGTCAAAATCTTGAGACTGAAACAGAAACTGTGATGTAATTCTGGAGCACAGTGCCCAGAGGTTTCATAGCAAAGCCCTCAGATCTGCACTGAACTGAAATGACTCTCATATTCATCTGTTTGTTCCATTCACTCTGTCAGCCTTCTCGACTAATCACCTTTTGTTCTCTCTTTGCCTCAGGATGCGCTGTTTTTCCTGAAGGACTTTTTCAGTAACTTAGCTTCCTTTGTGAACCCTTACCTTCCTGTGGACCCTGCAGCTGAAGGTAAGCTATGACTGATGATCGATTCATGTGTAAGGCTTTTGTCCACGATTACTGTTAACACTTTAACCAAGACCCTAAGAAACTGGCTTTGCTCAGCAGCATTTCCACAGATGCCTCAAACTGCTTATGTAGCATTAAGTCCCTTTTTACATTTTTCTCCATGTATTTCCAGTGAAGCCAGATCCCTCACAGAAAGCGTCTGAGGAGGCAGAGTCAGCAGCTGGGCTGGGACCTGACCTCACCGCATCTGTTGAAACTACCTACAGTGAGCAGAGCTCCTCCTCTGCTGGCTCCACCTCCTCCTCTGAACAGCCTATCTACTTCCGGTATTAAAACAGTGATTTACAAGAAGAATCTGCCAAAAATGCTTACAGTTTGTGCATAGTAACTAAAGCTGACGATATTATCTGATATGACATTCCATAAAATGTCCCATTTGTCCCCCTGTAAATCTTAGGGAGTTTCGTTTCACCTCTGAAGTGCCTATCTGGCTGGACTATCATGGCAAACATGTAGTCATTGAACAGGTGAGAAGTCTCTCCAGCTGAACCAGAAGCTTATAATAAAGAATCTAAAGGTGTGCCTGGTTTTAATATTCTTTCTGTCCTGCTCTTTATCCCACAGGGAACATTTGCAGGGATCCTGATTGGTTTGGCTCAGCTAAACTGCTCCGAGCTGAAGCTGAAGAGACTTTGCTGCAGACACGGGTATTAATACACTGCCCCTATAATGACAGAGAAACCTCAATGACTTCTTCAAGACATTTCTGCCATTTGTCACCAAGTGGACCAAAATGTAGTCAGTGGTGTGTAATTTTTCAAAATACCATCTTATTTGTGTTTGTTGTTTTTCTTCTATACCTCTTCCTAGTCTCCTTGGTGTGGACAAAGTGATCCAGTATGCCGTCACAGAGTGGCTGACAGACATCAGAAAGAATCAGCTGCCGGGAATTCTGGGTGGTGTAGGCCCAATGCACTCAGTTGTTCAGCTCTGTGAGTTTCCTCTTCTCCAAACACACCATTGTGCATTTATTTTTATTTAAATTTTTTTTTTAATCATTTTTATTAACCTCCATTCCTTTCTCCCCTCTTCCCATGCCTCCATGTTACTCCAGTCCATGGAGTAAGAGATCTGTTCTGGTTGCCCATAGAGCAGTACAGAAAAGACGGACGCATTATTCGGGGTCTCCAGCGGGGGGCAGCGTCCTTTGGCACATCCACAGCATCAGCTGCTCTGGAGCTCAGCAACAGGCTGGTGCAGGCTATACAGGTACTCTGTCGGGGTTTTGACTCCCGATTAAAGTAGCAAAAGAGCTTAATGTGAACCCGAAATTTTGTATTAAGTGAGACAAACTGTGAAAGAGAGTCTTCTTCTGGAATGTATCTTTTGCACTTGTGTTAAAGTAGCTGATACCTCTCATCTCCATTACTGATGTTTGTCTGTTTCTCTCACAGGCCACAGCTGAAACTGTGTACGACATCTTGTCTCCAACTCCTCCTCTAAACCGATACGCCATCACTGAAGGTCGAGCCCCCTCCAGCCGGCCGCGCAGAGCGGCTCAGCCTGCAGACCTCAGAGAGGGTGTTGCCAAGGCCTACGACACCGTCAGAGAGGTGTGTCTCCAAAATTACTGGTCAAGCCTTAAAAAATGCAAATATGTCATTTTTTCTGCTTTCATATGAAACTGAAAGTCTTGGTTTAAACCTTATAGTGGGATTTTTGTGGCCGTATCAGGAAGTCAATACACGAACAGTAGTAGTGCATGAATAACACGGCACAAATGTCCTGAATCATTTTTCCAGGGAGTGATTGACACGGCTCAGACCCTGTGTGATGTAGCATCCCGTGGCCACGAGCAAAAAGGTCTACCTGGTGCTGTGGGCGGCGTCCTGCGACAGATTCCGCCCACTGTGGTCCGACCTTTGATTGTGGCCTCTGAAGCCACCTCCAATCTGCTCGGAGGCATGCGGAACCAGATCAAACCAGACGCCAGGAAAGAGGACTTCTTGAAGTGGCGCACAGAGGACGGCCAGGAATGATGACAGCCTTCAGCCTTTCTTTATTTTTCTCTGTCTGTCTGCGTGAGAGAGAGTTTGTATGCATGTGTGTATGAGTACGGGAGAGATTATGATCTAGGAAAGTGTCTGATAGGGAAGTGATTCCAGGGTTTGAATGTGTATTTGCATGTGTTGTATGGACTACGGAGAATCAATGTGTGCTCCAATGCAAAAAAAAAAAGAAGAAAAAAAAACAAAGCATAGACTAATGACTACTGCAGTTACTGACTCCCAGTGTTATGTGTCTCCATCAAACATGGACTTTACTCACTCTGCATTCAACAAGAGCTCGTCTCATAGACCCTCTCCTCAGTGACTCATTAGTCTGCAGGTCCTCCTTACTATCTGTGCAAACATATCATCAGTCTCACCTGACTTCAGCTTCAACTCAGCCAGGGATTGGTAAGACCATTTCTCTCAAGATTTCGAGTGAAAGATACAAACAGGTTAGAGGCTTTTTATTGCCTCTGGATTATGCTACTTGAACCTGTTTGCATCGTCCATCAGATCAGGACATCAGATTCTTCTTTATTTTAATTTTTTTTTTTGCTGTAACAAGTTGACAAGATGAGCAGTCTTCTAATAGAACAGGGAGAATATCTTATGCAAGTCTCCTTTGATAAAATCCACCAGATGTTGACAGATCGCCGTAACCAGAAATTCACAACACAACACAACCTAATGTAATTGTTTTAGCTGAAACCTGTTTCTCTCAGTGCTGTGATTGTGCCATAAACCCTGCAGGGTGTCCTTTTTTAGATCCTGTGTGTGTTGCCTTCCTCAGTCCTGTACCCTCCCTGATACAGTTTTGTTTTATACTGGCTCATATTGATCCACACCCGACTGAATAGAGACCAGGTCACATGACGCCTCCTTACTCTGTAGCAGGTTGGATTCTGTCACAGTGGTTGCAGTAGACTATCCAGATTTCAGCGAGTGCTTCTACTTGCGGCTTGTTTGTGCTTCTGTTTCCATAAAGAGGTGAAGACAGGGGTTTGAAAGACCTTCCTCTGTCTTTAGAAATGCTATGCCCACTTCTTTAGTTGCCTTCCTGCGTTTTTATCTTTCTCTGTTTTCTTTTTTAATTTCGTTGAAGTATTCAGTATTGTCATACTCATTTTTAAATTTTCAGTTAAGAAGATGTGAATCTGGTGATGTTTAAGGATGAAAAATTTGGGCGTTGTGGTTTAAATGTTTTACATTTTTATCTTTTTTTGTTTCCTAAGTGTAAGGGATGTGTGTTCCAGTGTGTGCGCGTGCGTAAGAGGGAGTGTGTTTGTGTACGCGTGTATGATGTATATCTGAAGGTGACAGGTTGATGCTTGTTACAGTTCTTGTGTGTAATTACTATTTACTATATCATAAACTGTATGAATGACCTGTATAATACAAAGACAAGGAGTATACAAAATTAATACAAAAAAATAAAAAACTTCAGGATAAAAAGTGAATGCAATCTCTCTGCCTGCTGTTTTTGCTGCCAGTTAAGCTTATATCTCTCACACTACATGAACATAAAGAAATCAACCACTCAACCTCACTTTATGAATTTACTCTTAATTTTTCCACCATTCACTGTGTTATTAGAAAGATTGGTTCAGTACTTTTATTAAGTGGCAGGAACACAACTTTGTCGCATGGCAACAGTGAAGGAGGCTCCCAGAATGCTGAGGGGGCTTCAAAAGGGGGAAACGGTTTAAATGAAGCATCTTAAAGACAGAAGCCGGAATGAGCATTTTTTTTAAAAACAGCAGCCTGAAATATAATTTTAATTGGTTGAACTGTAAATCATGTAAAGCTGCTCAAAGGTCATCAGAAGGACAATATAAAGCCAAAAATAAGCTTAATACCTCCTCTGAAAGAAAAAGAACAAAATAGGTCACATTTAATTATTACAGACTCTAGTGCATCCTTTTATGGCCTTATTTATAAATACAAGTACAATACTAACCTGTCCGATCATACAAAGTGAAAATGACAAGGCTTCCTAAGAGACTGTGCCAGAGCTGTTGAATAACGTCCATATTGTTATGACGGTGTATACCTTCAATATGCCAAATGAGCGTGTTGATAAAATTAAATAATTAAACATGGTGAAGCTAAAAAAAACCCATCTTTGTATAATAAGCAACATAACGCCTTAAAATGTAAAGGAACCAGAATATACCCCCCAAGAAACTCCGGGGAACTTATTCAGCGACGCAACCGCGGTACTTCCGGTGCACATGTAAACGCTCCAGCGTGATTCATATGTGGATAGACTACTAAATTATTAGTGTATCGCTTCGTGAAAAGTCCGTTTTTCTTTCTTTAGGCGTCTGTAAACATGAAGCTCTTAACGCACAACATGTTGACATCGCATGTGAAAGGAGTGGTTAAAGGATATCCCCTACTCATCAAGGTAAACCAGCTCCACTGTTTACACCGCTTACAAGATATACAACAGTTAAGTTTCTAGGACTCCTGTTTATGTGTTTGAACTGTCATTTAAAATTAGGCAAAGTTAAAAAGATGTTTGGTGGCTAGTGCTGTGGCTAGGACTCTGTATGTACTGTAGATGAAGTTAGGTGCTGTTCTGAGCATTATTTGTGGCTATAGAGTGGAGTTTTGGTCGAGGTTGGCGTATGGCATCTCAGACCGCCGTGTATTGCTATTGTGCGGTCGTTACTAAAGCTGGTATAACTAGAGAAGCAAGCGGTCGGCAACATTCATGTCTGGAGGGGATGTCTAACCCGGTGTTACAGTGTTTTTGACTTAATTTTACGCCGGGATATCCCTTTAATGTCAATTTATGTGAGGTCATTCACACAACACAGTAAGACCTTAGTGATCATTACGTAAGATGCTCCTGATGGGTGTCCCAGACAGTAGAGGCTCATTTGAGAGTAGCAGGAGGGGTTCATCAGTACAATAAAACAGCTTTCAATGCAAACTGAGCACACACTGTACCCTCAACCTGTACAAAACTTTTAAAAAGCCAGTGGTATTACTCTGTAGCATTTAATTATGGTCACATGTATTTGAAACACAGCTACACTCTTAACTGGATAAGCTCACTCTCATGTTTTGTATTTCCTTCCTGTTTTCCTTTTGAAGGCCACTGAGGTGAAGATGAATGAGGTGGAGTTTAACCCTCAGTTTGTCAGCCGAATGATCCCCAAACTGGAGTGGAGTGCTCTGGTCCAGGCAGCAGAGGAGGTAAGATGACTGCAGCTGAATCTGTAGGAACGATTGACATCTCTCTTTATAGATATGATGTAATGAAATTGTTTAATCAAGGCTCCTCTTAGACTCGTGGATGGTTGACAGCATTGAGAAAGAAACTAGAGACTTGTGAGGAAAATCTTTGAACCCTACTTTGAGTGCTAAAGAGGAGCTGATTTTGTCTTAACAAACAAGAGGTTACTATTTTCTTTTGTTATTATTACAATCAAAGCGCTCTATTATTATATTTATTATTATTATTTATTATTATTACAATCTAGCGCTCCAGAAATGATTCAGGGGTTAATTCTGTATAAAGGAGATCAATCTATTATTCAGATATACGTTTGTATAATTTCACAACAACAGTCGGGAGATTTGTTCAAATTTTGTAAAACCAATGAAATTGTTTAAGAAGAATCTAGAAAAGGGGGATCCTAATTAAAGCAAATTAGAGAAAACACAGACCATTGCTGAGTGGTCACCAGTCAAAATGACCAGATTACACTTTTTTAATATGATGTGAACTTGACAAAATGTAGCAAATGAATTACATAAACATTTTGTGATGTCAAAGTAAAGCAGGTACTTTTCTGTATTAACCGCAGGATATTATTCTCATGGGAAATAACTCAAGGAAAGGATAAAAGGCGTTTTTAATCTCAAGTACTGTGTTTTAACAGCAGCAGTGGATGCACAGTGTGTACCCGTACTACTGCATACTCCTTGGTGTGTTGTAATTTGTTGCTGCCGTGTGTTGTATTACATGCCTGTCTTTTGTGCCCAAAGACACAAGGTGAACACTCAGACCTCTTTCTTTTCAACATCCAATCAAGAGTTTACAACAGTCCTGACTGAGCATTATTTACCTTTTTAGTTGGGTCATCGAGAGGACCTGCCAGGTGAGCTGATGGCAGAGTACGAGAAAGACGAAGAGTTCCTGAAGAAGGTGCACAGAGTGCTGTTAGAGGTGAGGAGGACATGGTCATTCCTGTTTACACTTCTTTGTGTTGGTTTTTACAATTATGCCTTTAATTGCAGGTTTTAGGCATATCATGAGTAAGTTCTGAGTAAGGACTGCTGTTTTAAAATAGTAATGTTCTGACTGTTGCAATAAATTTATTTGTCTTTTATTCTAAGAAGTGTCTACAAACTGGGGTATAATCAGCAAGACCCAAAGACAGAAATTAACAGTCACATAAAGCCGAGAAAAGACAAACCCCTTAAAATTAAAGATGTGGGAACCAAAGAATTCTTGGCCTTTCTGTGTTACATAATACTGGCATTAGTCTCTTACTGCTCTTACTGACCACCTGCATCCAGCAGTGTTTCCCATTCTTTCATTCACACATTGACTCATGCTGCATGATAATTACAAGATATTGTGGGATTTGTTTGGAATACTTAAATACACCCTTTGGATAAAACCAAGACAGCCCATAATATTTACTCTTTGACAAAGAAACCCTATTACTTCACCTGTTCGTCAGAGTTGTGTGTGTGTGTGTGTGTGTGTGTGTGTGTGTGTGTGTGTGTGTGTGTGTGTGTGTGTGTGTGTGTGTAGAAATAAAAAAGAAACAATTGTTTTGGGTAAAGACACTATTCTAACCCCAGTAACTAAACTGCAGGGTTCAAAGTATATCCATCTCCGGCTCTTTCAACCTGTCCGCCTAGTTTACTCTGTGAATCCAGGGAATCTGGCAGGAAAAATACAGATGGTCAGAAAACTCAAATTAAACTGAAATTAAATGTAAAGATACCCTTCAAGGTTTTTATTCGGTGTGACTCTGTAACACAAGGGTTTATATTTATGATCCAATTTACCTGCCTCAAAAAATATTTGTTTGTATTTTCAATCCCAAAATATGAACACCATTATTTGCTGAAGTTTCCTTTTCTTAGCTGTTTTTCTGAACAAGATCAGGCATTTCTTGGTGTGTTGTCTCCAACTTTGGTTACATAAAACTGCTGCAATTGGACAATGTACAGGTGGTGGTCTAGAACAGATTTCATTTCATAATTCAAAGTGTTGCTGAAGGTGAGATCAAACCAAAATCTTATCTCCTGATGAAGGCTGTATCTGGATAAGGATGTGTACTTAACCACCATATTGCAGACATTACATACACTCACCAGCCACTAGTTTAGCTACACCTTGCTAGAAGCATGTTGGACCCCCTCTTGCCTTCAGCACTGCCTTAAATCTTCGTGGCATACTTTTAACAAAATGTTGGAAACATTTCTGAGAGATTTTGTCCATATTAATGTGAGAGTATCACTCAGGTGCTGCAGATCTGTCAGCTGCAAATCTCCCGTTTCCCCACATCCCAAAGGTGATTTACTATGATTTATGGGTTATTTATTTATGATTTGAGCTTTGTGACATGGAGCATTATCCTGCTGGAAGTAGAAGATGGGTCCACTCTTAAAGGGATAGACATGGTCACCATCAATACCCAGATAGACTGTGGCATTTATGATGCCCAGTTGGTACAAAGGGGCCCAAAGTGTGCTACCCCTCTACACCATTACAACAGCAGCAGCCTGAACCATGGATACAAGGCAGGGTGGATCCATGCTTTCATGTAGTTTATGCCAAATTCTGACCCACTGTCTGAATGTCACAGCTGAAATCGAGGCTCATCAGACCAGGGACCATTTCACCTGTCTTCTAATATGAGTTGATAGGAGTGGCACCTGGTGTGACCTTTAGCTGCTGTGGCCCATCTGCTTCAATGTTCAACATGTTGTGGGTTCAAAGATGATATTTGGTTATTTGACTCACTGCTGCCCTTCTATCATCATGAACCAGTCTGCCCGTTCTCCTCTGACTCCTGACATCCTTTTTGTCCACACAGCTGCTGCATAGTGAATATTTTCTCTTTTCCTGATCATTTTTGTTGTAAACCCCACATCTGGTTGTGTGTGAAAAACCCAGTAGATCAGCAGTTTCTGAACTATTCAGACCAGCCCATCTGGCACCAACAACCATGCCACATTCAAAGTCACTTAAATCCCCTTTCTCCCTGTTCAGATGTTCAGAACTTCAGCAGACCCTCTTGACCATGTCTAAAAGCCTAAATGCACTGAGTTGCTGCCATGTGATTGGCTAATTAGCTATTTGTGTTAACAAGCAATTGAACAAGTGTACCTAATAAAGTGGCTGATGAGTGTTTATTCACTGACTACACAGTTTAATCAAATCTACATGGAAATAACATGCAGATACTTTTTGTTTTACACTAGATACTGATATAAAATATTTCAATATAAACATTTAATATATTTGATTTATCATCTTTGCATTACTTTCATTTAAAGGCAGGTTTTAAGTGATTTGCAAACTAACAAATACTTTTCTTACTTCGCTTTTATACAGCCTCTAAACTCTTGCACAACAATGGTTACATGAAACTGATGGGAATGATAAAGATGAATGAAATAAAGTTCAAGGAACCTGCTGTGAACACCTATCAGCAAACAGCACATGTTCAGCCTGTGTCAGCCCACTGGATTGTTTGAGAACCACTTCCAGAAAATGTCGATTTGAAGGTTTTTAACCAGTGACTCAAAGGCTAAACCACTTGTACCAAAAGTATGGCAGCGGTGTTGTTCTTTTTGACTCTTGCTTTTGGCTCATGAAAACATGATTTGTTTTTCCCGATGATGACATCTTGTGGTGACCTCATGATGCCTGTCTCGTGTGTTTGGGTGTGTGTTTTTGCTGCAGGTGGAGGTGATAGAGGGCTGTCTGCAGTGCCCTGAATCAGGACGAGAGTTTCCAATCACCAGAGGAATTCCTAACATGCTGCTGAACGAAGATGAGGTGTAGACAGATCTCCACCACGCAGTCTCACCCTGAAATTGTCCCTCAGCTAGTCTATGGTATTCAGAGAGGCTGGACTCTTGCACACCACACTGTTTGGTTGATTGGTTGTACTTCTGACATCAATGTGGCAGAAAAAGATTTGAAGAATAAGCGATGGAAAATTTCCCTTGGATTAACCCCCGGTGGTATTTATTTTTGTAACTGTTTGTGCTCTTTTTTCTTCAATTAAACTGTTCTGATTTCCATGACAGCCAAAATGGTCTTAGGTTTTTGTGGAAAACATGGCTTTACTTATATTACAGACATGCCAAAGCTGCATGAGTGAGCAGCAGAGCTCTGAACCCCATCTCGCCCTCTCTCAGGGTTTAAGAAAGTGCTGAGGGCCAGATGACGTGGCAGTGGCTCGTCTATATTTGGCTTTGAGGAAAAGAGGCAGAAAAAAGCAGGCAGGCTAGGAGTTGTTTTTGAGGAAGTCTGTCTTTTTTTTCTTTTATGCCATCCATCACAGCAGACACACACAACACCACACTCTGGCGGCTCGCTGTGATCTAAGATGCCTCAAAGTGCGTGTGTGATGTCTTGACGAAAGAGTTAAAGTTCACATAGACAAATAAAACTCGTTCCATTCGTCTTCGGCTGTCTGAGACGCTGCAGCAGCAAGTCAAGTTGAAACAGGAGCCTGTTTGTTCACAGGCGGTGTTATCATTTTTAGAAACCTTGCCAGGACAGACGATGGAGGAGGAGGAAGAGGGGGGCAGGGGGGGTGCCCTGACCAGAAGCCTCGAGGCAGCCTCAGTCTCTTCTACCTTTCCCTTCTACTTAGAGCAATTACAGGCCTGCACCCGCAACTATAATAACGGTATAATGGGATGGCAGCAGAGCAGCAATAAAAGCCACCCCTGACAGATTAACAGTCCTCTCCAAGTCCTGAGCTGTAATTAACAATGAGACCTAAGAGGAACAGAAGGGAAAGAAAAGGGCTTAGATTGGAAGCTGGAAAACAAAGATAAAAGGGGATGGGCTGTGAAGTGATTTAATGAAATCAGGATGAGCCTCAAGCCATCGCCATGACTGAAAATCTCACCGAGATCTTCTGCAAAACTGTGTGTCTTATTTCACCAGACTCCGTATTATCTTTTATAATGCATAGAGATTAAGTTGAGCATTTTGGGATAAATGCTGCTGATTCATCGGCAGAGTAAAACAAGTCAGATTACAGTTGGTTTAGCACGCCAAAGACAGGGAACGACAAAATCAATCTATCAGGTTCTCTGAAGCGCCTTCACACCACCCACTGAGCATTTTTTGGTCTAAAAGAGGTTTAATAGACGTCTTAATGTAGCCTAGACAACTGGTCAAAAATCCGGTTACAACAGGTCTAAAAATTAAACTTTTTAGACTTCTAAATTTAGACCAAGTTTAGACCAAGTCTAAATCCGGGCTGTATCTACATTACACTGTATATTTCTCAACGGCTATCATAACTGTTTTGGTTAAGTACTTGGAGATCATTTATGCAACTGAATAAATAAATAGATATCGAATAATGGATTAAGTGCAACGTCTAAATTCTGTCTAAAATCATACAGAATCTAGATGGTTGAAATTAGGTCTAAAAAAATAACTAGATGTCTAATAGCCGTCTATTGCTCAGTGGGCAGAGACTCAATGAGTTTGAACATTTTAACGGTGATGGTTCAGGGATTTTGTTAACTTGAACCAACCCAGACCAGCTATTTCTGTTGGTAAAGCTAAACTAAGTCAATGTTTGATTCACAAACAGAAGGAAGAGTTCAACCATTTTTGCCAAAATGTCTTTACTGCTTCTCCAAGTTCTTGAGGGGTGTTTACCTACATGGAGAGGGCAGGAAAAAGCATTTTTGTGGAGGGCAGAAAATCAAAATGTGTGTGTGTTTGCTTGCTCTGGTGAGAGGAGATGGCTTTGCCTACATAATCACACACTCCCTTTACTTTGGTGGCAACCCGTCCCACCACCACCGCCACCACCAGCCCCTCTCGCATCCAGTCCCTCCCTCCATCTTCCACCTCCCTCTCTGAGTGTGTGTGTGTGTGTGTGTCTGCCCTGTTCTCATAGAGGACCTGCAGGATAATGGAGTCCCATCATGCAGCAGCAGCAGCAGGTCTCAGCGTTTTGAGCAGAGCTTCCAGTCCAGCCCTCATCAGACTGGAGTTGTAATTTGGAGTAAACTCTCCCTTTTTATTTCTCAGCACAAGGACTTCTTTCACATATCTTTCTGCGTCATGTCTTTTTGTTGACGTCTGACTTTTTCCATATTTTGGTGTTTATGTGAGGGGGATTAACAGACCCACCATGGTTTTCCCAACATAAATCAACAGGTTTTCCTACTTTTTAAAGTGCAGGCTGCTTTCTGTTTACCTCTAACACGGAATGAGTGGACCTCATTGGGCTCTTTTTTTCTTAATGCAGTAGCTGTACTTTGTGAAAGCGGGTATGGGCCAGTTTTTCTTCTTCTCCTCACAGATTGGTCTTTTGGAGGTAAAAGCTCGGGAGCTGAGCTGCCACAGATGAAGAGAGCAGCAAAGGTTTTTGTCTGGAGGATTTACGACATGGGCTGAGCTCCCTGCGATGTCTGTGTCTCGTGAAAGCTGATCAATTATCCGAGAATGGACGAAGGAAGACGGAGACGGATCAAACTCAAAGATTGGACTTTAGTTTAAGATTTTGTGCGCTGGCGCAAGACACCACACGAGATTTTTTTAGAGATAAAGCAAATTTACTGACAGCAAAATCCAAGTTTTTACATTGGATTTTAGTTCCAGTGTGATTTTTTTCCCAATAAAAAATTGTTGTATAAAGAGATTTAATGAGGTTTTGGCTCCTAAGATTAAAGTGACAATGCGTCTTTGTGCCTGCTGTTGAAATATGCAGTGGTGTTATATAATTTCTTTAGCGGATTAGATGTAGTCAGCAGATGTGGGGTTTTTCTTATTTTCCACGGCGGTTTTCAACCAAAGTCGTAGTCGATATTAGTTTTTGAGGCTTTTTTGTTGGTTTTAATGAAGAACATCCTGGAGACAGAACCCTCACTTTGAAATATTAAACCACTTTACGCAAACGGTGACCCGGCTTTGGTTTCGGTGATTTCCCCCTCGGTAGTTCAGGGAGCACCTCTCCTTCTCTCTCTCCTTGTTGTATCCTCACCGGACAATGTTGCTCCTCCGCCTCGCGCTGCTGCTCTTCCTCCTCCGGTGCTCCGGTGTTTTGCTCGTGGAGGGGCTCAACACGTGTCAGTCCATCAACCTGGACAAGCAGAAGTCCCGGCGCATCGAGGCGGTCCGCGGGCAGATCCTGAGCAAGCTCCGCATCCGCAGCCCGCCGGACGATGACGACGACGAGCCGCAGAACGGCAACGTGCCCCCGGAGGTCATGCTGCTGTACAACAGCACGCGGGAGCTGCAGAAGGAGCGTGCGCGGCTGGCGGAGTCTGCGTGTGAGCGCGAGAGCAGCGAGGAGGATTATTACGCCAAAGAGGTGCAGAGGATTGACATGCTGCCCCCCCGCACCGACACAAGTGAGTCCAAACTGTGCAAGGAGGGGTGGGGGGTCTGAGGTCCCATAGGAGTCAGAAGGGGGTCAATTAAAGGATTTGTTAACACTATCCAGGTTAAAAAGTAATCTGGGGTCTTTAAAAAGCACAATAGGATTACGGTTTAAGTGTATCACATTATTACAGTACTCTTAAAATCCCAAACATTAAAGGGATAATCCTGCATAAAATTGAGTTTGGGTCAAACACACTGTAGCACAGGGTTAGACACCCCATCAAGAGATCAACATTGCCGACCGCTTGCTTCTCTAGTTTTACCAACTTTAATAACAACTGCATGATAGCAATACACAGCGGTCTGAGAAGCCATCAACAAACCTAAACCAAAACACCTAATGCTCAGAACAGCACCTAACTTCATCAACAGTACATATAGGGTCCAAGCCACAGCACTAGCCAACAAACATCTTTTTAACTTTGCCTGATTTCTTTAACAAAGAGACTAAACACAACTCACCTACTCTCTTCCAGCAGCCATTTGTTTGTAGTGAGACCTCGGGCCAATCCATTATGGACGACAGCAGGGGGACGTAGCTCAAGGAAGAACATTTATGATCATTACTTTATCATTTCCTTGAAGTAATAATCACCACATTAATCATTTTGCACTGCAGACACAGTAGTTCTTCTGCCTCTCGGTCTGATTGTATTTCCATGAAGAAATGATCATAAATGTTCTTCCTTGAGCTGCGTCACCCCACTGCAGTCAGTGAGGTCTGTGTTTAGTCTCTTTGCTAGAGAAATTAGTCAAAATTCAAAGGATGTTTGGTGGCTAGTACTATGGCTCGTACTCTATATGTTCTGTTGATGAAGTTAGGTGCTGTTCTGAGCATTATTTGTAGCTATAGAGTGGCATTTTGGTTGAGGTTTGTTTATGGCTCCTCAGACCGCCGTGTATTGCTATTGTGCGGTCGTTACTGAAGTTGGTATAACTAGAGAAGCAAGCGGTCAGCAACATTCATCTCTCAAGGGGGTGTATAACTCGGTTTACAATGTGTTTGACCCTTAATTTTACGCCAGAATATCCCTTTAAGCTCCTTCTAGTAGCTACTAAAGAAAAGTATATTTTGCTGGTAGACATCTTGACTTTAAAAATTTTCCCAGACAAGGACACAGGACTATGTCAAGAATCTACTTAATGTTAATTTTATAGTCAAACTGTATTTAAAGGAACCTTTCCCAACAGTAATCACTGATGCGTTGTTACAAACGCCTCCTTTGCGTGTTGTGATCTGACTGTTTTATATCTCAGTCTGTTGCGAACCTCTATTCATCATGAGTTTTCCACTCGTTGATGCCGACCTGTCAGATAGTCTAGGTTTGGGAAGAATTAAGGTGTATTATAGGCCAACAGGAAGTTTTCAGGATCTATATGCAGAGTTTTCTTCATTGTTGTATATACACAGATAATCTGTTACAAAACTTTGCCTTCTCAACACAAAATTACACTCTAAAGAGACACCGCTACAAAGTCGTACCCCCTATAACACATTCACAACACACTTCCCTGTTGCCTTAAATGGCAAACTGCCTGCTGTGGTTTGTCACGGGCTGCTCCCACATACAAAAACTGATGTTGATAGACCATATTTAGGAGATTTTAAGATAAATGCTCTGAGTACCTCCTGGTAACATAATTACACAACTGTCTAGTAGAAAGGTGATATTAATGCTGTAAGAACCCCATACATTAAACACAAGACCAGACACATTTACTCACTGCTCCCAAACCTATGATTAAGCCTTGAGACTCTCATCAGCAGTAATTATGTGTGAGACAATACATCACAGCACTGTTTTATCCAGCGCTATAAATACATGATGATAAATACATGATACGTGGTTTTCAAATCCAGATGCAGTTCAGCCAACAGCCCCTGACCCCCACTACAGAGTGGTCCACTTCGACGTCAGTAGCGTGGACCTGACCAACAGCACCCTGGTCAAAGCTGAGTTTAGGATCTTCAGAGCTCCAAACCCTCACGCCCGAGCCTCTGAGCAGAGGGTGGAGATCTATCAGGTAAACAACAGAACCGCAACAACACACCTTTTACCTTACACTGACTGCAACAGAACCACAAAACTAGCCCTTAATTAGCCAAATAGGTGAGGAAAAACTACTGTTTATAGCAAAAGTGGCACATGTTTTCTTTCCCTTAGTGGAGTGGATGCACAATGTATGTTTACAATTTAAAACACCATTGGTACAAATATGATTTTGTTGCCTCTTTGAAGAATAATCGTCTCATTTTTCCTGTACATCTCATGTCCACCACTGTCTTGTCCACAACCAGCTGCTCAAGCCAGATGAGGAGAGCACCTCCACTCAGCGCTACATCGAATCCCGCACTGTTCAGCCCAAGGCAAAGGGATCCTGGATTTCTATAGACGTCACTGAGACCATTAAGGAGTGGGTGTCAGATCCAGGTCAGCTCCAGCACCAGAAGGCTTTTTATTTGGTTTGTCAACTTGATCTTCATCCCTTCTGTCATCTGTCTCCTCTTCTGCTGATCAGAGAATAATCTGGGCCTGAAGCTGGGTGTTCACTGTCCCTGCTGCACCTTCATCCCATCCACCAATAACATCGTTCCCAACAAGAGTGAGGAGCTGGAGGCACTGTTTGCAGGTTGGCTCTTGTTTTTACTGCGTGTGCAGGGTAGATGACTGGAGCTGTGTTTCTCCAATCGACTTTTATTTGCTAACTTTAAAGGAGACATTAGCTCCAGTAAAGTAAAAGGAAAGCACCTTGTGGACTGTTGTTCCAGTAATATCATTTTTAACATAACTATTTGCTTATTGAAATATATTCCAAGGGCTACAATTCTAAAAAAAATTGAAAACCAGAAGACTTGAGCTGTTGCCCAACATATGTATTCACATTTGCCTCTATAGGTCTTTGAAAGAGAGCTGATGCTGTTTCATGTCACTGAATGAGAGTCACATAAAAATGCAAAGATTTAAGATTCAGCCTGAAGTGAAGATGCTAGACTTTACTGAAGGGAGCTGAGGCAGTTTTCTGTGGGTGCCGGTTGTTTGTGGGTAGCTTGTTTACATAAGTTGCACCCAAGCTGCACAAGAGGAAATATTTGTTGAGCTAACCTCAACACAAAAACATATAAATCAGCAAACATGACATTTAGTGGGTAAAAGATCTGATCAACTATGAGTTTTGACCCCAAATGGCCAAAGAAGATGAGCAATTCCTGTTTTATTGGCTGGTAGTAAATGTCTTGAAAGAGCTTTAAAAGCTTTAGTGGAGGATTTATCTGTGCAGCAGGTCACAAAATCAGAACCTAAAGTGGGGTGTTTTTTTTTTTTTTTGCGAATGGCGTCTTGCGAATGATTCATGAATCACTTTGACTCTGCCCTGCAGGAATAATGGAGAAACTGTTCCTCCACACACTGTGAAACTATTAAATGTCAGTCTGTCTGTGTTCCTTCATTCAGGCTCCAAATCACAGCACTCTCATCAGAATTTACTTAGCAGCTAAGCCAAGTATTTTTTTTACCACTTGGAAAAAATGTTGACTTTTGATACTGATGTAAGACAAGAAACGGCTTGTTTCCAGCTCTTATGCATCTGTTGGCCAAGAAAAGAAGAAAAAACATGAAATCAGACATAAACAGTCAAGCCTTCATTCCTGGCTAAGAAAACCAGTGTATCATGTATGTGTTTCGATCCAAGTACTGTAAAATGTCATCAGCAATAATCAAAGTATAATCTGTCTTTCTGCCTTTTGGAAAAACACTTAGGAGTTTAGAGTCCTGAGCTGTGCTTGAGGAAACTCGTGAGCAGAACATGTGAAAATGTGGTCAGTACTTGGAATGAACCTCTGTGATTTTTAGAGATATTTACTCATTAGTTTCCAAATTTGTGTCTTGTCACACTTTGAAGTGAAGTACCTCTCTTCATGGTTTGTGTTTATGCTAATTTATGAGCGAGTCCTCTGATGAGAGACGTTTCCTTTTCCAGATAGTTTCATTCGAACGTAACCCTGAAGCGGGGAAACTAAAAAAAAAAAGCCACAAATCAGAAAAATGTCCAGAAAAATAACATCATTTGTTTGGCAGAGCACAGTTTTCCTTCCATGCTAATCACAAGACTTTTTTTTAACACAGACTCTATAATAAGTTAAAAAGAGCATTATGCTGCTTTTGTTAAACAGATCCAGTAAACTACAGCGCAGACATTTAAGTTCAATCAGCAAAAGAAGCATTAACATGATGTGTGCAAAAAAAGAAAATAAAACAGCCCCTGGTTTGACATTTAACTTTCGACCAAGACAGAAACGTGACTTCCTAAAAACAACAATTGTCCTTATTATTTTCTAATTCTGCTCCACAATAAATGAGCCCGTTTTAGCTGGTGCAGATGATCTCATCCTCCGCTGAGAGGGTCAGAAATTCCAGTGATTTATTCTCTTTTATGGTAGCAGGAAATTGAGTTTTCAGCCCCTCGTCTTCTCTGAGTTAGTGGATTACTGCTGGAGAGTTACACACATAACACATTGATCCTATCCCACATGAACACAGTGAATTACTCAGCTCTGGTCCTACCCACACTGCAGACTTTAGGGTGTTACATGGCCACCCTATTCTGGAGGGTACAAAACGAAAAGGTAGAATGACAGCAAGTAACGGTTTCGTATTGTGTGGCCCCTCAACTCTATGCTCTCCGGGTTTATCGACTGTTAAATCTTTCCTGTAGGTGTAGATGATGAGCAGCTTCGTCAGATCAGAAGACCTGGTCAGGTCAAAGGTCAGTCAGACTTCAGCACTAAGACACCGCACCTCATCCTTACCCTGCTGCCCAGTGACAGAGTGGACAACCCGGCCAAGAAGAACCGCAAGAAGAGGGCGGCTGCCACAGACACCTCGACCTGCTCCCGGTAGGCTGCCAACCATCTGAGTGTGTGTCTGTGTGGTCACTCTGTGAGCGTGTATGAGTGACTGAGAGTGTTGGGAGATTTTGATTTTTATGATTCTGAAATCTAGTTGTGGTGTGGTGAGGATTTAAGGTTTTACTTCCTTAACCCAAAACTCATTTAACAGATTGGTTGACCCAACATTACCGAGTCTGTGTTTAGAGAGTTTAACTTGTTTTAATTGGAGTTTCTCACACTAAAAGGGGAAACACTTGCAGCTCTGCAAAGTCATTTTTTCCATGACCCACCTTTTTGCTTTTGCTTCACACCTCGAGCAGCATCATGAGGGGAGTTGGAAATATTTCTGTGTGCTTTTCTGTTGTATCTCAGCGGCTCAGACCAGGGCTGCTGTCTGCGCTCACTCTACATTGACTTCAGACGGGACCTCAACTGGAAGTGGATCCATGAGCCCAAAGGTTACAAAGCCAACTTCTGTGCGGGGAACTGTCCATACCTCTGGAGCGCCAACAACCACTACAATATGGTGAGCTGTCATCTCTGCAGGAGGGGGATAGGGGATTGATAAGTGAATGCAATGTAGCCGTGTTTTTGTACTTCTAATGGTACTTACATTTCACCAGACAGAAAGGTGGATTCTATAGGAAGCCAAATAAGATAACAAACAGACATGATGATGAGGGCTTGGGATTTCATATTGGTACTCTTTCGGTGCCATTGAAAAATCTCAAAGCACTAAAAACAATCTTAAAGACTTTGGAGGATTAACTTTGGCTTGAATCTGACTCTTTATTGTTTGAATCCTCTTTTAAATCTGGAAATACATTTTTACAATATTTTTAGACTGATTCTAATACATTGACAGATTAACACAAGCCTGTTTGTGTTGAATAAACAGTCGACATTTAAAAAAACAAATTATGAGTATTGAAATTGAAAATTGAAAAAACAAAGGTTCAGGTTCGGTTGCGCTGACAACAGTTTTCAGTACTGCAGCCTCATAGATGACGAACAGATACAGAAATCATATATGTTTGTGGCTTTATAAAGATATTCATTCTATGATTTATTAAAAAAAAATAACATCACGTCTTTTTTTTACTGAAAACAGCAACAGAGGGATATCTTCAGCTGAATCCCATGAATATAGAAGTAACCTCAGAGGGATGCATCAGTGCAAACAAAAGCAGCAGCCTCCTGTAAAACTCTCTAGTTTGGGCAGAGTAAACCGCCCGCTCGACTTCATGTACAGAAGCTCTAAATGCGAGTGACATTTGCCCTTAAATGAGCTTAATGTGCATTGTTTGTGGTGTCTGAACACCATAGTTAGCTAAGATCGGTTAACCCCGGCATCATAAATGGGCTGTCACCTCGCAGAAGCCTGTAACAGAACATATAGTGTTACATAACACGGCCTGTCTGTCTGTCTTATAGCGGATGACTGGATTTGTAGCTGCGCCTCTCTTCAATTTGCCTTCCCAGATATCTAATTATATAGACAGATTTGAGGAATTATCAATACTCTGGTTGAAAGATTAAAAGACATACATTTACGAAGTGAAACATGGCTTTACACACAGAAACCAAGAGTAACGTTTGGTTAAAAAGTCTTAAGTAGTACTCATAACAGCTGGTAAGTAATGTCCCCAATAAAAATTGCTTCACCCTGACTAGTGGAAAATCTACCTGTCATCTCTGTTTCCTTGGCCAGATCTTGCCCCTGTACAATAAGCTGAACCCTGAGGCCTCAGCCACCCCCTGCTGTGTCCCACAGGACCTGGAACCCCTCACCATTATGTACTTCATCGGCCGCACGCCACGTGTTGAGCAGCTTTCCAACATGGTTGTCAAATCCTGCAAATGCCGCTAGATTCATTGGAAGAGGTGAGGGAGGCAGAGAGGAGGAGGAGGATTATTACAGGCCCTGAACTACAAACTGCTTAATTCAGGAGGGAAACAAAGACAACGGGACTTTCAAATCCTTTCTTCAATAAACTTTACAGACTTAGCAGACTTTTCAGATGTTGTATTTTTACCCTACATGACTCAAATGTCAGGATTTTGCTCTCCCCTTTACAGGCATGAAAACCTTCTTCATCTCTGGATCTTTGTGTTTGATATAGGACTCTGTAAATATGAAAACTTGGCTGTATTAAACCTGTACTGTATATTAAAGAGGGTGCTGTGTGATTGGGCCACATTCACTCTGAATGAAAAGGATTCTTTTTATCAGCTTTTTCTGCAGTATTCCTGCGGCTGTGGTCAGCAGAGCAAGCGAGGCGTGTTTGCTTAAGGTTTGAAGGTGTTGATAGGATGGAGGTGGTGTGGAAAGGTCTTTCACAGGCTGAAATCTGCAGGGTATAGAAGGCAAGGAGCGGATAGAAAAGAGAGAGAAAGAGTGAGAAAGAGACTGTGGCCCTGCCAGCTCTCTGCGGTCCCGGGCTGAAATCTGCCCGGCGTAAACAGGATGTGAAAGATTTCCAGACACCGACCCGACCACTCACGGAACGCTAGATTTAAACGCTCCCCTCATCTCCTCTGTCTCTCTCTCTCTCTCTCTTTTTCTCCCTCTCTGTTTCTCTCTCACTGGAGGTTCTGGGATTTGCGGTGGGAGGAGAGAAGGGGAAAAGAGAGGCTTTGAAAATGAGACGTGGGATGATAGGGCTGTATTTGGAATGGCTACAACTTTGGAAGGTGGTATTTTGCAGCCTTAGCAAATTTGTAACTATTTGGGTATGGCTCAAATGTTTAGTAATCACACTCCTGTGCACGTTTTCTCTTTGTGCATGTGTTATCTTATTGTAAAAAGTTGGTGACTCATTGCTATTCCTCGACGCCGTGATTATATTTGTAACTCACCTGTGTTTAACCATCGGCCTTTACTCACTCACGCTCACACACACGGTTTCTCTTCACATCGACCACTTTTGATAGAACGTCAAAAAGCTGGAAATAAAAAGAAACATCTCCAGGGCTCGTTTTAAATATAGGCTCTCTGGTATGCCAGTGGTTTGTGTATGTGTGCGTCTGTGTGTAAGAGAGAGTGACTGGCTGTGTGTGTTGCTGGCAGGGTCATGTGTGATAGCACAGGAATGATTCCCTGGTTTTTATTGAGAAATATCTCCTAAAAGTGACAGAGTGTACCCTCAGTGACCCTGCTGAGATGTGGATTTATGTATGTTGTTTTGTGTGTGGTCATGTGTGCATGTTTGCATAACCTGGCTGACAATAAAGTTTTATTTGAATGGGAAACAGTCCCGTCTGACAAATATGAGGTTGTCACAACAACATCCCCATCATGGATGTATTAACAGTACGAGTTGTTTTAATGCAGTAAATGAACATTTCTGACATGAAGTACTCTTTGTTTTGAAAGGGTCTGTGTTTTTTTCTTTCATCGGATCAGTTTTTGAGTTTGTAGGATTGTATTTTTACAAACATGTCCTGGATGTTTTGCCTATGCCAAACACTTATATCAAATTAAGATGTCTAGAAAAACTCTATGTGATTATAAAGGTGAAATTTAGCTGGCAGCAGCAGGTAGAGGCAAGGGAGATCCAAGGACTTCCAGTCTCAGCAGGTCCTCTTACACACAGAAAAACAGAAAACGAAGGTTTTGTCGTGATTTTCTTTCTTTAGAGCACATGTTTAAGGGATCTAGTTGTCCTTTCTAAAAAAAACAAAAACAACTTGACCGTCAGCAGAACCTTATACAGATCGCTCTCCTGCCAAGAGATCCCAATCACTGTGTATATACAGCATTTGGCTGTGCACTAGTGTTGGCATATACGTTTAATTCTGACCAGTGCTGATATAAAATCATATTCATAGAGTTACAACAACAGCAGGTTTCCTACACAGTTGGAATTTCCATACTTCTTCATACCCTACTTTTTAGAATTATCACTTGAAATACCTACTTTTCTATTTTTAGAAAACAGTGTTTTACAACTGTGGTAATAGTCTGGAAACATAGACACTTTTCCATACTATAATTTTCATTAACCATACTTTTTAAGATGTGGAAATTAATCAAACTGCTTCCATACTTTTCCTTACCCTCCATACTTGCATAGGAACCCTGCAACAGATTATCCTGAGAGTTTTTACACTGAGCAGCAGCTGGGTCAGTGGCCCCATGCTTCAAACCCTGGCACTCAACAATCAATGAGTTTTCATTAATAGAGCGCCAAGTCACAGCTTCACCATTGTACTCATTGTTATAATATTTACAGAGACCTACCGTGAGCCAACACTGGCCAGGAATAACGACCTTATCAGGGGCAGAAACCTCGAGTTGAACCAGACATACGCAGAACAGCCACCGTTAATTTGTACAAAAGATGATGTCATGATCTCAAAGTACTAATAACAATTAAGGCTGACAGGTCTCTGATGATCTTCCAAGGAGACCATGTGAACTGATTTCTTGAAGCTCCCGTTAGTTTAAACAGACGCAATCAAAAATATTTGAACTTTTTCTGTCACACTGAGAGTAATTTCCTTTTTGTTCAATATCTTTTTACTTAACCGGTGCTTGTGTGTTGACAGTTATTATCACTTTGATTTTTTTTTATCAGTCTTTGAGCTGAAGTTACCCTCAGATTCAAAAAAAGAGTTTGTCTTGTGCATGATGGTTTTGTTATTCTAACTGGTGTGTGATTGTTGTTCTGGTGACCCAACATATCAATTTTAAAGGTGGGCATGTGCGACTATACAAAAGACTCTTATTCCGGTGACTTCTGCCATTGAAAAAAGGCTCAAAGAGATACAAACTGTTCTCCAGCCACTGCAGTAAAATTGTTTTTTTTTTTCTCCTTTAAACCACAGCGAGAATGCAACCTCACTGTGTCTGTGTATGTCTGTGTGTGAGCGTGTGTGTGTGTGTGTGTGTGTGTGTTGTGACGAGGTGCTGGTGCTCGACTTGTGGTGAGGTTCCCTCCCCCCGAGTAAACTAGCCCCAGCATCTGTTAGTCTTTTGCACTTAACTACCCCTTGCTATATCCAACCTGTACTTATCCCACGGTGCAGTGCCTTGCTCTGTCTCACACTGAGTCCCACTGTCCTTGGGAGGGGTAGTCTGCTGTGGATATTGACCCTCGCTCTCTCTCTCTCTCTCTCTCTCACACACACACACACACACACCTTTCTATATAAGGCATGTCTGTGCGTCTGACCTCGACTGGTAGTGTACACATAGATCCTCGACACTCTGAAAGCACACCATACATACATATGAACATATAACCTGCTTGTTCAGCCTCCATACAGGGATACACTTCATGATTCATGGCTCTGGTCCTGGACTCACTCATCCTCCATAAACACATTAAAAATGTACGAGTCTTTGATAATGGTTGTAAAATGTTTTCCACTTTTTTGGCTGCATCAAATATAGCTCATGTTAAAGGTTTGGACTTCATTTCGTAACACGGCCCTGAAATCGCTCCTATCTATTTCTGGCCCTTGAATTGAAATACAGCTGCTAAGGCAACGAGACAGCACAAACACAAAATAAAAACAAAGTTTTACAAGCTGCACAGCTGTAATGAGACACAGGAGGAAAGAGAAGACACCGATCTGCAGCCGCAGCATTGAAGCCATGTTCCTCGAGCTCTCAAACTTGGAGACCAGAGTTGTACTTGAGGCCCTGCTGGGACTAAACAGCAAAGAGGCCAAAACCCATCGAGGCCCTGCAGTTCACATTTTGGACATAAGAGGGTGACACTTCCAAGTTTTCTCTTGAAACAAAGATGAGTTGAGTTAACTTGAGATAAACTTATATTTTTCATCTATTTTTGTCTTATAACCATTAAAAACTCAGTAAACGTTTAATCAAATCTCAAAGTCATTTTGTATTGTAAATGTGTTTGAAATAAAACATCAAGAACTTTAACAGAGAGAGGAAAAGATTCGAGTTTAGATCTGTAATCACACTGTAAATGTTTGATGGATGGTAAAAGTTAGAGTGAAAGAGTATAAAGATTTATTTATGTTATTTCTTGAAGGATTTGTTTTCAATTATTTTATTCTGTCAGAGGTTTTTTCCTCATAATCTAATTTGGGACAAAGTGTTTGAGTAAATTAAGCAATCTACATTATACATTCATATTCACATGAATGATACTGTATATACTAAGATAAAGCTTTGGCTTTATTGGCCTTTAAATTGTGAGTAAATGAAAATTAAGGCCAATTAGTTTATCTTTTCTTTTAGTAAGATACTCTGTCATTTAGTGGTAATATATCAACAAATCCCAAGCTAAATCTATTAATACAGTAATTATTGACTTATTAAGTTACACTTTCTGTTGATTGAATTATTGTTTCTTTTATGGTTTGGGCTGAAACACAAATCTAAAGTAAGTTTAAAGACATTGAAACTTAACTTTTAAGCTGTCTATAGAGAAGAACTGAAAGAAACAGTAAAAAAAAAATCCTTCTGTGGATTGAGAGTGTCAGTGTTCCTGAAGAGTGTTGGTTGGCACACCGGCACAGTGTCATGTGAATATCTTTCTGCTTCCAGCCCTATGTCAACAGATGACAAAATATGTGGGAGCCTGAATCTGAGTTTGGATTCATTCTGATGCTTTTTTTGGTGTTGGTGGAGGGCATAATGCCACTGCAAATTCTTGTAGTAGTCCCTGGTTCTGAGTAAGCAGGAACTTACTGTTTATTCCACGTTAACCAAGAGCTGAGTTCATTCAGGACTTGAGGAGTTCATGGTCCAGGTCATTTCACATCTTCTGATTCAAACCATGTGTTTTCTAAAAATTAAGTATTGCATAAGACTGAACTATTCCTTTGACATTACAAAGAAAGACTAGAATACCTCTCTATATCTGTGAGTTTGTTTTTGATTCCTCACAATTTAAAAGCATTTTTACAGAACTCTGTAGATGAATATACAAACCACAGCACTGTCTGTATTTAAATATCTTTATATCATGTTACAGCATACTGATCTGTATTTTTTTTGTATTTTCTGAGGTCTGATAATCTTCATGTGTAGCTTCAAGACAGTAAAAGGCAGCAGACAGGGTCAAACTGAGGACAAATGGAGCAGTTCTCGAGACGTGTACACAAAAAAACAAAAAAAAACAGCATTTTTATTTATCAGGCAAAAGGAATTTTAAAAGCAGTAAAAAAATAAAAAAATCAGCAAAGAGGAAAATTAGTATCCAACAGGATCTTGGCAACAATAGCTACGGACACTTGTCGGTAAAGTCAACTGTAGTGTAGTTTTAACAGCACTTTGATTTGGTGTATCCAAGAAAGCACGCAAAGATACTGGTGATGGAGCAGCAGGAACCAGGGCTTCAACACTGAGAGGAGGAAAATCTCACATTTACCCTTTTTAACCAATCGGAACATAAAAGAGCAGTTTGATGAAGTTTCATTTGTTTTAAATAGACAGCTCTGTTATGACGTCTGAACACAGACACTGGTGTGAATAGTTGCCGAGATGTGTCATGATGCTGTTGTTGTGGTTCAGCAGGGTTTTCTCTGGGATCCAACCAAGGTGGTGAGCCAAACACATCCTTCCCCTGATAAATTTAGATGAGACCAAAAGAACAAATGCCAGGCTGTACAGAAGAGATACTTTGATATATGGCATCTGTTGTGAATCACCCTCTCCACTCCGTTCCTGCTGTGGATTTGCTGTTTAGAGCTAAGATAGATGTTATAAAGCTCATTTAAAGCTCAGTTTTAAAGTTAAATTTTACTCAAATCTGTGGTGCACACTGATTGAAGAAAGGATCAACAAAGTTGAAGAGCAATAAGGGACAGAGTCACCGGAGATTTTGTGACCAAGTCATAACTGTGTTTAAAATGCCCCCTCATTTCAGAGGCCCATATAGTCCTTATTTTATAAAATAGTGTTTTGATTTGTCCTGCACTTTGGTCCTGACTGAATTATCCTCATTTGTTCTTCAAATCTGAGCAGATGTTTATCCTACAGCGTGATTCAATTCTTTGTGATGTCTCGTAACTTTTCCTCTGGCACCACCAAGAGGTTGATTTTTGTTTTCATTTTAATAAAACAACTTCTTTACCTTGATTTGTTTGATGTAAAATCTGATCCAGTGTTATCAAATAAGCTCATCCAGAAGTGTGCTGATCCAATGTACATTTATGAGACTTTATATGATTTTTTAAAAATATGAATAACAAAAGGATTAACAATGTGGTTCACATTTCTCTTGACCACATCAAATATGCTCCTGTACTTGTTTTACATGCAGCTCCACCAAGGAGAGCAGATTTTCAATATCTTATTTTAACTCTGAATATTACAGATAATAAGATTTATGCGGAGTGCAACATGTTTAAAACATCAACATTTAAATGTCTGTGCTTTTTCTGTCACCTGTGATCAACACTTGTGGAGCACTTGATTGTAATAATAAAATAATTAGTAACACTTTATTTGACACCTATCTCGATAACGCATTATAAATATATGTATAATGCATTATAATCACGTTATAGCACTGTATAACTATAATTATAAACACTCATAAATGATCAGAATCCTTTATAGCAATAATCATAACACATTAAAAAGCATTTTATCATGACTTACAAGGTCAGGTATTATAATGTGTTATAACTGTTAACAACTCACTGATAATGCCCACATAGATAATGCATTATACATATATTTATGATGAGTTATAATTTGCTTATAAACTTGTATAACTATCATTATAAACACTCATTAATTCTCATAAGGCTTTATAACAATAAGCATAACACATAATAATACCTGACCTTGTAAGTCATGATCAAATGCTACATTACGATCATTTATGAGTGTTTATAACTATAGTTACACAGTGCTATAGCATGGTTATAACGCATTATACATATATTTTTAAAGCGTTATAGAGATAGGCGTCAAGTAAAGTGTTACCATATAATTAAATACATTTTGAAGTAGCCTGAGGTATTGAGCCCAAGTTCTGGTTGATTGCACAGTGTTTATTTGTATCATTTATGAGTGGGTTTGGTGTCAGAACTACAAAAACTTTGAGGACTCCAATCTTGATCTCCTGCTCATCAAGTACATCCTCATGTCTTTGCATTTGGCTTGAAGCACTTTGACTCACAAAACCGCCAGAACAGCTTTTACGTCTAAATCACTTTTTTTTTCTTATTTCTAATCTTAAAAAAAAAGATCTGTAAATGATGAAATAATCCAAGTCTAGTGTGTGTGTTGATTCATATTGATGTTATGAGGACTATCACATCTACTAAATACACAATGGCACGATCTGTGTCTGTGTGTTTCACCGTTCATGTGTAAGGGGTTTGAAGTTGAGGTGAAGACTTATCTGCTCTGTCAGCTCTTGCCTCTACCTCCGTGTTCTGGGTGCAGTTGCTCCCTGAGTGTGAACCACTCTGATCCTCACACGAGGCAACATCTGAGAGAGAAGAAGAGTCTGGAGGTGGTGTCGGGGGGTTTGATGGAGGCTGCGTGTCACTGCTGGGCCTCCTTACCTGGCCGGGGCTCAGACTGTGCGGCAGCTGCCTCCTCATACTCCTTCTCTTAGGTTTTCGTGGCCGTCTCCTCCTCTCCTCACTTGCTGCTGAATGGACGTGGTCACTCGGAGTGTCTGAGGACTCATCGATGTACGCCAGGTTCTCTCCAAAGAAATCCAGCAGCTGACAGCCAGATGAGGAGGCGACGTTGAGGGGAAAAGAGGGAAAAAGGATGGGGGTGCTTGAAGAAGGAAGACATGAGGGTTGAGGAGACAAGGAGGGACAAAGAAAAATGGGGGCAGGGTGTTTGAAGGTATTTTTTGCCACAGATTCACACTCCTCTGCTGGAATCACTTTGAGTTTCTCTTGAACCATGCTAATTTGAGCAGCTCTCATTTGGCCCTCCTCCTGCACTGTGCAACAAGTCTGGAACCTCGTTGGAACCTGGAGCGTCACAAAAGACGAAGAGACTGAAGAGCAGTCAGATCTTGAGTCAAAGGAAGACTCCGATCCAGAGAGGGATCCGTTCTGCAAAGCTGCACCTCCTGGGTCCAGCTCTGAGGTGGAGGGGGCCACAGGAAGGGAGAACGAGCGGGCCAGATGATGAGGAAACGACCGGGCCTCCACCTGCAGAACCACAGCAGGCTCAACCCTGGGTCTAGGCCCTGCTCTGGAGACTGTTCCATCAGCGCTGACCCGAGGCCTGGACTTAGCCGCTGCTGCCCTCTCAAGAGAAGAATGTGTGTCCAGCTGGCTCATAGAGCGAGAAAGGCTGGCCCAGCGGTTTGGCAGGTGTCCATTCTCAGATCCTCCTCTGACCCACTGTCCCAAAGTGCCCTGGGCTCCTCGACGGATGCGGCGACGCTCGCTGCGTTTCCAGCGCCGGCGCTGCAGGAGGAAAGGGTCGTTGAACTCCAGAGGGTTTGGGATGCGGAAGTCCATGGACATGTTCTGGATATTCTGGGTCCAGTCAGTAGCGTGTGCCCTCAACTCTTCCATCTGAGAGAGAAAGCGAAGAGAGTGAGAGAGAGAGAGGAGTGAACGTCTGAAGAAGATGAGATAAAAATGTTGATGTTTTGGGGCCAAACATCTCTCACCTCAGCACGCGTCCTCTTAGACAGCACCCTCAGCCAGTTTCCAATCATGGTGAGGATGGAGGCAAAGTAGGCAAGACCAAACACAATCCACAACCACACCAGAGGCTTGAAGAGTATTCCACCGGTGCGACCACCAGCTGGACCCAGAGAGAGAGGGAGGAAGGTTGCTGTTCAGAGCGTGGATTATCCTTTGCCTTTTCATTACAATTGGATCAAGAAGTTCCCAAAGTCCTCGGTGACACCTTTAGATTGTTGTTTGGTTTGATGAGCAAAACACGCAATTGGGGTTGGTTTCAGCTCTAGTATGTTAAAAGTTTCATATTTTATTTAGAATTTTTTTTTCATATTTTAGTATTAAAAAATATCAGTATAGTAGGAAAATAAATGTCATAATAGAGTATAATATAAGTATCATGTTTTAGTATTTAAAAATGTCAAAGTATAGTGTGATAAAAATCTGATATTTTTGAGTAAATAAAAAATTATATTTTATTATGAAAAAAATTTCATCGTATAGTATGATTAAAATATCATATTATAGTTTTAAAAAATTTCATATTTTAGTATGATAAAAATGTCAAAGTGCAGTATGGTAAATAATGTCATAGTATAGCATGATGAAAATATCATCATATAAAATGATAAAAATATCAAATTTTTGTGTAAATAAAAATTGATATTTTAGTATGAAAAAATTTCACAGTATAATATGATAAAAATGTCATAATGTAGTATGAAAAAAATCATATTTTATTATGTGAAATTTTTCATAGTTTAGTATGATAAAAAATGTCAAAGTATAGTAATTTAAAAATATCGTATTTTAGTATGAAAAAATGTCATAGTATAGTATGATCTCTCGGAGGGCGGAGAAACAACTGCCCCAGAACAAACAGCTGTCTATACCGTCTAAAAGGAGGTAATAATAAAAATGATAATAATAATACATTTTATGCAGATCTCAAAGTGCATAAGGTATGCTGGTGTCTGTGACTGGGTGCGTGTTGTGTGTCAGTAACCTGGTACATAGTCTCCAAATCCAACAGTGGTGAGTGTAATGACCACAAAATAGAGTGCCTCCAGAAAGGTCCAGTCCTCCACTTTCTGAAACACGACTGTGGGAACTGCGAGGAAGATCAGGCAACCAACCAGGATGGAGAGAACTGCTGATATCACACGCACGGTGGTTGGCCTGACCTTACGTTTCTGAGGGAGAAAGATAACCACAGAGTCAGACAGAAGGAAAATGAACACTTCAGCCTGTCACAAGACAGCTTTAATATCAACTCTGTCTAAGTTGAAACATAAACCAGAAGTCCCAGACAGATGCTTCAAACAAAATCAGCAAATCTGCTTTTAGAACAAGCTAGGGGACAGTCAGACAGCGTGAATCCAGCTGAGTTTGGCTCCTCAGGCAGGACAGACCATTCTCACCAGGAAGAGAGTCTCAATTTTGCCCACAGCTCTTCGCAGTACGGTACCCATGTGGTCACCCACGCCGGCCAGCAGTATGCCAAACATGGGTATGCCCACCAGAGCATAGCACACACAGAACAACTGGCCATACCAAGTCCTAGGAGACAGGTTCCCAAAACCTGTGAAATAACAACCAGAATTAAGAGATTTTTAGGTCAGAGCAGCTTTGAATAACATGTATTCAGAGAAGTCTGACACGTTTGCTTACTGGTCAAAGGGAGAATAATGATATATGCAGGCTTACCCAGTGAGACTTATTAAAATACATATTTTACATTAATTAAGACAATAATTTACTCCTCTCGTAATCATTTATTTCAATTGACAGTGATTTAGAAACACAATTTGGTGATCCTTTTCAGGTTAAACATAAGGGATAATAACTGCACAGGGATGAACGTGTGCCCAGTGCTAAAGACTAAATTCATAAAGCTGCCGTGTATCAAAATGAACAAAAAAGTGAAACTTCTGAATACTGCAGGGACTCTGTGAGAAGTTAGCTCCCCTATCTATCCACCTTTCCAACAGAGATCTTTACTCAAGATGGCATTTAAAGAAGAACAGCCTGGGAGTAAGTCCCACCTACCTATGGTGGTAATGATGGTACCACAGAAGAAGAAAGCAGAAGCGATGTCCCAGCGGCTGGTGAAGTTGGCAGGCAGGCTGCTCATATCCAGGCCTGCCTCGACTGCATACGCCACATCCTGCAGGTAAAGCTTCAAACTTCAATCATTTTTTGTATGTCATAAGATAAATAAATATATCATTACCAAAAGTAACTTGTGACTGTATCTGTAGATAAATGTAGCAGAGGAAGAGGATTTGCCTCTGACTTATAGTGAAGTAGAAACTAGATAACAGGAGAGAGAAATAAAAGTCCCAAAATTTAAAAGAAGCACAAACTTTGAGAGAATGAACTTGTGAAGTTAATAATAATAATAATAATACATTTTATTTATAAAGCGCTTTTCAGAAACACAAAGACGCTGTACAAAGTTTAAGCAATAACAATAAAACACACATCAATAAGCAATAAAATTTACGGCAATATTAATAAAAACATGTAGAATCAGGTAAAGTCCAATGGGGGGGGGGGGCTAAGAAGGATGGAAGGCAGTGCTGAAGAGGTGGGTTTTGAGAAGGGTCTTGAATCTGGAGAGGTCAGTGAAGTTTCTGAGTTCGAGTGGGAGTGAGTTCCAGAGGGTGGGGGCGGCGACTAAGAAGGCTCTGTCCCCCTAGGTTCGGTGCTTGGTCAGGGGAACTGTGAGGAGGTTGGCATTGGCGGAGCGGAGGGTGCGGGAGGGGATGTAGGGGTGGAGAAGATCCTGTAGGTAGGGGGGGGGCGAGGTTGTGGAGTGCTTTGTGGGTGAGGAGGAGGATTTTGTATTGAATGCGATGTGGGATGGGGAGCCAGTGAAGGTTTTGGAGGACGGGGGTGATGTGTTGATGGGAGCGTGTGTGGGTGAGGAGGCGGGCGGCTGAGTTCTGGATAAGCTGAAGTTTATTGAGGAGAGTGGAGGTGGTGCCATAAAGGAGACTGTTACAGTAATCTAGACGAGATGAAATGAATGCATGTATAAGGGTTTCAGCTGCAGGGTAGGAGAGGGAGGGGCGGAGGCGGGCAATGTTTTTGAGGTGGAAGTAGGCTGTTTTAGTGATTTGCTTTATGTGGTGGGTGAAGGAGAGGTTGCTGTCGAAGAGAATGCCAAGGTTGCGACAGTGGGAGGAGGGGGAGAGGGTGGAGTTGTCGATGGAAAGATGAAAGTTTGTGACTGTGGAGGTGAGGGAGTTAGTTAAGGACCTGCTACCTGTCTGTTGATCTTACCCTACATCCTTTTTGAAAACATCTATGGCCCTTTAGGTAACACTTTACTTGACGCCTATATAACATATTATAAATATATGTATAATGTGTTATAATCCCGTTATAGCACTGTATAACTATAGTTATAAACACTTATAAATGATCATAACGCTTTATAGCAAGAATCATAACACATTATAAAGCATTTTATCATGACTTACAAGGTCAGGTATCATAATGTGTTATTTCCATTGTTATAAAGCCTTATGATAATTAATGAGTGTTTATAATGATAGTTATACAAATTTATAAGCAAATTATAACACATCATAAATATATGTATAATTCATTATCTATGTGGGCATGGTCAGTGAGTTGTTAACAGTTATAACACATATTTAATAACACATATATTTATAATGTGTTATAGAGATCTGATAGAAATCTGATATATCTGGTTTATTACTTAGTACGCTGAATTATTCTCTTCAGATGGGTGACTTTCTACTGCCGATAAACAATATAACAATCCATCTTTAGGGCCAATCACAGCATTGAGACTTTAAACTGTACAACGCAAACTATGGTGTATAGACTCAATTTTATGTCCTACATTTTTTTTTACCTTAAATTACTTTGTTTTTTTTTCTTCAAATGGACTTAATGATGTGGTGTGTCAAAATGAGGTCAGAAAGAAAACAAGAGGGGAAGGATACAGAACATTTTTGTTTTAAAACTGTGTCAAAATGTTAATGTCATAGTTTGCACAATGAGTCCAATGATACCTTCACAAGTTTGTGGAATTCCACCTCGGTGACGCAGGATTTGTTCTTCAGAAAGGTTTGCGTCTCATTGAGCAGGTTCTTGAATGCTTCATTTTCACTTGGGGCCTCCAGGGTGCGGAAAACAAGTGCACCCATCACCAGGTACAGCATGACCCCAGTTAGCAGGGCAAAGAGGGTGGTGCCCCGCATCTTCTCCCTGTCCACCCCCCCTCCCCTCCAGGGTTAGGGGTCAGAGCTCAGAGGCCAGGACTCAGGGAGGCTTGCAGTCAGGATACACAGGGGCACAGCTGGCCATAAACAGGAAGTTCCTTTGGAGAGGCGCTGTATGTGTGAGCACACACATGTGTAAACCAGCGACAAAAGTGTTCTTGGAAGGCTGACAGACATGAAAGCCGTTATTTATACATCTGTGTGCGTCATAACTTAAGAGATAGCAACTGACAGGAAAAGTAAGAAGAGCAGACATGAAGTACAAAAAAAGTGCAAACATTTTCTTGAACACACAATGCTTCCTGAACAGCTGCAGTGACGATGCAATACAGATATTACCCTTTTATTACAACAAGACTTTACGTGTCTAAAATAAAAGCTTTTACACTATAAATAAGACTTAAGTCAGTATGCTCATACAACCAAAACTAAAGCTATTAGATCCCATGCAACCATAGACGATAAGAGATTAAATTTATAATCCTCATGATAAGATGGCATTAACAGTAATAGTTGTAACAGTCGATAAGTAGGGCTCTAGTATCCATCAAATAGACACTTAAAAGTATCTTTTTAAGTGCTTAAAACCCTACATTTTGATTTTTTCTTTAGGTTTAAGAGCTTGAGGAGAATTTACAGATTTTTATCATGATTTAACCAACTCTTTAGTTTTACAAAACACTCAAAGGAGGACTATCAAAATTGAAAATCATTATCTAACTCCGTCTCTAACTTCCATTTACAAAGAGTTTGGTATCTTGCCGTCATCAACAAAGTCTTAAAAAAAACTTTAAACATGTAAAATCTTTTATACATGAAACACTCTACTGTGCTGCTTTGTGTTTTAAACACCTACTGTTTTGACACCATAGTCACAAAGTTAAACAGGCTTCAAAGTTTCCACACAGAGCAGAGCAGAGCAACAGCTATCTGTTATTGGTGGTAGGTACGCTGTGGACCTTCAGGCTGTGAGACAAAAAGTCTAGATTGTGCATAAAGATCCTTCAGTTATGCTTTGATGATAAAAGCACAAGTATTGAATTGTGCATGCAATCTGTTTGATCTATGTCCTTCTCTTGTAGTACATACTCACACAATACCTCTATTTGTAACACACTGTCTTTCCTGCATCACTATCTGCATCATTTTCCTCTATCTTAATGCCTGCCAGCTAACCTTACAGTTATTCTTCAACAAAGAGCTTGTAGCTGACTAACAGCTGAGTTTTCATCTGATTGGTAAAACAGTTGAAAAGCATACTCATGAATCAGAGATGGGACAAATTCTGAGTGGTTAAGGTCTGAAATAGGGGTGGGAATCACTAGTGGCCCCTTGATACAACATTATCACGATACTTGAGCCACGATACAATATTATCACGATACTTCGGCCACGATACGATATTATCATGATACTTGGGCCATGATACAATATTATCATGATACTTGGGCCACGATACGATATTATCACGATACTTGGGCCATGATACGATATTATCATGATACTTGGGCCATGATACAATATTATCATGATACTTGGGCCACGATATGATATTATCACGATACTTGGGGCACGATACGATATTATCACGATACTTGGGCCACGATAAAATATTATCGCGATACTTGGGCCACGATACGATATTATTGCGATATTATTTGATGTCACCTCTGCCAACCTTTTTGGACAAACAGTTGATTTTATTTTTCCATTATGATAGATTTGACTTCATATTAGCAATTAATTTGAAAAATCAATTATTGGTAAATGAGACGATACGATATATCACTAGACAAAATATCGCAATGTTATACTGTATCGGTTTTTTCTCCTACCCCCAGTCTGAAAGTCTGCTAAGGAGGTCCAGGCAGTGGGTCATAAAGCCTTTGGAGAGCGGGTAGATATTTGATGCTTACTTTATGTATAACTGTATGCAGTATGGAGACAGTGTTGGGCTTGTCAAGGAAGACACTATCTTCATAAGGGAAGTTCAGTTTGCCTCAAAGGTCAGTCCCTCAAGCTAAAGAAATAACACTCAAGCAAATGTTAACATTTGATGCTTGAAATCTATCCTTTACAAATATATCACTAAGTCACTGAGATGACGTGGGGCAGTTACATCATCCAACAGTTATAACACTTGAGGGAAAAACAAGATGATTTGTACAAAAACAAGAGAACAGTGAGTGTTTTCCCTCCTCAAGAGAATGAATGAAATGAGTGTCTCCCCTCGTCATTTTCACAGTAAATTATTGAGCTCGTTAGCAACGTCGTGATATGAAACCATGAATGGAAAGTTGGGACAGTTCCTTGAATGGTTGTATAAAAGGATGTGTATCTTTAAATACACTACTTTTAAGCAGTATCAACGTTTGATAGAGATCAGTCAGGGCAGAATCTATGTTGTCCCAAAAGCTTTTCTCTGTGAGCTCCAGAAAACACAACTATGAACATCTTTGTGTTTGTTCTGAGATTGGAGCCTTTTCAACTCAGATTGTGCCTTGACTTAAATAACAAAGATCAAAAGCCAAAGTTGCTCCTTTTTATAGATGGATAAATGGAAATAAAGCGCAGTGTGTTGAAAAGTGCAACCAATGTGATCACAGCCAAATGGAGTGATATCCTATCCTGAAAGGAACTATTCACTTGCACATTCAATGTGGTTTCTTTAGAGATAAAGAACATTTCATGAGGATAATAAAGATGGTACCTCAAGTCAGTGATATCAGGAGCTCATCCCATGTCAATGCTCAACACATCAGATGATGGAGAAATCTCCTCTCATCTGTATCCTCGTCCTCCTCTCTCTTTGAATTCCCTCTGATGTGTCATCAGTGTTCAGGAGTGGACTGTGGGTCTTTCTCTGTCCTTTGAGCGACACAGACACGTGTGTTAAGTTTAAATGTAGATAAGGGGATAAAGGAACAAAGTGGCTTTAGTTGGCACATTACTAGGTCGGTCTCTGGCTCTGTTTAAGAAGGCGATGTGTGGCTTTAAATAAGTGATCACACTGGAGGGAGTTTGTCATAATAACCAGGGAGGGTCTGACACACACCAGGCCACTCTGTCTGTGCTTTAACAAACTGCTATACATCTCCACACTGATCAAAAACATGTTCACTTCTTATCTGCAGTTGGCTTTTTCTGTTTTCTTTGAACTGTGTGAGATAGACATGAACACACACAGAGGACTGAGACTTTGGAGTGTCTTATTTTGGGTCAAGCGTCCCAAGTCTTGGTACGCGTGGATCTTGACAATGTTCTGAGGTTTTCCAGAGTCTGGCTGACTGTTAGCATTCTACGCTAATGGACTGTTGGCTTTGGTTTGTTTTGCTCTCTGCCCCTGGCTTCAGCACTGACAGACGTTATTAGTTATCACAATCTAAACCTGTGCTGGCATATTTTGATATTTTGCTAAGATATGGAGTGAGTGGGGGGGCTTGAAGGAGGACGGTGATCTAATCTGAAGCTAAACAGCGAGGTAGGTGGGGAAATAAATCATGTGGTGAGCCGTTTAAAATGAAGTATTAGGCCTGGAGAAAATGCACGGAAGCTTTTATCAGTTTTACATTAAATGAGACCTAAAGAAGAACCAAAAAAGGAGAAAAAACTATCTTGGATCGCTGATTTACAGTTATTTTTATTTCTGCTCAACAACTTAAAAAGTCGATCTGCCAACCTCTACTTAATGGTGGTAAATTCTGAAGAGCTGAGCAGTTCATATGGGGAGTGTGATTTGTTGGACTGTTTAATGTTGATCTTTTCGGTGCTTACACTACATCTTAATTTAAGATCTGTACATATAAGCAAGAAATGAAAAATAAAGAAAAACCTTTGAGCAAGTGCCCCATGAGTAAAAATTGGAATGTTTGATCAAAGAATTGGTTTGTGCTCTGAGGCAGGCGTGTCTACTTCATTTGACATTTGGGAATTTTCCACTTGAATGAAAAGCTCAATTCTTGAACTGTAAAATTATTCTCCCAAAACACTTAGCTGCAATGACACAGTCTATATATTACAGACTTTGTGCTTCCAGGGAAATACAATCCAAAACATGTTTTATTTTAAGGAGTTTTGACCTTTCAGCAGCACTGGCACAGCTCTAAAACGAAGTGGAAGATGGTCTGTGTGATTTATGTGTAATTCCTTAAGTGTACAATTTAGCTGGATTTGTACTTTAAACATATCTGACGACATTCAGAAGCTCTCATCACTTTGAGTTAGCACTCTCTGTATTTCTTTTTGAAATATATTTTTGTGATGTTTTATAACCATAGAATTCAAATTCTTATCTCTTTTATGGACTTTTTCAGTTTTCGGCAACTTGTCTACATTTGTATTTCCCTTAACGCACAAAAGTTCATTTAACTTATTCTCTTTTTACTTTTTATTTCTCAACATCTTATGTATTTCAAGATCTACAAAACCAGAATTCCAGCACTTTTATTTTTTCTTTATTTATGTACTTACTTATTTTTTATTATAGCTCCAGAATTTGTTATTGAAACAAAGTAATAGGAATATCCAGCTGTAGACGGGGTTTTGAGGGAAAGGGTGTGTTTGAAATGTGTTTCCTGTGTATATCTGCATAAAACTAATAAAAATATTGTTGAATAAAAAAACATATCTGACAACTTGTTATAAATACATTGACACCAAAAGTGGTGCATTAACATGCTGTTAATTCATACACACCAGCCCCTCATTTACTATTACCAAACTGTGTTACAGTAACTTTACTGACAGCGCTATTTTTTATATCTTACTCGCTGACAAAAAGAAACGTATTGATGAACATGACTTTGTGAAAAGACAGGAAATCCTTTCCAACCCTCATCTCTGCACAACCAACCTCCAGAAATAGATGACCATCCAGAAAAAAGTACATGGTATCTACTGTAAAAATTTATATAATTATGAGAAAATAAAGCTCCCTTAGATGAGACTATTCCCCAACGTTTGTTTATATATTAAGTTAGCCAACACTGACGTCACAAGGAGATCACAGGTTAAAACTCATGTTCTGGGAAAAGATTTGCACACAAATGAATCTGACTGTATAAGGATACACGCATAAAAAAAAAAGCTTGCAAGCTGACATTTAGCCTTTAGAGAACAAAACCAAATAAAGAAACGGACAGGCAAACTAACCGCTGGGGCCCATAAATCTCAGAATAAACATCATTGTACACTGAGTTGCTCTGAGAGTTTTTCTTCTGAATTTCTTGCACTCTCTGCCCTGTCAGGATTATCCTCTGTATTATCTTCTGTATTATCAGAAATATCAGAGCAGACTGATAACTCCTTTTTACATCAGTATTATAGTCAACTACTGAACTTGATTACTTGCAAATCTAAACTTCAGAGGAAAAGCCAGAGGACCCACATATACCCAAAAAGAAGAAACCTGCACAATAAAAAACAAGAAAACTTAATTTCTGTAAATCTGAGGAAAAAAAGCATTGCTGCATGTCTTACCTTGAGTTTGAAGAAATGTTGTTATCCAAGTTTGTGCTACGCTGCATGTGTTGCTCTCACCATTCAGCACTCAGAGAGGAACTGTGTCTATGTATGTGTGTGTTGTCAAAGTGTATGTATGCATGTGTGTTTTCTCCTTGGAAGGTGTTTCCCCATTCTCGTGACCCTGGATCACTCTGGCAGGAGAGAGATGATGGTAGGAGGAGAGGGAGGAGGAGCACTGTAATATTGTGTGTATGATAAAGTGCTGTGACTGCAGGGGGAAAGCAGAGGGCTCGAAGTTTCCTGCTAGACATGGGGGAAAGTATTCACTGAATCCTTCTCTCTCCAATCTCTGTCTTTTTGTGAAGTAAAAAGAGACACTTGTTTTCTCAAAGTCAGAGTTATGGTCCACGCAATTTTCTCTACTTGAAGATGTTTGAAAAAGTTGTGAAATAAAACAGACTTCAACCCCTCCATCTGATTCTTAAAGAGTCTATACTTTATCAACTGTGTTCATGACCAAGAGGCAAAGGGAGAGGGAGATTGCTAATTACGGAAATACTTGAGTGATTTAACCGAGATACTCCACTTAAACGCTTTGAGGACCTCCTTTATTGGACTCACCCAGACTTACTATGATGACAGCAGCAAAATAAAAGATTTCAGGATCAAACTCTTCTCACATCTTAACATCAAAAACACATTTGTCAGTCACACTTCAAAGATTTAAAGGCGCCTGAAGATAAATTAATCAGAAACCGGAAAAGACAATAGTTTAACTGAATGAAAGCCGTTTAATCTAGACTTAAAAACACAAATACATTTACGTCACTGTGTCCAAAACAAAGCAGCAAAAACACACTGAGCTCAGCCTGCTCATAATCTGACAGCCACTCCTCCCTGCCAACGAACTACAGATCCCAGAGGTCAGAAGGCAGCTGCAAAGCAGGGCATAGTGCGTACATGTGTGTAAAGATGGCAGTACGGCAAATAACTGGCAATGATGGCATCAAGTCAAGGCAGGAGAAGTCTGTACTGTTCTGACTGAGTCGTGTAGTCAAGAAAAAAAATAATAATCACTGCACCTTCAACTAAAGTAATCTCATTAGAAACTCAAATCTGTCTCAGTAAGGTTGTGAGGGAAAAGGTTCACATGTTTTAATTGAGTTTCAAAACACTTCTGTGTGCACTGAAAGAAAAATGATCAATTCAATTATTACTCCAGCAGTCGTGAGACATATACTGTTCATCTTTGAAATACAAACGCATGTAAAGCCTGCAGGAGCTTTTGTCACCTGGTCTCTGACTCAATTATTGGGTGAATTCTTTGAAAACTATAAACATCTAAAAATCTTTTTTAAGTGTTGTTACATTGATTGGGGTTCTTGGATCTTTTCCCTTTCTCTTAAGTTGAAAATGCTGCCTTAAAAAGAGCAGTGGGGATGACCAGTTTCTCCTCCATGTGCACACAGAAATTTTGTTTTAAGACAGACTGGAAAATGTGAACATATCCTTTCATCAAGTGATCAACCCTTGAGTTCAAGATAGACACTTCGCCACAAGGTGCAACTTCAACTTTAAATCAGCTCCAATTTATCTACAAAAATCTACATTTTACTCACATCTCTACAGTAACGAATGTGCAAGCACCAAAATCATATCAAATAAATTATCTCTGATCAAACGAAAGGAAAATACAGAATTCATGTGCTAATAAAATAAAGCTTCAGGCGGGAACTTTTTGGTAAATACACCACGGAGTGTTTGTTAGTGTAGGACAGAGCGGCGAAGCAGCAGGAGGAGAGAGGGAAACCAGTGTGTATCACCATACATGGAGCGGAAACCAGAGCAGGTTAGACTGAGTCATAGATATGTGCTTGCTCCTTTCTCTCTCTCTCTCTCTCTCTCCCACACACACACACACACACACACACATACATACACAAACGGTAACATCGACATGGCGACACGTGTTCATATGCACAGCTAACATCTCTCTCACACACACACTTGCTACACTTTCATGTAACTTCTGTGGACATGTGTCCTCTAAGCACATCTGATGCTATATAAATAAGTCACCACAAGAATTTTCAAATAAAAAATGAAAAAAAAAAAAAAAAAAAATCAGATCACATTCTCACTGCAGGCCTCTCTTGGCTTCACCTTTTTGGTAAACAAATCATCTTGTCTAGAAAAGCATCAACTAGGCACTGTTTTCTTACTCACAGGCAAGATATAAGTTCATCCAGAGTTTCTGAAAACTCCACAGTCCCTTTTGGAAAAAAAGTAGTTGTCTTCAAGAAACATCAACAAACATCTCTAAACTTCCACCTCTGTGCCTAAATATAGAGTGAGGGAGCTGTGATGGACAGCGGAGCCTCCACACAGTAATTAGAGGATAAACGACTGACCATTAAGACATTTCAGATCCACAGAGGAGGTGTTTGTTCTGTCAATGCTAGTGCAGTGACCTGCACAGCATACAAAGGAGTCCATGTGGGATTGCTGCTCTCTTAAGATTGAGGGGCTTCAGGTAGTTTGCTGTGATGGAAGAGTACTTGTGTAGCAGCAGGCATCCGTCACTGATGATCCCATTAACCTATGAACAACCAGAAAAAGTAAACATGCAAATATTAGACCACATATTCTCTCTAAAAAAGAGTCAATAACTAAATTAAAATTTAAAAAATCTCCTCAGACAAAGCTTTGATTTCAATGACTTTTAAAAATCAAATGTTTCTAGTCCATCTCACTAATCACTGACTATTGTCCTTTTTTTATTTGAGCCTCGTGGATCTGTACTCTTTAAAAGTCACCTATAACTGTGTTCTAATCCGTCTCCTCCTGCTCTGGGCCTTTCTGAGGAGCAGGTACCACGCTTGTCCCCAACAGACCTCTCCTTACAATGTAGGGACAAGAAGGACCACTGGGGATGTCAGCAAAACCTGCAGGGAGAGGAGAAAACAGATGAAAATCAGAGTGGGAAATGAAAAACACAGAAGTATCACTCTGTTTCAACATACAGGGAAAAAAAGAACTTATTTTTGCGATGCCATCCATTAAGTTTGGGCTCTAACACACCTTCAGATGTTGCCACAAAAACTGAACTGGGACCTACACCTTGTTTGTCTACAATAAAGTAGCTGTTTGTTTAAAGAAACGTCCTGACTCTTGGGGAAAGACACCTGTTTGCTGAAGCACATTAGGAGAAAACATTTTGTACTGACAGTTTGTTTGTGCTCCAGCCTGATGCTTCAGATTATCACTTGAAATTGTTCTCACGCCACAAACCTACAACTCCTGTATTTACCTTTCATGACCACTTCCGGCAGTCCATAGGGTTCGTACTCAGTGTCGTCAAAGGCAGCGGACAGCTGCGTCCTGTTACGGCGGATTCTTTCAGCGAGTCTTGCCGGGTCAGCTGGGATGGGGAAGGATCCTGAAAACAAGCTTTTGTCTGCTACTTCTGCCTCTTCAGATAACACAGGAGAGACCGGAGGGGACTCCACTGATTCTTCCTCCTCCTCCTCCTCCTCCTCAGTCTGAGTGAACGCACAGTGGCGGTCAGGTGCTGCTAGAGCACTGAGAGGACAGAAACTCTCCTCTGTTTGACTGCTGACGCTCTTCATTTCTGTCCTGACAAGCTTGTCAGAGGCATCATTGTTTGTTTTTAATTTATTCACTTCAATGAGAGTTTCTTGATTCCTCATAAAAGACTCTGCTGTTTTGGTCAGACTTGGACCTGGGACTTTAAGGACGTCTTTGGCGGCTTGTTGTTGGATTACTTCAGAGTCTTTCCTCTCTTTGTGTTGTACTTGACAGGGATTTGACTGGAGTAAGATGCTGATGTTCAGGTTTTCTTTCTCAGTTTCCTGAAAACAAACAGAACCAAGATATAAAAAATCTAAAGCCGAAAACATACAGGATTCGTATTGAGCGCGTTCCGTATTTGCTCCGTAGAGCAGCTCTGGATATAGCACACAGGATGCATATTTGGAGTGTAGCAACAGCGTAGCACAGCCGAGGTCAGCTGGGCTCAGTATAGAGTAAACAACACACTCACAACACGCTGTTTTTCCTCTCTGTGGTCTATTTCCTGCTAATTTGGATATAATTCAGTGACCGTTAAGCCTCTACTATATGTGAAAAAGCAACGTGATTTTACAGTTTCAGTTTTAGCAGGTTCATTTGTGTGTAATAAAGTAAACTATGTTCCTTAACGCTGTGCTGTTACCTTCAGACAGAGTTAGCAGTGAAAAGTCCTGTTGGGGTCCACATGGATCAGGGACTGACCATCAGACTGTTCTGTGTTACTGATAAATCCACAAACAGGAAGTATTTCTCATCTACACGAGCTGATACACAGTCAGGAGTTCGGATATGGTGTTTTATTTTGAAATACCGGATGACATGCGCGGTTTTTGTGCTTGACTTCCTGTCTAGGATGCTCTTCTCTGTGTGGATTGACGCACATTGGAAGCGTAGAGCAGCAAAAATAGACCTGATGTGTATCTTTAGCAGTACCGCTCTCGATACGATGCTGCGACAGAGCTGATACGCATCCTGTATGCTTTGCTGCATCGATTAGAAAGGCAACCTATTTGCTGCGTGATACGCGATGCTGCTGCCACACTCCAAATACACATCCCATATGTTTTAGCCTTAATTCTACATGTAAACAAAGATGGATGTGGATGTGATTCACCACTATATTACAAAACATTGATCAACTGGTTTATTGCATTTATTTTTCAATAGTTTGAACCGAAGCACAAGATACTTTGAAGTTAACTCTTCAAAAATCATTAACAAATAATTGAGAATCACTAGAAAAGTAAAATCAGTACTCATTTCCTCTGAAGGGTCATGCTCAAAGCTATTTGAATTTCTCCTTTTTTTCTGTCAGACTTGAAATGAAAGAGTCTTAACTGCACTTAAAGGTCTGATATTTAAGTGGGTAATTAGAAGAGTACTGTTGAAACAAATACCTTGTTAAGCCTGGTAGTAACTTGATTGTAGTCCTGAAGTGTTGCAGTCTTTTTAGCGGGCTGCAGACTCTTTGGTTCAGGTAGATTGCTGTGCTGCAGCCTTGTGAGAAAGCGAAAACAAGGATCATTTACAGCACATAAAGAGGAAGAAAGCAGAATACACGCATTAAACTCTAGCATATTAATCTCTCATGCTTAAAAGAAGTCGTGTAAAAGTCATCTGAAAATGAAAGCACTACCTGGAGAACAAGGTTCGACCCTGCAGTTTGTTGGAGGAGCAGGAGAGAAGTAACTCATCTCCTCTGATCACTGTCACATGACCAGGGCTCTCCTGAACCTTTGCATGGTTCTGGGTCGACTCATCACTCTGCTGCTGGTCAGACTGGGACTCTCTGAAAGCAGAGATCTGGTCCTGGGTCTCAGACTGGTTTTCTGCGTTGGAGGGATCAAAGGTTGGGGCTGGTTGTGAGGCTAGTCTCCACATGGCAAGCTCCTCTGCCTGCTGCTTGCTCGCCTCAGAGAGAGAACGCAGCTTCATGTTCAGCTCCATCACCTGGGCAGAAACAGAAACTTTGAATGTGTAGGTCACTGAGACAAAAAAATATCAGTCAATCTTGATCACTCCTCAGAAGGGAATATCAAACAGATGTTGTGATAAAAAGAGGAGGTCATTTTTACCTGTTGCTGAAGATGGACAATCTGGAGCTCAGATTCTGCCTCCTGATCCCTTTCAGCCTTCGAAGTCCTCTCTCCTTGATCAGAAGTGTTGATGTCCACTGGCAACCTGGGTGTCTTCTGCTCAACTGAACCGGACACAGCAGCATCTCCTGTGTCTGAGCTTTTCCCTGCTGTGTCTCGTTGGTTTATGTCGTCTATGTGTAATGTAGGAGCGCTGGTTGCCAAGACAGTGAAGCCATCGACTGTTTGTTTCAGCAGCTGATTCTCCCGCTGCGGAGCTAGAAGTTCCGTGACCACGTCAGTTGTTTCTCCATCTTTGCTGCACTTAGTCTCTGTGATCACACAGGTAGAGTCAAGGTTCCTCTCTCCGAGGCTTTTCTCTGGTTTTGCTGAGTCAAAATGAAGATGTTCCTCAGTCTCTTGCTTTTGATCCTCATCCTCTTTTACCATCGACTCCTCTCCTCTTTGCAGCTCTCCTTCCCTTTTGACTGCCTTGAGCGCGTCTACCTCTTGCTTATAGTGCTGCAGTTCCTCGGTCTGACTGTGGAGGGCACTCTCTTTCTCTTGCAACTCTGTTAAAAGTCCAGAGATGTGCTGGCTTTGTTTCTCAAAAGCCATGGTTAGCTGTTGGGTCTGACGTGTCACCTGAGAGGAGGAACAAGGAAAAAGATTCAAAGAAAGAAGAATAGAGAACAGCTGAGACGAACAAAGCAGCGAATGTATTTTCCCCACATGAGCCACCTCTTGCTTTAGTCAGTATTTATTTAAACCTCAATCTATTAAACAGTCATATGCAAATTAATTCAGTAATTATTGATAAGCCGTCAGTATCTTCTAGCTTCTGTTTCTTGCAGCCTTTTCCTGAGAACTAACTCACTTGTATGAAGAGTGGCAATGGCATTACAGATGTGATTTCTGTGTGTACTTTTCTATATTTTTCAGTATTGCTGTCTGTAGACATTCAGAGGACCTTGAGCTTTACTCATATCTAACTGAGGGGCTAACTTCAAGAGACAAAAATCATAATAATCCCTTATTATCAAGTATTTATTAAAGGGATATTCCCGGCGTAAATTTAAGTTAAGGTCAAACACACCGTAACACCGAGTAAGACACCCCGCCACCAGAGATGAATGTTGCTGACTGCTTGCTTCTCTAGTTTTACCAACTTTAGTAACGACCGCTTGATAGCAATACACAATGGTCTGAGGAGCCATAAACAAACCTCAACCAAAACGCCACTCTATAGCCACAAATAATGCTCAGAACAGCACCTAACTTCATCAACAGTACATATAGGGTCCTAGCCATAGCACGAGCTACCAAACATCTTTTTTACTTTGCCTAATTTCTTTAGCAAAGAGACTGAACACAACTCACCTACTCTCTTCCAGCAGCCGCTTGTTTGTAGCGAGACCTCGGGCCAGTCCATTACAGACTTCAGCAGGGTGACGCAGCTCAAGGAAGAACATTTATGATTATTTCTTTATCATTTCCTTGAAGTAATAATCACCATATTTATCCTTTTGCACTGCAGACGCAGTAGTTCTTCTGCCTCACTCTGATTGCATTTTCATGAAGAAATGATCATAAATGTTCTTCCGTGAGCTGCGTCACCCCGCTGTAATCCGTAATGGACTGGCCCGAGGTCTGTTCTAGGTGCTGTTCTGAACATTATTTGTGGCTATAGAGTGGCGTTTTGGTTGAGGTTTGTTTATGGCTCCTCAGACCGCTGTGTATTGCTATCTGTGGTCGTTACTAAAGTTGGTATAACTATAGAAGCAAGCAGTCAGCAACATTCATCTCTTGAGGGGGTGTCTAACTCAGTGTTTGACCCTAAATTAATTTTACACCAGGATATCCCTTTAAATACCGTAGTCAGGTCTTTGCTGATCACATCTACCTCAATACACTTTCTAGCACCAACTGTCACCATTTACCTGTCTCTGCAGCGCCTCCAGTTTAACCTGGTATTGGTTTGAGCGCTCAATCTCTTTTGCGTTCTCCGTCTGCAGCCGTTCCACCTCTTTTGCCAAATCTGTGTGAGAGAAGTCGTCCTTCTGGAGGGTTTTTCTGGTGTCTTCATGACTAACGCAAACAGTTTGCTTCTCATCTGACAGATATGATCCTTCGGCGTCGATCACTGACCCCTCCTCCTGGATGAGATCTGCTGTAGCTTGACAGACGAGCATGTTGCGTTGGTTTGTGGACTCACAGAAAAGGAGATGCTGCACCGGTGAAGGAAGAAGCGTGTCGCAGCTAACCATGTTGGAGTTGAGCTCGTCATTATGTAGAGTTAAATACGTCAGCGGGCTGTTGGCAACTGGAACTTTCTCCTTTTCCAATAACTCTCTATTTCTGCAGTGCTTCACTTCTTCCAACTCAGCTTCAAGCTCTTCTAGTTTCTTGCAAAGCTCCTTATTTACATCTTTGTCAGTGTTCATCTGGTTCCTCTCCTCCTCCTCCCTCTTCCTCTCTTCTCTCTCTAAAGCCAGTTGAGCTTTAACTTCTGTCAGCTGTTTCTTGAGCTGGAAGTTCAGCTCTATCATTTCACTCTCTCTGTCTTGTAGAGTTTTGTTGTTCTCCTCCTCCTCCTCCTGCTCTTCTCTCTCTTTCTTTTCTTTCTCCATATTTTTTCTATTCATCTCAATCTCTAAAGCGGCCAAGGCCTTCCTCAGCTTCTCAGTTTCAGCCTTCTCGCTCTCTAGCTTAACCCTCCATCCTTTGTCCTGCTCCTCTTTCTCCGCAGCTTGACTGGCCTTTTTGCGACTCAACTGTTTGAGCCGGGTCCTAGCTTCTGTTTCTGCGCGTCGTTGAGCTTCGAGGTCCTCCAGGCGTTTCTGTAGTTCTTCACGCACATCATTTAGCTCTGAGCGCAGTGCTGCATTCTCCCTCTGGAGGTCCTCAGAGGCCTTGGCCTGCTCAGAGATGGTAGACGTTGTCTTCTCGACAGAAACCTTCAAGCTGCAGTCACCACCAGTCATAGAATTGTTGGTGCACAAACCAGCATCAGAGTGAGATAATGTAGAGAGTTCACGGTCGTTCATGTTGCCCTCGTTTCCACTTTTTCTCTCCTCCTCTTTTCTGTTATTTCTGTCTTCTGCTCTTTGTAAACATTCAGAGTCTCGGGAGATGTGCTCTGAGTCAATGCCTTCTCCTGGCTCCCTGTCAGGGGGGTAAGATGCAGTAAACTCTTCCCGTCTGTTATCCATGTCCTCTTCCTCTGTCTCCTCCTTTACCCTCTTCCTCTCATCTCGGTTTGCAGTGTTTTGCCTCTTGATTTGAGCTGATGGTCGAGAGGGAGGAGTGTGAGAAGGTTGGGAGGACAAACTCGGTCCAAAAGGGTGAAACTGGACAGGTTGTTGAAGCGATGCTGAGGCAGCTTTTTCCTCTGGAGTCAAAGAAAGGACATTTATTACAATATAAAGTATGTTTTCAACATCCGCTTACACATACACAGAGATATAATGTACTCTTTTAATGAAAAGATGCTTTACTAAAAAAGGTTGGAGTATTTGGTATGGTATTTATTGCCCAGCAGGAGGCAGCACTGAGGCAAGTGTCTTTTTTTAAACAAGGGATGTAAACATGCATTGAAGGATGGACGTTAGGACTCATTAATTTTAATAATTCATAACCATCTATGTTTTATTCATAAATCCATCAAAAGAGCAGCATAATGACAAGAGGTCCATCCAAGGACAGTGGCCTAAGCCCGCATTTTGACAAGTGTTTGCTCTGCTGTATTGTTTGTCAGCAAGACACTGAATCCCTCCCAACTATCGACCTCGGACCTTCCTGAAGAGGAAGGCAAGAGAAAATCTCTGACCAGGTTTTGTTTGAAAACATAACGCATAAGCTTCAATATCCCTGCTTCATATCCCATGACTAACAAATCCCACGGATTTGTCCACCCACAGCTCTCTCCTCACCCTGCAGCTCTTTGAGAAGACGAAAGGCGTCGGCTCGCTCCTCTGCAAGTCTTTTCCCCTCTTCCTCCAAAGCTCGCTCTCTCTTTCTGCTCTGCTCCAGATTCAGTGCCACACCCTCTGAATCACGAACTGCTTCCTAATGCAAAGATAAAAAATACAAATGAGGTGGATAGAATCTAGTGGTCAGATATGCTCGCATGATCAGTTCCCAGTAGAGACTTCCATTTCAGACAGACTTTCAGACATCCATTGATGTTTAATTTTTCTTCACCAGGTGCTCTAAAATATATCCAACAGGTGATCAGTGATCACCCATACTAAGACATATTTAGTCCCCCCAAAAATATGTCAAAAACAAAGTTACTTATGGCATCATTATACAACAAGAGTGTATTGGTCTGCTGATTAGACTGGTTTGAAAGTGGCACCTGAAATGTTTGTATTAATGCTGGATAAATTCCAGGTAATGATCAACTGTGAATAAACTACTGGAGCTGCATATAAACAGTGTCACAGTGAGGACAGCCACATACAAATAGGTTACAAACACAGGCTGCAGTTGTGCATGCTTCGCAATCAGGTTAACATAGAATAAACTGCAACAAATAAACTATTACAAGGTTTGAAACATTCAGTAAAATGTGACTCTGCTTGGCTTTGGTCAGGTTTTGAAATGATTACTCTAAGTTATAGCTTTTTCTGATGTATGAAGAAAACAGCTTTGCTTGTGTTCAGGTTCAGCAGATAAAATTCATAACTGTATACATAATCTGCTATCCCATGTTTGGGCATTTTTGATGAAATCCAAAGGTAAATTTTGCCAGAAGAAGAGGTAAGGAAAGCATTTAATCATCTGAGTAGCTTTGTGAAATGGAAGAGACCACAATGAAGTTACTGTCTATCATATTTTACTATCTAATATTTTGGACTGGCAGATGGCACATCGAGATGCTGTTAAAAATTTAAAGAGTTCATTTTATACTTACCGCTCAACTAATAAATAATTCACAAATGCAGACCCTGACTCGCCTAACAATAGACCATCACTGCCATGTGCTCGTCTTTGTGTGCATGTGTGTGAATGGGTACCATTAGTTTGGCTTGTGTCTGTGCCTCTTTCTTCTGGCTCTCCTGCAGCTGTCCCTCTGTCCACTTCAATTTCTCTTTCACAGCGTCCAACTCTTTGTCCAGCGCCTGCTTCTGTAGAGACAGCTGATACAAGAAATCATGACTCGGCAGCTGCTCAAGACGGGAAATCAGATCTTAGAGCATGGAAAAGAAATGGTACTAAACAGTTGAAGTTAGGGGGTGAAAACTGACACAGACGGAATAAACAAAGATAATAAAGGTGTTGTAGATGACATTAACAAGATTAGAAAACGGGGGAAAACAGGTAGTGCTATAGAGCATTATCTCTTGGATTTGGGATCACAGCTTCCCAATAGTACTCAAATTAAAGTCTGTTCATTAAGTAGAGAATCCTAAAGCTACTTTAATGTCTTCTTAAAAGTAGCAGCAGTTCATTACCACTGGAAATGCCTCCAATTCTTGTTAAAGTGAAGACAAACTGCTCTTCTGATTGTTAACTCTCACCAGCCTTTTTAGATGACATGAGGAAACATCTCTGTGCTTTAAGGCATAATGTAGTAGGAATGAATGATCATAGTTAAGATTTCTAAACCATGTCTCACAGGACAGGAATTAAGTTTAACGACATACCTTCCTCATGTAGAGGAAATCAAAAAGGAATATATGACGGCACAATGTCACAAACACAAACATTCTCCACCTTAAACGTCATGCAACACCTTCATTCAGTCGACCCTCATCCCGTACTCATGCCTTCACGCCTCTCTGGGTAAAACTATTTCTCACACTCACAAGTTATGAGTTTGTTTTACACTCCCATAACCAAAGCATTCTGCAACGTCAGATGCAGTCACACAGTCATTACCTTCACTGCTCAACCTTTCCACTGGGGAGAAACCGAGAGGAGAGGAGGAAGTGGAGAGGAAAGCAGGTGTGAGGGGGGGAAACATAAACACAGAGAGCAAGAGAGTGATACGGAGAGTGAGAGTCAACAACAAAGGCAAAGAGACAAGCGTGAGGAAAGCAGTGAGATCATTTTTTTCAACCTTTGGTTCAAATGATACCAGTTCCAGGGGAAAGAGAGACAGGGAAAGCTGAATAGAGAAACAGGAAACAGCTGAAAAAGCAGAGCTGGTAAATGAACAAAAAACACAGAAAATAACTCGTCTAATACAAAGGCTTTTATCTATGCAAATTTAATTATAGAAATATGTGTACGGAGGCTTGTTTGTTTGAGTGCTTAAGTGACATATGATTAGCTGACTTGTATGTACGTATTTACCTTGTCAGCCTGAGCCTGCAGGTTATTGTGAAGTGTCCTGGCCTGTTGAAGCTCCTGGCTGAGCTTGTTCACCTCCTGCTGATGCTGCCTCTCTAAACACTGTCTCTCCTTCTGCAGCTCCATCAAATCCTGAGAAACACACACAAAAGACACCAATTTAGATTTTGTTTAGAACTAAAAACGGATCCTCATTAACTAGTTGTTCACGTCAACTCCAAATGTTGACTTTTACTTGTAAAACCCAAATTCCAAAGGAGAGCCTGAATTCTTGAGCATTTTCAAAACTCAAGAAGTGGTTCCCCTTGGTTCCCAAACATTTACACTGTTGGTAACATAGACTGTAGAAGAAGAGGTGAGGCCACACTGCAGTACACATCCCTGTCTCTACAGTTTTTAAACATGATCAAATCTTAAAAAAGCAAATATTTTTCAAGTAACAATAAGGTTTATGAGTTCCAACATCTAGAATTAAATCATTTGAAAACCACCGAAATAGAAATATACTCTAAAGGTAATGAAGAAACGCTCAATCTTATTGTGCCATTTCTATTGTTTATCCTCCAGCTTATTTCACTGAAGTTCACTTAGCTGTACTCACCCCCCCCCTCCCTCCCCATTATTCTGTAGTGCTGCTGTCTCTCCCTCTGAACACACAGTGGCTTTACTGCCCTCTTTCTTTCTCTGTTTGTCTGCTGTGTTGACTTTTGTTATCAGCATTTAGCTTTACACAGTCGCCCCAATGGCACATTTTTCTTCCAACACCACAGCTGAGTTGCATGTGAATGAAGCTTGTTTTTAATGGCAACATATGAGAGTAATGGTGGCATCGGAGGCGCCACAATATGACACCTCGGATATACATCAGAGCATTTCAAGATGGAGAGCAACATCAGCAACGTTGTTAGTCCTTCATAACTTTTTATGCCAATATTTTTTAACATTAAAGATGAGTATTAGTCGGCCAAAAGCTATCATCTGTACTCCTAATAATGACATGAAACAAAAATCAAATCTGAGAAATACTATTTTTTCTTCTTTTTACTAAGGTTTATTTTTCTTTTCTTTTTTCCCCCGTATCCATCAATCCATCCACCTTTTCTCTTACCCTCTGTTGTTGTTTCTCCAGCTCCTTGGTACGTTGTTGGTGTTGTATCCGGCTGCTTTCTGCATTTTGCCTCTGACACTTCAGCTCCTCTTGTAGCTGCTTCAGCCTCTGCTCAGCACCTGATGCCTGTCACAACAAAAACACACAAAATTTTAACTGAAGAAATAATAAAGGAACAAGACAAATAATGTAAGAATTGGTAGCCTTTTGGAATTGCATACTGTTTGTAAAACGGTTACAGTTCACCAAAAAAATCTGCCATCTGCACTGATGGACAGAGCTCACAGCATTCAAGCAGATCTGCTTCTAAGCTGGCTCTTTTAGAAGTATTTACATTTTTATATTTTCCTGGAAGTACAGACAGAGGGCTTAAAAATGCTCCAGTACTTGGCTGTGAAGCTTTCAGTTATTTCTATCCATGTAAATTGTCTGTGCGAAAAGAAGTTGATGTAAAATGATTGAAATGGTGCTTTAAAAATAGTTTGTGATTTAGTTTGTTCTACTAAGTTTTTGTGTTTTAATTTGATGGTAGCAGTATGTTATTTACCCTTTCGCTTTCTTGGGCCATGCGTGTGTGAGCCAGGCTGAGCTCGTCCCGGGCTCTCTGAATGCTGAGCTCCTTGGCAGTGAGCTCTGTCTTGCTCTGCATCATTTCATTCTGAACTGACTTCAAAGTGGCGGCTTTGACAGACAGCTCCTCCTCCAGCGCAGACACACGGCTCCGCATTTCTGACAAAAGTTCTGAATGATGGACCAGACACAAAGAGACATACTGATTAATAGGCCTGTTTGAGTCAAAGATCAGATGACAGAAAACCTCATTTCCACACATGCGCCACAAAAAATCAAATTATTTAAAACACCATTAAAATAATCTAATAATAGAAAACAAAGACACTGAAAAGTTTGAAACCTTTTATGAGGGAGTATTAAAAGGACAAGAGAAAATCAGACAACCAGTCTTCTAACTGCATGAGAATAAAGTATTTAATAATAGATTTCATTACTTCCCCTAAGTTTCTCAACTTCAACATAAGTCACTTTGTTTATCTTAACGGTTGAATTTTTGATGAGTAAAAGTGCTTTGTTTTAGTATTTTGTTCTAGTACTACTGAGCGGGAATAAAATATCTTATACCAAAGTACATTTGAATGAATAATGAGTAAGGGATTACCTGATTTTACTGTTTTATGTTTGTCTTTTGTTAACCCAGAATTAAGCTTTTATATCAACAAAGGATCATGAGTAGCTAGTACAGAAAAGACAAACTAGCAAGTTTTTTTGTATTTAAGAAGACCAACAGCTAGAGGGTGGTTCTTGTGTACAAAGGTAGAAACAACTGGATGACCAAACTTATCGCGATCATAGACTGTATATATTATGGACAACTTGGTTCCGCCTCCCGCCTCCATATGGATTTGAAGCCAAAAAGCTCTCGGTATTTCTGTGATTTTTCTTCATTTCCTGAAACCAGCGCTGCGCAGTAGCGTTGTGCGCATTCGGCAGGAGAGTCGCCGAGAGTCACTGTGATGACACTCGGCTCAAACAGCGTATCCCCCAGGTGAGCTACGCAATCCTTGAATGCCTATAGGCTGTATCAAAAGTTTGTCCACAGCCCCATAAGCTTTGCTGGCGGAGGTGGGATTTATGACCTATACTGCAGCCCGTCACCAGAGGGTGCTGTTCTTCACCCAGCGAGGAGGCAGACGCTGTCCATTCTATATACAGTCTATGATCACGATACATGAGTTTCTGGTCTTCAAAGGCCACTTCAAAGGGTAATGAAAATATTTGGATCCCTTTGTAGAAAGGGGTTCGATTAAAATGGGAGGAAATGTCTGAGTGTTGGAGAGATACTGGAACATACAGATTTTTTTTGACCCAGAATAGTCATGAACATTATAACTTATTCTATTTATCTTTACAACTGACCACTGACTATAAACAACACAGCAGCCACCCAAAGTTGAGGTCAACTAATATGGATTGCTTTATTGATGATCACAGCTGCTGCCTCAGGATGTCAGGCAGCTGTTTTTCTAAATCAGGAATGAAATCAATTTCTTGTCTGCCCAATGTGTTGTCCTGTATCATGTTTCTTAAATGTCACAACTTTAGTAGGGTTGCCAAACATAAACAGTAAGGTATGCTTACAGAGAGATAAAGAGAGGTTGCAACGATAATAAAAGCTCAGCTGGGAAAAACACACCTAATGTAAACACTGAAATACCACTCTTTCACATGTGTGCCCCTGCAGCTAAGAGATGCATTTATCTTACACTGCACTGTCCCACCCCTCCTCTGGACAAACACAGAGTGGAGGCAGAGTGGAGTGTTATATCACAATACTAAGAGGCACTAAATATTTGGAGCTGGCGAGAGAGCAAGCTGAGGAGTCTCTGACTGAGCCAGTGATTTCTGCACAAAGTCTTATGTAACAAGTGTTGTTGGGGTTATAGAGAGGACACCAGATACAGGATGGTTGCGTTGCCTCTCCGTCACATAAACTGCTGAGGTTGACCCATCATCAGAGGTTTAATAAAATAACCATTAAGGACATTTTATCAGTTGGTATTCTTCTTATTTAGCTCGTGTCACAAATCCTCAGGTTTATCAGAATATTTATACAATAACATTTTACTTTGGATGTAAAGCTATGTGGGTGTTTGTTTTGTTTGGGGTTTTTTGGGGGCTAAAATCCCATGAGATTTTACTACATGAACGAGGACTTTGTTATACCCCCACCAACCAGTATCATCAGTGTCATTACACCTAATCCAGTATCTTCCTGGAATTATCCAAAAACTTGTCATTTGAACCAAATGATATAAAATTTGTAATGCGTTATCCAAGCTAAGTTAAAAACTAAAGACCAGTTATTTTTAGGGCTAACTCTTACCCTTGAGTTTGCTTTATGTATTTCAGTCAGAAATGAAGACCAGTTATGACTAGCTTTTATTTCTGAGACCCCCAAGCTTTGAGACACCCTCCCTCTTGACAGAAGGTTGGTCAATAGTGATTATTGTGAGCTAATTTTGTAAGAGGCTGTTTTTCATGATCCTATCCCAACCCTGTATGAACACTGGGACTAACAACCAAAACTCAGGAGTGTAACACGCTCTTTATGCCACACAGTGCAGGAAAATTGCTGGTTCAATGGATGACTACTGGGTGAAACAGTAACACAATATTTCTTTTTTTAGGTTTGGTTTGGTGACTTGGAGCAGGGTCAAAGACTGTCTTCATTCAATTCTCCAGACAGCAAACTTGACTGATGTTCGAAAAGGCGACAGTACTACTAAGGCTTCCATTTGGCATCTATACTCACTGTCTGTCTCTGTCCCATGATCCGTCTCCTTCCCACAAGCCCTCTGCTCCAACTGGCCCTGACTGGTGACATCGACACTGGGAGTCTGGGGATGGGAAGGGGCTGGGGCTTTTCTCCTGGCTGCTGGCTGTGAGTCATCCCGTTCCCACGGAAACGCAGCCAAGGGAGTTGAGAAGGTATCCGATTGGTCAGCTAGGTGCCGATGTGGTGTGCTCTTGTGTTGTTGTCGAGATAATGGGACCACTTCAGAGAACTGGAGTCTTTGCTGAAGGACAGAATGATTAGATTAAGACAAAAAAGAGGGCGTGAATAAATTTCAAACTAGCACCAAAATTATTTCATGGTTGTTACAAAGACTTTGTTGTCATTTTGATATGAGTGTGGAAGCTAAGTAAAAGATTGCAGGTCAGCAAATGTTAAAGTGGAAAACATATTCAGTATTAGCAGCCTCATGATTTGTTCAGGCAAAACTACAGAAGGAGCTGTGACTATTTTCCTGTTGTCTATTTATAAGTGAGTTAGCTAAACAGTGAAGGAATACAAATGAGAACAAAAATAAACAAAAAGGAAGTTCAGTTTTACAGACATCAACACCCAGAACTACAGAACTTCAGCTTTGAGCTAACACCTACACTGGTCTTCAACTATGATTCAGTACAAAACTTCCTTGTACTTACTCGGATGTGAGGCGCACGGCTCTGTCCTTCACCTCCATGCCCCGTCTTCTCATCCTTTCTGCTACCTGCAGGACAGCAACACAACATCTGAACTGGACTAGAGGCACAAAATCAAAGCTGCTCAGTAAAAACAGCAGTTAGGAACCCAAGTGGTTTAGCAAAGAGAGGAGAGAAAAGTACAACACTCCCCCGGATGTGAAAGATGTGAAAGGCCAAGAGCTGAGGGAGTTTATTAAAACTCTCCCTCCTCATATGGGGCCTTTGGTTTTTCCATTTAATTTTCCATGTACTTAATGAAAGATACAAGTGAATAAACACAGGACTGTACCATTATGTTCCCAGGGTGAGGTTGTATTCCAGCAGGGTGTAGAGAAGAGAGTGGTATCTGCCGACCTGCTGCTATTTTGCAGCTTCTCCAGCTCTACCTCCAGCCTGTGAAGAAGAGGGGGGAGAGGAAACGCAGGCAAGAAAAACATAGAGGTCAGGCAGGCCAAATATGGTCCAACAGTGGAGGTAAGTAGCTTTTTTTCTCATATGGCACTGTTTCGCCTCCTACATCTGTGAGAATAAAAACAGTATCAGGCCACTCCAAATTTTTCAGTAGACAGGGTAATCAGGAAAACCATGGGAAGTACAATGTTTAGTTACGCTAACGCAGCTGTCTCAGTTTTACAACCTAGGACTTTTAAATGCTGAATTACGAATCAATTCATACCACTGATGCCTGATTAAAATGCTGTTCTGATCTGGTCCTTGCCCTGGACTGTTATATTTGTTTGTAACAGTCCAACTAAAGATGATCATTTAGCAACTATGATAGATTTCAAACTTATTATTGCATGAGTAAATTGTGGTAGAAAGTTAGTTCTTGATTGCTGGTGTTGATAGCTTTAGAGAAACAGTTCTTTCTTTCAGAACTTTTGCTATCCATCAGGTATTGGTCTTGTGATAAATCATTTTGGTGTCCCATTATTTCTAATTTAAAAAAAAATACATGCAAGGTACATAACTCTTAGGATATTTTTGAAAAGTAGGCTGCTCAAAAGAAGCAATCTACCTTTTAATTTCCTGGGTTAGTTTGTTGTTGAGGGTACGAGCAGCATCTAGCTGGCCTTCAAATGAACATATTTGAGCCTGCTTTGTTTGGAGCTCCTGGGTCAAACGCTCCCTGGTGGTGACCGCTGCCTTGGCCTCATCTTGAACAGTCTGCAGCTCTCTCTGCACATACTGGAGCTCCCCACGCACATCCTCATACTGTGTGGCAGAAGGAAGAGATGAAAAGGAGCATATTTCAACATTCAAACAACTCCTCCATCAGAAATGACTGACTAAACATAGATGTTGGAGCTTTATAAAAGGGATAGTCTTATACCAACATGGCTGCTTATACCTTTGCAGTCTGTTTTTCGAGGCTAGTATTGATATTGTCGAGCTGCAGCTGTTTCTGCTTGTTATCTCTGGACAGTCGCTCCTGGTGAACCTGCAGCTCTTTCACCTTCTGCAGAACTCGCCCAGACAGCCCCACCGTCCAGTCCTCCTCAGCCCAACTCATCTCTATCAGCCAGGGCTGATCACTGTCAGAAAATAAAACCAACAAAACATTACAAAACTGTCCCTTTTTGCATCTGGAACACAGGAAAAATCAAAAGGCAACTTAAAAGAAAAGAAGGTGGCTGATTATTTTTGGCATCTGTGAGAAAATGTGAACTCAAACCTTGACTATTCCTTCACAACGGATCTTCAGTCACACTGTTCTTGGAGCCATTGGAGTCAGTGGCTAGAGTGAGGAAACCAACCGCACTCAATCTGAAAATAAAGACAGATTATATGTTTGTTAAGTAATGTGCAGGTAAGGTAGTTCTATATCAACTTGTGTTGTGACAGACCACACTTATTTCAACATGTTTCAGTCTGCTATGCTTCCAGCTGTGTGTCCTGTCTTGAAAATGTTGTGTTGCTAAGGCTTTGACCCTCAGGGAGACACTAGTTGTTACCGCTGGGCAGCTGTGACTCATTGTTTTCCATCACAGCTGCCTGCTTTTCTTGAAGAGAAACTCAAGTTGAAGAAAAAAACCCTGCTCTCTGTCAAAAGTCTGCAACGACTGAGTTTCTCACTTGGATAAAAAACTCAATGGCATCTTGCACTGACACCAACAAATACACACATACAAAACAGTAAAGAAAGTGAGAGTGTCGGAATGAAGAAAAGCCTGATTGAAAGTTAACCTGAAAAGGCTAACATTGAGCTCAGTTTTGACACGCTCTTTAGCCCCTAGGCTTCACCATCGTAACTCTAGTCAGACACTTCTGTCACAGGCCCCAGGTTCTGTCACAGGTTGTTTACAGGTTCCTGTAAACAAGACAGATGAGATAAGAGATGTATAAGCCAAGTACACAACGTTACAGCCACTCCTAAAAGGGCCATAAAGGAGGTAGAGCATTACCTCTGTAGAAAAAATTGTCACCTGTATTCATGACGGCACAGTGCTAGCATGCAAACAGCTTCTTTTAGCTGCTACTCTCCAAAACTGTGGAACAAACTTCCAGAGGGTCTGAGACAAGCTGCAAAACTCATCTATTTAGCCTGGCTATTCATTATTTTATTACTATTATAATTTATTTATTTTTTAGTATCACTTTTTACCTTATTTTATGAATATGTTCAAGTTTATATTTCATATTTTATTCTATTTTAATAACTTTTATTTGTCTTGTCCTGATGTAAAGCACTTGGAGCTGCAATTTCATTTGTATGAACAGTGCTATATAAATAAACTTTGATTGATTGATTGAAACTGCATTTGCTTATGAACTTCAGATTCTCCTTTCTAATCATTTATGGATCAATCAGCTGGTAGTATAAGCAAAACTTGAAGTTGTGATGATCTTATTCAATCTTATTCACTGTTTTAAATAAATCAGTGCAGTTACAAAGAACTTGCAGGGTTGAGATGATGGAAACAGACAATTTGCAGTTTGTACAATAGAAAACAGTGCAGAAAACTTCACTGCTGCTACCTTTAGATTATGAATTGATTATGAATACAGTTCTTCCACAGAGAAATGTAAATTCATTGAGACGTTTTCTACTAAGATGCAGACAAAGCAGAGGGTCGTCTGTTCACTTACTTTGATCAAGTACTCTAGAGTGTGTATTCATACTGTTATAGCTGGTATATGCAAATGTAGGAGACATATTAGTAATATTACACAAGACTTGTCTGTACAAACTTTACGCTTAGGGGTATTTCTTCTGAGGGCGAATGCTGAATATCTGTCATACAAGTTATGATAATGATTCACAGATTCCCTCATCATAAAAAAAAGATATGACACTGTAATCAAAACTAGTTCAGGAGCTCAGAGCAGGTTGGTTGAACAGGAGGAGCAGACGGTGGTCGGACCCCGGCTGGCCTTTTGCAGTAACAATGTGTGTGTGTGATCACGAGGTTCAAGCAGAAACACTGATGGCTATCGAAGAACTGAAGTTGAATAATATGTCAGTGTCAATCATGCCCATCCAAAGTGAACCAAGACGGGCCGAAACCAGTCAGTGGAGACACACTTTCTACCGCTTTGTTAACCCACCAGCAGTCAGTGTCTGACAGACAATTATCCTAGCAACGATGCTACAAGCTAACCCCACTCTCCAGCTACTTACCATTCACTTTGGGGAGTTTCAGAGAGCGCCAACCGCCCAGTGGTTCACACAGCAGCGGCGGAGCTCTGCCGCCGCTGTTTGACAGGTACACCAGACCCCGCTTTTTCACCGGGTCCGCGTTTTTTCAATCCAGAACCGAACCTACCGACTGACATCAACTGACAGTCCGAATTACAGGGACAATACGCCGCGCTTCTCGTGCAGCTGACAGGCAAACAGTCGCCGAGTCCCTGTGGCACGAGGCGGAGCAGCGGTTGGTGACGTAGAAGGCGATTGTTTTGGGAATGGTCCTCGTGGCGAAGTGAATCTCTGAGGACCTCTAGCGGCAGAAACTTGTAATGTGACCGTGTTCATGGGAGAGTGGGGTAAGTTGAGCCAAAGCCTAAATTGAGCCACCTCCTGTTGCTTGGAAATGGTAAAAGAAATTGATCATGTGACCAAATATTTAAGAGATGGGCATCGATTCATGGAGTCTGTTAAGGTTAGAAGCACCTGGGTGAAGGGGTTAGACATTTATTCACAAAAAAAACCAAAACATTTTTCACTCTTGAAGTGAATTTAGTCTGCCATAAGTTTTATTAGAATTGTGTTCAGACCAAAAAAGATCATTTTAAATTTGTTTTATACATCAATTGTGGTATCTATGAGCTACAACATGAAGTCAAAAACCTACCATAAAAGTCCACCATTTTAGCTTAGACACCTAATAAAGTCACAATAGTAGTTCAGGGGTAAGTTGAGCCAGTGGCTTAACTGAGAAAGTAAAGGAGTCTGATGAGAGGATCAGAGTTTCAGTCAAATTGTTGAAATGTGTTACTTTTTCTTTTCAAAAATACAGCTGTAAATGTTCTGAATCACTTAAAGACATTGTCATGTTAAAATGACTTTTTACAAAACAACTTTTTATCAGTTATATGCAATAATAATAAAAAGACATTTTTTTTGTACCAGTTGACTAGTGTATAATAAATAAAAATATACATGAATGTGAAGAAGTGACTGTTATTCAGGGAGAGAGAAGGTGAGAGAGGGCTGGGGTTGAGAGTGGGGGGTAGTAGGGATACAGCTCAACTTACTCCACTCCTATGGTCAACTTACCCCGTGTATGGGGTAAGTTGACCATAGGAGTGGGGTAAGTTGAGACCACTTTATTTTGGCATGCTATATTATCAAGACAGTTATGTTCACACTCATTCTGTTGGATTCAGGGATGCACAACATCTTGAAATATATGCAGATACTCTAGTTAGAGACAAAAATATGATTGCCTTGATGAAGTGATCCGAAATATGAAAAATGGCTCATCTTACCCCACTCTCAACATTTCTCAGATTTCATATTACCTCCTGGTAACTATTGGTTTAGGCCAAGTAAATATTCTCAATCCGCCTTGACCCCTGTTCCTCACTATCACCCTTTACTTTTTCCTGATTACTTCAGCCTCTTCTGGTCTTATAACAACTTTTCATATATATCTCCAGCAGGAAACAATTTATCCCCTTTCATCCATGTTGTACCTCAAGGCTCTGTACTCAGATCCCTATCTACCCCCAGCGGTATCACTCTGGTAAGGTACAAGTGTGTGCAAAAAAACATTCACACAGCAGCATATCACGATCATCTCTATCTTCCTTTCAACAAAATTCAGAGGAATTCCCTATCTGCCACTTAGAGTATCTACTGTATGTCCATTATTCAACCATGTGACCCTCAACAAACCGTGTAGAATTCATTCAATCTCTTATGGAGTTCACTCAGTTGGTGCAGTAACACACACCCATTCCTGTCTAGTAATAGTAGTACCAGCTTCCACTGGAGCCACCTGTAATTAGATTATAACAGTCATTGCAACCACTTATTCCAGCAGGCTCTGGATTTGTATATAATCTGGGATTTGTTGCCTCAGTGCTGAGTGCTGTGGAAACCCAGAAACTTCCCTGCTATTGGGACAGACAGAGTATATAAGTGTGGGAGAGAGAGAGGTTTAAGTTATGTAATCTTCGTGTAATGTTTGCAATGACAGTCTGGTAATTACTGATGTGTCTGCAGGATTTAAATCAGCCTACTGGGAGACCATTTTCAGACTGACACTGTTATTTTCAGAAATACCTGGTGTTAAAAAAGTAAGTAGGTATTCTGGTCAAAATTTCATGAATACACAGGGGGTATCTAGGTCAGACGCTGTGAAAGTGGCCTTGAGAGAGACTGCCTGATTGTGGTATTGATCTAAATACAGATTTTCAGATATGCTCATGACATAACAAAAAAATAAGGACTCACACTCATAATGAATGTGATTATTTGCTTCAATTAGTTTGTCAACACTGTATTGTCATGTCAACACCTCACATGAACTCTTTCACAAACACACTCCGGCCCAGGTGTACATCCATCTGAGGTAAGCTCTCCTCGTCACTTGCTCTTTATTAATACAGGATTACATTTATTCTCAATCCCAAACTCACACACACGCGCGCACTCTCGCGCTCTTCACAAAGGTACGGTACCTGTCTGCCAAGGGACCATCACAGGTAGCAAGGCAGTCAGGTAGCTGAAGACTGAGTGGTATTGCCGTTCATGGAGGCCTTCTGGTCATCCAGCTGCTGACAGGCTCCACCAGACGGGTGGATCGCTGCCAGAAAAGAAGCTCTGTGAACTCAGTTTATTAAAGGTAAGACAAAAATCAGATCTCTATAAGAGCATTAAGAACAGTAAAAAAAAAAACTCACTTGGTTACAGCACAGCTATGGGAAACTGCTTCTGTCAATCCGTCAGGATATTTGTGGGTATAATCAGTTTCCTGTTTGCCTAGGCGTCATATTTTACTAGAACATATTTCATACTGATGATGAGGCTTATTTTAGAGCTGAGTTAAATAGCAGTTTAGTAGTTTCCTCGTGTGTATGGAAACTCAAAGTCTCTTTAAATTAAAGGTAGTGATTATTAAATTTCTACATTTAAAGTAATTAGATGTAAGAAAATGTCCTTCCTTAAACTACTAAAGGGATTCTTGTAGTGGTTAAATTGCTGTCACAGTTAGTTTACAAATTTGAACTACAAATTTTAAATAAGTTTTATAGATGACACAGTCACCTATACTAGAATTTTTCTAGTATGGTAGTTTTTGGTAATAATCTCCAAAAACTACACCTGTTTTTCCCAGATGTTTCCTTGGTCTGCTGTCTTCTCCTTGGAACCCAGAGTCCCAGGTCAGCGCAGCAGTGAAGAACTGGTCACCAACACTCTCATGTTGGAGTTGGGGGCCATGGTGAAACGCACCGAACGCATCCGTCTGGAGCAGGCCGCAGAGGGTCGGCGCCGGCGTCGCAGCTCCTCCTCCACAGCTGATTACAGCTGGCTTTGCAATACCCCTATGCCACAGCCCTACCAGCTGACACCCAATGACCTGCTGGAACTGCAGGACCTCTGTGCCAAGATTCCTCCTGCACAGTGTGGCCCTGTGATTGTTAGGTGAGAGAGACTGCACGACAGAAAATTATAAATGTAGAGAGTATAGACAGAGAGTATAGTAGCTGTAGCTGGAATCTTATATATAAAAGGACAAACACCAAGAACTCAAGCAGGAACATGGTTTGTGAATAAGGAACAGAGAGACCAGGGAGTTTATCTTGTTGAATCTGAATTATTTCTTTTAGAGTCTACAAACAGGATATCAGAAAAGGTGTATAACCAGCCTGGCCAGGGATATGTTCAGAATTTTTTGACCAGCATGACCCAACTAGGGCCCTGATGTATGCAGAGATGTTGGAAGTTTGAGTCTGTGCACACACATATACAGCATTTATTTACCTTTAATGTTTTTGTCTCTGCTGATCATTCATTCCTATACTTACTCCCGAGTGTGAGCATGTAAATCTTCTGAGTTTAGTTCTGTAAGTAATTAAATAGGAGATGTGTGCCCAAAGTAACTGTGTTAAGCACTACCTAAGGGAGTAGTAGAAGTGGTAGTAGTGTTGTTTAATCTTGTTTCTTTTTGTTTGTCATGACTGTGATCACACTTTAAATGTGGATTTGAGTGTTATATAATGCTGCTCCTCATCATCGGTCATTTTCAAACTGCAGGTTCAGGAGGTTGGTGTCACAGACTGAGCCTGATGTCCATGAGGTTCCTCGGCTGTTTCGCTCAGTTTTACACAAGTGTGTGGATGAGCTGAACAGAAACAATGAAGCACAGATGCAAGACACTTTCTTTGAAAAGCAACAGCGCAGCAAAAGCCTCTCTTTCATTACTTTCCGCACCAAGTTCCGCACAGGGCAACTCTTCAGGGGTGGGGCCATTAGAGGTTCCAGGGGGGATCTGCAGCAGGCAGTGGGTTGGTTAGATGGGGAGGAAGATGGAGAGGGAGAGGAGGAGGCCATCAAGGTTAGGACAAGGAGGGGGAGGAGTAGAAGCATGCCAGATATCTGCCCTATGGAGCAGAGTGCCCAGGGATGAGAGAAAGGATTAGGGGACAAGGAGAGGAGAGTTGGATGGAGCACCTGAACACGAGATTACACGGACTAAAAAATAAAAGGAATAGCAAGCACAAATAGAGGGAGAGAAGAAAAAGAGGATCAAAACAAGGCAGGGTGGGTGGCAAAAAGATTAATCGAAAAAGGGACAGGATTGTTTTTTTTTTTTTGAAATACCTTTAAATTCTAATATTTTGTCCTTTCTGTGATATGAGGTTAAAGTTGAGAGAACTGGCCTGAGGTGATTTTGGCTCTTTAAAAACCTTCGACATAGCTAATGAACCCTAAATCTTCAGTCAGTTTTGGTTTTAGATGTATTCAAACCCTTAAGATGTGCTCATGGGTTGTCAGAGATGTCTAAGTTCGATGCTGCAGAGGGCACGGGCATCTGGACAGTTCATGACATCCATCTGTTTTCAGACATTTTGGTATGGAGGAAAGTGGGCTAACCAATCAACCGGCACTCCTCTCCACCCTCCTCAGTCTGCTGGCTACAAAACCCAACAAGGACTGTCTCAGCAGAGCCTGATAATATGTTATAAACTTTCCCTTTTAAAAGCATGTTGTATAACTTTCTAGACACCTGTCATTTGCATAAGATAGGGAGGTTTAGTTAAGTCGGTCTGTATATTCAGGAGTTCTATTTAAGCTGTATTGTACCCATAAAGTAAATCTTCTAAGGAGATTATATCCTATTTATTCCTGTTTAAGAACGTGCACAGTCCTCTTACCACTTACATTTTCTTCAGGTATCTCCGATCTGTTTTGTTTATATTTGTTTGTAGTTGTGAAACAGCAGAAACAAAGTGTAATTTACTTTCAAGCTTTTCTACATAAAAGGGTCATGAATTACAGAATACTTTAATGTGAAGCCCTCAGAGGCCTGTTTCTTCATAAATACATGAATAACACTGATCTGTGTAGTATGGTTGTGTTTTCTCTGTGGTTGTGTTAGCTTTATGACCGAAAACTGACCCAGATAAGTACTTCCCTGTTGTCTAGTAGCCTTCAGTCTAGCATGGCTAATTATATCACGGCTGACTAATCCTCTTATGTCAGGAAGCCTCAGCCTTGAAGTCCAGTACCCCATTGTTTTTTATTAATATGCACTTTCTTATCAATACATAATTTTCACTATTTGCACTTTATACACTGAAGTCAAGGCATTTGGCTAAAAAAACAACAGATGCAGGAAAAAAATGGGGAAGGAGACAGTATTTGTTTAAAAAAAAAAAAGCTGGTCATGTAAGTATCATGACGTAAAATGAATAGATGAAGAGGAGGTTATGTAATTACAACAGTGACAAACAACCAGACACTTCCGGGGAATCTGGCTGACTGAGTCACTCCAAGGGAAGTGATTTCACAACCGGCCTAGCCCCTTCATCAGCTCTGATGTCGAACCTGGAGCCTGTTCAGACACTCGATTCACACACTGCAGCCAAGTCGAGTTATTTTCTTAACCATTCAACCAAGCAGTTTCATTTACAATAGTGTCGTTATGCAAGTTCTCATTGACATCCCTTACAGATAATGCTTGAATTACTTCAGAAAACCTTTCTTCAGCTGGCTGCTACAGCCTTTTTGTAATACTGGACCACAAACAGGGTTTCGCATTGAGTCACAGTTCCATAAAAGTACCCCTTTGGCAAATAAAGACGGAGAGCAAAAAAGAAAAAAAGAATATTTCTGGATAAAAATATTTCACATCATTACTAAATGGTGGTACGTGGAGAACTGTTAATAAACAAGTGACACAGTCATGCTCTTAAATAAAAAGCTAGGTAACTCTGAGGCAAAACTCCAGCTCTGGTGTTTGGCTTCCAAATAATATTAATAATAATGGGTTACCTGCAGTAAAGGGGGTGACGAGAAAAAATAAATCAAAATTAAAGACAGTTTGCAGAATCAAACCATAAAATTATCCATTTTGATTAAATGTTATGAATAACTGGTCAAGGTACAACACAGAGCAGTTCGTTGCTCTCTCTATACAAAGTGGGGACTTAAGATAATTTATTCTTTCATTCCAGAGTTCGACATCAACGTTCTTCAAGAGTCCAGTTTAGATTAAGAGTTTGGGGCTCAGAACAAACCCCTTTAATCTGTTCCAACCAGAAAGTCTCCGAAGCCTCCATCAAACCGTCACTCTGACAGAGGAGTCTCCTTCAAATTTATCGTGTGGTCACAGATTATTAGTCCAGCTTCTTCCCTTGGTGTGCTTTCCCTCCTCCTCCTGTTGCTTCTCTTTACTTTAAGCAAAGAAGACGACAAAGATGATGAAGAAGATGACCAGGACGAGGAAGATCTTGATCATCAACCAACGGTTGGAGGAGACGGACTGGAAGTATTTGAGGATCTCTGTGTGGGCAGCATCCACATTCAGCTGGGTGTCTTCAACGTTAGCATCAATCCTGGAAGAGAAATTAGGAAGCAGTTTATTCAGATGACCCAAAATGGATGATAATGACACCTGCAGACATACTTCCCTTGGGTTTGCTATATTTATTTAAATAAAGCACTTTCCTGCACAAATGTACAGCCCTCCGTTGCAACTATGGTATGTATATAGTTTTGAGTTTGTTATTTTAAAGATTGGTAAAGATAAGGTTCATTGGCAACAATAGGACTTGTTCATATATTCTATTTAATCTTTATATTAATAGTTTTATTTTCTATTTTTTGTCTGAGTTTATAGTTTTTGCAGCAAAACACAGAGATAAATTGCATGTGTGTGTAACAACCTGCTTTGTAATACACTCTGAATCGAAAACAAAAGATCAGAACTGCTCAGATTAATATACTTGGATTTACACAATATGAAGCAGGAGTTAGGTAGCTTCACCTTGCCTGTATTTATCCACAGCTGACAAAACTCTCAAGCCAGGATCTCTAGGATTGTTAAACACTAAACATGATGTGCCAAGGTGTGCCTGAGTATTTTTGGACAGGTTTGCTGCTTCCGCATGTTTTAAGTCTGTGCTGACTTCAGGGAGTCCAGTTTGATAAGAACTGCAGCATATAAAAGTGTAACCGACTTCTTTTCTCATTCTCCACAAGCACACAAACTGGTTTCCTCCAGCTCCCTCTAACCTGTGGATGGTCTCCTCCTGTATCTTGATCATGTTTGCCAGCTGCTGGAATATAGAGCCAAGTTCAACGATGGTGCTCTCGATGTTCTGCATGGTGTCTGCACGGCTCTGGATGTACGAGTCCTGTCATCACACAATAAAAAGGTTTAAAAAAAAGAAACAGTGGAGCACAAATCACTGACTCTTTCTTAATCACACAGAGTAAATACTTTTACACTGCCCGCCTTACTTTGAAGATTTACTACTAAAGTCTACCTGCTCATCAATAAGCTGGAGCTGCATGGGATTGGTCTGAGAGTCCATGTCGATGGCCACATCCCCCATACTCCTGGACTCGTCCTGCATCAGAACTGAGCTCTCTAAAGGGACACAACAAGCACAAGACAAACACACAAGCATGTTCAACATGGTCAGACGCAAGTCCTCAATGGAAGATGGGGTAAAGCAAAAAATCCAGCGGGCACATACAAAAGCTAGTGATACCCGCTGGTGGATTCAAACGTTCCAGGGAAATACCTTTCAAATTTGAGCCCTGGAAGTCATAGCGCTGCTCGCGAGCTGCATGCGGCTCCTGGGCCCCTTTTTTGCGGCTCCCTAAAATATTTTTTGATTTTTGCATTATAGATGACCAAATACAGTTATAATCATTCACAAGGATTTCGAGCAGTTCACTATGACAACAGCTATTTGAAAAGTACACTGCCAGTCCAAATGTTTTCTGTTCATCGTTGGCGTTTGTGGCTCGGTGTGTATATAAAGAACTTCGAATGAGGAAATTAAAAGTTGACCACTAGAACTAAAGAGCCTTCAGTGTTATTAAAAACACTTTTTCTCCAACATGAGCAAATTTACCAGCGGAGATACTATAAAGACAGAAGACTCAGAAGTTAGGATCCATTTCTGATGAGCACCAAGATTTGATGTCACAGGCTGAACCCCTGAAAAGGTCTGCATGTTAAACCAAAAAAGTTAAACTGCACATCGCCTGCTACTAAAGAAGACTTATTTGTTAACATTATAATATCAGTGATTCACACTATTTTCATTATATATATGAATGAGAAGTATATTTGCTACTTCACAGAATATTCAGATCAGTGTATGCAGGGTTTTGGATTTCATGTCTAGAAACATTTTACTGGCAGTGTAAATGTAAGCATAGGAAGCATCTAAGCTCCCGTTGCTAAAAAGAGTGTTTGGCAAAAATGTAGCGATTTGATTCCCAAGATTTCAATGGGGCAGAGCCAGACAAATTGACAAGTGCTTCAAAGCAAGACAAAGACAAAAATTGAATGTGTGTTCACTCTATAATGGTTTTTGTTACTTCCAGAAAAACCTTAAAAGGGATATTCAGGCGTAAAATTAATTTAGGGTCAAACACACCATAACACCGAGTTAGACACCCCCTTGAGAGATGAATGTTGCCGACCGCTTGCTTCTCTAGTTATACTGACTTTAGTAACTACTGCACGATAGCAATTCACAGCGGTCTCAGTAGCCATAAACAAACCTCAACCAAAACGCCACTCTATAGCCACAAATAATGCTCAGAACAGCACCTAACTTCATCAACAGTACATATAGGGTCCCAGCCACAGCACTAGCCACCAAACATCTTTTTAACTTTGCCTGATTTCTTTAGCAAAGAGACTAAACACAACTCACCTACTCTCTTCCAGCAGCCGCTTGTTTGTCGTGAGACCTCAGGACATTTATGATCATTACTCTATCATTTCCTTGAAGTAATAATCACCATATAAATCATTGTGTACTGCAGACGCAGTAGTTCTTCTGCCTTAGCGTCTCGGTCTGATTGCATTTCCATGAAGAAATGATCATAAATGTTCTTCCTTGAGCTGCGTCACCCCACAGCAGTCCATAATGGACTGGCCCAAGGTCTCGCTACAAACAAGTGGCCGCTGAAATAGAGTTAAAAAGATGTTTGGTGGCTACTGCTGTGGCTAGGACCCTATATGTACTATTGATGAAGTTAGGTGGTGTTCTGAGCATTATTTGTGGCTGTAGAGTGGCGTTTTGGTTGATGTTTGTTTATGGCTCCTGAGACTGCTGTGTATTGCTATCTGCGGTCATTACTAAAATTGGTATAACTAGAGAAGCAAGCAGTCTGCAACTTTCATCTCTTGAAGGGTGTCTAACTCTATGTTATGGTGTGTTTGACCCTAAATCAATTTTACACCAGAATATCCCTTTAATGTACTGTAATATGACTAGACAAAAAAAAAAAAAAAGGTAAATAACTTCTGAAGCTGAGGAATGTTTTCGGGGGTCTGTACAGGACAACAGCTTTGATTTAGAGGGTAATTCATTCTGCATGTTTGTGAGTTACACAACTAAGTTTTGGAATCGATTCAGGGCTGACAGTTGATCTAAATATCAAATTCTCTGCTGTTTGTTACTAAGTTCAAACTGTGAATGGGACCAATATCCTTATAGAGTGAACACGTGTATGAAGCCAAAACAGCATGCTGTGTTTACCTGCAGGTGCCTTTGCTTAAACACAAGACCACTGTTAAAGTTACATGAGAAGTGAATCTGCAGTGTGGGTAAACTTACTGAAGTTGTTGGCCATCAGAGGAGAAGATGAGGCAGGAGGCTGGGAGAACTGCTCTCTCCTGCTACGCTGCTGCTTCAAGTTCTGCAGACAAGAGAAGTAACTGTCAGATCTGAGAGCACTTAAACAAATACAAGTTTGGTCAAAGTATTTTCTGCCCTTAATGACAGAAAACACCAAAACACCTCTCACCTCTGTTCTGACTTCTAGGACTGATTTGAAGTCATTGGACATCGTAGCCAGTTTAGACTGCAGACAACAGAAGAGACAGTAAAATCAGTGTGACTGAACTCAACCACACACTTCTGAGCGGACAACAACTGTATTAATTTAAAATTGGGCATTAAAATGACCATGATTAACTAGATCGTGAGCAATATGTTGAACAAAGTGTAAATCATACAATACCTGTAATGACACCACTATAGTGTTCGAATGGGTTTGGATATGTCGTCCACCTGGAGTGTTGCGGGTCCTCACCGAGTCCTGCAGCTGTGCGATCTGTTTGTTTAGACTGTTGATGTCCTAAAGGCACAAACACAAGAGAGAAAACGGTTAGGTATTTGTTGAAACTATTCGTGATCGATATTAAATATTTATTTCAAATAGTAGAGTTGACTTACTTGTTTAATGATCTGGGTTAGCTCCTCAATCTCCACTGCCTTGTCGTCAAATAAAGATTTTCTTTTTGCCACTAAAACATCAAAAAACAGCACATAAATCAGAAAATCTGGTTTTTTAGCAAACAAAGTTTTCAGAGCAGTTCACGCTAATGTGCCATTAAAGGGACACTTACAGATAGTGAGCTTTTCCAGTTTGGCAAATGTATTACTCAGGTCTTTTCCGATTCTCCTGCAAAGAAATGGACAAAAAATTTAGCGCCCTTTGCCATGCACACACTTAAAAAGAAGACAGGCATTTTGGGTAACACATGGTTACATTATAGAGGGAAATATTTGAGCTGTTTTATCTCCAAAGAAACCAAGTTTCAGCTATTTGGCAAGTTTGCTTGTTACAACAAAGATAGAATGGGTAAAATGCATAAATGTAGATGGTTCAATACAACAATCAGCGCAATAGACACATTCAGTAAATATCTGAGACTATGAGGAACTTACTTGGCCATAACTGTGAAGTCACTGCGCTGCTTGAGCGCATTGAGAGCTGGTTTACTGGGCTGGACTCCATTCTAGCAAGGGAGATACATAAGAGGGAGATTACATGATTGATTTCAGAATAACAGGCTGTTGGGTAGCTGTGAAAAAAAAAAAAAAAATTCTAAACATCATACTTTTCCTTCTGTTGTATTATAATCAATAACCTGTAAAAATGTATTTTTGGACTGATGGTCAGACTGAGTAATGGGGTTAGTAAAGGACTGGTTACTTAAGATTGTAATCAACATGACGTTAGATTATCAAATCCACGGTTTGAATTCTGTTACCAACAGGTGGTAAGGAGGAATCCTGACATGGAAATCAGCAGATTCAAGTTACTTAACCAGAGATGTGAAAAGAAAACAAAAACAGACCAAAAGTGAAAATGAAAGTTTATACAGTCCAAGAATGATAAGGAATATAACATAAACTCTTGAGTAATGGGGCTCTGTAAGGACTGGTTACTTGGGATTGTAATCAACATGGTGTTAGATTATCAAATCCAACTAAATGTTAAAACTAGTCTGAAAAGTTAAAACATAATAGGCTAACACTGCCACGGTCACATAGATTCTGGTCAACATTAAGAATAAAGATGAGTAGGATTTGAAAGAACTGTGATCACAGTATTTTCTCACTGAGTCATTAAAATATTCAAACTATACATATTTTAAAAAATAAACAGTAGTGGACAAACAATGTCATTAATTAGGCTTTTATAAAATTGTCTGTGGCATTTCTGAACAGCACATAATCTTTTTCTGACATTTACAATACTGTCATTACAAATATTGGCGAGTACACTGTTATAGCAGGGTGACTGCCAGCTACCATTATCTTTCATAATAGTTAATGCACCTATTACCAACAGGTGGTGAGGAGAAACCTTGAAATGGAAATTGGCAGATTCAGGTACTTGTAGCTAACTTAATCCAAGATGTGAAGAGAAAACAAGAAGAGACCAATAGTGAAAGCGAAAGTTTATATGGTTTATAAACTCTTAAAAGATGGATCTGAATTCCTATTTAACACCAAGTGGTTTTCTCTTGTTGTTATATGAATGATAACAGGTGCTCTGTGCCAACATACCGGTCTGCCCTGGAGAGATTTACAGACCGACTGGAACTCAAGTGTCCGGTCCCGGCACGTCATTCTGCCGCCAGCAAAGGGGTCAAAAGACTTGAAAACAGCTGGGAAAGTTAAGTCCTTCTCTTCTGCTTTGTGTGACTGATCGATATGAAGACCTCAGGTACAAGGGGGTGGGCTCACATCCAAGGTGGGGTGTCTTTCATGGGCACTTGTAAACACGTCTGGGGAAAAGAATGTAAACAAAAATTATTTGTAAATACAACTAATACAAAAAACAATCCTTTATGTTTGCTACTTGGCATATTTGATCTGTCCATCACTGATAAAAATAGAAGGAAACTCCATCAAACACAGTCCCAGCCGAGGTTCAGCATTGGACTACCTGACGTGTCAACTACACAACAAAGATGATGTGTTTGGTAAAACATGGGAACCCTTTCAGTCATATGTTGGTTAACATATCTCTACCATTCTTATGAGAGGATTTGTATCATAGCTCTGGACGTGCTACCTCGAAAATGACGTCCTATTTGGTTGATGTTTTTGCCTCTGTGTACCTTCCTTTGAGAATATGAACGTATTATATATGGCAATGTACACTTGATTTATTTTACTTATTTTATTTGTATAAGATGACTCCTGAATCTCTCGCCTGTATATATTTGAACCTAAATGTGTGTGTGTGAGCCAAATGCATGTTTGTTTTTCGTCATGTGTTCTTGGAAATTTAATAAACATATTTATGGAAAACATTTTTATATTCTTGTGACAGTCACTTAAACAGTAAAGAGTAGAAACACCGCATTGTTTTGTTGTTTTCGGTTTCAGGTTAAAAGCCTCCGTGTTGGCTAACTAACGGCGCGGATCTCTTCAACCAAAACCCCGACTAAAGAGGACTCCGCTACCGTCGTTAAACAAACAACATCCGCTTGATTCACAAAGAAACCGCTAAAAAACTTGATATTTGTCTACGAAGGTGAATTTTTGGTGCTAAATTCAGGGCCAGCGCTGTGGACAGGCCGCCCATCACGACAGACAGCTGATCACGGCCTGAGGAGCAGAGCACCGGCGGCTAACCACAGGCTAACTAACGGCAGCTAACACAGCGAGCTAACCGGGCTTCTTTACTAACCGTCTGTTTTTTTTAACACAACTCTGACCGAATTCGACAGAAACCGACCGCTTTACGGTTAATCCTTCTCAAAAGACAAAAATCGATCCGTTTCAACTCACCTCAGTCGATATTACATCATTCGGAGTAGCGTCGATCTTTCTGGTGAAAACTAATCAACCCAGGAGTTAAAGTTCCGATCCGGGTCATTTCCGGTATACACGTCACTTGCCACGTCTACTTTCCTCGTTGGAAAACCCCTGCAGGCATAACTCACCTCCACTAGAGGGCGCCACACGCCATGGTTTTAGCACAGTGCAGAAGTCTGTATTAATTAGTGGTCTACAATTGAGTTCATTTGGCATAACGAAGACAGATATTAGCTTTCAAACCACAACAAGGCTTTACAGATAACATACTAAGAGAAATAGCAGCACCCCAACTCTACATTTTTAAGATTCACAAAGAGTATGTCTTGGCAGAATTGGAGTTGTGATTGTTGGTAAACTTTTAATCATACATGTTTGCTTTATGAATTTTGTAAAACACTGATGGTTTTATTCATTGGGGATATTCCACAGTGAAGGATAATCAGCCTGGCCTGTTGTAACTGTCATTCACTCCCTGTCTGTACATTGTGTACAGCTTTCCCATACACGAAAATTACATAACCACAGGTGTGTGCTAATTCAAAAGGTTAAAGAAGTCACTGTATGCTGTGTGCAATGGCTGCAGAGAAGCAGAATAATCACTGTGTTTGAATCCATTAAGGCAGGGTTTTTTTTATATAAGCAGTTCTCCTGTTTTAAGAAATCTAAATATAGTCCAATGGCATGTGACCTGTTTTATACAAAATAAAGCATCTGGATCAGCTTGAATTGACAGATGTTTTAAGCACTGATGGAGTTCTTTTATGCTACCTTTGAGTTAGTTATTCATACACCCTACTGGTGCAGCTCGGACACATTCTCAGTGACAAACCCAGGGTCATAGGGTGTTTCGGGTCTTGGATCATCATACACCCTCACCCGGGCGACCCAGCCGGGGGTGATCAGTCCCTGACTTGTGTCCGAGCAGCGTTACACCATGCTTCAGCCCTCTTGATCCACAGCCACCTAGAGGCTTTTTCGGCCGCTTCACTGATGGTTCTGGTGGCTTTCCTCTCCTGCAACCCTCTGATCCCCAGCAGCTTAAGTACTCGGTGCAGTGATTGCCCTGGGAAACCCCTGCAGCCCACCTCAAATGGCTCACACCGGGCCCTCCAGCCATTCTCCCTGCAGGCTTCCACCAGCTCGAGGTATCTGGCCTTCTTGCGCTCCTTGGCCTCACACATCTGGTCTTCCCAGGGGACTGTAAGTTCCAGCAGCACCACTTGCTTTGTAGAGTCAGATGTTACGACTAGGTCTGGCCTGAGTGATGTCTTGGCGATGTGCTCTGGAAACTTCAGCTTCCTCCCCAGGTCCACCTTCAGTCCCCAGTCACGAGCTGAGGCTAGCAGCCCAGTTGGGGCCTTGCGCTCTCTCTGAGGTTTCTCTCCTGCCCTGATGAAGAGGATGTTGTGCCTCAACGGGAGCTAGTGTTTGCTTTGCTGGAGTCCTGTGCAGAGGGTGTCAGCCACAGCCCTAAGAACCTGGTCATGGCACCATGTATACCTCCCCTCTCACAGGGCCTTGGGGCAGCAGCTCAAGATGTGACACCTTATTTACATTTTAACCCAGATCTGATGCAAGATGTTTATCCTAATAAGCAAAAGATGCAAACACAAACACAAAGATGCAAGACGTCTTAACAAACTGGTGAAAAAGGCTGGCTCTGTGGCAGGACTCAAGCTGGACTCAGTGGAGGATGTGGTGGAGAGATCTACACTGAGGAAGGTGGAGACTATTCCAAAGAACATGGATCACCCACTTCACAACACCTTGATGGACCAAAGAGCCAATGTTGGTGGACGGCTCCTCTCTCTTCGCTGCAGGACAGAAAGATTCAGATGATCTTCTTCTTCTTCTTCTTCTTCTTCTTCTTCTTCTTCTTCTTCTTAATATATAACAGGTAATAGTTATGACTGAACCCTACTATATAACAGCACTGATTGAAGCTACCAAAAATAGCTACACATTTATCTCCACTGTCATGTATAATCACTTTATTTAACTGAAAAACAATCATTTTGTCAAGCAGGTTTTAGTGTACTCAGATGATAAGGGCATTCTTCCAAAAAATTTGGATTTAAGCGTTTTGGTGCTTAAATATCAGAATCAGATAGGAAAGAAGTTACAATGGTGATGGTGATTTAGACTAAATTACCAGCAGAAGATGCACCTGTAGTATCATCAAAAGAACACGTTGAAAGAAAGCTGCCGTTCAGGTTGATGAAATGGGGCTAAATGTGTCAGTAGTGGTGTTATGTCAATGCAGGAGGAACAAACCCTTGTGTTAAAAGCAGCGGAGGAGGAGGAGGAGGAATGAGCAGACAGACAGAGAGGGGGACTGGCTGTTGCCTCGGATGAGTCGACCTGAAAGTATGGTTTGGATGGAGAGATAACATCCAGTCGCCTCTCTGATCTCCAATCACTCCTACTGGTACCCGCATCCTCCACCTGACAGGACCGAGCATGCCCAGACCACAACTATGCCCCCACCCACTTACCCGGCAGACCCTCAACCACAAAAACCATGTGCCCTGCACCACCATTTCATCTACACTCACCCACACCTTTTATACCCAAGAGTAATCTACAGTACTTATCTCTGCCTCAGAAAACACTCTCTTTTGTGCTTTCACACATTAATAGCTCTTTCGCACAAAATTACCCACACCAGGTCAGGAGGAACAGTTTCTCCTTCAGATTCAGAGAAAAAATATCATCATCATCTTATCTCTATTCACTTTAGCTTTGCATGCACTTGTAAATCAAATTTAGTTGATTATTATTTTGCTATTTTTTTTAATTAAATCCAATTTTAGCAATGATACCGATACAACTTTGGGAACAGCCGTGTTGGTTGTTTAGTGCCAACATGAGGTAAAAATTTATGGATTAGAATTTAGAGTATCTGCACAAATATTGACTAGAGTGTCATAAATCTTTGATCATAAATCAAGGTCCGTTCGTGACATTTATGCATCGTGGGTGTTGTAATTGGTCATTATTGGGAAGAGGGATGAAAGCCTGAAGGCAACACTTGTAACTGACCAGTTAATCTACCTCCTGGCTCTCTACTATGATCAAGGTGCTGTGGATAGAGACCAAAATATTGAGTTTGTTATTATAAGCAAAAGGTGACTGGACTCAGCCTAAAAGATAGGACTAGTGCTTGGACTTGCAGCAAGAGCAAGGAGTCGAGGAATTACTCCTTTGCATTAACAGGAGCCAGTTGAGGTGGGTCGCCATCAAGAAGTCTTATTTTGTTTATAATGCCCACACTTCAGTGTTGCCTTAACCTTTCTGACTTTTTGGATACTTTACCATGCAGCGGTTTACACTGTAAATCTTTTATCAAGGTTGATGTCCCTCAGTGGACTATGACAGACGAGGCCTGTGGATCCATGTTTCTGTGGGAGATAACACTTTCTGTTTGTTCTGTTAAATAAAAAAAAAGGCTTTGTATTCACAAGACGTTACAAAACACACTTTTTCCTGTCTGTTAAAGTAAAAAGGAAAAAAAAAAACCAGCAAACATGACTCTTTTTGGTATCGTACCTATTCAATACAATCTCTCTCACTCTTTCAATCATCACTTTTAAACACACACACACATATGCACACATACAAACACACACACACACAGGAGTGCTGATAGGATCTAACAAAACACACTTGCAGGCCAGATAGCGTCCAGTACCTGCTTCGACACAGCTGCCGCAACAAAAGCAGGGAGGAAACCAGGGCTGGAGTTATTAGGCAAACATCACTCTGAACGCAAAGAAAGCAAGGTGAAAAAATACAGGAAGTCCTGATACAAGAGAAAAGATTCAGACAGACAGGGAGATAGATGGAGAGAGAGCTGCAGCGGGATGCAGGGAGAGAGATTTATGTAAGTTACTTCAAGTATGAAGTGCACTGCATTCAGTAGAGAGAAATACCCTCAGAACCGCATGATATTCCTGCTTCTCCTTGATTATTATTCCCCATGACATTATGAGATTTCTGGAAACCTCAGGGCATTATACAGCAGATTTTGGAGTAAAGGCATATTCTCTGTATCATGATGCATGACTCACTGTCCTTTTTTTTCTTTCTGTCTCTTTCTCCCTAATCTTGCAGCTATATTTAGTACTGGCATAATGCCCTTCCAGACAGATAGGTTGGCAGCAGCATTTAGCTCTTCTGTCTCTCTTCTTCCATCCTCTCCTCTCATCCTCACATTCAGGGGGTATGAGGAGGAGAGGAGATTTGAGAAGAATTAACATGGGATCAATCATCAACATAATACTGTCATGCAAGATTATCAATTTACAACCAGTAACTCTAGTACATGTAATGTGAGGGTCATTATAGCAGTTTTGACTTTGGACCTAATCTGGAGTTTAAATGATAATGCCTGAAAATTTCTAGATTGCCTTAGTGGCAGCAAATGGAGGCATAACTTATTGAACTATACGGTTACGTAATCAAGTGTGGCATCATTATGCAGTTAGATAGGATACAATACAATAACCCATTAAGCCATATTGATGGGCCTAGGTAGAAGAAGTATTATAAAGTACCCTGACAAAAGGTTCCGTTACCTTATGTTACACTTCGATAGAATTAAGGATGGGGTAGGACAGGATAGGACATGACAGGATAGTGGATGATACGGTACGGTGCAGTACGGTACGATACAATACGATACTATACGGTACAGTACGATAGGATTGATATGATACGATTGCTACGATACAATCGCTATGGTACAATGAGATATGATACCATATGATAAGATACACTACAATCGATACGATATGATATACGATACAATACAATAAGATACAATACAAGCGATACCATACAATACTCTTTCAACTGGTCAAGATGGAGACAATTGCCCGCTTTAATTTATGCTAACTTTGATAATCATGTTAATGTTGTTTGTTAGATTTTGAGTTCGATGGTACGGGCCTAAAGTTTTATGTGATTTTATGTGATTCACATGTATTTTAACATACTTAGCCTTTAATATTTAGGCCTTAGGATGACAATGTACCATCTGCTACTAAGACACATTGAAAGTTAGCAAAGATCTACCTTCTATTGTTGTAGAAACAAAAGCAATCAAAATATATTAAAGTAGAAGTATAAAGTAGCCCCAAAATGATTTGTTACTGTACTTGACAAAAAAGACTTGATGCCACCCTGCTTATGTCGTCACAGCTTTGTACTCGACCAACTTCTGACTCAGCAGCACAAATGAGAGGAGGAGAGGAAACAATATTGTGTCTCATAACACCACCTCACATCACACACACCCTCTCTGTACCAGCCTCCCAGGGTGGCACTGTAATCAAAAGTTTCTGTTTATTTTTCATTACTGTCACAGGAGACATTCAAACAAACTGACAGGGGAGATGGGGACATGAAATGTAGACAGCAGCACATATAAGCAGTGACAGGAAGAACACAATAGGGTTTATATGAAAAATAAGACATTTCCTTTAATAACATCTGTAACATCACGGTTGTATCCTGGTATCATTTCAATACATTTGACAATGCAGTATACACTTATAGGTGGACATTGAATCTATTAATTGGCATTTATATTCTACCACAACATAAAACTGCATTGTTTTCTACAAAGACAAGTTTATAGGGCACAAATGGTGTAGCAGCAAAAAAAGAGTGTCGTTTTTTTTCTTTATAGATAGGCTACAGTAGTATAATTTATTTGCAGAGAGGAGATTCATTGCAAAGGTTCAGCTAAATAAAATACAAATACATTTCTAAAGTATGCAGGATGTCATACACAAGGTTATGGATGAATATTAGAGGTTATAAAATGTTATATAGTTTAGTCAGGGGTTTCTACAGGCTAAGACACTGGGGGGCTAGACATGGCTAGCTTCGAAGTACACAGTAGATTGTGCAGATACAAGCACACTGATGTTTAACACTGACACAGGATCAGGACATCTGAATGAGATAGTAGGACATTCAAGATGTATTTCAGACACAGTTACGACGCTTAACAATTGGGGTACCAATGCTTTCTGATTGATCTGATATATTTCCTTTTATTGGTCAGACTTAAATGTGGTCACTTAAAGAGTTCTAAGGGTTCACAAAAATCTCATCTTAGTAGCACAACACTTTGAGATGGATTGTCTTTGATATGTTGTACATGCCTGTATGAGTGGAGCTTTTTCACCATTCTGAGTTCATACCCTCCCTCACTTCTGCCTTGAACGTATTTCCCCACCAAGTGTCTAATGTACAGTATGTGGTTTGTTATCTCAAACACAAAGTCAGTGTCACCGAGGTTAAGGGGCCATTCTATTTCTCCAAACATCAATTTCCTTGTTAAAAGAAATGCAAAATTAGCCAGAAAAATCTCATAATCATAAATACGTGAGCGTAATTGGCTAAAAATGAGATAAAACTGTTAATGACTGGGATAACTTTTGGGGACTTTTTTGTTTGTTTTTGCAAAAAGCAGGATGTGGAGCTTGATAACACTTTCCAGTCTGTCCAGTAAATCCTCCAGCCACATCAGCAACCAGTTAGCTTAGCTTAGCTTAGCCTAGCTTAGCTTAGTCTAAACACTGGATATAAGGGAAACACCAAAACCTGCCTACCAGCACCTCTCAGGCTCACTAAAGATAATCCTTTACATCTAGCTTTTTCTGTCTTTACAAAATCAAGTTGTTATGAGTAGCATGCTGTACTATATCTTGTCTGGGAGGACTGACTACCTGGAGTCTCTGCCTGTCCTAAATCTTCAAATAATTTGGCAAAAAATATCCTCTATGATACAACTTTGTCGTTATCACTCTTTGGTTTTTTTACGGATTAAACTCTACATAGAACATCAGAACATCAGAAAATAAAACTACAAAATCAAACAAATTTCAATATCATCTAAAAGGAATGATGGGATCCACAAGACGAGATAGCTGTGGGGGGAATAAACATAAATGAACTGATAAAATGATGGGCCAGGAGCTTATTTGTTTCTCGTAAGGCTTTCTAAAGTCCGTCTAAAAATTACCAGGCAGGACCAGTGGCAGTGAGCTTAGCTTAGCATAAAGACTGGAAATGAGAGGAAACAGCTCACCTAGCTCAATGCAAAAGCACTAAAATACACCTGCCAACACATCGTACACTCATTAATGAATACCGTCACCCTGCTTTTTCAACTGTACAAAATTCAAAACGTAAATTAAGTTTAAGCTTTAATTTTTTCTGGTGGCAAGTAGAGATTTCATGAAGCCACATCTTAGCCGTTTTCATGATTTGGTTTTCAAACAGACTAATCCAAAGAAACTTATTCATTAACTAGTGGGGTTTTGAGGTGCTGCTACAGTGCTACATTATTGCTATGCTAGGCTAAATGAATTGTAGAAGTCATGAGGGTGGTATCAATCTCAGCTATCTCGCAGCAATGCAGGAAATTCAAGACTAAAGGCTAAAAATGCATCAGGAAACCCTCTCCTTTTCTCCTCTTATGAGACTTTTTCCCTTTAGATTATTTAAAAAAACACAAAGAAAACTCCTATAGGTTCCTCTAAACTGGTGACCATCACTATAGATCTGCTTTAACTCCACATAGCAACACTGGAGATCATAGTTATTGCTTGATGTAGAAATCAAATGCTTAAAAGAGCATCGTAATGCCATAGAGAAAGTGACAACAATGCTTTGATACTTGGTCATTAATACGTTGCGATATAGAGGTAGTGATTGAAGCATTGATCAATAGTAAAAATAAACACTGAACAAGTGGCTCTGCATGAAATACAATAATCTAAACTTAGAAAAAGGAAATACAGAGCTTATCACAGCAGCCACTGAAACACATTTCTTTTGCTCGAGGCTGACACAAATAATTCAGACTCTGGACTGCTGTGTCAGTCAGCAGGATCGTATGGATCTGAGGGGGGAGAGCAGGCATAAATCATGGACTTTCACAGCTACTGTTTGTCAGAGCTCAGACGTCACAGGTTAAATGCTCTCAGTAAGGTTGAGCACAAGGCAAAGGGTCTGAATGAGAGTCAAAATGGGTTTAAACTGTGTGACCCACCATAATAGGCCCTCCGAGCTTTGGGTTTAGCCTGCCACGCTGACTGACAAGCTGCTCTAGACCTCATCCTTTCTAAAACGGTCACAGTTCAAATCCCTGTGCCACCCAGCAGCCAAGCAGTCATGAACTAACATGGAGTTAAACCGTGAGATTCAGTCAGAATATAAACAAGTTATGTTCCAAATGAATAATACTCTTTCCATCCTAGCTCTGACATGCAACAAAAACAGACATGTTTTCCTTTCAGTGCACTGGGAATGGCTGTTTGCTTGGTTTGTGTATGCTGCAGTGGACGACACTGCCCCACTGATTGTTTGAGTTACACATTATAATGTATATAGTCTCCCGTTTGTGGCCTGTGTGAGCCCTCTCTGTTTAAATTCAATACCTTTGAGTATCAGTTAAGATGCTGTGCTCATGGACGGCCACCCAGCGTGACTCTTTATGCAGACAGATTAAAGATGAACACGAAAAACAAAGACACATTCTGCAATATACACGATATCTTTTCAATCATCTCGACACAATTATAATAAAATAAAAAACAGAGGCATATTGTACAATATCAAATGAAGACTTTACAGGAAATTGCAAGTATAAACTACTGACATAAAACAAAAGCTTATGGCTACCTGCATTCATTTCACATTGCATGATGTGTGTGAATGCATATGTGTGTGTGCTTGCTATAGCACAGAGTGAGTGAGCCTGTGTGTGTCTGCATTAGCAGTGTTGTCTGTGTTCCTGGTATTATAAGTGTGAATGTTTGTGTGTGAAGCAGTGGACAGCCGCCAGCCCCCTCATTATTGTCATTCTCCTCACTGCCTAAAAGAGATGCAAAGAGAGGCAAAGCGACTGCTTTCAGTCCAGGAGCCCAGAAAAGATGGAGACAAAAGCTCCAAATTAAACAAATGCTGGAAATCGGCTTGGACAGCCAGCCCCGTGGTCAGACGCTTTGAATGAGAGAGGACGGCTGCAGGGATATCCCATCTGGGTCTTTCAGCGTGGAGACCACACAAATGCACTCACCTCCCAGCATTCAGCGAGAATATGTGTCCCATGTCCTTGTGGAAGTGTCCATCTGTCATCTGTGGCCATGTTTAGATCATCAGCACAAGAAGTGGCCTCCACTTCAACCACCTCCATGTGCAGTTTATCCTTAAATGAAGAAATGAAAACTGCCAATGAAATTCAGTCCTCTTCATATCCTTTGTTATTTTTTTAGCGTAGATCAAGAGTGTTTCTGCTGCTTTCTTGTATCTGCAGACCAGAAGCACTTCTCATAGTCCTTTAACCTCCAAACCATGGCAATGTGGTCCCACGCTCAATGGCTTACTCCAAGAAAGATTTAGTCTCTCATAAACACTGCTGTGCTGCCATTTCACACCTCCATTCCTTCCATTCATGGAGTGAGTTATGTAGCTCTACATGTCTGCTCACACACGTGGGCAGACAAGGGATGATAAGATGTTTGGTTGCACACACATACACACATATGTAGGTCTACTATATATTCAGCTGTGAAGCTGCTCTTGATACTAAACTAGAATGCTACCCAAGGTTCTTGTGTGTGCTTCTGATAATATTTCCGATAGTTGTCTGAGCTTCTGGATGTTCATCTGTGTGCTTTATGGCACTGATGCTGAGAGTGGGCGATGAATCGGCAGGGTTGGTGGAGAAATGGAGGGTGAAGAAGGTAGACGGGCTCATCAAGTCCTTGCGGCTTCACACCTGGAACAGTTAACAGAACAGAAATTGAGGGTTTAATGTGGAATCCTGAAAAACAGCGGGAGAGTTAATTTTTGGATTAAAACCATCTCCAGATAGATACACAGAAGAAGAATAGATACAAACAAAAAAGAGATGTATACCAGAGAAAAATAGAAGAATTGATCAAATTCATGTGATGGTGATTTCCCAATGACATTATATGGTTCAAATGTTAAAACAACAATTTTATAACCCGTTATTACTCAGAAATAGCAAATGATAACATTCAGCTACCTCTCAGCTAACATTAGTGTTTGCCAGGAAGTGGTTGAAGGCAATAATATCTTTTACAAGTGTTGTGAGACACTGTTGGATTACCAGACTGTTGATTGATGATAGCTAATGGATGTTTAGATATGTGGTTTTAATCAAAACATGGCACAATGTCCTTCAGGAGTTCTTCAGTGACAGCTCAGTTACACTCTAAAAACTCTCGGGTTATTTCTTCAACCCAATACCTGGGTTATACGTGTTGAGCTAAATTTCTGGGTTATTTTTCAGATCCATACCCATTTCTTGGGTCATATGGATTCTGTTGTAACTCAATTTGATAGTTTTTTGAATGGGTTAACAATTATGGATTATTTTTCTAAGAGTAACCCAATAATTGGGTCAGAACATCTGGGGGGTTGGAGTTTGAATCCCACTAGAGACACATCTGTAAGGAGCGAACTATATCCACCAGTGTGGGTCCTTAGACAAGACCCTTAACACTATGGTCTACAATCAGTTAGATAAAAGTACATGGGAAAATAAGGTACAGGTTGTAAAAGAAAAGCTCCCCAAATGCATATATCAATTTAACCCAGGATCATGAGTCAAATTAACTTGAACATTGGGTTAACTTGACCATTAAAAAGGGTTATTGAGTCAACCCAAAATTTGGGTTAATTTGAATAACCAAGCATTCTGGGTTAAAATAACCCAATAAGTAGTCGATCCCTATTCAACCCTCATGTTGGGTTAAAAGGGGTTTTTAGAGTGTACAGATAACTCAGGCAACGTTGAAGTCATTATGATTGGTCAGATTCTCTGTGTATTTTGATACACATAACACAAAGACACAGCAGCATGAAGTTATAGGAGTGTTTGAGTTTCCCAGTTTGAGCATAATGTCTCAGGATACCATAAGATTATGGTAAACTGAGTGAGATTCATCAACCATCCTAATAAAATGATGATGCATGGTTATATCAGATGAAGATCTGATCTAAGGAGTCTTATTACTGTCATCACCGGCTTTGTTTCTGAGTCACAGAGCTATTGGCCAATTTCCTTCAATAAAAACTCCAGTAAGAACCTCTATTATAATCACAGAGAGAGAAACTCAGGGTTTAATGTGCCTTTTTAAAGATATCACATTGAATCCTCTCTGCCACACTTCATACTTCCAACAGAGGACTTCACTGTATCAAAGCTGGTCAGCATCTCTGCAACTTGTAGTGCATTTAAGAGCTTCATTTGAAATGCATTTTGGATAACTTTTTAGAAAGATGCACAAATTCTTAAGACAGAGAAAAAACATCTTCTTCATGTACATTTGATTCCTTGACAATGAGCATTGACAACCACCTGCTTTTTAGTATCCAGCCTTGTCTTTATCTTTTGTTCACATATTGATACAAACATGTGGTCAAAAATACGTCAAAAATAGTAATAAATAGTTTTCTCTTGACTGACCTGCAGCGCTGGGGGTTGAGCCGCAGGTTTTTACGCTTGCAGCTCTCAGCTCTGATGGTGCAGTGACACTGACAAGACGTCTCATCCAAAGCCCACTTCCTCCCTCTGCAGGGACGACAACAAGGCCTCTGAGATGGTGTTGGAGAGGGAGATGGAGGGGGAGAAGTAGGGAGGCTGGTTGGAGGGGGTGATGGAGGAGGAGGTGAGGATGGGGGAGGGAGAGTTGGGAGTGCGAGGGTCCTGTATAAGGAGACAGGTGAGGAACAGTAGAGTTAGTTGCAGAATTAATACACCTGTGGGGTCGTAGGACATCAGGGCCTTTAAATACCCCTACTTTGCTATTTATTCTAGCTCATTAGCATAGCAAAAACTAAAATGCCGGCTTGTTTGAAACTGCAACCAGGCTGACACAACTGAGACCACTCAGAGTGAGGGAGACGTGTGACCAATGTGGCATACTATTTCTTTAGCTGCAGACAAACTTTCTGCTCTTTCTGTCTGCCTGTTTTTCGGTCTGTTTCCATGGCTTTGGTCGCTTAAGTTGGCTTCACGAGGCCTCCAGTTTCTCCTCAAGAGTCTCAGTACTTTCACTGGCTCTAAGAAAGTTGCCTGCGTCATTTGATCCATTAACTGGAGCTGGTCCTGCCTCAGTCTTCCTGGGAGGCTGGCAGTCTTAATGAAGTGACTTAATGAGGCAAAGAGGGGCCATCTTTGTTCAGGTCCTGGTGACCACGCCTGTCGCTGGCATGGATAGAGGAGGGGGCATTTAAGAGCAAATTACACAGATTTCACCCCTGCCAGTGTCTGAATAAAGGCGGTTTGAAGTGATGGATGGGTGGTGAGGGACGTCACACCCAAACCGAGCCACCTCTGGCACCCCGGTGGCTGGATAGAGACTGACAGCAATGTTACGGGAAAAGGGAGAAGGGGGCTAACTCTGTTACTCTCTACACTTCTAGACTTGTGTGTCTAACAGACCTCTTTATGAGATATACGATGGACCAGTGTCCTAAAACTCAAATCAGTTATTCTCGCCCTTATGCCAAATTAATACACATCACAAAGAGGACCTGTTGATGACGTGATGCAGTGTCAGGGAATACCTGACTGAGAATCTTTGTCTATCACTTTGATTTTATAGCATAGAATTGGCAGATTTGCAGTAATACTTGTGAAAACTGTTGTCGCAATAGCCAGTTATTTTCCTTGGATCAACTGAGTCATTTGAAAAGCACCAAAATTCACACGCTTCCCTCTTTTCTTTGGGACCCTGTGCTGTAAACCACTGCTGCATAGACTTTCACATCGTGGGAAATTATTACAAAAGTTAAATGTTTAATCTTTTTAGCATTTCAAAGGGTTCAATATGTGAAGTAAGTCTGATTTCCCATCTAATTTAGGACAAACATTGTGTCCCTGAGTGGAAAGAAAGGGTTATCAGAGGTCAGTGGTTTTCACAGTAGGTCCTACTATAATATAAAGTTTCTCTCTGTAATGTCCTCAAAGTGACATAAATATCTCTCTCTCTCTCTCTCTCTCTCTCTCTCTCTCTCTCTCTCTCTCTCTCTCTCTCTCTCTCTCTCTCTCTCTCTCTCTGTATGTGTGTGTCCCTGAGTGCTTTGGCTGTAAAGCAATTTAACCTTCGGCATATCCTGATAACCTAGTTTTTCTCTGTAATCCAAACATTCACACTGACGCTGACAGTATCTAGAAAAACACACACACACAAAAACAATCAAAGGCTTGTAACCAAGTTGAAGCGTTCACACATGTCAACCGATAGTCATACGTACACAGCTCTGGTGGCTCCAGGTGTCTTCTGTCTGGGTTTCCCTCTTCTTTTTTTCTTGTCTTTTCTTGGTGGCTTCACTAAGGGCCTGTGAATATCAGACACACATTAGACTCTTTGACATCAAACTGAAATCAGTCTTCCTGAGTGTGTGAATGCATTAAAAGCATCCTGAAATGATCCCAGTGTGCTGCATGGTCTATTTAGAAGTTTGCTTCTTCACTTATTCTTTTAACTGACAGTTTCTGATTCACAGTCTGGTTTTGTCAATACTGTTTCTGTCTTTAGTTAAAGCAAAAATCCAAATAACTTATTTTGACATTTGAGAATGTTGTTGACTTCTTTTACTTCAAAATAAACGGCTTTACAAAATGACTATTGGGTTTTATATCTTCAATAAATTATTGAGAAATTAAACAGTTAATGCAAGAGTCTCATGATGATTCACAAAGCAGTGTTTTTTCACAAATGCTAAGCTCTTTAGTAATCACATCAAGCAAACATTTTGGCACTTTTAAAAACCTAAATAAATCTTCACAATAGGGTCTGACTTTAAACTGAGCTTCACACAGAGTAGATGTTCTTGTATAAAGTTTTGAATGTTGTTGGACCTCAGCAAAAAGACTCGAGTTCCCTCAAGAAAAATAAAAAGGTAGACCAAAGAGCCAAAAGAATCATAAATCAGTAGGTCCCAATCCCTAATCTCATCTCTTTAAATGCCATCGGAGAGGGAAAAAAGATACTGACGCGCTTTTGTTCCCTGTGCAATCATGCTGCTAAACATCGGCAGCAGTAATTGGTTAATTGGCCTGTTGCTGTAATCTGCTGTATATGACACAGCTCCCTGGAATAAAATGTCTGAATGCTGGAGTTGACAGTGTTGACCTGTTAGTTTAATTTATTTGGTAGGCTGCAAAACTGAATCACCCTTCTGGGATTCATACAGTTGTTTTAATCTTGAATCTTCAACATTAATATCCACTTTATCAGTGCTTTTGGCAACTTTAGCAGACTTTTCACTCTTAATCTGCAGCAACAGATAATGTGAAAGATTTTGTTCTTGCTCCTCAACACTGACTTTTGACTTTTTCCAACATTATCAATATTTACAACATTAAAGTTTAAATGTAAGAAATTAACTCCTGCAGTTGTTACAAGGAAGAACATTTATGATCATTCCTTTATCAATTTCTTGTAGTAATAATCATCATATTAATCATTTTGCACTGCGGACGCGGTAGTTCTTCTGCCTTAGCGTTTTGGTCTGATCGCATTTCCATGAAGAAATGATCATAAATGTTCTTCCTTGAGCTGCGTCACCCCGAAGCAGTCAGTAATGGACTGGCCCGAGGTTTCATTACAAACAAACGGCTGCTGGATGAGAGTAGGTGAGTTGTGTTTAGTATTTTTGCTAAAGGGATTAGTCAAAGTTAAAAATTTGTTTGGTGGTTAGTGCTGTGGCTAAGACCTTAGATGAAGTTAGGTGCTGTTCTGAGCATAGTTTGTGACTATAGAGTGGAGTTTTGGTTGCGGTTTGTTAATTGTTCCTCAGACCACTGTGTATTGCTATCATGCGGTTGTTACTAAAGTTGGTATAACTAGAGAAGCAAGTATTCAGCAACATTCATCTCTCGAGGGGGTGTCTAACTCGATGTTACAGTGTGTTTCACTGCAAATGCAGAATCAGTATTGCAGGCCATCATTTGCAGGTTTCACTTGGTTTTGACCTGTTGATGCATTTCTCCTTCTCCTCCTCTCTCTTCCTTTCTTTAAAACTTTAAGTTTGTTCTCAGCTGCTCTTTCCAAAAAAAAAGGCATAAAAGACCCAAAATAGAAATCTGAAAGCAGTGGCATGAGTTTAGTCTTGTAGGAAGAAGAGACAGTCTCCAAAAACTTGGAATAAAAGTCACGATTTCCGATTCAGCATAACTGTCAGCACTGCATTAGTGTCTGTCCTTGTTTGACTTTGCTGTCTCTTTCTTCTAATCCTGTCTGCTGCAAACTGCATTAAACTCTATCAAATTATGGAAACAGTGTTCACCAGCTTAGCTCGACATCATTAACGCTGTGCTCTGCTCTGCTGCTGCTGGTGCTGCTGTTTTTTTCTATCATGGTTCGTGACTCTGCTCTGTCAGACTCTGCAAGAGCACATGGCAGGGGGAGATAAGATCATCACTATGGTGACAACAGGATGCGGGCAGTCCCAGGGGATGCTGGGAGAGAGTCACACAGATGCTAACTTACTCAGGGGCAAACACACACGCACGCATATAAACACACAGAAACAAATGCTCACACACAATTAAAAACTTTCACACGCACTAATAATAACAACACATGGGGAATGTACACGATACATGTAGAGATAGAGCGAAACCAAACACAGCCGCACAGACACATGAACCACGTACTGGATAAAGGACACACATACATAGGAATCCTTTATTTATGTCCACATCCTAACAGGAAGCAGAGGGACATAAACATTGAAGATGCAATCATGTGATTGTGTGGTCAGAGGTACACAAACATCAGGGACACAGCTGAAACCTTCCTGTCACAGTGTTCGACCAAATACTACCTTAACAGAGAGCTTTTCTTGTTTACATATTAACCCAAGTGTTACAGATTTCTACTCTCAACAGCTTTCCACCATTTTTATAAATTGCTTTATGACTATGAGTCAGACGTTTAAATCAACTTGCAGAAAATTTTGTTACTCCAGTAAAATGAGAAACTATCACATCTCTGTCACTTTCAACTTTCTCATTGAGACACGATTTTAGGGCACCGTCATTCCAGTGTAATAAATTCAACACTGACTGGTCAACCTTAAATCTGTGCCTGGCCTCAAATAAGTGTTGTACCAATGGTCTCCTTTGAAATCCAACTGCATCTCCTATTTATTGGCACTCTTTGGTTGGCCTGACTTGTGCCTGATTAAAAAGCGTCCGACTTTAACTCCACCTGTTTTCTCCTTCTCTGACTGAAATTTGCTGCCTCTGCATACAACGGGCATGATGGAAGTTTCAGGTTCTAAGGTGATGGCAATGCATAAAAAGTAGCCCCTAACAAGAATCGAATGCAACCAGCAAAGCTTCCTCTCAAACAAAGGTAAATCTGTTGGTTTCTCTCATAACTGGAAACCAAACAAGGACATTTTCTTTATGCTGCACTTCTGCTGGAAGGAGGGGTATCCAAATGGTCCATCTCCTGAAAATGACTTCTGGAGCAAGAACCTGACAAGCACCTTACAGCTACTGGGGTTGAAACAAACCATTTCAGACAGAATCAGTCCCCTGACTATACCCTCTCTCAATCAAAAACACCATCAGCAGAATTGTAAGACAGTCATTAGTGGATGTGGATAAACAGAGAGAGCTTCTGAGAGTCATTAGAGATGATTCATCTTGAAATGTCAAAACTGTGGCTCGCTCACACGCAATCATAAACAGGAAATCAAAAAGATTAAGATGAGAAAATAAAGGAAACATTTCAGAGTGAAATGAGAAAACTGCTGTGTGTTACCTTGTTGTAGGTGTTAGCCTCAATTCTTCTTTTAATCTACACACAAATGAAACAGACAGTGTCAGTGTCAAGGAGAGGAGAGGTCAGTGAAGATCACATCCTTGAATACAGACAGTGATAGAGTATTGTATTACCTGCACTCACACTGGCTGTGCTCATTGAAAGGCAGCTCGACAAGCTCATGTCTCATAAAAGAGGTTCTCATCAGCTGTAGACAGATCAGATAAAATATTACATTAAGATCATCTCATTGAAAAACATGACTCAATCACAATGACGCAGGCTGGCGAGTCTGTGTGTGTGTGTGTGAGTGTGTGTGTGTGTGTGTGTGTGTGTGTGTGTGTGTGTGTGTGTGTGTGTGTGTGTGTGTGTGTGTGTGTGTGTGTGTACCTCCATTGTGAGCGTATGAGTGAGCAGGGGTACACACTCCAGGGCCTCGTCTGAGCAGCAGCCACCACATCGCCTCACTGACACACAGGACGGGACAAAGAGATGGTGCGTCTCCCCGGGCAACTCCCGCCAAACCTCCACCAGAGTGTCCCGAGGCTCACAGCCACTTCGTGAATAAACCTCCAACCACCGCCGCACTGGAAGAGACGCACATACACAAATCAAAATACAATTTGTTACCTTTGAAATAGAGCGGGGATCCTTTCAGTAACAGGACGCATACCTTCTCGACCTTCCCTGGATTTTGGGGAGTCTGCTGGCCGCCAGTGAGCGAGCTGTGATGAGGGGGGTTGAAGAGAAAAACGAAAGAGTGAGTGTGAAAAGTACTGTCTCAATATATTTCTACTCAAGGTAATTGGCTACATCAAATTTAGATTCAGCAAACTAGAGTTATGACAAAAAAAAAACTGAAAAATCAATGGGAGCCTTATCTAAAGGAAACAGTTATGTCCCAAGATGGCTCAAGTGTACTTGTGGTCAATCACTCTTATTTATAGCATGAATTTTTGCAGCATATAGAAATGTTAAATAAGAAAGTTGTAAAAAATTTCATTCAAAAAAGGCTGAAATCTATCCAAGTATACTCCACCTCTTGACAGGAAAACAAAACATCACTCAACTAAACTGAGAGTAAATTCAATAAATGTAGTCAGAGTACACTGAGACTTCACTAATTGTCATCAGTTAACCTGTTAAATATTTGTACACTGACAGTTTAGTGGAAAATTTATCGTTGAGCCTCTTGAATGTCGAAATTTTGGAGGAAACAATCATCACGATTTCCTAGAACCCAAAGTAGCATCCTCAGATCTCCTCTAGTGTCTTACCAACATTGAAAGAGTGAAAGACTTCTCATCAACGACAATATACGAAAAAGATTCAACAAAACTGGATCTGATTATGGGAGCAGACGTGCAGTAGTTTGATCAAACAAATACACATCGTTTAAGTCTGTGTTATGAAATGTTTCCTGAACAAACATAGCCCATGAGTCCCTGTGGGTCTTTAGCTAGAAATGTTCTACCTGCTACCTTTACCCTCATTTCTATCAGCTGATTACAGTGTTTAAAACCCTCTCAGTAGGCCTGCAGGAAGATAGTAAAAGGTTTTGCCGCCTGATTTGATGCGGTAAATTATTACAGATGGTGTGCAGCAGGAACTGACTCATTATAAGTGTGATGAATTTATCAGTGGTTTGTAGAATATTTCAAAACATCCAGTCTGGCACTGACAGATTTTTTTTTCCTTTTTAGCAACTCCTGGTGTGATATCACTATCATGCAACAGCTATACTAAAAGTTGTGTATAGTGATAATAGAATTAAAGCTCCAGTGAGTAAGTTCATGCTTTTAGAACTTTTTCCTATCTGGTTCATTCTCTGACCCTAGGAAATGTGGCCACATAGTTAGAGACACAGGGCGCTGCAAGCCTAGCAGTCCAAGCACGCCTCATATGAGGAGGCAGTCCTTAACGTACAGGATCTACTTCCAGTCGCTGCAAGATTTGGTGCACGTCATTCCCCCCCATCTCTCATCATGTCCTGTCTTTCTCAAGCTGTCCTGTCCAAATGAGGCCAAATTTTAATCTTTAAAAAATAATTAACATCATCTGGTTTAAAGTTTACCCAAAAAAAACAAGTATTTTGAACTACTGTTTGGTTACAAAATCAAGCTCACAGCCAGACACTTGGCGAAAGGACACCACAAAAACACTGACACTTGATTTCTAGAGGGGACATCAGCCTTAAAAATGTCTACACGTGATGAAATATTGCACCAGTTCCCAAAGTAAAGCACAGACTACAGCGGGGTGACGCAGCTCAAGGAAGAACATTTATGATCATTACTTTATCATTTCCTTTAAATAATAATCACCATATTAATCATTATGCACTGTAGACGTGGTAGTTCTTCTGCCTTAGCGTCTTGGTCTGATCGCATTTCCATGAAGAAATAATGTGTGCGTCACCCCGCAGCAGTCTGTAATGGATTTGCCCAAGGTCTGGCTACAAACAAACGGCTGCTGAATGAGAGTAGGTGAGTTGTGTTTAGTCTCTTTGCTAAAGGAATTAAGAAAAGTTTAAAGGTTTGGTGGCTAGTGCTGTGGCTGGGACCCTATATGTACTGATGAAGTTAGGTGCTGTTCTGAGCATTATTTGTGGCTATAGAGTGGCGTTTTGGTTGAGGTCTGTGTGTGGCTCTTCAGACCGCTGTGTATTGCTATCGTGCGGTCGTTACGAAAGTTGGTATAACTAGATAAGTAAGCGGAGCAGTCGGCAACATTCATCTCTCGAGGGGGTGTCTAACTCGGTGTTGCGATGTGTTTGACCCTAAATTAATTTTATACATCCAAAATATCCCTTTAAGACCTTTTTCAAACCAACACTATCGCTTAACACTCTTATCTTGTTCCAGATGTTTTCAAGTTCTCAGATGGATTCATTAAATGACTGTCTGATAAATAATAAAAGCAAACATTGATGAAAAGTTGAAAGAGAATTTCCCATCATCTTATTCCTCAGATGTGACTCCTCCTAGGGGCCCCGACTCTGAATTGGAAAACCACAGGACTGGACTAAACTACATGAAAGTAGTTAAACAAGCTCCTCTTCCGCAGAGCATATTATGAGCATACTTCTTAAAGATTCAGGCAGCGGAATTCATTATCTGTAATTCCTTATAAGCCACAGGATATTACTTACTGACTGAGCGCAATTACAGCAAATAACCCCATTACTCTGCTCTGATGAAAAGGTTCCTGAAAACTCGACTTCCATTTTGTAGTTTTTTTTATATCAGTGGTAAGTCTAATGAATAATCGTTACATTCTGGGAAATCATGATAGTGAGACTGAATTTTACAGCTGTGTCACGCTTATTGCTTAGTGTGCGCGTGTGTATGTTTGTGACGACCAAGGCCACTTGTAAGGGAATGTAGACTTTGTCCATTTGCCCCCTTTTGACTGCTCCACCCCCTTTAAACTACTCTCTCTCACTCACTCACACACAGAGACACACACGTACACACAAACTAGTTAGGCCAACACTATTTCTGAGTTTAGCTGGGACTGAGGCCATTTTGTGACTGCTAGCATGTGAGATTAAGTAAGTGTGTCTTTTCTGTCTGTCTTTTTGATGGGGATGAGATTACCTCCTTTTGGCTGCCACATTAGCAAAGACTTGGCACACAAACTCACACACTTGTGGGTGCCAACCCAGTGCCATCTGCACTGGTATTGTCTTCTGTTTAACTCCCAGTTTCCACATAGAAGCACACTGTGGAGATGGGAATAGAGTGTGTTTCTATGTGTGAGCGTGCCCTACAACTACACACCGTCTCTCCCCCGCAGATCTTCATCACTGGATATAAAAAGGATGACCCCTTTTTGAAATGTGCTGACAGACGGCATGAGAGTAGAGAGTCTCGGGTGAGAGCCTGCAGCTGTGAGAAGGTGAGGACGCTTTTCTGATGCGTGTTGCTATGTAGCGTCTACAATGATGCATCATTCAAGCACACAGTAACACAGTCAGGGCTGAATCCCACATTGCTGCAGAGCACGGCCTGTTCCTGATACAAGTCTCCAGACATAAATAAAAGAAACCAGCACATGCAGCTCATCTAAGTGTGTGTGTGTGTGTGTGTGTGTGTGTGTGTGTGTGTGTGTGTGTGTGTGTGTGTGTGTGTGTGTGTGTGTGTGTGTGTAATCCAGGTGTCAAATTGAGGACACCAGTCATTTTTTATTCATTTATGACGACTGAAATGCGGGTTTTCGAAGTACACTGATTAGAGTCTATACACAAAAATTGGTTAAAACTTCAAAAAGACACAAAAACAAAGTACAAAAATTGACCCAATTTCTATACTGCTGGGCAGTACTTCCAGAAAAGTTTAATATAAAATTGAAAAAGTGCTCCACATAATTAGAAATTATGTTATAATGCTTAGTATCGCCTTTTAATGGCTTTATCAATGCCAATAAGCGGTCATATTTTGGTTTGCAAGTTCTCAATAAATCCTACGCATGGCCCAACCTTTTTAGGCTAGTTTGTCTTTTAGCAAGTAGAGGGACTGGTCCTGATCAGCAGCTCATAGCTCTAGAAAAATTAAGTTATTTTACTAGAATAATATGGCGAGAGTATTGAGGCTACTTGCAGTTCTCTGAGCTAGCTAGGCATAGCAAAAGGCTTGGGATGGCAGTAGCTCAAGAGGCAGTGTGGTCATCCAATAACCGAAAGGTTGACGGTTCGATTCCCCTCTATCCTGAGTCTGTCCATTGTGTCCTTGGGCAAGACACTTATCCCACCTTGCTCCCAGTGTGTGTCCTCCACTGGTGAATGATTGTGAGTGCTGGCGCAAACTGGCAGCCACATTTCTGTCAGTCTGCCCCAGGGTAACTGTGACTACTAAGGTAGTTTACCACCACCGAGGTGTGACTGTGTGAGTGAATGAATGATGTTTCCAATGTAAAGCGCTTTGAGGGTCTCTGATAAAGTGCTATATGAAATCTGATGCATTATTATTAAAACATCAGGAAACAACTCGCTTGACTCTCTGAAACTAAAAAAGAAAAATCAGGTCACAAGTATTTCTTCTGCTTCCAAACTTTAATGCTATTACTTATTTCAATCAATTAAAAAAAGCTATACGTTAACATATACACTTTTTCAGGTTATGTGCAGACTAATTTCTAAGCCTGGCAACCAGCGAGAACTTACACTTGAGAGTTGTCCCCTTAATGTTTTAAATGTTGTTTAGTATTGACTGAGACCCAATAAAACTTGAAATATATGATATTTAGAGGTGAATAAAGATTTATTTTACTTCCAGGAAAGCAGATCCCTCAGTTTTAGTGATAGTTAAGTATTTTGGATCTTGAGCTGCCAAAAGGGGTAATTCACCACAAACTTCCTTCAAGAAGGCGAGTAAGTGTATTTGCAAACATTTTTGCATCTTTTATGATACCAATGATTAAATTTCAGGATCTGCTGTTGAAAAAGCGAGTGGATCTTCTTCATTTGTTGGTCCAAGGAAAGACCAAGTCAAGGGCTATGATGGAAAAGTATTCTCACAATCTGGCAGCCCAAAAACTGGATGAATTCTCCAGCTTATTGGTAGGTTGAATAGTAAATACTGAACACTCAAAAATTGTGAAATTTGTGTCACTCGACCTGAAGTGTCAGGTGTTTTGGACCAAAAGGATAAGTTCATCAAAGTCCCTCGTGGCTCTCACCAAACCCTCTAGTTCCTCCTCCTCTATATCACTCCGTGCTTATCAAGTGATTATGGATACAAACTGGGAATAAATCTGCAGAAGCTCAATAGCTGAAGGCCATCTGACCAGTTCAAACATGCAGTCAATGGAGTAAAATTCATCGGCCTATACATACCTTGGCATGGGACGTGGGTATTCTGGTGAGCAGCAGGAATTGAAACATTCCTAGAATAACTTGAAGCATAATCCCCATTGTGCAGGAGTCCGAGGGGCACGCAAAAATATTTTTGGACCAATCCAAAAGAAGAAGGTCCGACCGTGTCCTTCCTTCAGCCGTGAGTCCGATTAAACACGCAGAAATCCCGCTTTCATTCTCCAGTCTCCCTTCCTTGAAAGGACACCCGGGGTAGCATCCTCAATATTGGGTGTCTAACTTTATTCTGCTCTATCAAAGACACAGTGATAGTCTCAATTAGCCCAGGAGCCAATCTGAACTCTACTCTGACTTCATACCAATTAGTCTACAAGAGTCACAGTCTGTTCTCTTACACCCTCCCTTCAGAAAGGTTCACATGCAGCTACACAGTAACAGTGTGTGTAATACTCATTTAATCTCAAACCGAGGCAGCATGATCCTCACAACCTGATTTTGGATCAGACTTATTCCAACTTTGAGTGATACCTTCCTGCGTGAATTTCACAGCAGGATCAGCCTAGTGGTCCTGATCCCATGAAACCGGTGTGGGGTTCCGGGGTGGCGTGACAGGAGGATCATCCAAATTCCCGTTAAAACATGCTGCGATCATAAATTCCTCTGAGTGGCTTCAAAGAAAAAATTGTCACCCAGCTATAAAGGATGTTTGATCCGGTAAATATCCGCCGCTGTGGACCGACGTGCCGCATATTCGTCTCCCCCGGCTCGGTCACAGTCTCTCCACACTGTCGCTCCCACTGAAAATGTGACGTTACTCCTCCACGCGCATCTTCTCGGTTTTCTATCCTCTTACATACAACACGACTGGAGTGACATCCTCCGCTCACATGGCAGCGCAGTTTTAGACACACACAGAGGGGCTTTGAAGAGGTGGCAGTCTTCATTAGTTGTTGTGATCGGTTTCCTCATTTCCTTTGCCCTTGAGACGCACGCAGCGTAACCATTGCGCTGCCAACTTTTTCCAAATGGGACACGCGCACTGCATACAGGTGCAACGTCTCCATTGGTCCCGTAGTGGGGGTCAGGTGGCCTCCAGGGGCCCATCGCTGGTGGGAAGCAGGACTTAATGTGGTCATGTCCTCTGACACACGACTTAACCTGGTGGTTTGAAGTTTGTTCACAAGGACTTAATCTTCTGTGACTTGGATTCAAAGAGTTGAACATTAGAAATTGATTGAGATTTAAGATGCAAATTATTAATCCCACAGATAACGATGTGCCAGAATATAACAGGTGCATTTGCTTGGGTTTTTTTGTTTGTTTGATTTTCTTTCCCCCTTTTGACGATGAACCAAATATATGGTTTTGGACAAAATAAGCGATAGAATGTCATACTTTAAATTTTGATTGGGATTTTGGCCCACTGTCTCACATTTTATTGGCTAAAATTCTTATTAAAAATGACCAGATCATTTGATCAATCTTGTGTTGATGTTTGTGTAATGTAGCCCCAGCAAAGATTCAGTATTACATGAACATAAGATGTTTCTCCCCCCTGCTCCCTTCCAACCAATGGATAAGAAATGTTGCAATGTGACATGATATTGAAAGAAAGAAAGAAAGAAAGAAAGAAAGAAAGAAAGAAAGAAAGAAAGAAAGAAAGAAAGAAAGAAAGAAAGAAAGAAAGAGAAAGAATCTTTTTGGTTGTATTCTGGTGGCAGGCAGAAAATTGCCGACTGTGTATACTTGTCGCTACATGAATCTGCAATTTCTCATCAAATATTATCTTTAGATCTGCAGAAAAAGATCAGTTGAGTCTTAAAATCAATTTATCCATTATCCAATCCTTAGTCAGTGCAGAGGATCACCTGCAAAAGTAGGAACTTGGACCATTTAACATGTGTGGACAGTGAGGGATAAATATTTTGTGATAACAAGACCTCAGCGTTATTAAAGTCCATTCATCTCCAGATAAGAATCACTGGAAACTGGCCTCATTACTTTTTGTTTTTGTAGCCGCATAACCTTTAAGTGCGTCTGTCTGTGGAGTCATGCCGACAGTTTTTTTTTCTGGTGTGTTTGGGTTATGACAGGGCACACATGAGGGTGAGGGTGTCTGTAAGCTATGCATGTATAGATGTGTTATCTCCCACTCATGGCTCAGGACAGGGGCCACCACTGACACAAAGACAAGGGAAGAAAAAAGGGAACTGTACCCTCTCTTAACAGCACTTTTCTTAAATTCATACTTTACTCAAAACAATAGAAACAGGCTTCGTTTCCATGAGATCATCAAATACTGAGAGTCCAGGATGTTCTTATAACATTCATGTGAATGTAAATATGAAAATAAACAGGCGGCTGCATCTGTAAAGTCAGTTTTTAGTTGACCTTTGTAGCTTCAAGTGTGAGGTGAGAAGTCTGAAGAGATCGGTTCATAATTCAGACACTGACTACTGAGATAATGGAAAATAAACTGAGGCAGATAAATAATTATACAGTCAAAACTGTGCAGACTCATCTGTGTGGTTGCTCATTAAGAGAAAATGATCTATATCTAAAAAAACACTTGCTCTCTCTGCAGCAGAGGAAAGACATTTTACTGATAAGGTACTTTAAAAGTGGGTGAATAACACTATTTTTCTCTCTGCCGAGATAATAGTACATACATTCTTGTTGAAAAACAGCGGCTATGTATTCAGAGGCAGTGGCTGGAGTCGATTGTTTAATGGAAAACCATGGCCAAATGTATGAATGAGAGAAACAGAGTAATGATTGATGAGAACAAGTTGATCTTTTAATCGTCTGGTTATGAAATCCCTCCAGTGAAAATGAAAGGCAGTCAAAAACAGATAAAACAGCGGAAACCTCTACTCTCTAAAAACCTACAAGGCAAAATGGTCAAGGTTAGCTCTGCAAGAAGTAACTGTAATTATGAACCACATCTACCTTCAGTTTGATTAGGAATGAATTACCCACAGTCCCTTTATAAAGTCATTATATCGAGTCCTTCCAAAGAGTGAAGGGTGTTTTATTATGCACAACACTGAGGTTTAATGAGGAGCTGAGATCCATGACCGGGGCTGGTTAACAGTCAAAGAGTTTCCTTCAAGATTTACCGTGTGTTGGTGAAACTTTTGCCTCTGTTTAATACTTAAGTCTAACAAATAACCTCCTTATTACACAGGGCCTCTAAAGATTTCAGTTTGATCAATAGGAGTTCCTCTCTGAAGGAGACAGCTCGTCCGTCTCATTTCGACTCCACTCATTAGTTTTCACTACCATGAGAGTCTGTGAACAGTAAATAACAGACCCCCGGAAGTTCATTAGAGGCAGTTCAACAATGTTCATTTTGGCTCTGAGAGGTTTGTGCACATCGTTTTTAAAGTCGCATCACTTCAAATTTTCAATCACCGCCTTCATCAGACTAGTCCAGTATTTAGATACAGTTCAATTCAGACACGAAGAAACCCTCAAGTCACCTGATTAAACCATCTTCTGTCCGTCTTCAAGTCTTCATCAGCTCAGGACTAACCGCCGTCAACATTTTCAAATAAGTCAGAAAAACTTTAAAATCCTAAAACTTGTAGCATAATCAGTCTGTAAGCAGTCCCAATCCTGTCATCGCCGGGCACAGCTGGAGACTCTACTACTTCTCCTCTCCACCATTGCGGATTTTGTATTTCTCCAAAAACTCAGCGTGTTTCTGGCGCAAGATTTCTGTCTGTTTCTTGAAACCGTTGACTCTGTGGAGCAGCACAGACAGACTTAGTTTTGTTATCAAGCACAGAAACCGAATATGTTCATAGTTATACCAGCTAAATCTGCCAACAAAGTGAAGACAGATCATTTGAAGGAGTTCTCGCTCTCACCTGGCCCTCTCTTTGGACTCGTTGTAAATTTCTGTGATGATACGATCTTTCTCATCCATGAAGTTATTGTGGACCTCTTCCAGTTTCCTGAAGAAATTGTGAGAATAATAACTTTCTTTGACCCAAAAACTTGTCACTCAGTGGGCAGCTCTGTACGCTCGCTTGTATTTATGAGTTTGTACAGCTGTTAAAACAGCCGGGCAGATCATAAAGACGAGAATCTCTACAAACAGAAGTGGCACAGAGTCAGCGTGTAAAAACAAACACAGTGACACTGGCTGGGAACTTGTGCCAAGGCACATGGCACAGAAACATGTGTGAAAACTATCATGTTTATCTGAAAGTGATTGGTCAGCAGAAAAAAAAACACAGGAACACAATTTATCATTACTGCACTGCTGCATTATCTTTTATCTCTCACATTCTGACATTTGCTGAAATAATGTTTCCCCAAATATTACAGAGTGATAAAAACTCTGTTAAAATGTCACTTGAGGGAAAAAAGGCATGGTAAGCGTCAAACACTTTTTCTACCTGAAGAAGATGATGTGGGCTCCGACACTGAGAAACATGGTGATGACGCAGTAGCCCACGAGGCGAAAGTTCCTCCTCCTCCTCCTCTCATAGTCCTCTGCTGTCATGTCCTGTGCGTGAGACTGACGAAACTGCTCCCAGTAACGCATGTTCTCCTGGGGATCCACACTGGTGATATGGTATGATTGGATTATGATTGGATGGTGATGTCAAAAGCAGATATTACGAACAGACCAAAATTAATCTTTAAGTATTTGTGCAGAAACATCATGAATGGCCAATTAGTACTCCTGTGTAGATGGTTGTAAAAAACCTGAACATGATATACTTGGAGTAATACTGTGCATGGCTACTTCTTAACAGGTGTTTGAGGAAAGGAGAACAGCATGTGAAAGGAAGAAAATATGACCCTAAGAGGCCACGTGTCATCACCTGGCTCTGTAGCTGGTGTGACTGGAGGTAGATCTGAAGGCCTGGCCCCCACCATACGGATGCCTGATTTTGAAGTCGTACTCCCTCCTACTTGTGTCCTTGCTCAGGACTCTGTAGGCCTCGTTCAGCTCCACAAACTGGCTGTGCAGCGCCGGGTTGGTTGGATCGCTATCTGGGTGTAGCTGCATGATCATAAAAATCTGTCACTGTAATAAAACTTACAAAATAAAACCCACAAATGAAACAGGGGATTCTGAGCTGTATGTAAGTGCTCATCTGAGTATCTCCATTCAGAAGCAAAACGTTCCTATTTTCTCAGTTACACTCATGCATGCAAATGAACTTCATAACCTTGTTTTTTATCTAAAGGTTGAGTTGTCTCACCCCACACTTTGGCCAAACCACAGAGTAAATACACACGCACATCCTTATTTACACTGAGAGCCACAACGTGAAAACAAACAGTCAGGAAACCTTCTGTGGGAACTGTAGATAGAGGAAGCTATGCAGTGAAAGGCTGACCTCGTGTGGCCACATTTTACTTCATGTAAATACACACCTCAATAAATACTGAGCAACCTACCTTCTTGGATTTGTCGAAAAACGCATTTTTAATTTGCTCCACGCTGGCATCAGATTTGACTCCCAGAAGGTCATAATAGTTCACAGCTTTTCTATGGGGAGGAAGAAAAAACAACATTCATGCTGCACTGAGGGTGTATACAATGAGTAATTCATTCTGATTTAAATCAAAACACACACACGTATATAAAGGTTTATTCCCAAAGTGTACCTGAGACTGGAGCCTTGTGAGATCATGCGCAGCCCACTCTTGTAACACCAAAGACAACTCTGACACAGACGCAGCTGAGCCTCCAACTGCATGATGGGAAATTTCTCGGATGGAATACAGACAACCTGTAGAGAATATTAAGATATAACATCAGGAATGGCACAGAAAAGGCCGCATCATTAGATAAAGAGCGATATTTGAATTCAAACTAATATCTCTTTGGTGGATTGATTCAAACAAATGTTCAATAGGGCTGGGACAATATATTTTTCTCCCGATTCAATTAGTCTACGATTTTTTGGATGCCGATTTGATTTAAATTGTGATTCTAGGATATTGTCGATTCTGTCGATTTTTAGTCTGCATTTGTAACACCAATGAAAGAGTTGAACGATTAGGATTGTCTACTGACTATTCCAGGAACCATATTTCCCCAAAAGTTAAACATCACATGTAACTCAGTTTTTAAGATTTATTCTTCCATTTGAAAACAAAATTGATTTTTGAACAAAGAAATCAACGTAAAAATTGTAAAACAAAAAATTGCGATACTTATGTGAATCGATTTTTTCTCCCAACTCTAATGTACATGGTCTTTTAAAAAACACTGAGAATACTGATCTGGCAATTATACTTATGTTTCATCATTATCTTGCTCTTTATGGCACTCGAGGCAGTGTACTTAAACAATACTACTTACTTTAGTGTAAGTAATATTGTTTACTTACTTTAGTACTTTGGTGTAACAATACTACTTACTGTCTTGATTTCAACCCCTTTGTATCACAATACCACAAAGATGATGGACGTATCTGGATAAGAAGTTGCTTGTTCTTTTGTCACTACATAATTACGGATACTACTGGAAATGGGGACAACTAGGGCTGGGCGACATGGAAAAAAGTTTATCACAATACATTTTTTTCATATCAGTCGATATCGATATATAAAAATGAAATTAAAAAAGTGCTTGCAGAGGTTCTTTTCAATTAGGGACAGTCCATATAATCTCAGAGGTGCTTGCAAATTTACTATACAAAAAGCTAAAAAAAAAGTACGAAAAGGAGATGTGCCTCCATTACTGGAGTTAAATTCTGGAATGATGCCAACATAAATCTAAAAACATGTCATTCTTTTTTGGTTTTTAAGAAAATGGTTTGTGAGGCTATTTTTTAAGCTTATCAGTGCGATTAATTGTCTGTTGTTGTGGTTTCTTTGTTTTTCTGGAGGGCGGTAGCCTAAAAAGTTGACAATACAGGATAGGCTTTTATAAACAGTCTGCTTCTGCCTATGCCTTTTCAGTCAATATTCAACACATGATTTAGTGATTTTGTGATTTTGTGTGAAATATCAATATTGTGTACAATATTTGGTGTTGTCATGACTGAATAAACGACTACTACTACTTATTGGTGCCAGCTTCACGTGTTAAAGTGCTATGGTTGCGTGTAGCTGCAGCCTGCTGCTACACAGTTGTTTGCTACTTGGTTCTAATTCAGGACATGATTGATTCGGCGCGATGCAGACCCAGACCAACTTCCCTTTTCATCAGTTATTCATAAAGTCAACCAAAACATGGCAGAATGCCGTCTATCCAAAAGCATAGTGACTGTGTTTTATATTGATATTGACGGAAATCAATTTTTGATATATATATAGTCTTATCGCCCAGCCCTAGACACAATATAAAACAAAGACAATCTTTCAGCAAGTAAGAGATTAAACAGAAATGGCAGCAGAAAAATCTTCGAACACCTGAAACTCGATCAAATAATGGAGACTTTATCACCTAGGATGATCATGTAAATATGTGATGATTTCCCATCCTATAATATTGCATATCGTGAAAGGATCCTGCATGCCATAGAAATAATTTAGAAGTTAAATTTGATTCATTATAAAGTTGCTGATCTACTTTTAGTGTTTCCACTATTTATTGACACTTTGACTTTGGACAAGTGGGTTATTTTATAGAAAAAAGATTGAATGTGAGTGAAGTAAACCAAATAGTCAAATCGATCCTTACTTCTCCATCAAAACATATTGTCGATTCTTGACACGTGATTGACTCCAACAAAGTGCAGTTAGGGGGCGTGTTGACTCTGCATCCTCAGCAAACAAAGGTTTTAATCACATTAAACTAAATATGTTACCTTCACTGACTACTTCGTTTGCCATAGAGTCAAAACAGGAATTGCACACCAGACCTACTAGGAAAGTAAAAGTCAAATGCCCTGCAGACCGGTGTCAGAGAGTTTCCAGCTGGAACAATTTGTTCTGCCTCCTGAGCTGAAGCTAGCCGGAATTAGCTTTGAGTGTCCGACTGTACTTTAGTGTTTTTATCAGCTGGTTAAAATGATACAGCTATATGTGAGCAGTGAAATAAGGTAAACAACACTTGTTAATGCAACGACTTAGAAAGGAGTGTAAATAAAACACTTAAAGAAAGGTGACATACCAACAGGACTCTCTTTCATAATAGAAGCTGCTTCTGCTGTTTTGGGCAGTTGCGTAAACTAAGCTGAGGGAGGTTAGTCAGAGTTAAACCGGAAGCTGATCATTTGATTTCAAAATAAAAGTTTTTAAGGTAAAAGCTAAATGGTGTTTTTTTTTTTCTTTCTAGTCTGTCCTTGTTTTTGCACATATATCCCATATATACTGTACATGTTCCAGATGTCTACATTTTGAGACATAATTTTTTCCTCCCAGAGTTAAACAAAAAAGTACCGCTTGAAAACCTTAGTACTTTCCAATGGCCCAGAGACACATATCAAACACTGGCAGCACAGACACACGCACACAGGAGGGAGGAAAGTTTCTGAATGACATCCTCCATGACTTGAGGTTATTTTATAAGTGGAACTCCAGTTAATGTACATTGTATCATCTCAGAGAATGCTTTCTGGCATTAGAGGAGAGTGGGGTAAGATGATTTTTCATATTTAGGATCACTACATCAAGGCAATCATAGTTTTGTCTCTAACTAGTGTATCTGCATATATTTCAAGATGTTGTGCATCCCTGCAAACCAACAGAATGAGTGTAAACATAACTGTCTTTAAAATATAGCATGCCAAAAAAAGTGGTCTCCTATGGTCAACTTACCCCATGTATGGGGTAAGTTGACCATAGGAGTGGGGTAAGTTGAGCCCTCCCTCACCCTCTCTCTCCCTAAATAACAGTCACTTCTTCACATTCATGTGTTATTTTATCAATTATACGCTATTCAACTGGTACAATAATTCTTTTTATTATTTTAATATAACTGCTAAAAAGCTGTTTTGTAAAAAGTCATTTTAACATGAGAATGTCTTTAAGTGATTCAGAACATTCACAGCTGTAATTTTGAAAAGAAAAAGTAAAACATTTCAACAATCTGAACTGAAACTCTGATCCTCTCATCAGACTCCTTTACTTTCTCAGTTGAACCACTGGTTCAACTTACCCCAGAACTACTATTATGACTTTATTAGTCCTCTAAGCTAAAATGGTGGACTTTTGTGCTAGGTTTTTGACCTCATGTTGTAGCTCATAGATACCACAATTGATGTTTAAAACAAATGTAAAATTATCTTTTTTGGTCTGAACACAATTATAATAAAACTTATGACAGACTAAATAATTCACTTTCAAGAGTAAAAAATGTTTTTTTTGTGTTTTTTTTTGTTTTTTAATAAATGTCTAACCCCTTCACCCATGTGCTTCTAACCTTCACAGACTCCATGAATTGATGCCCATCTCCTAAATAGTTGGTCACATGATCAATTTCTTTTACCATTTCCAAGCAACAGGGGGTGGCTCAACTTACCCTCTGGCTCCGCTCTCCCCTATAACAATTTAAGGGTTAGTCTCATCAGGGAAAAATCTTGCTTACAGTGTAAGTTGGCAAACAGTTTACACAGAGGCACCAGCTGAGCAAAGAGAATGTTAAACAGGTAAGGGCACCAGAGGGAAATAGTACAAGAACAAATATGTTTATACAGCTTCTGCTGCCAACGTGATGTGTGACAGCTTTGTTGTGTAAGAAAAAAAATAGAGAGAAAAAGAGGGAGAGGGAGAGAGAGAGAGCGAGAGAGAGCCAGCAGAGACTCGAGTAGTTGTTAGCCTAAATGCAATTGGGATAAAATACCTGAAGAGCAAGTCCGGAAGCTTTTATTTTGATTATAAGCGGAAAACATTGTGGTTAAAGGTGACTTAACACTCTGTAAACACGCCCCTACACGTGTTTTTTCCACAAAGACTTTAACCCTGTAGTTGCTGTTATTTATACAACATAGTTAGCTCTGGGACCCCTCACTCAATTGTACACAATGAACAGTTTTTTTCACGTAACCTTTTTACATACTGCCGTTAGCACAGTCGATGGTTGACACAGTAGAGTAATACCAGCCTGTATACAGTCTATGGGTAATACTGAGAGACACCTGCAGTTTCGTCTCTCGGTCACTTGGTGGTGATAGTGAGCAGTATTTACTCTGCGGTAGAAAAGAGGAAGAAACTATAATCTGCACTTTTTCCATCTTCCTCCTGAAAAGCTCGGTTTCTGTTCATGAAGGTCGGTTTAAACTCTTACAGCTTTGGGCAGATGTTCAACAGCGTGAGTAGGTGTTCAGGTTTGAGTAGCTACAAAATGCTGGTAGTTTTATTATTTATTAATCCGTGTCAGTCTGTGGTCAACCTGTGAGTTTAGCTGTAGAGTGAACTCTGAGTTGTAATTTAGAATGTCATTTTTTGTCCATTTGATTGTAGGAACAGTTCACAACATTTAAATTTACTATCTTAGGTCTTTTGTTGTATGTATAGATACATATTTATATATTTGTTTGACAAATGGTCCATCTCCTGTGCCATCCTTGTAGAGAAACGTCGTTGAACATTTACCGTAATTAATGTAAACATCATTTCAGAGCGCCAGTAATTTTGTGAGCATTTACTCTTAGAACGAAATCAGATCTTTTTCATCACACAGTCTTTTGTTACTGTGTCTCCACAGTTTTACATTCTGAAGTTTGACTTATTATTTGAAATAGCTGAAAGACATGTCATCAAAATGATAAATTATTCTGGCAGTCTTTTGTCTCTGAATGGGTTTGTTACTAGTGCTCCTGTTTGTGTATAGGGAGTGTAAGGAGTGTTCAAGTGTTAGTGAGAAAAATGAAGTTATGAAGAAAACACACAGATGTTTATTTTAAGTAGATAAATGTGTGCAAGGAAATAATCCAGAGAGAAGGAGGTATATAAATACACACTAGAATTGAAAATGAGTTCAAGGTGAAAAATGTAAATACTGATTTTAATACACAAAAATAATGCAGCGGTGAATACTTTTTAACTGCACGTTATTAAAAAAGTCAATATTTGTCTCAAAAGTCAGATTGTAAATGGTATGTTTAACTCACTCATTAACTGATTAAATGTTTTTGTTCACGACAGTGTCTCTCCTCTACAGTGGGGAGATCTGTAAAGCCTGCATATAACCCATAGACAGTCACAGGTGATGGACCCTGAGGTGTCTCTGCTGCTGCACACTGCAGCCTGGAGAGGACTGAGGGAGTCTCAAGTAGAGGTGGTGCTTTCTGATAGGTAAGAATGTGAATCAGACCTTTGATCACTGCAGTTACACAGCAATAAGACTGCCATTCAACAAAACAACAAAATATGATACATTGAATTTGAATGATAAGGTCTTGTTATCGTTTAAACTGTCAAAAGTAGTGTTAGCTAATATTTATGTATGAAATTTTATAAAGAAAAAAGCAAAATGACTGTACACTTGGTTCACCAGAAAGTGGAAAGATGTATAACTTTTTCAGTACCATCCAATCACCTTCCCTTCTGATATTCCCCGACACAGTAATCCATTTCTCTCAGACTTAGTATAAAATATTAATTAACCATAATTTTAGTCTTAATATGAATTAAAAATAAAACTATTAATTTTGACCCAAACAAACTCTGTATATTTGTATGTTTGGACCCTGATCAGAAAGTATGAAATTCGTGACTGATTACAAAATTTCAAAGTTGTCTTGTAAGATATGTTTCTCAAGACTTGAAACTATTCAGAGGAAATATTGTATTCCTTTCATATAGAGCTAATTAAAATCTTGCACTTGGATGATCGTTAGCAATTCATAATGAAAATCATGGTGAAATTAAAGGTTGTTTTTATTGTACTCACAGATTTAACAGGCAGACGGATCCAACTCTGGAGCGCCAGATAGAGGAGGTTTGGGCAGAGAGGGTGTCCAAAGAGCCATGGCTTTTCAATGGGTCCAAATTCAGACTGCACTCGTTCTGCTTAGCTTCTCCTGCCTTTGAACCATCATCCTCTGAGTCCCCTGAATCCACGCTCTGCTCTGATTCACCACACATCCCTAAATCAGACTGTTCAGAAGAACAATTTCAAAACATAAGACTGGGTAAAACAGAGAGTGATTTCTGTGGCAGCGACCCTCTGTTTGATTCTGACGGGGAAAACGGGCGTGTGAATCAGGTGTCATCTGAACAGAGTGTCACTCAGATCACAGATAATCCTCAGTCTGGGTCTCTCCTCACTCTGAAGCTGGGCCTGACATGCTACAAAGACTATCTGGGAACAAACTGGTCCTGTCGAGAGGCAGAGCTGCGTCAGCAGGGAGAGGTGGAGTTCAGTGATCCTCTGGCACTGCTGGCTCAGCCACTGGGTGTGGGCGGAGTCTTGTGTACAGGTGACAGTAAGGTGGTGCTGATCAGGAGAAGCCAGAAGGTGGCGGAGGCAGGGGGGCTCCTGGACATCCCTGGTGGTCACCCAGAGCCAAAGGTGAGGAGGAAGAAGTGATACCAATTTCACTGATTTGTTGTTTCCTACTTTTTTGAACTGTTTATTTTTCAAGAGGAAAACATAGTCTTTCAACATACGGTATATTGTATTAATTTAACTGCAGTTACATGAACACTGAAAAACAACCCAGCAAAGAAAGGAAAGAAATCAAGATTAAAAAATAACACGGCAAAGTGCTCGACATCTATTCAAAGCCAGGCTGTAATATAAGCCTTCTCTCTTGTAACACGAGACACCTTCACTGAAGGTGACACATAAATCTGAGGCAAAAAAAATAAAATCAAATTAGAGTACAGTTGTAGATTGAATTAAAAAAGGATTAAAAAAATGTGTGGTACCGTGTGTCTATAATATTTTAAACAAAGTCTACAGAGGTTTGAGAAATACAATTCCTGATTTGGTTTGTTGTATGGCATACTGAATACTGCATCATCACTGATAGGTGCTTCTGATTTGACTCTTCCTGGTCACAGTCAAAGTTGCTTCACGTCATTCTTGCTCTCCTCAGGTGGTGTGCGAGCATTTGGGATGGGCGGTAAAGGAGGAACAGATCAATGTGGACATGATGCAGCCGAAGGCTGTTGTCTCAGAGCTTTACTCATCTGTCTGCGCTGAGATCAGAGACGAGGTGGGTTTCTCTGCCTCTGAAGTCCACTCACTCAGTCACTCCTTTTTATAGAAGTTTGATTGTCTGTCACAGCGGTCGTTTCATTGTTTTAATATCTTCATTGTCTGAGGCATGCTGACTCTCCCTCTGTATTTGTGCAGGTGAATATTCCTCTGAGCTCCCTTGGAGAGCCGGTCCTGATGGGTATCGCTCTGAATCACATAAGCGCCGGCAGACCAAGTGCTGAGTTCTATGTCAGGTACTTTTTCTAAATTACACTGAAGCTGTGAGTTCTTGTGGAGTCGTGAATAAAATTGTCTGGAGGCTTAAGCAGACTTAAGAAACATGTAGCACATTATAATTGATGACTGTCAGCTTTGAAGAGCCATAAAACACACAACAGTGAAATCTTTGTGACTGCAGCTGCTCGTTGACATCAGATGAAGTCAGAGAGTTGTACTGGAAAGGAGGAGCTGAAGCCAATGAGTCCACAGATATCGTCTTTCTGAGCAGAGAAGTAACGTTCTAGTCTTTAAAGACAGGATTCGAGATTAATACTTCATCAACATCACTTCTCAAATATTTGACAAAGATGTCTTTTGTTTGTCCTTTAAATTTGCAGGATGTGTTGCAGCTGGACAGATGCAGCCCTCTGTGGTCAGAGCTGTGTCCTTCAGCTAAAGGAGCTGTGCTGCTGTATCAGACGGTCAAGCCTGACGGAGAGCGAAGCACGAGCAGATGACACGGCATGTTGGGAAATAAACCCATATGATGTACAAATGTACAAACTCATCAACAGAGAGCTCAGGAATTTAGAACTTTGTCAATTTTTTACTTTCTCACCAATACTGCTACTGAAACTGTGCAAAAGACTTTTTTAAAAACAATTTATAAACTGTACAAGAGAAACAAACAAATTTGTACATTTTGAAAAATAAATTTGTACATTTTGAAAAATAAAATCCCAAAAGTTTCCTGTTTTTTTTGTTTTCAATCTTTGCATAAAATTTAAAACTAAAGAATTTTAAAAACTGATTATCTTTGCAAAACTGTAGGTATCTCTCATTTAAGTTAAGTAGTATCATTAAAATGATTTCTTAATGTCAAAATATGCCCATTGCTTCCTTCTCGCTCCAGGTTTCTTCACCAGTAACTTTTGTACCCACTGTCGCAAAACCCCCTGTGGTAGAAGTTCTGGTCCTGGTACACGGTCCACTGAAAAAAGTAACAGAAAAGGAGGATTAAAGGTTTTTGGGTCTGACATCTAGAAAAATGATTTCTGCAAAACATGAAGTCTTTGGAGTCCTAAATCAAAAAACTCCAATACAGAGGAAGCAGAATATTGTCTCTTTTAGTTACTCTACGTCTAGTTTAAACATACAGAGGCCAGGGAGATCCACCCTTATGAGGTGACATAAGATCAACCTTATGAGAGTGTTTACTTCATCCATTGATGAAATTTGATCAAAATTCTGACTTAATTGTATTTTAAACTTTGTTAAAGTATGAAAGAAATAAGGTACTTAGTCTTGGGTTTAGGGACTGCTTTACCCCTTCCTTCCTGCCCTTATCCTTTTGAACCATTATGTCTCTTGTGTGCCCTTACATAAACCCAGCTTAAGTCCTGAGAACATCAAACTTACATAATATAAATAGCTGAGAAAAGTATCTAACTATAATATCAATAACTAGAAAAGCACTCGGAGAGCGCAGACCTCGCCAAGCAGCTCATGTCCCCCCTTATATTGTGATTCACACCAAAACTTTTAGTGTTGCGTGTCTTTTATTAACTTTTATATGTGTTTAAACTGGTATGTTCGCTGTTCATAATGTAAAATACCCTGATCAGGATTCAAACCCAGGACCCTTCAGATAGTGTTTCTATTTTAAGGTCATGCATAGTGACCAAATATCTCAGCCCTCATACTAAACTCACACACTGAAGCTTTTAGCTCCCTTCAAACCCTGTTCTTTCGAGCACTCACATATGTTGGCTGCTGCCTCCATGGCTGCATACTCATGCTGTGCCACCCTAAAGAGACAGAAATTAAACATCCTTTACCACTCATGAGCTGAAAATACTGTTCATTAAAGTATCTCAGTGGACTTTATGGACCATAATGTCCACTCCACTGGATCCTGTTGGAGGTGAGTATACCTGAGGGGTAGGGTCTTTTCTTGTTAAGTCGGGGTTTCTTCTTCTCCTGTTTGGGGATGGGGGGCAGCAGTCTGCGAGCCTCATCTTTATACCCCTGCAGGAGCCCCTGTGCCTGTTCCTGAGGCAGCTCCACATACAGCAGCTCCTCCTGCAGCTCGCTGTGTTGATCAGGGAGACTACAGCTCACTATAGAGAAGACAGAAAGCCGTGTCGCTGTTATTCCTGCTTAATAACTGTGTTGGGTGTCAGCTTTAGTAGAGATCACAGTGAAGAAGTTTTTAAGTAGTTCAGAGTGAGGAAAATAAAATACAGAGGTGAAAAATAAAAGTAAAGTTTGCTAGAGGAGGTTATATTGGCTGAAGAGGACAAACACGCTGGGATTGTTCTTAGAATTTTATATATGAGATACTATGAAGGTCTCGTTCTGTTTGTTCCCTGAGCTGTGAGACAGACCTTGCAGTTTGAGCAGAGCAGTCTCAGGGATCTTCTCCCTGTCGCCTGTCTGGTGTTGTGATAGTCGTCTTCTCCACTCCTCTGCTGACGGGAAGACCACCACCACTTGGCGCTTGAAGCCTGAAAACAGCTGCAGCTTGTGGCGCCGTGCAGAGAAGAGGATGTTGCACTGGAATTGGAGAGATAACGAAAAAGACTTGCTGAGAGAGCTGAGAAATATGCATTTTTCAAGCTGCATGAAGTCAGGGCATCAATTGGAAACCAAAATTTCTCCTCCTATGACTAAATGACAAACACTTCTCTGAGACTAGATGTAATTTCATCCACTTTGAACAGTTTGGGAGTAAATGATTGGCAAAAAAGTGACATTACTGTGAAATTTGAAAGGGGCTGTGTCATATCATTGAAACTTTCTATAAGTGACAATCCAATTTTCCCTAATATCGCTCAGAAATATGTTGGCTGTGCTTCGTGCGGAACTAAACATGGTTTAAGCTGATCCCCTAAGCCTCGTTTTTCTACCAGTTTGTGAGAAAAAAAACAACTTTGACACAATGAACCACAGCAGAGAGAGGCTGTTTAAAAGAGTGTATTAGCAGAATTCATTACATCTGCTTTCTTTTTATGTTGTCTAAATTAAACTCTTTCCCAACTACTAAACTAGTTCAATCCAAGCATGCTGAACCCTGTCAAGGAGTTAAATCCGCACATCTTCAAGTATGAAGCACTACCTGGTCAAGGATATAGTTTCCTGGGGTCTGAGCAGCAATTTTGATCAATTCTGTGAGACACTGAGAGGCCTGCTGCAGCCTGGCATCGCTCTGACCACCATGCTGCAGAAACACAAACACACAATGTGACAGTTTAGTTCAGTGGGTAAAAAAATAACTTCATATGTGAATGTGGAGATAAATATGAGCGGGACTAGAAGTTTGACTGACGATTGCACAGGCCAGCAGCTCCTCTGTGCCCAGCAGCTTGTACTGTTTCTCTGGATGCTGCTTCATGTGAGACCGAGCCCACTGAGTCTTCCCTGATCCAGGAAGACCGACCATCAGTAAGACCTGGAGGAAGAGAAAAAGAAAGTCAAATGTAATGACATTTATTAGCAGTTTTTATCATGCATTAAAAAATATTTTAATTGATTGATTGATTACAGCAACATTTTGAACATGTATCCACAGTCCTATAAGGATGGATCTTTGAGTCTCACCTCAGACTGTACCCCAACAGCAGGACCTGTGGTGGTGTGCACCCTCTGCTCACTAGAAAGAGCTGCCAGTGGTGTAAACCCAAGTGGTCCAGGGTACCACGGAGGGACCGTGGAGTCCAGGTGGAGTCTGACTGAGCAGCTTTTACAGAAAACATGAGGAAATAGAGCTCCGCCCTTCAGCATGGAGGAGCTCAGCTTAAAGGCCACACCCATGAAACAACCGTTCTTGTGGAAGGAGAGCTCAGCAGCACCATCTGTGAGGAAAGTCTGTAGACAAACGCACACACACACACACACACACACACACACACACACACAAATTTGATATATGGCAGTGGTGTATGCCAACTTAAAGGTACAGTGTATAGACATTGAATATTTAGCAATATCTAGTGCACAGATTCTGGATTGAAATGCAACCTTGCTCACCCCTACTGTCCTTAAAGTGACAGTAGCCTTTGAGAAAAGGGAGTTCTTGGAAAGCACGGCTAGTGTGATCCTCAGTGTGTCAAGTTTTCACCATCAAAAACTAAAAAATTAATTCAAATTCTTTGTTGCACAACAACTACCCTTGTCCTAATCTTCCAACCAGGGCTTCAACAGCAGCCACCTTCTCAAAACTAAGTGAATAGTGGGGCAGCCACTATGAAAGAGGACCTTCTCCTAATGTAGATCAAAAAGGCTCAATTCAGGTGAAAAAACAATGTTTTGTATTCCAGGGGCTAACTCTAACATACTGATTAATATTATTCATGTCTACCAAGTCTGTTCTGCAACATGTCACTAATTCTACACACTGTGTGTATGGCCCCAAAGCTGGCGCTTCCTCAATCCTCAGTGTCATGGCATGTCTCCCTTTTGTCAGTAGTGAGAGTGTGCAGGTGTGTGTGCGTGTGTTATGGAGGGAGGGTGGGGCTTTGTTTGTAATTGTTTTTCTATGTTTCTATGTGTGTAATGCACTTTGTGTTGCATATTCTCCATGCATGAAAAGCGCTCTATAAATAAAGTTTAAATAAAATAAATAAAGATTTGATTTGATAAAAGAAAAAACTAAAAAAGTCACTCACAGCATAACAGCCGAGGATATCTCCTTCTGAGAAGCACTCTCCAAAGTCTTCTTCCTTCCCACCTGAAACTTTTTTACCACGCCTATCATAAGCAAAAGAGAGTTCATCTTCACCTGGTATGAGACAAACAGAAAACCAGAGTAACAAAAAAGCATTGGAGATCAGCAAGAATATACAAATCTACAGAAAAATGTTTTCCATTCTGAAATAAATTGAATTCCCCTTCAGAGAAAAATAAAGTTATTCTTATTCATATCTTCACCTAGCAGAAGAGAGCTGTTAGCCATCGACCAGCCGACTCTCAGGCCATATGGGTCCATGTCTGCATCTTTCCCCTCCTGTGTGGTCAACAGCTTCCTCTCCAGTCTCACCTCAAAGCCCACTTTGCCTTTCAGCACCCCATGGGTGAGCCTGCAGCCCGACCACAGTAGGGGGAATCTTTCCCAGAAATGTGGTTGGCCGCAGGTCCCGTCATGACTCACCTCAAAATGGAGGTGACGATCATCTGTGCAAGCAACAACGAAAGTTAAGCTTCAAAATCTGTCAACATTTTTCAGTCAAACTGTACATTTTAGCTCATTTTTAACCACAAAAATAACTCACAACTCTGACTGATTTACTTCAGGAAACGATAAAGGAAGTCTAGAGACTTACACAAATTTAGTCCGACTCTGTCCTCATTTTCTTCTGCTGCCTGCTCTCTCTCCATCGGAGGTTGTGGTGACCTGGCTCTGATTGAATGGACATATGCTGTTTTATTATGACACCCTTCTTAAAAAGTCAGATGAGATTAAAAAAAAAGTAAGTTTAAAGCAAGTTAACAGTGGTACTGCAATGGTTAAGAAATGCTCCAAAAGTCATTATCAGCTGTTCTGAATTTGTGGCAAAAATGCTGTTAAGAGTTAGGTTTAGGATTAAAGTAAAGATCTTAGCATACTGTGACCAAACACTGAATTTAAAACCATAACTAGTCACTAAATGAACACTGACTGATGCAATCTTGAATTGAAAGAATTTGTTTTCTTTAGATTTAAGACTATTTTGAACTTAAACTCTGTGTCACTGCTGTGTCAACACATTTAATGCTGTAAAAATCCAGCTGCTTAGTCTTTCACCCACCGTTTTATCTGAATGAAGTGTTTACAGAATTTCAGTAGAGGAGAGTGGGGTAGGATGAGCCATTTTCATATTTCAGATCACTACATCAAGGCAATCATAGTTTTGTCTCTAACTAGTGTATCTGCATATATTTCAAGATGTTGTTCATCCCTGCAAACCAACAGAATGAGTGTAAACAGAACTGTCTTGATAATATAGCATGCCAAAATAAAGTGGTCTCCTATGATCAACTTACCCCATCATAGGAGCGGGGTAAGTTCCTCCCTTTCTCAGTTGAACCACTGGCTCAACTTACCCCAGAACTACTATAATGACTTTATTAGTCCTCTTGGCTAAAATGGTGGACTTTAATGCTAGGTTTTTGACTTCATGTTGTAGCTCATCGGTACCACAATTGATGTATAAAACAAATTTAAAATGATCTTTTTGATCTGAACACAATTCTAATCAAACTTATGACAGACTAAATTCACTTTCAAGAGTGAAAAATGTTTTTTTTTTTTTGTAAATAAATGTCTAACCCCTTCACCCATGTTCTTCTAACCTTCACAGACTCCATGAATTGATGTCCATCTCCCAAATAGTTGGTCAGATGATCAATTTCTTTGACCATTTCCCAGCAACAGGGGGTGGCTCAACTTACCCCACTCTCCCCTACATGAGGTAAACAAACCAAATTAACTTCTACAAAGCGTTAATAAGTTCCTCACAGGAGCTTTTATTGTGATGGTGTTCTTGTCAATTCACCTTTTATAGCGTATCTCCTCTTTGAACTCGTAAAAGGCTCTTCCTCTGACCCCCTCCTCTGGTGACTGAACTCCCGGGTCCTCTCCTGGATCTCCTGCCTCTCCCTCGGACCCTCTCTCAGAGCCTCGTTGTAGTGGTTCTGCTGGTGGACCAGGATTACTCTCAGTCTGAGTTGCAGAGTCCGTGTACTTTCTGACACATTCAGGTCTACGCCGCAGTATAACCTCCGTTCCTGTCGGTAAAGAGGCTGAAGAAATGTGTGCACAGACGGTCTCTGGTGCTGTAAAAGCTAAAACTGAGTCCTCGTCTTGTTTTGGTTCTTCCTCCTCACCGTCTCTCTTCCTCTGGTCTTCATCCAAAGCGGACCACAGCCGCTCCACCAGCTCGGCTTTAAGTCCTCTAGTGTCCAAGTTAAGTTCTTTAAGTTTGGACCGCAGCTCCACCACTTTTAACTTCTTTATGTCCGTCAGCTTCATAATTTCAGGGTGTCTAATCCCATGTACACCTTATTCGCGGATATTGCTTTAAAATTCTGCAGAGTCCAGGGTAAACAGAGGGAAGATTTGGCTCAAATCACCGATTCAACACGCTGCCCTAAATTGTGATTGGTCCGTTTTCTTCTTCGTGGTGTTTTTGACGATTCACAATCCTTACTTGAATGAGCATACCGCCACCTACCGTTGCTTCAGGGATCCAGTTTTACACATAGACTATATACAGAAAAGTAAAGTATAATGCTGTATAGTAGGGGAGACTGGGGCTTGTTGTCACACTTTTTACACTCTTATATATCTTGGAATCAATACATCATATATAAACCAAATGTGTACCAGATGAAAGACCAAAGTCTCGGGTATATATTTTGTATTCATGTCATTGTCATATCTTGTGTCAGTGCAGAGTTATAAGCAATCAAATAGAGAGTGTGAACATGTGACAAGTTGCCCCACCATCAGGTAAGTTGTCTTACTATATGGGGTAAGATATCACGTGGATTTTGCAGTTAATAAAAAAGAATAACATAATTGTTGTTCTAATTTTTTTTATCATAGCCATTAAACAAACGTTGACACAAAAAAGTGATACATGTGGACGTTTAAAAAGTCCACATGTATCGTTTAAAAAGTCCACATGTATCACTGCTAAGATTTTTATCTGGAAGAAGCTTATTTTAAAATATATAAAGTTAATTCATAAGGGTGGATCTCCCTGGCCTCTCTTTGTTTTAACTAGACGTAGAGTAAGTAGTAGAGACAATATTCTGCTTCCTCTGTATTGGAGTTTTTTGATTTAGGACTCCAAAGACTTCATGTTTTGCAGAAATCATTTTTCTAGATGTCAGACCCAAAAACCTTTAATCCTCCTTTTCTGTTACTTTTTTCAGTGGACCATGTACCAGGACCAGAACTTCTACCACAGGGATTTTTGCGACAGTGGGTACAAAAGTTACTGGTGAAGAAACCTGGAGCGAGAAGGAAGAAATCGGCGTATTTTTACATTAAAAAAAAAATCATTTTAATGATACTACTTAAATTAAAAAAAAAAAAAATCAGTCTTGAGTCATGATATCAAGCTTTTATTGCAACAAACCAGACAAAGAAAAATACTTGAATGTGAATAAACACAGACTGGTCAACAAGTAAAAGTATAACCATAGTCAGTTATAATGATTAATAAAAACATTTCATATTTTACAATTACTCTCTAGAAAATTTACTGTCCCATCTCTCAGTTCCTCAGATATTTCACTCCACTGTCTGTGCGTCATTACAACCACTTGGCTAGATAAGAAAAAAAATACACAACACTAAGGAAAGTGAAGACACTTCTTTCTTCCTCACTGACCCTTTTGGTCTCTGCATTAAGAATTACCCATGTCTAAAATGCCTCATCACGGCCGTGTCCACACAAACAGCATCATAATAACTATCGTCACAAGAGGAGAGAAGGTCAGCAATGACTTTTCCATTACACAACAGAGTATTGAGTCATGCTCACACAGTGAGCCTGTTTCACATACATGGTGGCTCAGTCACACTCTCACCACATGCTTCACAGTTAAAGCTTCAGTGCTACATCTGAAAATGACACTCAGAATTCTCAACAGACTTGTATTCTCCCTGATGAGAGCAGGACTGTCCAAGAAATGTAAACGAACATGCACATTAAAAAAATAAAACACCTTCTTTTAGATCGCAGAATACATGCACTTTAGTTATTCTGTTGAATGTTCCCTTCTTTTCTCTATAATCCCTTTTGTCCCAAGATACATCAGAGATTAGTCCCTGCTTTCTGTAAGTTATAACTCTCAGTTATTATGTAACTGTAATTCTTAAATAGTTTTTTTTAAGCTGAAAATAATCTAAAAAAAGGTTTGGATTTTTCCTGAAACTGAGTTTTTAGCTCCAGGACTGAAATGTAACAAATACACAAAAAGACATAAACTGGGCTCAATGAGAAAAGTAATGGATGGCAGTGTTACGTAATGTATGAAATTTAGGCCCAGCTGAAATATAACATTACATAATACTGCCTGGCAGACTATGAGTCCCACTATTTCAGGATTTCAAAAATCAAGTAAAAATATCTATGAAGTGATATTTCTCATAGGGTAAATGTGAGGAAATGTTTTGTCTAATTTGGCTAATACTATTTGAGATTTACTTTGTATTTAACATTGCAAATTGCCAGTGCTCTTTGAAGAACCAAACCATGTAATGGTGACACTGATTGTAAACAATCTGAACATACCATAATCTTTGGCTTTCCCAACAATTCTTGTTGATTTCAGATTACGGGCTTTGTTATGTAAGATGATGAAAAATATAACAATAAGAGCATGTTACTATAGTAGAGCTGTGGAGTGGCCTCAGATAATGTTAACATACACACTAATTAGACCAGCAGAGTGGGTGTTGCTGCAGGATGAGGAGGAGACGGTGAGCGGCTCTCTGATGGACTGTGTCCCAACAGCATTTCCTTCTCTCGTGGACGACATGGTCCACTCATATGCTGGCTGTGAGAGTGGTAGAGTCTCAGAAAAGCAAGGATGGATTGGATCAGCCAAAGCATGGTCACACACCACAGAGACACCTGAGGACACAGGGCAGAGATTTGTAATGTTTACAAGCATCAAACCATTAAACTTCATAGACTAAGGAGCAGCGTGCTTTTCAAGTAAAGAAAAAAATATCTGTGATGCTATAACTTGACACAGAGAAATCTGTGATGACATTGTGTTGGAGTTGGGAAACTTGTGATGAGAAAATTTGATGAATTTACACCAGTACTTCATGAAATGAGAAATTTCCAATGGATAGATGTTCACTGCAGCTGTAGTTCTATTTTATAAGTCATCTGTCTAATCTGATTCACAGTATATGACTGTATCCACAAAAAGACATTCTTTCATGCCTGAAGACAATTATCTATAAAAAGGCAAATGTTCATTTCTTTACATAACACATTTGGTTTTATCTGTTTTATTCTTATAAGGTTTAGGTCCATGCTGATATTACTAACATACCTAAGATAACTTCATAGTGCAGTTAAGCACTTTATAGCCATTCCTAAGAGAAAGCACAAGTTGTAAGGCAAAAGCTTTTTTTCTAGAAAACAGGCATAACTTTGGCTCTCTGTTGTATACAATAGTTTCTTACACAAAACAAAAAGGTGTAACATTGGTGTCCCAGAGTGTCATTACACATTGTGTTACACCTTTGCGGGAATACAAGTGGCATAGTTTTTGTTTACCCACAGCAGGAGTTCCACATACACTCACTTAGACATGCATGTACACACAGTGCTTATATGTACTACTGGGTCCAAAGTTACACATCACCGCCTCCTTCACCAATTCCACCTCCATTACTACTTTCAGGGGAATATTGGAGGTGGACTCCTTTGCCCAAACATTATGCATTTGGTCTTTACACATTGCAGACAAGGTGCAACAGGGGTATAAATATCCCAGCCTAACATGGCAGTATATGAGCGCTTAATGTGTGTGTTTGTTGTCAAATCATCTCACCTGTGCCAGATTGAGGTCTGTGTAGAAAGAGGACGTATTTACATCCAGGTACAGTGGAACAGTCTGGGACTCTGCACAACTGAACACAAACGTTAAAGTGATAAGAAACTAGACCCACAGAATGATCATGCCATACTCTTTATAGATTATCACCAACATTGGATCATATATCTTATAGATCTACATCACCATTTTAAACCCATAACAGATCAGAATTTATCATAACAACATTGCAGGTTAAAATTATAATTACTATTATTACAGAGACCAGAAATCCACAAAGTCAAAAACATCTAACACTCAAAAAACATTACTCAGCAACAGCAGGTCATGAAATAACTATAACAATCACATTTGTGCAGTACAGTCTATGGTTAGCTCATGCTGACAGTGTGACAGCAGACCTCTTGTGAGGCCAAATGCCTGATGACCAGCTCATCACTGAACATCACTGTTATGTTTTACTGTGACTAAGTTCATCCTTGGGCATTGTACCTGTGAGGCCGTGTGTTGTCATCAGTCACAGTGTCACACCAGGAAACCAGCCCCAGAGACAAGATAACACTGGCCCCTCCAGACAGGAAGAGCACGCACACACTCAGCAGAACCGTCAGGAAGGACGAGAACAGGGTGCTGCGCAGATACACATTACACACATTAGATATGCATCAAGGGATTTTTGTTAGACACGCTGGTATTCACATCTACAAAAGCTGTTTTGCTGATTAAATATTCTAAGTATAACCAAGCATTTTAATACTAACCACTGAAGCTGTAATAGACAAAAGATTTGTAAGCAGTACTACCATAGACTGTATATACTGTATATACAGTCTATAGGTAGGGGAGACTGGGGCTTGTTGTCACATGGGTAAGTTGTCACATTGCATTTATCTTTGCCACCGGGGGGCGCAACTAAAAAGTGGAATACTAGTTTTATTCCTTTACATGGTCAGGGGTCATGTCCTGTGTGAGAGGAGCACATTGTGAGCTGAGATGAGCACCAATTAATCATTTTGCACAACCCAAGTGAAAAAAAATAACTTTATATATTTTAAAATAAGCTTCTTCCAGATAAAAGTCCTAACAGTGATATATTTGGACTTGTTAGGGGAAAGATTAAGGCATCCTGTCATACCTCAGTCATTGTTCTGTTTTAAGCTAACTTTAGGCTAGAGCTAGAATTAGCAAACATGGTAGTTTGGGGCAACATGTATCAGTCATTTTGGGGTTAGTTGTCACATGTTTAAAAGGGATTAAAATTAACATAGAGAGTCTGCTTATCAGCAGTTGTCAAATTGAAAATTTGACTTTATTTTTACAAAGAGAAGAGTGATTTAAAGGAGAGCGAGAAGACATGGTCAGGGGTTACAAAACAAGAACAGAACATGACAATGCAGTGTCTGACATGATGCTGAGGACAGTCAGGCAGGTGACCCTAGCTAATAAATCAATCTGGAGGACAATAAAGGACTTTAATGTCAACTACCTCAGCTCGGTACTGCAAAACATTCACCCCAGCTGAAATAGGGAGTCAGACAGCGCTCCAAACTCCAGAGCATGTTGCATAATACTTTTTGTTAACGTTTGTTCAATGGCTATGTTCAATGACTTTTTCTAGCTTAACGTTAAACATTTTCTGTGCCTAATTTTATGTTCACTTTCAAGTAAAAAAATGAGAGCAACAGTAGTTTTGTCCTTGTTTATTAGCTGCAAAATCCACTGTGACATCTTACCCCATATAGTGAGACAACTAATCGGATGGTGGGGCAACATGTCACATGTTCACACTCTTCATTTGATTGCTTACAACTCTGCACTGACACAAGATATGACAATGACATGAATACGAATAATATACCTGAGACTTTAGTTTTTCACCTGGTAAACATTTTGTTTATATATGATGTATTGATTCCAGGAAATATATAAGAGTGCAAACAGTGTGACAACAAGCCCTGGTCTCCCCTGCTAGATTTTGAAGGTAAGCTTTGCATTTAAAATCTTAGTTATTGGACTGTATCAAAAGTTCTCAGAAGGACAAAATTCTGAATAGTGTGTCTTACTGTATCATAACTGCAGAGGACCCTTTGAATTGCTTAATAAAGCTAACTCCGTAGTCACAAATCATACAGTAGTAATAAGGTTTGTAAATAACATTCGTCAGTTTTCACCCCAGATGAATCCAGATGTAAAACTAGATTCTATGTATAAAGTGGTGTAAACACTTGAGTAATGTCACTCAGTATTGTAAAACATAATTGGAGTCGATAAGTGAATGTATTTATATTCCAGCTTTGAGTGTGTTTACAAGTCTTACTAATACCACTGCAGCAATAGAGTTAACTGGAGAACTGGGTCAGTGGGGGTGTGCCAGTGAACTCACTCATCATGTCGTCCGTGAAGATAGAAGAGACATCTCCAGCCCTGTGCCGCACCGTACAGCACCGTGAAAATACCCACGAATGTGGCGAACTGACAGGCTGCAGGCGGTCCCCACTGCTGTATCACCAAGTGAGAGACGTCCCCGGGCTGCCCCGTGATCTCGGTCCGGGTCTCTGTCCTCCAGTAGCCGGTGGAGAAGAGAGCACAGCGGCCTTTGAAAGCGGAGCCGTTGAGAGCCATGGGGACGACCACCAGCAAGCCCGCCACGATCGACAGGGCGTGAGCCGTGCAGTGGGCTAGCAGAAGCCGCCGGTCCAACTCCATGCTGGAAGTCAAACAAAGTCCAAAAAGTTAAAGAATTCACGTTGCTGTTAAATAATCAAAAACACATTTATATATTATCGCGTCCCCATTTGCTTCTGTCGTGCAGCTGTGTGCAGCGATAGCGGGTATTTAAAGATAGTTGGGCGGGGCCTCTACATTCAGAACTACAGCCGTTACACAACCGGAGGATGGAATTTAATGACGTCTTACTCTGTCGCTTTTTTCAGAGACCACAATTAAATCTACTGGTTTATCTTCTTTGAATATTCATGACTGATCGGATAGAGAAGGAAATGTATAGTCTACAGGCCTCGGGTGGTATGAGCTATAGCCTACGTTTAATAGATATCTTGAACCACGACGTAAAAAATGTTGTGATTTTGGGATTAAATTTTAAGGAAAACGCGGTTCGTAACAACTGCGTCTTGCTCAAAGCATAGGGATATGAATATATATGAATTTCACAAAAATAACGTTGTAAAACTCACGTGCCACTCCCTTTTTTGGACCGAAGAGTCGGCTATTTATGGATCAGAGTGATGCATCGTCTTACATTAAATATCATTGAGAGAAACTGGTAGAAATTCCTCTAGCTGTGACGTAGTCGTGGCGTCATGACGTGTGTTTTTGCCAACTGGCCTCTTTTTCATGAGCGCACGCTGAAAAGACTCAATCACCCTGCAGACAGGCTGATTGTTTGCACGATCTCTATGGTGAAGGGTTTTTTTTAATCAATGACCAGAATCAATAGACATTAAAGGAGCGGCAGTATTGTTGTTTAGGTTTTTCACATGTTATGCAAATTAGACTCCTTCAAAAACCCACCGAAAGGGACATAAACTATCAATTTATAACATTTTTAAATAGACCAAAACAACATAAACTCACATTTTCAATTTACTTCGACATAATTAATGAACGTGAGAGACATTAAAGCCACCGTGAGAGTCTTTGGGTTTGTTTATGTGACCTCTGTGGATATAGTGTTCATGTCTATCTTGTCTGTTGGTTGCTTTTGTCCATGCTAACATGTATTAAGCCAACCAAAAAATCTCATCCTTTCTTTTTGAAGATAAATAATTTCTGCAATGTGCTGTCAATCATCAAGTCTGATATCTAAGCATAAAAAAATACAAGATAAACATTTGTAATTGCAATATTAATACTCATTGGTCATAAAACTACCAGTACATAACTCCTAACAAAGGCATGGAATCTGGATTAATAACATCAAGCTCATAACTCTTCTTGCCCATGTTATTGCTGTGTTTTATCTGTGTTACAGACATAAAGTAAGCTGTGACGGGAGCATGGAGCTCGTCACTGTGCATCACAGACAGTCATGCTATTTTTGTTGCAAACAGAGATTCTCAAATTCTGGGGCATCATGCATCCTATTACCTTTAACCAAGTTAAGAGGCCAGTATATTTGAGAGCATGAGTTCTCTGGGTTCTCAGAAACTGAGTGAAGAACATAAATAGTTGAAGAATGTTATGTTCGTCTTATATGTATGTTTTGCTTTTTACATAGAAACACTAAAAGAGACCGTTTGATATACACCATTTCATGCTTGAAGTTTTTGGAAATATTTTAAGACTTTGAAATTTGTAAACACCTGTATTCATTATATTAGTTCAACAGTAACACATTATAATTTCATAAACATCCCTTTTTCTCACTGACACACTGAACTTCAATAAATGACACTGTCACAGTGTATTTTGTAAATCTGTCATGAAAAGATACTATTCACTGAGTGTTTTCTGAATTATGAATTCATTCAGAGGCAAAATTTATCATTAAAGTCATCATCATTAATTTCAGCGCAACTTTTATCAGCTAGTAGAAAACATAACCAAATCCAGTGTTCCTCTTGATATTCTATCATATTCATCATGTATGTATCAACACAGTTTGAATCAGATGCAGACTCTCATTGCTTTGGTCATGCTGGATATGAACTCCCAGTTGTCCGGAGCGTTCCCCCAGGTTCTGGGAGTGTTCCTCCATGGTGGATTTGTCCTCTTCAATTCTCCACGAATGGCCCTTTTAAGCCATTAAAGTAATTGTTTTAGTTGTGTGTTATTAATCTGTACTTTGATTTGGAGTATGATTTCTTATTGAAATTGATGAAATTACCATTTGTGTTGTATAAAAGAGGCAATGGTTTAACAGGACTCCATACTTGTGATCTCAATAAAAGTGAATTTGCTGGTGATGTAATAGATGCAGTCACCACAGGTTGTCCGGTCAGCAGTGGTGTGCACAGGTAGACACTAGGTGGTGCTAAAGCACCTGCCCTTTGTCCTCTGGACCAAGCAAGTGCCCTTTTGGGAATTCACTTCTTGTTTTTTTGTGGCCCATGCTGATATGATCACTTATAAGTGGTCGTTGATTAAAAGCATGTGATAATAATTCCCCAATTAATATTCCCTCCACCCCCCACCCCACCTGCACACACCTCTGTCAATGTGAACCCACAGAGCAGACACAAACGGAGGCGCATTGTAGCAGCAGACAGTGCACAGCTGCAGCCAAAATACACCTCGTCGGCTCCTCCCCTTGCCCACCAGCCAGGTTTCACATAAATGAATTGAGTTGAGAGTGTTGTTTGTGTTGTGTTGTTTTGTTTGTGTGTTATTTGCTAAATGACAAACAGGCAATTCCCAATTCCCTGCAGAAAAAGTGACCCTGTGCCTTGTTGAAATATAACCAAACAGTCTTATTCATATTGTTGGTCTCGTTTCATTTACCAATTGCAGCATGATGCAGAGAAAGGAGAGGAGAAGAAGGGAAAAAGAAAGGGAGCTACAGCAGGTGGCCCAGGGGAGCAGCTCCCTACTCTCCTGGATAAAAGCATCCACCAGCAGCAAGGAGGAAGATGAAGATGAAGATGAAAGGTCAGAGTCAAGAGTCATGTTCACTGTTTAGAGCATTTTAAAGCTCAGATTCTGAAGTTGCACTGTTCTTCAGATTTTACTGAAATATCTCAGAAGCTGCTGTACACATATTATTTGGACTACACAAAGTGGTTTGGCCAGACTAAAATAGGCATTAAGCTATTTTAGCTAATGATATAATTTTGTACCAACAAGTTATTTCTATGTTACAAGGCTTGCAATAATCTTGTATTTACCTTAACAGGATATATTCAACCTTAAAAAATAGGCTATCACTAAAACTATCATTATCTATTCTCAGCAGCTATAGCAGGGAAGCAGTAGAGCAATGACCAACAAAGAATTTGAGATAGATGAATCTCCAGGTTCATGGACAGATAAAGCAGAGTCCATAGCAGCACCAAGTCCATGCACAGTTACAGAATCAGAAGTGCTGTCTGATGACCAAAATGAGGGAGAACAGGAAAGGCATGATGTAGCAGCTGTATGTGAAAGCGATGACATATGAAAATAAAACATATTTAAATGAAAACAAAGTTTCAGCTCTGTCCAAATCCACCATTGTGATAGATAATCTATCATTGTAGCTTGTAACTTGCTTAAAACCTCTCCATGTGCGTTCATTCTGAAAAATAGAACTATAGTGATTGACTAATCAGTGCTATCGTGTGAAACTGTACCAGTTCACAGGTCAAGTAATTTTATAAAGATATTGACATAAATAAATATGCTATTACATTCAACATGTGCCTGTAATGTTGATTTATTTTTTAAATCTGACACTGCTATAATAAGGCAGTCGTCAGTTCTACATGCCGCATAAAGTGCCCTTATTTTTCACTGAGCCTCTGCCCCGCAAAATGTCTGTGCACACCATTGCCAACATCACTCCTTCAACTTTAAAAATATGCACAAAAGAGGTTCATGTTGTAAAAATCTCTGAAAACAGGAGCACTGGAAAGTTTGTATCAGATCTGAATCCCACCTTTAAAGTCGTCTTCTCTCCGCTGTTCGACACGTTACCGACCATGGGGTGAACCACGATCTCTCTCTGGCTTCCTCCAGTGGTAGTGAACAGGTTGTCATGGTGACTGAGGCTGACCTGGACCCACTGCCCAATATCCACCTGCTGACCAGGGAGCTGCAGAGCGTCGGCTCCATCACCAAGGTTGGAGCAGACAGAAAAGGTGACCATCTGCGATCAAAAGTGAAGCAAATGTCAGCATATTTTCAAATAGTCTTCCCATAATGCTTTGTGTCTGTTTCATTAATGCTGCCACCTATGTGCACAGGAAAATGTTGAGTTATTGACCTCTAGGATGATGTACTCATTGGCCTCCCGGGACATCACGGAGAGCAAGGTGCCAGAGGAGGCTCTGGTCCTCAGAAGAAGCTGGATGTGAGTGTGGCAAGAGCTGCCGCCTCCTCTGAGTTGATATCTCACAGCACTGCCCGAGTCAAAGGAGAATTCTGGGACAGCTGAAGGAGGAGGAGAGATGACATGCTAGAGTGTTTCTGTGACAATCTGTTTTTAGATCATGTGGAGTTTCCAACAGCATTACAGTCAAATGCCAAACCTTCCTTATGTAGCAGCATTTTTCTTTGAATAAACCAATAAATGCTAAATGATGTTGCCATGATTCACTTAGTAAAGGATTAAAAAGAATATAGCACAATGTACTTTAAATGGGTTGAATTTACTCCAGTCATGAACGGCACCAAAAGGAGCCATGGCCAAGGTTCATCTCGAAGTAGTAAGGTAGTCAAGCAGTAGTCTGTTGTTCAGCTGAAATGCTGATACTAATAGGCTACTGTGAGATGGCTGAGGTGTAATGCCCATATTACAATTCACTGTTTGTTCCACTAACATACAAAAACACTTATGGAGTGACGGACTCCACATATGGGGGGGCGTCTCTCTTTAGGTGTTGTTTGTTTTGTGTTTGTCTTGTTTGTCTTCAGGCGGCACAAAAACGCCCCCTGTCCGTATGGGTTTACTCCGGGAGGCTCCGGTTCGCCCACAGTTTTCTAAACTGGAAAAAAAAATTCCCCTCCTAGAGCTACCACCTTACCGTGGTGGAGGGGTTTGTGTGTCCCAATGATCCCAGGAGCTATATTGTTGGGGGGCTTTATGCCTCTGGTAGGGTCTGGAGGTCCTGGAGGAGGGATCAGACTAAGGGTAGCTCAAACAGACTCCTTATGATGGACAAAATATTTGGCACCAAGTTTCACTCGCTTCGACTGTGCTCATCACAGCCTGACCATGTTCAGACATGAGGGTGTCCACATGTGCAATTGGCACCAGGACACTCTGGGCCACAGTTCGATGATGGACTTTGTGATCGTGTCGTCAGGTGAAGAGGTGAAGAGAGGGGCGGAGCTGTCAACTGATCACTACCTGGTGGTAAGCTGGCTCCCAGGTAGTGATCAGTTGACAGCTTACCACCAGGTGAAGAGAGGGGCAGAGCTGTCATCTGATCACTACCTGGTGGTGAGCTGGCCCAGATGGTGGGAGAGGATGGATGGATAAAACATCAAAAATATAATAATGCCTCTTTGAATATCGTGGTTTCACATTAAAGAAAAGACACAAACATGTTGATGAGTTTCTTCTTCAAGGTTAAAGGGATATTCCGGCGTAAAATTAAGTTAGGGTCAAACACACCATAACACCGTGTTAGACAAGATGAATGTTGAGAGATGAATGTTGCTGACCACTTGCTTCTCTAGTTTTGCCAACTTTGGTAACAACCGTAGGATAGCAACACACAGCAGTCTGAGGAGCCATAAACAAACCTCAACCAAAACGCCACTGTATAGCCACAAATAATGCTCAGAACAGCACTTAACTTCATCAACAGGACACATAGGGTCACAGCCATAGTACTAGCCACCAAACATCTTTTCATGATGTTCAACATGATCATTACTTTATCATTTCCTTGAAGTAATAATCATCATATTAATCTTCTGATCATTGGTGTCATTATGCGCTGTATAGCATCAAGCTGTTTCTTATTGTGGAGCCAAATAGTGGAGCTTCATTTCACTGCATTATCTGACATTGTCTGAAAACACAACACCTCTGAAGTGTAAAACACAGACACACCGTCTGTCAGCCGGCACCCAGGGATGCTGTCCACGCTCCCGCCTGGAGACGCCAGGTAGTACACCTGAGGGACCAGAGGAAGGAAGAAGATTTAAACATTTCATAATACTCATACACACACACACACACACACACACACACACACACACACACACACACACACACACACACACACAGCTCAAAGGTGTTCCTGACTGTCCACCGCCAGGTTACGAAGACAGCCTGTGAAGCTCTGATACCGACGATGGGGAGGAGAGTCCTTCACTCCACCCAGCTGAAGAGGCTGGAAGACATTTAGATACCTGAGGAAGAGGAGGACTTTGTGATCGTGTATCTTGGAAGATCTTGGAAGAGGAGGAGGAGGAGGAGGAGGAGAAGGAAGGAGAGCGGGAACAAGGGAAGACAGGGAGAAAAAGGACAGGTAGGAGGAGAAGTAAAAGAGATATAGAGAGAGAGGGAGGGAAATATGAAGAAAGAGGCCGTTAGAAATTAACATGTGAGACATCTTCTCTCCTCTCTCTCTCTCTCTCTGTCACACCTCTGGTTTCCGGGTGTTTCTCCTGCAGCCCTGCAGCCCGACTCGTCTGCCTCCTGATCCTCCCCTCCAACCCCCTCCAGCTTGTTCACCGTCACCGCCCCACACTAGCCTGTGTGAATCACTTGCCGTTCCTTGTGGGAAGGAACAGCAGGTGATTCAGGCAACTGGATGGCCCAGCCAGGCTAGCCCCACACTGGTCCAGGATCAGCTGCACCACCTAAAAAAAGTCACACACATACACACACTGCCATTGACCTGACTAAATATCAATCATCTCAAAAAAAAAAAAAAAGGAGCGAAACTCTATTTCACCTTTCTGTCACTGATGATGTTGAGGAGAGTTCCTGATCCGTGACTCAAACTAAGAGCCAGGACCCCGTTTCTCAACTCTGAGCAGGAAAACAACATTTCAGATTTTTAGTCTTTCTCTTCAAAGATTTCAAAGAACTGGCAGCTGAGGGTGGACTTAGGAATACAGCTTAATTTTCCTGAGAACATCATGGAAACCAATCTGAGACCAGACATTGTCCTACAATCAGAGTCTTCCAAGCAGGTCATCATGTTGGAGCTGACGGTGCCCTGGGAGGAAAGGATGGAGGAAGCCAGCGGGAGGAAGAGGGAGAAGTACACCGAGCTGGTGGAGGACTGCCGCAACACGGGGTGGCGTGCAAGATGCCTGCCCATTGAGGTCGGGGGAAGGGGCTTTGCAGGGAAGTCACTCTGCAGGGCCTACAGTCTCCTAGGCATCACAGGGGCACATAAGAGGAGAGCCATCTGCTCAGCTTCAGAAGCAGCTAAGAAAGCATCATGATGGCTGTGGATTCAGAGGGACAAGGCGTGGATGAGTGCTTCTTGGACACAGGCCGGGAACTGATCACTCCCGGTCGGGTCGCCTGGGTGAGGGGGTCTGAAGTTGAAAGACCCAAAACCCCCCGTCACCCCAGGTACTATCACTGATGATGTGTCCAAGATTCTGCATTGCAAGATGTATCGAACAACTGTATCATTCTCGCGAGGCCAGTGACGTCCAGGAAGAGACTGGTTGACGACGATGAACAGAGTGGTGACAGCTTGGAGAGACAGCGGACAGCACGTAAAGAGAGCAACTGGGGCAGGAAGGGCCAGCAACCCGCCCTGCATCTTCTGTGAGGAAGAACCCCTACTCAGCTACGAAATGTTTTAAAGGAACACACCCCCAGGAGGCTCTCAGATCCCATCAGTCACAGAGAAGCCTGTTAAAAGCCTGGGGAAGATCTTCGACTACTCTCTGAGGGATACAGCTTCCATTAGGGCTACCAACGAACAACTGGAGGGCTGGCTAGCTGCAGTGGACAAATCTGGTCTCCCGGGAAAGTTCAAGGCATGGGTGTACCAACATGGCATCCTGCCCAGGATACTGTGGCCATTGCTGGTATATGAATTTCCCATGTCCACCATGGAAGGGTTGCATCATGATGGCTGTGGATTCAGAGGGACAAGGCGTGGATGAGAGCTTCTTGGACACAGGCCGGGAACTGATTACTCTCGGTCGGTTCGCCTGGGTGAGGGGGTCTGAAGATTAAAGACCCGAAACCCCCCGTGACCCCAGGTACTATCCCTGATGATGTGTCCAAGATTCTGCATCTTTTTGTTTTTTCTAAAAAAAACAAAAGCACTTCAGTCAACTTAAAAGTAATTTATACGCCTCTAAGGAGCATTTCACATAAAAACGTAACTAAATCAGACAAGTTTGACGTCCATATCTTGTTTTCTTTCTGACATTAAGTCTGAATTAAAAGACCATCCAGGACTAAAGAAGAAAGTCCTTCAGTCCTGTAATACCACTACTTACCACACGTTGGCAGCATTGCCTCTGATATACGAAAATTGGGTTACTGCAAACTTCTGAAGGTGATCCTTTTCTAATCACATGATGTAAAAAGTTGTTTAATTAGTATTTCTCTTCTGGATACTTCTTATTCATTCTGATGCTTGTATTTTTGCAGGACTTTTAATTGTCTAATCATTAAACAGAGTAAGTTATGTGTCGTGTTCACTCCAATGGTACTGCTTCTAGTTTGAGCTGAATCAGGTTTCAAAAGCACCACCTCTGCCCCCTCTCTGGACACACCCCTGTATCCAAAACTTAAACCCAGTAAAATACCAGAGAAGAGCTGTTTAGGGAAAAATCTGTTTTTATTAAAAGTCATATACAAAAGGAGTATTTGTGTTCAGCTGCTATAAAACTTCCATATTTACATGTTATCATATAGATCCACACTGGTCGCTGCTGGATCAAACTCACCACACTCACACGTTTACACACATTAAACAGCTGTAAAAACACAACGTCTCCAGGTGTGTCACACAGCACAGGTCAGAGGTCAAACACATACACCTGGAGCTCAGAAAGACATCTGTGTAGATTCATTTGGATGCATAGCTTTGAGTACAATTCTGTGAGGGCTCAGAAGAGAAAAAGTGACACTGATGCGGATCAGTCCTTCAGTCTGATTTTCATCCATCCTCTGTGGAAATCAAACCCTCAGAAATCAAACTCTGACTCTCTTCATCTTTTATCAAACAGCAGAATTAACTCTCTGATTGTACTCTTTGCTCACTTTCTACGTTTCTCCTCACTACATATAAAAGTACATTCATTAGACTATGTAACAACATATCAGCAGAGAAGTAGGCGAGGCAACCATCAGACCCAACCAATCAAACTTATTTTTCACTGAGCACCTGCCCCGCAAAATGTCTGTGCACACCACTGCCGGTCAGAACAATAAATTATGGCAAACTGACACACCCTCTTCCAATTTCCACTCTTTATTGTTTGTTTGTGTTGTGTGTAACTGTGGTCTTTACAAGAAAATATTAAAGTGTATAAATACAATATATATACATGAATGTAACACTGATAAATCACTCTACATAAACCTAAAACAAATGCCAAACGATAAGAAAACAGAGAAATGTAACACTGAACTGGAAAACAGAGAGAAAAACACCAAAATCAGTCTGACAACTGAGACCCCGGGCTGTTGAACAACTGAAGCTGTACATCAAGCAAGAATGGGAAAGAATTCCACCTTTAAAGCTTCAACAATTAGTCTCCTCAGATCCCAAACGTTTACTGAGTGTTGTTAAAAGGAAAGGTGATGAAAAACAATGGTAAACATGCCTCTGTCTCAACTACTTTAGCACGTGTTGCTGCCATCAAATTCCAAAGTTAATGATTATTTGCTAAAAATAATAATAATAATAATTAATAATAATAATAAAGTTTATGAGTTTGAACATTAAATATCTTGTCTTTGTAGTATATTCAACTGAATATAGGTTGAAAAGGATTTGCAAATAACTGTATTCTGTTTTATTTACGTTTATCACAATTTCCCAACTTCAATGGAATTGGGTTTTGTAAATCTGTGAGCTGCAGTATAGTTATCGGTGGTTGTGAATAAACAAACCTGATGAATTATTACATATGTGGTAACAGAATTACATACAATCTTATGACAGATGGATACTGAAATCGTAGAGATTCTGAGGAGATGACAGAGTGTGTAGTTAACAAACATGTCCAAACTGCGTCTTTACAGTGAGCAGGAAGATGGGGGCATGATTGACAGGGATGTCCGAGGTTGGTGATAGGTGAAGAAGAGGGGTGTGATATTTAGCATGCCAGACAATCAGACTACTGTATACTGAACATGCGTAGTCTGCAGTAGAAATGGGGAAAGAGTTGTCTTTTTGTTCATGTTGCCTTCACAGTTTGCAGTGTAAATGCTGTTGACTTCAAGAGTGGTGCCAAAATGCCGAAACCCGGGATCGAACCAGGGACCTTTAGATCTTCAGTCTAACGCTCTCCCAACTGAGCTATTTCGGCGATGAGATAGAATGCTCATGAAAAAACAATTCATCTCTGTGTAAAGTAGGCAAACTTGCAGATTTCATCGATTTAGTATTGGGACTGATAACATCGCGTACAGGTGCTTCGATCAGTTGTTACGTTCACTTTGCGCCTCTGGCCCCGTTTGTTCTGCACGCACTATGTGACGTAATCGCCACGCCCACATTCGACGCAGAGGCTGTTGGGAAGAGAGGTCAAGAATCGATGGCTGCGGAGTGCACTGATTTACAACCGTAAGGGATACTTTCACCTTGTAGCACCAGTCTATACAAACCAGAAACTGCTCAAGAGGTTTTTGAAGCCAACGGAAACAAATCTACCGGCAAAACGGTAACAACTTTATTGATAAATCCATCTTTTCTCTCATACTCAAACGACACTCCGGTTAGCTCCCGTTAGCTGGCTAGAGGCTGCATTGTTTTTATTTTCGCCTCTTCTATGGTCGTACAAAAATTACTCCTCAAAGTTCCCCGGCCAAGGCAGGGGGTCTGGACTGCCTGAGTTATGGTTTTCTGTCGGTCCCCAGAAGATGGATGAAAGGTCCAGCAGCCACAGCCACCACAGACTCTTAATCGCCCTGCTCATGGTGTTGCTCTTCGGCGTCATCACGGTCCAGTATGTATGCCCAAGCAAGTCTGAGTGCCATTTGTTACATCAGCTCGTCTCCTGGTTCAGAGACGGTAGAGCGACTGGTTCCCGCGACGGTGGCAGTGAGGTCCGAGTGGGGCTCCAAAAGGATCCGTACATAGCAGAAGACGGCGCCTTGGTTCGCTTTGTTCCTCGCTTTAACTTCACCCAAGTAGATTTAATCCGGGATGTCGACTTCAACATCAAAGGAGATGATGTTATTGTCTTTCTACACATTCAAAAAACCGGCGGTACGACATTTGGTCGACACCTGGTACGTAATATTCAGCTGGAGAGGCCTTGCGAGTGTCATGCCGGTCAGAAGAAATGCACCTGTTACCGGCCCGGTAAGAAGGAAACCTGGCTCTTTTCCCGGTTCTCTACTGGTTGGAGCTGCGGGCTTCATGCGGACTGGACCGAGCTGACAAGCTGTGTACCGTCCCGCATGGACTCCCGTGAGGTTCCTGAAAACATGCCCAGGTAGGTGGAGGGGGCCTTTGGTTCTGAACGGAAATATTGTCTTCATAAAGTTTGATTCAGTGGTAATACATTAAAAATAAAGACAGGCACGTCAGAACGAGTAATAAAATGTTGCAGTTCTGGTTATGATGATTAAAATAATAATAATTAGGGATGGGAATTGATAAGATTTTACCGATATTGATCCCATTATTGATTCTGCTTATCGATTCCATTCTTGGTAACCCTTTCTTTTACGGTACACTTATTACCAGGTAATTCAAGGGAATTACCCAGTAACAACATGAAATTATCTGGTAATTACATGGTAACTACTAAGTCAATACTGTCTAGTTCTTTTTTTCTTTTTTCTGTGCAGCTCCATTTTCAAAAGCTTTTTGGGGTTCTTATTTTCTATGATTGACACTTGATACAGCCTCTGGGCGTGCCAAGATTGCATAGCGATACGCTGTTTGAGCCGAGCATTATCACAGCGACTCACCCGGCGAATGCGTACAATGCTACTACGCAAGTGGTGGTTCCAGGAAGCGGAGAAAATCCTGGAAATACCAGAGCAATTCGGCTTCAAATTTGTAAGATGATGGAAGGTTACGTATCTGGTAACTATTGACTTAGTATTTATCATGTAATTACCAGATAATTTCATGTTGTTACTAAGTAATTACCTGTTAATTACCTGGTAATAAGTGTACCGTAAAAGAAAGGGTTACCCAATTCTTTAACGATTCTCTTATCAATGCCTTGCTTTGATTTAAAAAAAAAAAAGTAGTCTATAGGTTTTCACCGTTAACTCAAAATTTTATTTAGTCTCTGATAACAGTAGTCTAAAAATAATCAAACAACAAACTATTTGTACAGCGTTTACTTAAGTTGGTATTTCGTCAAATTAGGATGAATATATTCTGGATCCCCAAAATGATGACATAATTAAGCAGGAGGTGGAGTCGCGCGCAAAATTAAGAGGGTTTTGGGTCGGGGCGGGTGTTTTTGACGGGCTTCTTGCACAGTCCAAGTCTGGCATGCATTGTGCTTATGTTAACACACGACATACGTACCCTCCATGTTGTTGCTGAGACAAGGGCAGCAGTGGCTAATGACCGGGAGAAAGGAATCATTAAGGGAATCGTTAAGATAAAATGTAAACAGTGTTGATGGATTGAACCATCTGGAACTGGTTCTCAACAAGAACTGGTTCTTGATTCCCATCCCTAATAATAATAATAATAATAATAATAACTTCATTTGTGTAGCACTTTTAAAAACAGAAGTTTACAAAGTGCTTTGACATGTGGTCATGGAGCACATGGAAAGAGACAGAAAGACCAAAAAGCTCAGTTAAAACGGAGTTGAAGGCCATTTTCATGTCATAAGGAACCCAGACAATACAAGAACCATGCAACGTAAAACGAGACCATGAGGACCAAAATAAAAACATAAAACAGTTAAGAAAAAGGAAATGCAATTAAAAAGGGGGGGTTAAAAGCGGAAACAGCGTAGTAAATATAAAAGGCAATATCAACAATGATAATATAATAATAACAGGTAATACTGATAATAGTAGTAATGATAAAATAGAGCAACAGAAATGAGCAAGAGATAAAACAATAAAAGGCCTAAAACGTTAATTAAGAAAAGAGTACAAGTATAACAAAAGCTAAAAAGACAGTAAAGCCAAAATAAGATAAAAGAAATAAGAGATAAAAAAACGCATCACTTAAAAGCAAGTCTGCAAGTGAGTTTTTAATTTCGACTTAAAAGAAGTGATTGTCTCTGCACGCCTTATCTCCTCTGGCAGGTCGTTCCAAAGTCGAGGAGCTCTGATGGAGAAAGCTCTATCACCTTCAGTTTTGAGCCTCAACTTTGGAACAACCAGGAGGCCTTCGCCAGGGGATCTTATACATTATAATAGACTGACTTATCACATTAACTTCACGAGAATATTTAAGTTTACTTATATCTAACTTCTATTTTCTCCCCCCAGAAGGAACTATTATTACATAACCATCTTAAGAGACCCTGTATCACGCTACCTGAGTGAATGGCGTCACGTGCAACGTGGTGCTACATGGAAGGCTTCCTTGCACGTGTGCGATGGAAGGTCACCCACCCTGTCTGAGTTGCCAAGTTGCTACTCGGGTGATGACTGGTCAGGTTGCTCCCTGCAGGAATTCATGGACTGCCCGTTCAACTTGGCCAACAACCGGCAGACCCGTATGCTGGCTGATCTCAGCTTAGTTGGTTGCTATAACGTCTCTGCAATGAATGAGGAAGAGCGTTGGGCTGTACTCCTTGAAAGTGCTAAACGCAACCTCCTTGGGATGGCCTTCTTTGGACTGACTGAGTACCAGCGCAAGACCCAGTATCTATTTGAGCGAACCTTCAACTTGGAGTTTATTGCACCTTTTACTCAGCTGAATGGCACACGTGCCTCCAGTGTTGAGGTCCCTTCTGAGACGGAGCACAGAATTCTCAAGCTGAACCGTTGGGATGTAGATCTCTACGAATATGCCCGTGATCTTTTCCTGCAGCGTTTCCAGGTGGCCAGACAGCAGGAGCGCAGGGAGGCCAGGGCAAGGCGACAGCAAGAGAGGAGGCGTCTCCGTGGCAGATTCACAACGAAGCAAGGGAGGCAAATTCTAAAGCCCACTGAATCACCCCGGCAGCTTGACCCATACTCTGTAGTGACTGAAGAGCAGCAGAGAGGGAAGGATGGTGGAGACAGTGAGGATTCAGAAGTGCTTCTACCAGACTGGTGGGATCTGGATGAAAACAGCACCCTTGAGGATTACATGGACAATGTCGAGCAGTGGTAGGGATGGAAACAAGCAACCAGGTGTCCTAATACCTAGTGTGCCAAGTCTGCCTTGATTCAATGAAACCAAGTAATTCTTTTAAGTATATGTGTTTTCATTTTGTTCTATTTTTTGTCATGAACAGTTTTCAATAACACTAATTTATTTATTGATACTGATTGTATTAATTTGTCAAAAGTGAATACATGGATACGTTTCCCTGACAGAAAGGATGGTGCATTTCACTACCTTTATGTGATCACCTAAGCCCTTTAGATTGTTATTGTTGCTTTTAAAGACATGTCATAATGTTTGGAATGCAGCCATGATAATTTGATCATTTTTGAATGAGCAATGTTCAACCGTTTCTATATTAATATGCTACTGTTTGTAATTTACAATCTTTGTTTGCCAAATTGCTGTCTTGTCTGAAATACAAACATTTAATAATGTAACTGTGATTTTAAGTATGTTTTAATTCACAGAAAAGAAGAATGGAATTATCATTGATACCTCAATGTGTAGCATTAACTGCTTTAACTGTAAAATACTGAATGTGTCTCAAGTCTTGGTTTTATATAAAATCTTTTTACATCCACTGAACTGCTCTCCTGTTACTTCCCTCTTTTCTAAAGGTGTTTCCTTTTTGAGCCTCCCTGATTCTTTGTTTGATCTAATTCACAAAAAAAAGCTTTGTGAGGCACTTGCAAACCTCTGCTAAACCAGCAGGGAGTGCTAGAGTTATTGTAATCACAGCACAACACCCAGAGAGCAGTCGCCAAAGAGTTGACTGAAATCACAGCATATTGCTGAATTTGGTTGGATAGGATCTGCATATTTATAATGTGATCCTTGGAGGATTAAATTGAGAAATAAGCTTTGACAGTTGTTTCAAAATATTGAAGAATCACCCTGTAATCAAGTGAAAGGAAACCTGTCAAGACTTTATGAAGATCGTTGGTTTGTCAAAAACCAGTGCTTAGAAGTAAATTTGCATTGACAGGAATGTTTTAGTTAACGTTTTATTTTTTTGTGATCCTTTTCCAGTAAACTTAAAGTTAATCTCTAAAAGTCAAAACCACGGACAATGCTTGAAAACATTAAGCATAGATTAAAAGCCAATTGGGTTTTTCTGGGATGAATCTACCCATTCAAAGTCCACTAATTTAATGGAATTAAATGCAGTCATGGACATTTTACTTACACCAGATTTTTAATTGTTATAATACAATGATAATACATTTTATTTATAAGCACCTTTCTTGACACTCAAGGTCACTTAACAGATAAAAACAATACAGTTAAACAAGATAGAAGCAAAAACAGTATAAAATGGGACAAAGTAAATTACAAAGAGTGGGCTATTCTGGACAGGTGGGTTTTAGGTCTGAATTTGAAATGTTTGTGTGTGTGTGTGTGTGTGTGTGTGTGTGTGTGTGTGGGGGGGGGGGGGGGGGGGTCAAAGTTACGGATTTTTTTTTTTAAATGATTGTTTCTTTTTTTTTTAAAGTAACATTTTAAGCAGTTTAAATTTAAAAAATTTACTGTGCAGGGGCACGCCCAGAAGGTTGGTGAGGGGTGGCATGCGCCCGCTTGAAATCTCATTGGTGCTCCCAAATTTAGAATTGATCAACAACTATCTATGTTTATTCAGAAACTGTATAAACCTGTGCTCCAACTGGGCCACCTCAGGTCGACAGGTCTGGACACACCCATGTTAGTCAGATGTATTTGAAATTTAACAGTAAAGTTTCATATGCTACTGTAAGAACGGCAAATGTGATCTGTTTTAGAGCTGTTGGCTATGGTGGCCAAGAACCACCACTGCTGCAAATAAAAAAGAATGCATAAAAAAAGAAGCCACAGTGGAAGTTACCGATGCCAAAAAAAAAAGAAAACTAGGCCTGCTGCAAATATAAAAAGAAACGGTGCAGATAATTAATACTAATAAAAAAACAACAGAAGTTATCGACGCAAAAAAAGTAGAGATGCAAAAAATAAAAAAAAGTTACTTACTGCGAAAATAAAAGGATGCATATAAAAAAGCTAACACTACACCTGTATACTCCAGTTCAACTTCGTATCGACTCAGGCACAACAAAAGCACATGAAGCAAAATTAAACAATAACCTTTTCATTTACTTCTTTGCTTGTCCTCCCGCCATCGTCTTCTGTGCCTGGATCGTAAAACACCGGTGCGTCATCAATGTTGATCCCCGGCAGCTCACTTTCGTTTTGGCTTTTTTTATTTGCATCCTTTTATTTTCGCAGTAAAAAGTACCACTTTTTTTGCGTCGTGTTTTTTTTTAATTTTTTATCTGCACTGTTTCTTTTTTATTTGCAGCAGTCTCCAATTTCTTTTTTTTGCATTGGTAAATTCTGTTGTAACTTCTTTTTTTTAACATTCTTTTTTTTATTTGCATCCTTTTATTTTCGCAATAAGTAACTTTTTTGCCCCATCACCAGTTTTTTTTGTGTGTCTCTAACCTCGTTGTGTGTGTGTGTGTGTGTATTTTTTTTTTTTATCTGCACCATTTCTTTTTGCATTTGCAGCGGCCTTCAATTTATTTTTTGCATCAGTAACTTCTGTTGTGCCTTCTTTTTTTTTTTTTTGCATTCTTTTTTTATTTGCAGCAGTGGCGGTTCTCCGCCACCGTAGTTAGCTACCATCATTTAATATCATATTATTCCATATTTTTTAACACAGCTAACCTATGCTTCTTAAAGTGGCAAGCACATTGATTTGCTAGGATTTGGATTCTGGCCAGCATTTATTTACCCAACCAAGCTGTCACTGGGGATTGTATCTGCGCCTGCAACCTCACTACGCCTCAAACGTTTCCGGGAAAGTAGTCCTTCACCTGTGTGTGTGTGTGTGTGTGTGTGTGTGTGTGTGTGTGTGTGTGTGTGTGTGTGTGTGTGTGTGTGTGTGCAAACAAGCCTGTAGTGCAAACAAGCCTGTAGCACTGACCGTGCATACCTGTTAGGTGTTAATGGCAGCCTACCTTTATACCTGCAGCGCCTGTGTCGTGACTTTGATTTCTCCGGTTGCTCATAATGTTACCTGAATAACGACAGCACACTCACAAACACGAACACGCACACGCACGCACACACCTCCCCTCTCTCCCAACTCCTCCCTCCCCGTTTTGCCCTCCCTCACTTTTTTTCAAACGTGTTATTCCGCTGTGTGTTCAGTCTCTGAGCTGCAGCCGAGCACATTGACTTGCTGCTAACATTTCAGCTGCCAGTCAAACCCCGCTTCTTTTTCCACTCTTCGGCGCTATTACGGCTTTTATGTTCACCTGCTCTTCATTATTTTTAACCCACGAAATCGCCATTAATCTGACCATTTCACCTCGAAGCCATACTGGGTTTTTGTGCGACCGTTGAAGCAATTTTTATTGAAAGTAACCATTAAAATTTGAATTTTAACCGACGTCAGTTTATAGAGAGGACTCCAGAGCCTGGATCTGTTTACAGGTAAGAGTCTGAGCATGTCTCGCACAGTTGAGTTTTATTTTTGATTAATTCTTTCTAGTTGTATGTTTAATCCACATTATAGTCCCATTAGGACGTTTTCTAGTCTGCCTGTTGCGCGGAGGCTCAAGGCTGTCTGTTATTGTTGAAAAACGAGTATATTAGGTTTGTTTCCCATAAGCACCTTGGTAATTGCTTTAATATTCTACATACTTTGGACAGCTCTCTGGAAGTAGACGGACTGTATGTGTACGAGTAATACTAGTAAGCCTCGGTCATCAGGTCTGGGATCTGGATATACAAGGGTTTAGTTGAACGCAATACGCAGGATTTTTTTGGCTCTTATTCAGGTGACAGCGTTTCGACAGGAGGAACTATTTTGTCAAGTTAGATTGTAGAAATCTTTGTAAAATCCCCCTTTAGTCTCTCTAGTCACAGTGATATTGGGTTTTAGTCTATTATTAGTGTTAGAAGTGGAGAACACCCTCAGGTTGCTTCCTGTTTTTTTTTTTCTGTCTGCAGGGTTTTGCAGACAGCCTCCATGCATGCAGTGCAGGGACATTGACTGTTGTCCTTGTTTACCCCCAAGGGTCAGACATTCAAACAACCATGGCGTACAGTATATTGTGTTGTCACTTGTTGCCTGTGTGCACCTAGAGTGGGTGTAATGCCTTAATCATGCCCCATTTAAATACACAGCCAAGTTAAGGCAAGTTCATGCTTCCTGCGGGCTGTGGACTCTGCACCAGTTTAGCTAGTTCTTCTTTACTTAATATAAACAGTGATACACTGACAAACACACACACACACAGGCATGTTGCCACATTTCCCACACAACCTGTTTTCATTTCGCCTCTTACACACACATAAACTTCCAGGGACTCTCTTTCCCGTGCAAATGAAACCGTACAATAACAATTTTGCAGTGAGGTCAAATCTAAAAATGTTGTGCTCACTGAACTTAAGTTTTTTCACGTGTATGGGTTGTGAAACTTGTAGCTAAACAATAGTGTGGTAAAAATAAGGTAAAACTTCTTGAGGCTGAATTGTGTGTTCCCAAGTCTTTCATGATTTGTGATGGGATAGGCTTACTGTATGTTTGTCTGAATGGGAACTGTGGTCCCTTAATGAGATGAAAGGATTACTGATACTTAACCTAATTACTTTGCTCCCTCCCTCCAGGCTGCTGGCTTTCACTCTCATTGTGATTTATGGATCACCCACCTTCAGCTTTTTAATCAATTACCTGTTCAATGACATTATCCTTATATGGTACTTGTCCTTGTCCCTGTTCTTAAATGAGTTGTCTATGAAGTGAGTTGTATTTAGTTTGAATTCTTGGATGTGTCTTTATAACTGCTTCACTTGTTTCCAATTCTGCAATACAGAAGGAAACCACCTAGAATTTGGGAATAGGGAAACCCCACATTTATGAGTCAAAAACAGTGCATTTTTTTAGATAACCTCTGATGCAAGATCATTAGACTTTGTTAGTTGAATCTTTGGGTTTTTCCTTCAACCCTTGATATTATCCATTCATACTTTAAAATGACTGCAACTTGAAGCCAATAGAAAAACTATGATGTGGTAAAGTCAGTTTGTGTTTTCATTTAAGTGTATCTGACAGAAACCTGGTCAACTCTTTAGGTGGTTGGCACTTGAGAGAAGCTGGTGGGTGTGACACTGAGATGACAGGACCCCAGTGTCCTAAAGCAGGTGTTACTGCTAGTTCTGTCATGATTTTGAAACCTTATTTCATTTTTGATGCTGTTGTTTTTTTAGTGGTTAAATTTGGCTGTCACACGACATTTTCTGTAGTGTGACGACATTAGGACATGCTTTTTTTTTCCCACCTCGAGGGTTTATCCCTCACAAGTGTCACCCTGCTTCTCATAATCTGCATTTTTGACACTATAGCTACCCTTAACTGTGAGCAGATGAGGTGTGCAGCTTCCTGGTGAGGTGGTACCCGGCCTACTCACCAGTCATAATGCAGACGTCAGAGCTCCGGTGAAGGTTACACAGTTGGGGCCGTTTGGTGCACTGTGTTTGATGAGGGACACAGTGCGCAGGAGTAAAGAGCAGCCACCCAGATCTGTCCTCTTTATAGTCCCTCGTCATCCTCTTCCACCTACATATTGACCCTCTGGCTGTTAGAGCCCCTGTCCTCACTGCAGACACCTGGACAAGCACATAAGGGCTGTTAAAACTGGGGCGCTCTATTTGTACACCATGCTGCATCCAAGCAAATAACTTGGATCTGCAAAGTAAAGGTGGGACAAGTTCAGTGGGACAAGATTATTTCAGAGTACAACATGAGAGGTGTGAGGAAAAATTCAAAGCATATCTGTGTTGTATAGTTTCAAGTATTTGCCAGGTTTTTTGTACCAGTTAGTTGGCAGAAAATAATCAGCAACTTTTAATCCTCTTTTTGCACCAAATATGAGAATTTGCTTATTTGTAATAAATCTTAACAATAGTTTAAATTATAATAACTTTATATCTCTGGAAAAACAAAGTCAATGTCTCTTGATTGTTAAAAATCTTTTAAAAATTGACTTTTTTTTTGAAGGACATTGACTCAAAACTAATTAATAATCACACCTATATGCCAAAAATTATGTCAATAAATGATACAATATATAGCAGGTATTCTAGTAGAAGAGTTTAAAATCTAAACTTTGCTTTATCTTGTTTTCATAATTTTTCAGGGGCCTTTGACCCCGTTTTTTGCATTGTGAGAAACAACACTGATAGTTGTATGTGAACTGTATCTGCACATTAATGCAGCCTCCTCAAACATGCAGCTTCTTTCTTTAGCCGAGCTCTTCTTTAATGTCTCCAAACTGTCAGTTTTCTTGGGTTTTCATCGTCGCCAGAGTGATAGAGTGATTGACGGTCAAGATGCCCTTTTGCATAATCTGCTGTTTTGTCAGGTCTTTAATGCAAGTTGAAAAGCTTGAATTAAATTTTTTTGGGATAAAAAGGTAACTGTTGGCTGTACTTGTATGCAAAAGACTGTTTAAAAAGTGAATAATGAGTGGGATCACTGCTGGTGTTTTTGGGGATTGCATGTCAGCAGATGGTGTTCAGAAGTTAGAATACTTGGGACACCAAAATTTAGTCCTGCATCCAGATTCAACACTTTAATGCCGAATGCTGCCAGAAGATGCTCTCTGGGTTTTGATTCAAGTTTTGGACTTTTTTCTTGTTCCTTCACTTACTTAAATTAAAAGTGACAAAGAAGCGGGAGATGGCACCGATATTTGTTGTTAAAGAGTCAAATCGTGTAAACAAACAGTGGAGCCAAACAACACTCTAGGGGGGATAACTGCTCATAAGCTGCACTAGCAATGTGGCATTATGGACAGCCATGTTAGTGTCTCCAGTTTTATCAAATAGCATAAGCTTTTGGATAGACTGTCAACACATTTTCATTATGAGACATTGATCGTCCTAAATCAATTAATTTCATTGATATTTGTGGTAATATTATATTCCCATCAGAGTCATCGGTGTGTCAATATTGTCTGATAGTTTGTGACAAAATACCTGCGAAGCAAATATGGTTCTCACCGGCATCATCTTTACCTCATGTAGATTCTCAGTCTGGCCTCCGACTCGGGAAATGGGTCCTTCTTAATGTTGTTCCCTCTGATGTCTCTGTAAACTTCCTTTTTTTCGCTACAGGCTTAACATTATGGATGCTAATATTCTAGTATGCAGTGATGAAAGGTGAACATATTTAGCCTGAATCCTTAAGCTGCGTAGATATAGCATTTAAGAGCTGCTTCCACCGCTCTGGACTAATATTTATGATTCTGTGACAGTCAATGCTGTGTTATGAGGATTTTACTCTTGGGTTAAGTAGCTTTACATGTTAATGAGTAATCCGTTTGTACAATAATATACAGTAGATCCACAAATTGTCCTGTTTTAATATCTATAAATTTCCTGATAGAGGTCAAAGATAAAAAGGAAAAGCTTGTTTGAATAAATATTAGGGAGGATGAAACTCCTGGAGATAAGAGCTGTCGATAAGCGAGTAAAAATTCATTGTTTTGTATATTCAAAGGTATAAGGTGCTGTGTGAACTAGGATGACTTTGATTGAGAGCCAGTATTGCTGTGTAGCTTTCCAAGACTGGCTGTAATGGCAACTGCGCGCCATTTGGTGTCTGGTGCGGCGGTAGGGAGGAGAGCAAACGAGGAGTGTTGCTTAGGAGCATTTTGATGATGCTCGTTGCATATTGCTGAGCTGCATTGTCAGGGCGTGCGTAAGCAAAGGGCGCCTGATGTGGAACTGAATGCAGGACAGGCAAAGCTGCAGGAGGAGTGCTTGTCCTGCCCCCATGAGAAAAGTTTCCATCGATCTGGAGGTGAGCTGAGAGGAGGAGGAGGAGAAAACACAGACAAGCAGAACAGCTAAGCAAGCAAAGCATTACCTCCTCATCTCTTATTCCTTCCTCCTTTTTGGGGCTGGGATGTGTCTTTGTTCTGGTGTTTGAAGGTTGGTGTACCAATTCAGTTCCAACCTCCCCCCTGTCCCTCCTTTTCCCACTCCACTGCAGTTTCCTCCTTCTGGGCTGTCTGTCTGCATGCTCGCACACACACATTCCCTCACACTCACCCCCTCATTGGTTTCTCCGTCTGTGTCTGCCGCCATCAGACGCAGGGACTGATATTATCTGAGCCAACGCACCCCTCCTCTTTTTTTTTGTACCCCTCCTTTTCTTCATGGTGTCTATTGTTTAATTGCTTCGTGCTTTAATTTACTTCTATGTCCTGTGACTTTCAGGACAGCCGTCTTTTCACTTCCCATTTACATAATCTGCAGCACCACTTTGGTTTCACCTTCTTCAGGGAAACTAACCTGTAGTTCCCTTTCTGTGCGTCTCCTCACTAAGCCTCCTTATTGATTGTGATCTGTATTCAGTTAGAGTCCGGACACGTCACTCTGCTCCCTGCGAGCGAGCCACGCAGCAGACAGACAGACAGCATGCATCCTCCCTGCATCACACTGCACCAAAGCCTTGCCTCACCCCTGTGTGAGGACAAAGCTGCTCGGAGTTAACCAAAAGTTGTTCAGTTTAATACAAGCATGTGGTTCAGCCATGACTCTGCTGTACCAGTGAAGTAAGTCTGGGAGGAACAAGGATGGGCTCCATGGAGGGAGGAGCTGCTGCGGAAACTGCTCCATCATTGGTAGCTGAAGTGCTCTGCATGCCTGTAAGACTCCGTTTGATTGGCTGGAGCGTCGCATTGAGCACAGCAGCTGCAGTTGTGAAGAACTGCCCCTTCTCTCTCTCTCTCTCTCTCTGCCTTGTCTCTCTTCTTCCTACTTCTTCCCTACACATTAATAACTGTCTGGGAATCATCGGTGTCGCCCACATGTGCCAGTCGTACCGTTTCAAGGACACTGTTTTTTCACAAGTTACTTGAGTACTTTCAGCTCAGCAGAGCTCAGGGGAGTTGAAGTGACGTCTCTGTCCTGCCTGCAGTCCCCCTCCATCCCTCTCTCTCTCTCTTTCTCTCTGCCTCTCGCTCTTGTATCACTTAATCAAGACATTGCTTGCCCTTTCCTGTTCATTGCTGCCTCCCACCCTCCCGTATGCTCTGCTCTCCTATTTGTTTGTCCTCGCTTTATTCTCTTTGGCTCTTCCCTCCCCGACCTCGTGCCTCTCGGTCCTCATCACCCTCGGCTTTTCCGAAATCTTTCCATGCAAGGTTGGAACCTACGATTCTGTCTCCTCCGCAGACATGTGCTCTGTAAGTGCTTTAAACTAATGTTTGGCTTTTGTTTTTTTTTAACAGATAACAAGCAAGGACGAGAAGGAGAGAGGTCAGCTAGGAGGATGACAACAGCAGGATTAACAACAATGAAGAGAGGGTGAGAAAGAGACTGGTACAAGAGGAGGAAGTGGAACTCCAAAGTGCCTACTGCGCCGGGGTCGTCTGCTGCTGCTGGTTAGCTGCTGTCTGACTGCTGGATGAGAGCAGGACAGGCTTTGTGTGTGTTTGGCCCTGAATGGAGGCTATATTTTATCCTGACAGCCCCAGAGTCATCCATCCCACGTTGCTGAGCTGCAAGCCTCACAAACGCTGAGCCGAGCTGCCACCTCGCCTCATGAGTAGAAGGACACCTTCCCGATAAGGTTCTGCTTTTTGTTATTCCACAGATTTCTACTTTTTCAAGCCAAACAAAAAGAGCTGAACAGTGACTGCCTAGGCCTTGGCCATGTTGACGTGAATGTAATAGTGACTTACCAAGTCTGCTGGTTGGTTCAGGTAGAGGCACAGACGCTCTGTGACACATCCAAGCATGCTGGAGTGATGTCCTCAGAGTGGTGTTTTTTTTTTCTTTGAGACAGAGCTGGCCTCTGCTCACAGTCAGCCCCCTTTATCTCTCTGCTGAAACTTCAGCTGCCACTTTTCCCAGGAAGAGCCAATAAACATACCCTGAAATAAACCAACCAAAAGGACTTGCTGCCTATTTGCGCTGAGGAAAAATATTTTTGTCTCTGTTTCCTCTGTGTTTCGCCTGGGATTTTTTTTCTCACATCACCATTAGTCACCCCTTGCTCTCATCAGACAGTTTTCCATCCATCTGTCTCCACCGCTGCTCAGTGTTAGCGAGCAACTTCGATGGCTATAAGCATGACAATGGGACGGGACACCAAATGGCTGACCCTGGAAGTGTGTCGGGAGTTTCAGAGAGGCACCTGCTCGAGGTCTGATGCGGAGTGCAAGTTTGCCCACCCTTCCCGGAGCTGCCACGTGGAGAATGGCCGAGTCATTGCCTGCTTTGACTCACTCAAGGTAACAATGCAACAGACATGGCGCTTACCAGTCACTCACATATATTATTTCAATTATTTAGACACATTCAGTGTTGGCTTTGTCAAGTGTACTCTGCATAGTCTTGGAAAAGTAAGCTGCCAATTTCTGACACATTACACAAACACTATCCTGTTGTGTTGTAACGGAAAATTCAGACACTTGTATGAAAGAAATTGACAACGTTAAGCCATGTCACACATTATATCACAAAATAATTCATAGGTTTTAATAATTAAGTGTGTTTCCACTAACTTTATGATAGACAAGAGGAGGTTTGTGTAGATTTAATCGGTTCAAAGGTGAAACCTGTCTTTATTTGTTATCACATCCACCCATTTAACCCTCACAGTACGTTTTGTCATCTCCATGTCATTGTGATTCTGACACAAGAAAGTTGATCTGAGTTCAGTGTCATTGAGACGTGAGACCTGTCAGGGTGACTCAGAACACAAGTGAATTTCCTTACTTTGTCCCTTAAATGATTCCATTGATTTAGAATTTATTTATACTGGATATCGTTGGTCTAGCATGAAGATGTGAATGATCCTTGGAAAAGTCGGAAAAAAGCAAAATCGGAGGTGGAAACAAGATAGCTACATCTACAAAATGTGATGCTAAAATAACTTAAAATAACTAAAATAACAAGGGCTAAAATAACTTTCGTAGATGTAGCCATCTTGTTTCAGGCCTCCAATTTAGCTTTTTTCCAACTTGGTTAACTGAAACGCTGGTAACTCGGGTGTGACGTCATTTCCAACTCCGACATCTGACTTCCAAGGTAACTCGAGGGCAGCATAAAGGTCCTGAGCCAGATGAGAACCAGATAATACCAAGATAATACAGAACATGTCCTGTGCTGCTAGGTCCCCACACTGTCCATTTAGGGTTCTTTGTAACCTTAATCTAAAAATCTATAAGTGCAGATTCTACAACACTCTCATGTCCTGTATAACTTCGAGCCTTTGTTTTTCCTGATATATATTGTCTTCTTGTTAGCAAGTCATCAGTGCTCTTGCAACTGTTCTCTTCAAAGCAGCAGACGAGCTATCACCGCCATCTCCACGCTCAGACACAGAAATAGATGTACAATTTAGACAAGGACACCAAGCTTTAGAGGGTAGCAACATTTATCATCCAAACCCTTTAAAATGTACGGGTTGAATATATTTAAAAAATAACAAAATACAACCAAAACACTCTCAAGGTTGAGATGGCGACCAGTTAAGTAGTGACCAGTATAAAACAGGTCACTACTTAACAAATAGGTCAATTTTAATACAGTAACTCAACTGAATTCATGCATCAAGAATTGTTGTTTACTATAAGTTGCATGCCTTTGATTTCATTGACCACAGTATAAATCATCATATCTCCTAAACTGCATCCGAACCAATCAAGCAGAGTTCATGTTCTCTATACCTGAACAGATATAGATGCCTATTACCAACAGTTGTTGGTGTCATTTTTACCCAGGTGTAACTCCTGATAAAACCGCTCTCCTGTTCGTCATCCTTTAGTGTTGTGGGCTTGTCGGTCGTGCCTCCTCACCATCACTGCAGCTGCTTAGCTAATCCTCTCCCCTCTGCCACAGAAGTGCATCTCTAGATTTACTCATGCACCACAGAAAAGTGATGATGCTCCAGCGTAATAAATCAGTGCTCTGATTATTGATGGTCAACGGCTCTAAAATCAGGGGTAGACTGTTCCTCTTTCCTCATGCGTGTACATGTGTATACATGTGTGCTTGGGTGAGGTTTACTCGCAATGAACATTCATGCACAGGAAAAAGTGAGACCCAGACAAGGGGCTTTCTGTCTGAGTGCAGCTGCTGTCTCCTCGTTTATTGAGTTAGAATTTATTATTCAGCCATTTTTCTGTGTTATGTCCTCCAGAGCATGAGGGAGACAGAGAGGGAGCGAGAGGAAGAGAAACAGAGAGGGGGGGCCTAGCAACAGCACAGGAGTGCATACCCATTGGATAGTTTGATCTTCCTGAGTGGCACGGCTGTTTTTAGCACAGAGCAACAGCCTGGCTCAGTGCTGGTTTCATTGATGGGAGAATGAGAAGGGTATCTTTGTATCTGAGGCAGTGAGCAAGCATCTAAGGCCAGGGTTGAATTTTTGTAAAGTTCATGACAGTTGAAGGTCACAGCAGCTTTCTTTATCCCACACTGTTGCAGGGTTTTAGTGCAGCAACAACTACCACCTCTCCACAGCAGTGTCTATCCTCATTGTTGTCAGGATTATACTCACCTAACCGACATTGTTTTTGGGCGACTGACTAGAAAAAAACAAAGAAGCAGCTCGATCCCAACAGAGCTGCTCAACATCATCAGTTCTTCCTTTCGCTCCCCACCCACCCACCCCGCCTTCATTTGTTAATTTTATGGATTTATCTGCTAATGGCCTCCCTCCTCGCCATCCCTGCCATATCTGGCATCTCCAGCCTGCTCTGAGACAGCCGCTGTCATTCCCTGTTGCTCCTCCATTAGCACTGTCTGGTCAGTCTGAACTTGCTGCGGGGGAGGGAGGAGTCGGATCACCGCCTGGTTCTTTTTACCTTGTTAACTGGAGTGCTGCTGTCATCTCAGATGATTAGTGTAGCTGCCACATCTGCCCATCATACAACAGCAGTGTCACTTCTGGATGACATGGTGCTGCAACCATCCTCTGATATCAATATCGATCAATCTGTCGAGTATTTAGCTGTTAATTGTCTCTTTTTGGAGGCAAAATATAACAAGAAATATGTGAAAATTGATGATATAATTTTAGAGTCAAAGAAAATTTTCTTTTAATGACTGCAAAACTCCGATACTACAGGATACGCAGTCTGCCATCTTTGAGTTCAACAGAGGACAGAATATATTCACATGTCCCCCTATGAAGTGGACTAGGACTCTACAACAGGATGTACATCAGCGAGTGATTAGATTTGCCAACATTTGCTCGTTAGTATTACAAAATCAGAGCACAGCATAGGATGTTCGGAGTTTTATTAGATTTCTACATATTTAAAAATAAAGTTAAATCCTCAACATGTCCAGATTTTGTATTAAAAACATGAATGACAGCAATAAGAGAAGATATTCCTTTATTAGCCCCACAGGGAGAAATTCCAAATTTACAACAGCACATAAAAACAAAAAGAGAAATTAAGGGATGAAGAAACTTAGGTGTTTAAAAAGATATATACATGAGTCTTATTTACAGCTGTTTTGTACATGTTGATATATTACAGTTGAAAAATTGAGATATTTATATGCATGACTATATACACAGAATATGCATAAGTGTGTGTAGAATATACGTATGCTATGTTAGTAATAGTAGCCAAAATTTTCATGATTTACCATCAGAGTAAATTTTAAAAGTTGACCTACTGATGGCGATCATTCATTATATCTTGGCCAAAATAAAAGTCAATAAAAGTAGCACTGTTGGAACAGAAACTGAACTGTATGAGCTTAACTGTGACCAATCATTTAGTAAGTGTCAAATGTTTTGGCTTCACTTTTAGAGATCTGTCGTGTCAACCGTCTTTTTATACTGTCTATAGTGGCATTAATGACTCAGCAATGATATTAGAGCTAAATTATTGTTTTCATTGTTTCTATAGTTTCTAATTTTTTTGATATTTCTGCATGAAAACCAAACGCAGTTTCATAAATAGGAAAATGTTGCTGGCATGGTTCAAAATCTCTCACGAGTTGTAGAATTTATTATCTGAGCATTGTCATGTTTGTCCCGTATAAAGTAGTAATATAAAGTATAAAGTAGTGTATTTTAGCTCCAGATATGTGCTATAGTTCAGAGGAGTGATTCTGTTCATTGTTGTCTCATCTCTCTCTTCTCTTTTAGTGCTTCAGCAGCACACTGTAGTCGAACAGGAACTCTTTCTGTGTTGCATAGTGTGTTGCTATGGTGACTGAAAGGCGATTCCTGACCCACAACACCTTCTTTATTGGTCTCCATATCTGCACCAGATTTTCCGATGGTTTTGTAGTGCTACCATTGACCACAAAATCCATTTAGAGTCTGTTTCGTTTTGACGCTCATCGTGCACAAAGTGTGTCACTTTAGGCTCATTAATGAGAACTCTTCATTCTCACTGAGTTTGAGCAGGCTGTCTGGACTCATGGGACTGGCTCCTCATTACAGACTCATCCCTAAACACTCTGCTTGCTGACGCAAAGCTTGCTCCAGTGTGGGCGAGGGTGTTTGTGTGAGCCCATGTTCCATCCTGACCATTTTTCAGGCTGCTGCATGTTTGCTCGTATACACCTTTTCTGGTGTGTGAGGTTGTTGAAATCCCTCACTGATAACGGTAAAGGTGACATTGCTTTTTCTCTCTGTCATACACACCGCTCATGCTGCTGATAAACCCTCTTTTAATGTGTCCTCCTCCCAGTATGACATCATCCGTCACCGTCGAAATCTCTGCACCATGATGTCACTTTGTCGTGTTTTTTTTTCTATTGTTTAACTGCTTTTTCAGCCAGTTATGACCCCAAGAGGTGGTCTGTGTGGGTGTGGTCTGATGACGGAGCATGTGGCTGTGTCTTGCTGGAGATAGTTTAGCGAGTTAACATCTCCTCTGCAGGGGCAGACAGCTGCCGTCTGCCCGGGGGTTTAATGGAGACTGCAGTTCCTCCTCTCAGTGTGTGTTGACTTGCCGTGTTCCTGCAGCTGTGCTTCTGCAGCACCATCTTCACCTTCCCCACACTCTCTGACAGGGAGGAAGGACACTGCTGTAAAGGCACTCCGGGACAAAATGAATTGCTTTTAGATAAATGGCACAAAATCTGATTTAGCGTTTGTCAAAAAGCCAAACATGACAAGTAAAAGCGAGCATAAAGAAGCACCGATGTTCAAAAGGGTTTCTGGCAGAGGCTGTGATAGGTGTCAGCCAGCTAAGAGACAGAATTAAAGCCACCTAAGTTAATACCACGCCATTTAAGCCGCTTTTCAGAATCCATTGAGATAAAACATTTTACTTACATCATAAAAGTAATTAGTGATCCAGACACTTTAAGGTAATGTCAGAGTTAAACGTCCATCAGAGCAACTACTAAGTTCCAACCAAAAAAAATCTGCTATGATTTTAACTAAAAGGTGAAATATAAAGTATTCAGCAGCATTAAGTAAAGGAGACTTGATAGAAATGGAGTAAAATAATTTTAAGTATGTTTGGAGTAATTTAGAATCAGGTTTTTTGCATTGACACTTTTTGGGTGGTAAAAATGTGACAAACTGAGACTCAGACTTATCATATCTCACAGGAGCTTTTTTACCTTAAAGGCCACCGTTACTTTGTTGATTAAGAGGTGAGCAGGGCTGTCAATCAGGTCCTTCTGCTAAATGTTTTTAATATTCCTAAAATTTCATAGCACATTGAGCTGCGTAAGAACTGGTCATCTTCCCGTTTGCCTTTTTCTTTATTAACAGTCATTGTAAAAGAAATCTGCTGTGCTCAAAGTCATGCTTGGCGTTGCTCGTAGCCGTGGAAGCTGCCTTTACTCTTTGTGAAAGCCTGCATGTGCTGAGTGAAGCTTTGCATACAGGAGGCATAAAGGAGCTTTGACTGTGCACACAAGCCTGACATCAGAATAACGGCTGCTGCAGCTTCATGTCCCACTCGGCATTTCTTAACAAATATTTAATGTGAAAAAGTTCCTAGTGTTCACTGGATGACCATGAAATTAAAGTTGTGTTAAATCAGCTAAATAATAGTCGTCCACACACGCATGCGTACGCTTTAACTCTTCTTCGGATGGCTGTAAAATAACCTCATATCAAGAAATGCTGTTCTTACCTTGGCTATCCTTTATTCCTGCTTTCTTGTGTGTTTTTTAAAGCCAAAAATATAATGTGACTCAAGATACAGACATTCAAATCATCTACTTCTGGACAAATTTGTGCTTTTTACTCCCCTCAAAATTGTGCTTGTAACGTTTTAACACGAGGCACAACTTCAAAAGTATGTTGCACTGTCTTCTTCCAAAAGCAACCACATGTGTATCAAGAATCCTCACATTTTTACCCCCACTGACAGTAGTTAATGCTGTGTAAGTTTATGCAAAATGCAGGTGAAAACAGAGCAAGGAGGATGTGTTACTGTCAACATAAGAGCAAGACAATGGTGTTTTATTATGAAGGAAGTCGGCTCACTCATTCCTTACCTCTGCCTTATCACATCTTCCTTGGTCTCTACACAAAACTAACTGATAAGCTCCAGTCAGATTTGCATACTTGAATATGTTTTCTTTCTCTCTGCATGTTAGGTTGAAATTTTCCTGGTTAGCAGCAGGTAGAAACACAGGCTCTGTCGTACAGGCGGTGAGAGTCAAGCATCTGTTTTCACTCCTCGGCTTTTATCTCTTCTCAGGGACGTTTATTTGAGTTCTGCTGGGACTGTGTGGAAAAATCTAAACCTTGTTCAAATACTCCACCTGTCATGAAATGGCACGTGTGACAGCCATCTTAGCTTAAGAAACAAGTACTGCTAATTCACTGGAAAACACATGACAACCCTTTGTCTGACTGCCAGTTAAATTTCTGCAGTGAGATTGTTGTCAGCTTCAGCCTAACTTTCTTTGAATGAGGAAGGTTTTTGGAAAGAGGTTGTGTATTTCTCATTAATTACCCAGCGTACAGCCTTATGGGACTTCATTAGTCGTGATCACAGTTTTGCTCAATAAATAGCTAGATTCTGGGTGATTAGTTTCATAAATTAAACTTTATTATCAGGATGTGTTAGACTAAACAGCTGCCTCAGTAACAAGTTTGAGTCATTGAGTTTCCTAATCGAATTATTTTCCCGTTTGTGCACAGTCATTGATGGGCGTCACCCTGTCTGTCCGCCCTCTCATCTTTCCTCCCTTCTCTCCTCTTCAGGGACGCTGCACACGTGAGAACTGTAAATACCTGCACCCACCTCCACACCTGAAAACTCAGCTGGAGATTAATGGAAGGAACAACCTGATCCAGCAGAAGGCGGCTGCAGCCATGTTAGCCCAACAGATGCATTTCATGCTGCCTGGAGCACAGTTGCAGCCCATAGTGAGCAACTTACGTTTCAACTCAGACATCACCTCCTCCTTAATGCAATGTGTTATGATAAATTTAATGCATTTAACAAAGTAACTTGCTGATTTTGCATTCTGAAAACTGTGACATTACGTATGGGGTGAGCCTTGTCCATACTAGTAAAAGAGTTATTTTATTTATGTGTTTGGGGTAAGACGTTATTTTTATGCCGTAGTAACTCACAATTCTGGTTATGTTCCCACCGAATCCTCAGCCAGGGAACACTCTGCCATAACTTGTTTTGTCTCTCACGTCTCTGCCCTCCTCTCCGTCTCACAGACAACATTCCCAATGACGCCCTCCCTGGCAACCAGTCCCAGTATGGCGTTTAGTCCGTATCTGAGCCACATGGGCCCAGGCATGAGCTTGATGCCTGAGCTACTGCCCAGTACTCCCCTGCTGGTTCCTGGGAGTCCCACCAGCCTGGCAGCCATGGGCAACGGCACCTCAGCACAAAAACATTTGCGCACAGACAAGCTGGAGGTATGCAGCCTGGGTGCAGTTGTTGTGTTTTTATGTCGGGCCAAAGTATGATGAAATGTGAGTGTTGATCAGTGCTTTCTGCTGGGTCCTGCCAGGTTTGTAGGGAATTTCAGCGTGGTAACTGCACCCGGGGTGAAAGTGACTGCCGCTATGCTCACCCACTAGAAGCAGGGATGGTAGACTGCAGTGAAAACTCGGTCATTGTCTGCATGGACTACATTAAAGGCCGCTGCAGCAGAGACAAGTGCAAGTATTTCCACCCCCCAGCTCACCTGCAGGCCAGGATCAAGGCTGCACAGCACCAAGCCAGTCAAAATACAGCATCCACAGCTCTTGTGAGTCTTTTTTTTTCCTACTGAGACCTCTTTGTTTTGTATTGTTTTGTTTTGTTTTGTTTTTGTTTTTTCACAAAAATTAGCATTTGAACCCAAGGTCAGAAAAATTTGTTTACTGATTTATTTCAATAAATTAGAATATCATCAACAAGTTATTTTTTTCTGTAATATAATTCAAACTGTGAAACTCATATATTAAGGATCAATCACACACCAACTGATATATTTCAAGTGTTTACTTCTTTTCATTTTGATGATTGTAACTTACACCTAAGAAAAATCCAGAATTCAGTATCTCAGAAAATTAGAATATTGAGAAGAAGTTCAATATCGGAGACTCATGCAGTCACACTCTGATCAGACAACTACCTTAAAACACCTACAAAGGTGTCCTTGGCCTTTAAATGTTCTGTCAGTCTGGATCAGTGGGCCACACAGTCATTATGAAGACTGTGGATTTGACAGTCGAGACGATCACGGACACCCTGCACAAGGAGGGTAAGACACAGAAGGTCGTCACTGCTAAAGAAGCTGGCTGTTTACAGAGTGCTGTGTCTAAGCACACTCATGGAAAGTTGAATGGAAGAAAGAAATGTGGTAGAAAAATGTGAACAAGCAACAAAGATAACAGCATCCTTGAGAGGATTGTGAATTTGGAGGAGATTCACAAGGATTAGACTGCTGCTGGAGTCAGTGCTTTAAGAGCCACCACGCAGCAGATGTATCCAGGACATGGACTTCAACTGTGGCATTCCTTGAGTTGAGACATTTTTGATCCAGAGACATCAGAGGTGTCTTACCTGGGCGAAGGACAAAAAGAGCTGGACTGTTGCTCAGTGGTCCAGAGTGCTCTTTTCAGATGAAAGTAAATTTTGCTTTTTTTTTGGAAATCAAAGTCCCAGAGTCTGAAGGAAAAGAGGAGAGGCACAGGATCCAAGTTGCTTGAGGTCCAGTGTAGGTTTGTGGAGCCATTTCACCTGCTGGTGAGAAGGTCAGTGCAGCCGTCTACTAGGAAGTTTAAGAGCACTTCATTCTGCCCTCTGCTGACCAGCTTTATTGGCACCTGCCCACACTGCCGAAAGTACCAGTACCTGGTTTAAGGACCATGGTATCCCTGTGATTGATTGGCCAGCAAAGTCACCTGACCTAAACCACACACAGAATCTATGGGTTATAGTGAAGAGGAAGATGTGAGACTGATGGCCTCTATGCCACACTGCATTGCTGCTGTAATTCATGCACAGGAAGCCCCAACCAAGTATTGAGTGCTTTACATGTTCATACTTTTCAGTAGTTCAACATTTCTGTGTTGAAAACCCTTTTTCGTTTAATGTTCCAGTTCTCTGAAATACTGAATTTTTGGTTTTCATTATTTTTAGTCGCAATCATCAACATGAGTTTCACTTGGTATATTGAAATGTGAAATAAACCGACTTTTTGATGGTATTCAAATTTATTGAGATGCAGTGAAATAGAAGATGTTCTTGCTCTCTGCTTGGATTTTGTTTACTGATGCAGTGAGGAATCAGGGTATCACAGTGTCCCTCAGGCAGGTTGAAATTTGATAATGTGGTCTGTGCATGCGTACTATCAGGGAAGAAGCAAAATAATATCTCAAAAATGATTGCAAACATAATGTGTGGCATTTGTTTAAGTGTTGTTTCTGTGGATGGTGATGCTATGAATGTCTTTTTATTTGCTCTTATTACCAATATGTGGTTGTAGTGGTTCCCAAATTTCTTTTCCATAAACCTAGCAGGAAAATCCGATAGGTTAATAAAAAATCATCATGTAAACTGAAAGTTAAATGCACATGTAGTCCTGTAAATATTGGGTAGCCATGTTGTCCTTCCTAAAAGCACAAGGTTTTAGCTGCGGCTCCATCAGTGAATGAAATCATTGCAATCCCATCATGCTTCTGTCTTGACTTCTGGGATGTCCTGCTTCACTTCAGCTAATCTTAGATACAACAGCGCCCCCTTGTGGCTGTACTTTTGCTCCTCGATGACACAGAATAATGCTGTTTTTTTCTGCGCTCTCTGGCCTTTCCTGAGCAGGGTCTGCCCCCAGGCACCATGCAGCCCCTTCCAAAGAGGCCGATCTTAGAGAAGAGTAACGGAGCTGCTGCCGCTGTCTTCAACCCGAGTATGTTCCACTACCAGCAGGCTCTGGCTAACATGCAGCTCCAGCAACCAGCCTTCATCCCCACTGGTGAGTCTTACACACTGGAAACTCTTCAACATAGCCCCACAGTTTTTGAACTCCATGTACTCCATGTGAAGGTGAGCAAAAGTGGGACTATAAATGCCTGGATCTCATTAATGTGCAGTTGTTTTGGGACAACTAGAACATAACACAGGTGTAATTGTATATGTGTCTGTGTGGTCTTAAGTCTAGTCATTAGTCTTTCTTGCTTTGCTCACACCTGCTTCATTCTGTGTGGATATGTGACGATGAGAGTCATGACAGTCGTTTCTTTTATCACTCTTCTTTCTTTGACATTCCCGCGCTTTCTTGTTACTCACTGGGCTGTGTTAAATGCTTGATTCTGATTGGCTTAAACCCCTTGACATTAACTAATTATTGACTCTGCATAACAGGAGCAATTCAAGATACAAGCAGATCACACATGTCATGCCAAATCAGTCCGCCAACAAGTAGTTCCGGCACATTTCACTACAGTTTGTTGACACTGAGGCAAAGACATTAGTCTCTATCCGCATGTGTCCTTTCCTGCAATCAGGGCCAGGGCAGCATAGCTGGTGAGAGTCAAGGTCAAGGTAGTGCTAGCACCCGGGACTATTTTTTATCTGTACATATCTCATTTTTAAATCAAGAAAATCATTAACTCTAAGTGTCAATATACTTCTAACTTTAATCAGTAGCCAGGTAACGTGCACGGTGAAGCAGCAGTTATGAAATTAAAATCCTAACAGGGTGAGACGAGACAGGAGGGGTCGACCTGCATCCTGTAGAGATCTTAAATTCTGTAACTAACCCTCCACCGAGCATTATCCCTCAAAATAAATCATCCAAAATGCGGACAGCCCCGGGTGGATGGTTTGGAGAAATGCTGATAGTTGTTTTTTTTTTGGGGAGGGGCTCAAAGCCGCCTTTGATAGCATAAAGTAGCTGTGAACACAAGATATATGACGATACCTGCACTAATCACACTTCACTGAGATTTTTTTGACTGTTCAGTTTATCTGTGAAACCAGACTTCTCACTGTAACCTCACACCAGATGAGACTCCATTTAAAGGATGTTAATTATATTTGAAGGAGTGATGGCTGAAAATGTACAAATGCCTTTCATTAAATTAGTCAAGTGCTGAAAACTCCAATAACATGTTAGCTGATTAATGTTAGCGTTAATTAATGTCTATTACAAGATTGCTAAAGCAGTTAATATTGAACAATCATTTTAAAATGGTGATCAGATGATTTAGATAAGATTTCCAAAAAGCTATTTTCCTTTCATGGAAACTGTAAAGAAGAAGTGATAACATGGAATACTTATTTTTCAAATATGAATTAAAGCTTAGACCCACCGCACTAAACCTGTTGTGCACACAAAACAGAGTATATCGATGCCTCTGCTCATGTGCTGTTCATTACATTGGCTCATCCTTCATGTGTTACCTGCTCAGTTTTGTCTTTGCATCCTACACACACCAGTGCGACACCTTCAACAGCCTTGATGTCACTCCTGTTTCTCACACTTCCTCAGTTTTCTACTGACAAGTTCAACCTTTTTACCTCTTTTGTTCTCCTCCTGCTTCCCCTTTAGCTGCTCTCATCCACTTTTTCCTTGTGTGTATCTACAAATAATGTGACAGGGTCTGCTTTGGTTTTGTGCCCTAAGAACCCTTTTATAGGACAGCCACACCTGGCACACATGTGGTGGTGGATGAGAGCCTTTACGAAGGGGATGATTGATTATTTGCATGATAATATGTCAACACTGACAAGCTTGTTTGAGCTAGTTGGCTAAATATCATGCTAAATATTAAAACGGTGAATATTTTCTACTATCAAAATATATATTAAACATTAAGAAACTCTGCTCTACACCATGCATCAGTCAATCCTTTGGTTCCCTGGCTTGTTGCTAATGTTGCTCATTTGAAGTTGATGTTTCAAAAACTCTTTATTACAATCTCAGGAAATGTCAAACAATAAAAAGACCAACCGTACTCACACTTTTATCTGATTCAGAGTAAAATCCAGTACAAAGAGAATATTAAAATCCTGTTTTGGTGTTTTGATATAAAAAGGACAAATCTGTCTTTTCATTACTTCTGTATTATGTGAGTTTACTGTGATACAATATCCAGCCCTGAATAAAAACAAGGCTTGGTCAGTGGTAAGGTGAAGTGTATTACATGGCTGGTTACAAGCCAAAGGTGGGGTCCTTCTAGCTTTGACACATCGAGGTGTTTGAACATATTTAGTGTGAGCCTAAACACCTGTAGTGGACCTTTTATTTCGAGGTTTTCAGCTCATTGTCTTTCTCAGGGCATCATCTATGTGTCATTGACCGTTCACTGTCATGTTAGTATTCTGTTTTATTCTAATTCAGTACTGTGACAGAGAGAGAGTGTGTGTATATATATGTGTGTGTGTGAGGGAGATGTCCCCTTTTCATACCAGTGTCGTAATAGTGATTAGAGATGTATCTACTTAACTGAATGATGAAGTACTTTGACTTTTACTGCAGAGCAGACACAGGTGCAGTTAAGGATGCACATAGAGGCATTTAGACAAACAGGATTATGAGTTTTTGTGGTTGTAACAATCCATTTTTCCCTGAATTTATCTCAAAGAGTTAAAGTCACTTTTGTTTCATACTACAAACAGAGTTAATAATTTATAAGTAGTTAAATGGTGGGAGGGTTTTGTTACTTTCTTAGTTGTGAAAATCTACAAAAGGTATGTGTTGCTTCTACTGGGGCCTCGAGAATTTTTCTGAGGTACAGACAAGAATAAGAAAAGACAAATGTTAGATGTAAAATCTCCGAATTTAAATCCTTTAGCCCTTTTCAGAAAAACCTTAAAAAATGGTCATGACCACAAAAAAAAAGACATGTATCTAGTCTGTGGAAACTGTTCTACACTCCCTCCAGCAGAAGCATTGTGATTCTCCTAATTTAGACTTCAGTTTGGGGATCATTAAAACAATGAATGACCTTCTTTCAACAGAAATCTTGCCAGGAAAAAAGGAGTTTGTGGATGTGGATTAAATTTGCCATATTTGTAGCCAAGTTTCTTCTGATGATACAATAGTAGATTGTGCTCAGTTGTGACTGTTTTTTGACTGTTTTCCCACCTTTCAGACTACTCAGTTAGTCAGGACTTAAATTCTTTCTTTAATTATCAAGGAAATAAGTTGCTTAAGAACATCCCCAATAGCTATGGACGGCTTTTGATTTTATATATGTTATGTGTAGTGTCAGAAAATTTAAGTGACATTTATTAAAAGGTTTTCACATATTTTCTGCAACATAACACCTCAGTAAATATAGGAAATAGGTTCTGCTTCTGTTATACCAGAGAGATATTTAAACTGGATTTGTCAAGATAAAAATCAAAGCAGCATGGGTCAAAATATCATGACTGGAGGATTTTCCCAAAGCACCAAAGCCTTCATTTCCAATAATGTAACCAGGAGCATCATTTCACTAAACCTTCTGCACACCAACTCTGTGAAATCACAGTGATATTTTTGTGATATTTTGTTGTGCCTGACGTAGCAGGCTTAAAGTATCCTGGACTGTATCAGGGGGAGAATTATGAAACCTCTGGTGATAAACAAAACACTGTATGCCATTTTACGTCACCCTGACAAATAAAAATAAAACAATTATGTAATCTACGACACAGAAAAAGTCATCACATCAGTGTTTTGTTTTTCATTTTTAAAGCTCCTTTGGAAAGCAGGGAGTCAAAAATGAACAAACTGTTTTTATTTTTATTTTGAGGTGCGAGATGGCAGGATTCAAGTTTTAGAAAAGGTGCTGCTGTTTTCTTTTCATGTCTCAGCACTGTTTGCACATAAAACAGCTCTTATCATTACAAACCAGATAGGATTGCTGATTTGATTCTGACCTAGAGGTTAGTCTCCGCCCAGATGGCATCACAGACTTTAAAGACAAAGTTACTATTGTCCAACATTTACATATTTCTTTTAGCTTACAGGAAAGTATTTTTGATCAGGTTATTACGCTAATATGCCCAAATAAATGGAATTTTTTGGAAGGAAAGACAAAACTGCAGACACAGAGTTCACTTAATATTTCTGATGGATCATTTACTCCTTCACACACATGCCCTGTCCATTTAAATACAATAAATCAGATCTTCCAGTCTGATCAGATTGTATGACTGTGTATTGCCCTCTTTGTTTGAAGATCATTTGTTGCAGAGATGATGCATTTTCCTTATGTTTCTATCTGGTTGGCTAATTCAATGTTTTTTTTATCCTTATCTCTTATTTTGTTTGCATGCGTCTTGACATTTGTTCAAATTCATCCCGGCAATATCACTTGACTTGTGCCATGACTTTTGATCCGACACATTTCGCCATGGTAACCATATCATTCCTGTCCTCCCCCCTCCCCCTTCCCCTCCCCCACATCCTCGTCCTCTGTCTATCGTCTGACTCGCCTGAATAAAAGTTCCCATGATGCACGGTGCCACCACCGCCACTGTTTCGTCGGCTTCGACCGCAGTCACCAATGTTCCTTTCGCTGAATCAGCCGCCTCGAATCAGGTTTGCTCTTTCGTTTCAGTTCTTTATTATTTGAACTCTGAGTCCTGTTTTTGAAGTCTTCTTCTCTCTCATCAGGTCAAAGTTTCAGTGTCACGTGTGTTTTGTTCTCATTTCATCTGTCCTGTCTGTTCAGTCTGTTGTGAGCAAATGAAAACAGGATTTATTCTGAGAGTAATCTCAGAATAAGTAGTTGTTTACATTTGAATGTTGTGCTTTTTGCCACTTTCTTGGTCTCTGTGTAATCTACACACAATATGAGGTCTTCCATCTGTAAATAAACTGGCTTCTTAATACTGAATCTCCCCCTAAAATTACCAATAAAAATAATTCTTCAACAAAATTTGGCAAATCTTTACAACATCTTTATGCAACGTCATTGAGGCTTCGTTTAAACAACAATGTAATTATCAGGTATTTGAAAAATAAACTCTCTTAACTCTATAAAACAGCTGGCTTTACGTCAAACCATTTTGCCTCATAACTTGCTCGCACTACTTTTTATTTTTTTATTTTTTTTACAGCAGGTTACTGTTTCAATCCAGTCTCAGTGGGGCCCCTGCTCCCCCTCTCATCCCTCTTTCTCTTTCCTCCAGTAGACCCCTCAGAGCTTCTGACCCCTGAACCAGTGGAGCTCCAGTGTGTCCCCATGGAAACCCATTTCTGTCCAGTCCCCAAACTCCTGGTGGCGGCTCCGGTGGCGCTAAACTCAGTAAGCCTTTCCCGAAACCCCAGTTAAAGCCCTGTGATATCAGGGGCAGTCATCCTTCTGAATGCAGCAAACATGTGCCTCGCTTACAGTACACACTGACTGAGTGACAGTGTGAATCTTTTAATACGACATTATTTATGGCAGATAGCTGCAATGGTTCAGGCAATACAAGCCAAGATGTGATGCTGTCAACGTAAAGCAGCCATTCTGATGCAGAGTGACCTGATCAGGCTGAGCAATACAGCTCCCTCTGTCTTACAGCCATACATGCCCTCACCTTAAAAGTGCAGCAGACATGTGCGCACACACACACACACACACACACACACACACACACAAACACACACGTTCAAGACTTGCATGCCCTTTAAGGGTTGGAGCCATCATGTGACATGACCCTACATATGTGACTGTTTCAAAATCAGAGACCCCAAGAGGATCGGACTGTCGCTGGTCTGCGCCCATCATCGTGTTGTTACAATGGAAGAGTGTTTCATATCATCGCATATCTATGTTTAAAGATGGCTACAAATGTAAACTTATGTTGTATCATGTTCATTCTTCAGTATGTTCAGATGATCTGCTTAACTGATGAAACATCAGTGAGTCATCATTAGTTTATCCGTGCCTTTGAGTTATATGCGGTTGCAGAGAAGACAGAGTTTTCCTGAATACTTCAAAAGACTGCACAGCATACAATGAAAGATGTTGTAAATTGCATTGAAAGGCAATATCTGTAATTACACAAATACTGTGTATTAGCCTATAGCTCTTATTATAAAAGAAATCCAATAGCTACAGTGGTTGCCACTCTAAATTTATGTTCTATCATAAACTGAAAGTACGTTTTATAAAGTCTCTTTACTCATTATCAGTATCTGGTTCTTACTGAGTCTTAGCAGCAATGAGACATGATCATGCAATGAAACAACCTTAAAAGCTACAAAGTGACCCAAAATGAAGCTGAAGTCACTCTTTACTATTCAGCCGGGGTTTAGAGATTTTGCATTTCTTGGTTTAATAAAAAATGCCTTAAGCAGGAGGAGGCCTGCTCTATATAAAACTCAAAATTAAAAAAGCTCAGATTATGAAACTGCTGAATTTTAGAGGTTGTCCCAAGGGTAGTCGTAGATATGATGGCTGAAAAGGATGGTTTGTTTGTTTTGTTCCTGTGTTGTAAAAGAAAGACAATCTGGAGGCCTCGGTGCAGTCACTCACCTAATTTATTACAAGTCTTTGCTTCAGCAGCAAACCCAGATTTTATGTGATCATTTTATCTGAAATTAAGGCACGGACAAATCGCCAAGCCTCAGACTGAAATCTTCAACATTTCGTTTGATGTCAGAATTCCTGCACAAGATGGGAGCTGGATTTGTTTCCTCATGTTGTGCCTAGAAGTCATTGTGTGCCAATTGGTGGTTTATGCAAGGAGCACTCTATTTAATGCAATACCTAAATAAGTCCCTTAAATTAATCTCTCCCTCTCAGAGTGAGAAGAGTTTTTTGAAAAAGGCAATTTGAGTACTTGTCTTCTTTGTAAGAGTTTTTTGTTCCATGATTCTTCAGGGAGAAAGCTCAGAACTTGAAAGCATCTCGGCTGATTGTCGAATGTGTGGTCTTTTTAACAGGGTGCGCATATTGTCAGACTCTAAACATGGCAACCACAGTCGTTACTACCACAATGGAGTTATGAAAAAGCGTTGGTGAGATTGTTTAAAACTATACAGACCAGATGAAACTTAGGTTTCCACGTGTCTCCTAATTATTTACTTTGGGTGTAAAATATTGGCACAAGGCTTTACACACTTGACTTAGATTTCTAATATCAAATTCAAATGTGCCTGGAGCTCACTCAAACCACCACTGTCAGTTTACTGTAAGAACAGACCAGTGCTAAAAGATAGATAACCTTCTCTGAGACAGCTGTGCTGTCTTGTGGCTTATGTAAAGAATTGAAATACTGAGTTGTGTGCATACATGTGTGTCAAAAAAGACAGAGGATCATATCTTTGTTTGGTTGTAAATGTTGCGGAGTATCGCAGTTCCCTCCCTGAGCAAAGTTCTTTTAAATTATGTTATTGTGTAGTGAATGTATCTAAAGCAAAAACTCTGCACATGCCCCCCTAACTGACAGGCATGCTTTCATTATATAAAGATTATTTCTGAGGTCTTATAGGTCCATGCTGAGACTGTGTTCAAACATATACAACTGTGTGTACTATTATATAGATTTATATTTGATGTTAATGGATGGTTTTAGAAATATCTTTCACTCTCAGAAAAGTTAGATCACAATTGTCCTTTTTTAGTACATAATTACACAGCACAAGTCGTGGTACTTTACAGTATCATGTCTTGTTTGGTAGTTTGTGTACCCCTACTTCTTAAAGTGCCCAAAAATGCAACTGTAAGCACTGAGTTATCAGTTAGCCAAATTGTGGAATCCTTCTAAGCATTTATTTTGTTTTCCACGTGACAAAAATAAACTTAACGGTGAAAAGAGACCGTCCAGTGGGGGGCGCTACTGCTGCAATATGTGCATAATCCCTCAGTGGCTTCCAAATAATGAACAGTACTTTGGTCATAAGGAAGCACACACGTCTGGATTGGCACGTCTGTTTGTTTGTGTGAATATTTTCTTCTACTTTCACCTGAGCACCAAAATCAGTGAGTCATCTTAACTCTACAGCGTCAGACTAATTGATTCGATCAATTTAGATTGGAACAAAAGTAGAGTATGCTAATTCAATTCTCCAAAATATAATGTCTTTCTGTGATGTCTTGCCAATTTTCAAGATGTACAGTGACATGATAAAGCGTAATTGACCTGTCTACTACTGAACGAGAAAGGCTGGCTTTTACACTTAAGGCTAGGTCACACTTACTGTGTGTGCTGACACGGGAGAGATATAATATTCTTCAGATTAAGTAGTTCGTCAGAATCTTACAGCTTTGAAATACTACCTTTGTCCAGCCAAGTAATCCTTAAGCCTTTGTCTTTGAATTGCCCCTTCACATCATTTTGCCTTCACTGACTGCTGTCCAGCTTGAAAAAAACAAAATACTTGATTAATAAATTGTGCCTCCTGTGGGAGTTAGATTTTTTCCAAGTGCATTGATGCACACGAGGGTATTAGTCAGAAAGAATGTGTTTGGGTGCAAGAAAAACATCTTTTACCTCCTCCCTTCTGTCATCATCTGGTTCTTGATTTTCTTTAGGTCTCATTGTATTTCTCTCATTCTGACATGATTTCGTCTGGAATATGCAAAATGCTCTGATCATTGTGTGCGGTGACCAGATCCTTTAGCATGTAGGGGGTTATTAGATCCTGAGCATACTTGTGTTGCCCGGGCACAAACAAAGGGCCTTATTTCCTGCTCACTGTCTAAAGATTTGATAGCTGTGTATGAAAGTGACATGTATTAATGGTAATTTAAGCTTTTTCTATCAGACATTTAAAAACCACAGCATGGAAATGAAAAAAAAAATCATTTATACATCGTTGATAGTTTGTGTAGACCACCAAGAAAAAAAATATTTAAATCATTTGTATACAATGATGGAGTCATTGTGAATGGTAATAGTTGCTGTTGCTATGGCAACAAAATGACAACATGGCTACCTTTCTATTATCCTAATTGTGAATTTTTTCACACTCATTGAAATGACATACAACACTAACTTATTGAAAAAGGGAATGTCTAATTAGTTTGTCTTGTTATTGCAACATGATTCAATATTTTGTATGAAAACTGAAATCCTTGATATATCCAAAGGTACTTAGGGGAGATCAGGTGTTTCTTTTGCTTTCTTTGTTTGACCTTACTTATTTTTTCTTTTAGTACATGGTGTTTTGGAGATTTAAGAACGGACTCTGGTTGTTAAAGCCAACACCTATCTGTCAGGGAGGTAAAGAGGCTTTTGGACTATTGAAAGAGCTACATCTTTTTTCTTTAACACCTTACATATTTATCCTCTCTCCCTTCCTGCAGAGTGGACTCACTCAGTTTCCTGTGTGTGGACATGTGTTTGCTTTCATTACTGAGTTATGTTTCAGTTTTGGACTAGAAGGTGGTCCAGAAGCCTCTCTGTGCCCAGCTGTGCTGGGTGATGTCGAACCTTGCTGAGGTGTATACGAATGTGTAACGTTCACCTTGTTTGCACTTATGTACATAACTATGTTAAAAATACTCAAAATTTATTTTGAATAAATATAGATAAGAGTTGATGAGAAGTCAAATCAGTGATTGCTAATGATAATAGTATGACTGTCATTTTATTACAGTATAAATATATTGCTTCGTCCTTATTGTTAATTTGCAAGAGCCCTGTTCTTTGCCAAGCACGACATTGCCTAGATACGAACCATGAATTTTTTAAAAGCTTTTTTCTGTTTACTGACTGGAAAAACTTTGGCCTAGTGATGTGTCAAAAAAGAGGTGGATGTGTAATGAAACAGTGATAACAATGGCCATATAACTGCGTAGTGAATACACTCGTGCATTTGTGGTCTCTACGATAGTACACCGAAATAAAGCATAGGGTTGCTCAACCTTTGAGCTGAAAAATGTCAGAAATTAAGAGTGGCTGATTCATAGATACAACTTTTAAGGGTCTTCATGGGAGATGTTTTCCCAGGGTTTCAATTCACCTTGTTTTTGCCTTTTTTAAACAGGTTATTCTTTGCCCATGTTGTCACTGTTGTCATTATCACAAAACAACAAATCTGAATTCTCCTCAGGATTTGTGACAAAGTTTCCAACAACCTGTTTGTTTTTCTGATGGGACTCTTGCAGCAGCAGCTGCACATCATCTTCACACAGCTCTGTTCCTGGACTTTTGGACATATAATGCTCTTCAGTTTCAGCTTAAGCCAGAGATTTTGTTGCCATGGCACTTGTCCTAGTGGTGAATGGACTGAGTCATGCTGGTGAAAAAGTTCACAGCCCTCTAACTACATATGAGGGGGAAATGGACATGAGGGGAACATTCATCAAACTAAGCGTTCCCAGTCACCAACAAATGAAAGACTGTGATTTTGTTTTAAGATTTATCAGTTCTTACCATTAGTTAAAAGGACTCTGTTTTTATTGTGCCTTCATCATGTAAGGTGTGGTTTTTATTTCATATTCTTCATCCAAATTGACTTAAAGGGCACTTTTATTTTGTGCCTAACACATTCTTTTACTTAACAAAAAAAAAAACTTTGTTGGTGAATTGGTATCAAACTGGGAAATTTTTCACACTGAATGACCGCCTGTGGAAGATGATGAGGGCCAAAGACTGTTCAGGACTAAGCCATATGAAAAACTCTCTCTGACACTCTAGGACAGACTTAAAGTGACTGCTGTTGTCCCTCTTTTCACTTGCTGTTTTCTGCTTGTGGTGCTTGTATGTGCTGCTGTGCTACCTGCCAATTTATTTTGCTGTGTATAGCTATTAAGAGTAAGTTACTGTGCCTATGATGAGTTCTGCGATTTCTGTTTGACCTTGAATAAAAACACTTATCTGTGATCTTCTGGTCCATGTTTCATATCTCTTTGTGACCCTTGTAAAGAGACATCTAGAAGACATGTCTTCAACTGAGACACATGTACATGACTTTTTAATGTCTTTAACAGTGAAAAGGATCAAAGGTACTTAAATTCAGCTAAGAATATTCTGGAATAATGCAATAAAAACTGCAACTTTACATAGTTTATTATTATTATTATTTGTGTATTATTTCCTGATTATGTATTGACATAAAAGATGTGAAATCTTGTGATGGGAAATCATTATCAGAGATGACTTGTTTGGCTAACTACAAAATTTCCTGTAAGCTCCGATATTAGAATAAGATCTTACCCACTGGCCTACTTGGACACCCTTGATATCATACATTTATAAACTTAAAGTACAAACAAAAATGATGCATTTTCTAAGTGGGCATTGTCAGTAAATTGTTAAGTTATGACATAGTATAATACCTGACCTTGATTATTGCCATAAAGCATTATGATCATTTATTAGTGTTTATAACTATAGTCATACAGTGCTATAACGTGATTATAACGCATTATATTTATATTGCGTTATAGAGATTGGCGTCAAGTTAAGTTTTTTTTTTCCTAAAAAATCAATTTGCTTGGTTGGAATTTATAAAAGTGGGACCATGGGAAAATGTGGGTCCCTGAGTGAGACTCGTTGAGAACCACTGGTTTAGAACTTTAAGTTTTATTCTGAAAACGCTCTGACCGGAAGTTTGTCTGTCGTTAGCGGAAACGAGGCTTTTAGCTTCAGGAAATCAGTAGGAGGAAAAAGGTTGGCTTTCTGAAATCTAACTTGCACAACACCGAGTCAAACACATATTCGGCGCGGCATACAACTAAAGCCGATGGACCCTGAGACGATAACACGGAATCTGCGGTTTGTCCTTCGATAGCACGCCCGGGTGCGGAGGCGCCGGGCCGGGCCAGAACCAGAACCAGGCCCGGGCGGAGGGACGTTATCCAGCGCTGCGGTCTGAATGTGTGAGAGAGGGAGGCTGGGATGTTATGTTCAGAGGAGGTGTTTAGTGTTTATCAGCGTTAGTAGGACTTGCAGCAGGTTCTGGTTCGAGTCCGTGAGAACTGATCAAATATAAAGAGGCGCGAGCATGGGAGCGCGTGAGCACAGCCAACAGCAGCACGGGGCCAGCTTGAACGTGAGCTAACAGGAGAGGGAGCGGACTTCAACTTTTCCTCCTCAAGAAGCCTCAAAAAACACGAAAATAAAACAGGTATGAGCTGTATACCTGGGTTCATGTGAAGGGCGAAAAGTCGTTGTACGTCGCCTAAAATTCTCCGTTTCGCTCGTGAGCTCGTAGAGGCTAAATAAATGTGTGTGGAGCGAGTATAGCAGATCGGCTAAGTCGTTAGCTGCTAAGTTAGCCTGCCTCTCCTGCCTGCCTGTCTGCCTCAATGAAAGAGTACAAAGTGGTCGTGCTGGGCAGCGGCGGCGTCGGCAAGTCCGCGCTGACCGTCCAGTTTGTCACCGGCACCTTCATCGAGAAATACGACCCGACCATCGAGGACTTTTACCGAAAAGAGATCGAGGTGGACTCGTCTCCCTCCGTTCTTGAGATCCTGGACACGGCGGGGACGGAACAGTTCGCCTCCATGAGAGATCTCTACATCAAGAACGGACAGGGCTTCATCCTGGTCTACAGCCTGGTCAACCAGCAGTCATTCCAGGTACCTCATCTTATAATAATAATAATAATAATACACTTATTCAACACAAGGAGACCCTCAATGCATTTATCCAGAGCATTGAGACCCTCTATTACACGGTAATTTATCAATTTGTAGGAGGAAAATGCATTTATAACCTGGCAAGCAGAAATGAAAATTAAAGTAATCATTTTTTAATAAACTAGGTGATTTACCTTCCACACATCCTAGTGATACAGTGTTGAAGACCCCAACTTTAGAGTCTTACCTTCCCCAAAGATGCAGATTCACCTGCTTGTTTTGCCTGGTTTATCACGATATATTTTTTTCATATCAGCTGATATCAATATGTGTCACGATGCAAAAAAATCAGTTGTCAATCTGAAATGTTCCCTGTTTCTCTTAAAGTCCCTGCACACAGCGGCCAACACGAATATAGAATGCGAAATCGCTAGATATTCGGAAGAGAATTTTGACGCGCCTGACGATACACATCAAGCCCGATGCGATTTTGCAACGTTCCGGGGGGGAGACGCGTCCCGGGTGGAAGCGAGAAGACTGACACAACAGCAGACTGACTGTTTTTCAGTTCTGATTAGACACTAGTGTTGAGATGACTGTCTGTCATGATAGCATGTACTGAGTCAGGGTCAGTACCAGATAAGCACATTAAACTGTAATCCAAAAACACAAGGTAATAACCGAGACCTAATGGTGCTGTGACAGCAACGCGATTGAGTTTGAGACAGTGAAAATACATATGGTATGTTGTATCTGAACATTAGCTTAGAGGTAAAGTTACTTAGCACAAGTTGTCCTTCAGGTCATTATCTTTGTATTGTTTGTGTCTTTTATCATAAACCACTCTGTTCTCAGACACGTAAACAATTAGCTGGTTGGTCATGTTGGATATACCAGTAAATCAGACGTCACAACAGCACGCAATCTTATTGGTCAAAAGTGGACGCACAGTGTGCGGAACTTTAGAAAAATCGACCATGATCCAAAAAAATAAATGCTGCAATATCGCAGGATGGGAAAACGTTGCTGATGTGAACGCTTGTATTGACAGGATACGGGTTCGGAAAAAATATTGACGTCCGAAATAATCACACCTAAAAAAAGGTCCCGGTGTGAAAGGGCCTTAAGGCTACTTTCACACTGCAGGTTATGATGCACAATTCTGATCTTTAGTTAAATCCGATTTTTTTGAGCATTCTTTCACATTACAACAACGAAAGCGGCATCTAATGTGAACAGAATGCGTCCGTGAAGTGACCTGCATGCGCACAAAGCACAAATTGCTTTCCGCGCCGAACAATGTTGAACAATGGTGACGTTTGTCGCATATTGATGACATGTAGGTCGGATGAACACGACCTGAGCGTCCACACTGCAGTCACATCAAAAACATAACCGATTTATATCCAAATACAAAGGAGGCCTGGGTCGATTTGAAAAAATCAGAATTGTACTGTTCAAACTGATATGAAAAAATCAGATATGTGTCACATATGGTTAAAAAATCTGAATTGACCTGCAGTGTGAACACAGCCTTAAACAAAAATTCAACACATACTCAACTCTGCTTCATGTCCGACTTCAAAAAACCAAAGTACCACCACTCCATTGATGTTTTCATGTCAGTGTTGTTGACGATGTCGTCATCTGTTGAGCCTTCATCTGCATTTCTGCCGGGGGGGTAGCGCTCATTTTCTATTTTCTCACCAACAGTGCTGTTAGCTTCACCTGTTAAAATGTTGCACTATGGCTGTACGCTGCTACTACACAGTTGTTTTCTTTGACTATTCGTATAGTCTACCGAAACATGGCAGAATGCCGGCTATCGAAAAGCATATTGACCATGTTTCATATTGATATCAAAGGGAATTAATTTTTGATACCATTATCGTTATATCGCCCAGCCCTAATTCTGTACAGCAATCCACACCAGGACATCTTCCTTTGTATTTAGGCTCACAGGTTCTAATTAAAGTGAGCGACAGTCATTCAAAGCCACAGAGATCCTTGAATATCTATTATGAGGAATCTGTGGGCAGTGGTACCTCATGTGTTATAATCCAGGTATTATTAAAGCTCCTGTGAGAAATATTTGGGTTTGTGTGGATATCGATCTGTTCTGCAGTTAGCGTTTCTTGACAAAATGTCTCATTGTGTTGTCTTTTAATAACCAGATGAATCACTCCATCTAATTTGAGGAACATGTGGACACCTGTCCCTCGCTTGTGTTTTCAGACAGTGAAAAAAGCTGTAAATAAATAGTCTTTAATCTTGTTGATGATTTTGTTGGTATGTTTTTAGGTCACAGAGTCATCATTTTTAATTAGTCTGTTTCGTAACCAGCTGAAAACTCCTCACAGAGGCCTTCACCACATTATGTTAGTAACTGTAGAGTGACAAGTGTCATCAAAATGCAAATGAACTAAACAAAGCTGTAATCCATAATGCATTTATTTTTTTACCATACATCTTTACATACATATGAACATGAAAGTATGACATTGTTCATTCTAAAGTTATAGACTGGTTAAGAGTTTTAATATAAGTAAGATGTAGTGAGAAAGCAAAAAGCTGCAGGTGATGAGGGCGGCTATACATGCAATGACAAATTGTACCAGGGTCTTAATGTAGGTTGTGTCCTGAGTTCTGACCTACAAAAATACTCTATACTGCAAGTTAGATTCTTTTTTCCCTTTGCACACTGGGTAATGAACTGCAGTCCTATTTATTGTTGCAGTTATGATACCATCTTTTGACAATCTGCACACTCATTCCCCTCTCTCTTTTCATCCCGAAGGACATCAGACCAATGCGAGACCAAATAGTGCGAGTCAAGCGCTTCGAGAAGGTGCCATTGATCCTAGTCGGGAACAAAGTGGACCTGGAGTCTGAGCGTGAGGTTGCCGGGTCGGATGGGAGAGCTCTGGCCCAAGAGTGGGGCTGCCCCTTCATTGAAACTTCTGCAAAGAGCAAGACCATGGTGGACGAGCTATTCGCAGAAATCGTTCGACAGATGAATTATTCCACACTGCCGGAGAAGCAGGAGCAGTGCTGTACAGCCTGTGTGGTGCAGTGAGGAAGAGGTACAAGCACTGTCATTGTTATTCTCTTTTTGCATGGCTGTGTTCACATCCACTCTGCAGCTCCGAGCTCTCAAAGCACAACACAGTTGGCTGTGCGCTAATTTTACAAAACGTGCTAAAATGTCCCCGCAGTGTCTGTGTAGAATCAGTTCACAGGCTGAGGAGAAATTTATCACAAAGATGAGTGTGTCGTCTCAGCGCAGTGTAAGGCAGAGGAGAGGTTCAGTTGGAAGTGAGAACAGCGAGTGGGTGGTGCTGTATGGCGCAAAAAAACCGTTGGTTTAGCTTGTTATCATAGGATCACAGAAAGTATGCGGCATGAAGAACACAACTGTAAGAACAGCTCAGGGGCCAGGAGGGAAAAAGAGCCTGAAGAGTGGAGGTGAACTGTGAGCGAGGGGAAAATGTGACACCTCAGTAAAGAGATTCGATTCAAAAACAGGAAGTTGACTGAAGAGTGTTTGACAGATGTTCTCTCTGTGATAACCACATACATCCAGGCATTTAAACCTGCTGTGGTATTAAACTGTTCTTTTATTGTTTTTGTGTGTGTGTTTATAGATGCGTCTTCTGTCTGGATCTCCACAAAGATTCTGATGAACCATGAACCCGAGGACTACGTGACATTTGATCCTACTGACAGAACTTACCGCAGCTGGTAAAGGTTTTGTTCACGATGGTTTCTGACCGAATGTGGCAAAGCATCTGGCAGGAAAGACGTCAGTTCTATTTTTGATATCATAACTGTTGAGACGTTTCTGCTGCAACCTTTACGGCCTTGGCAACGACCTAGGATGGAGTCAGACAGACGGACTTTTAATAAGCAAGAACGACCATCTGTGAATTTCAGTCTTTTTTTCTATCTTTTAGTCGAAAGTATCTCTGAAATAATAAGCAGGAGTGTTTTGTGAGGTTGCAGCTTCTTTTTAAAGCTGCTTTAATCACTATTATATACTTTATTATTACTTGTATTATGTCTCAAGTTTTGAATTTGACAAAGTATTTCATAATATTGAAACATTTTAACTTTTAAGCGTGCATGCTTAAAAGTCACCCAAACCGTTTGCTGCCCAGGTACTCTGCTGATTTTATTTCTAGGATTTTGTCTTAAACTGTTTTTCCTTCAGACACAAATTACTGCTGTGTCTGCGACAGGGAGACGATTTTAACACGAGGGAACTCATACATGATAAATGAAACTTTCTGGATTGAACCTGTAACACTCAGATGGAGTCATTCTCCATCCAGCAGCCCCCTCTGCTGCCCCTCTTGTAATGGCAGGAACCTGGAGCAGTTAAACTCATCCGAAAACATGCATGCTTAAAATTGATAAATGTTCTACTAAATCAACTTGAAGTGATAAGGAAGAGCCATTATACTGTTTTAGCCTGAATTCTGTCATAGTCTCTACAAGGCATGAACCCCGTGGACGCAGGTCTTCCAGTTTCAGTTTTCTCTGTGGGAGGATGATTTTGGAACGACCAAAGGAAGCTCACAGTGCATATTTCAGTGTTTGACTATATGACGTGTGTTGCTTTAAATTCAGGAGACGCCGGTTTCCTTTTTTCCATTAAATAACTCTTGCTGCGATGTGGTTTGATAAAAGTTCTGGCACAGTTAATCAGACTTAACTTTGTATTTTTCTTTTTCTTATAGTAACCTATTTATTAAAAACTAATGACATGGGTAGCCAGTTTTAAACTTTTGATTTTTAAACTAGTTTTGGCTTTTTGTGACTTTTCAGGATTCATGGTACATTGTTTTTTGAAGCTGAGGATTTAACAGAGCCTTAAATAATTTCTGTTGCACCCTGGTCTCATGTTTCTTTATTTTCTGTTCTAAAAGGTAAAAAGCTGTCAATGTTTGATAATAAACATGTTGGCCTTTCTGCTGTTGTTATTTGAATCAGTTTCAGTATTACACCAGTACAGTCTTTGATGGTAATACTATCCCACTGAGCATTTTAAAAGAGGTCTAATAGACGTCTAAATGTAGTCTAGATGAATGGTCTAAAATCTGGCTACCACAGCTCTAAAAATTGAAGTTTTTTAGACGTCTAGATTTAGACCAAGTCTAAATCCGGGCTATATCTATACTACACTATTGCTCAAAAGCTCTCATTATTTTGGTTAAGTACTTGGAGATCAGTTATGCAACTGAATAAATAAATGGATATCGAATAATGGATTAAAGTGCAATGTCTAAATTCCGTCTAAAAATATACAGAATCTAGACGGTTGAAATTAGGTCTAAAAAAAATAGACGTCTAATAGCCGTCTATTGCTCAGTGGGTACACTGTAAATTGCTCAACAGCTCTCATTATTTTAGTTGAATACTTTGACATCAGTTATAAAACTCAAAGTTGCTTTTTTAAATAAATAGTTATTGAATAATGGGTTAAAGTGCAACATCCAAATTCTGTATAAAGATATACAGAATCTAGACGGTTGAAATAAGGTCTAAAAAAAACTAGACACCTAATAGCCGTCTATTGCTCAGTGGGATGTGACTAGTACCAGTTTTCTAAGCACTGACCCTGATTTCATCATATTTGGATTCAGCTAAGAGCAGCAGAGTCACCCTACCTCCTTCAGGCTGCTTTAAGGAGAATATCTTATATTTTTGAGCATCTTGTCCTGGTTAAACTTCTGTCCACACCACAAGGGTCAAATCTTCTCAAACAAAAGCAACGACAAAATGTCCATTAATGATAAAACAAGTCTTTAAAGCACACTGATTTAAAAAATAACTGAATCATTAGATTAGAGGTTTACCTGAAGCTGCTGTGAGAGGTTTTTTGATGTTCATGAAAAAGACAGAAATTCAGACTAATGCCTCTTTATAATGTCCGTAGGTAAACAAGACCATCTGTGACCAGAGTGACAACTTTTACATCCAAATCTGAATACAGTGCTGGGGGGTAAATGTCAACTGAGCAGTCAAAACGGTGTTCCTGTTTTTTAAATTTCCATATAAAACATTCACTATAAAAAATAAAACATTTGATGATAGGCCAGTGGGATAAAAAGCCTCCACTTTCACATGAATAGAACAAAAGAAGTAAAGATTGCTTTGTCCACAGGGGGCATCTACTTGATACAAGCGAACAGTTCCTTACAGAAGCTGTAATAAGGCACGGTAAAGAGTGATTAAAAAAAGACAACCTTGGATGAAACAGAAAACTAATTCGAACAATAAAACCATATATGTAATTTTGCTCCATGTTACCTTATTCAGCCGATTTGAGTAACAGAAACCTCTTTTAACTGACGGGTTCACTCAGTGGTAATGTGAGGTAAACATGACCAGCAGCAGTGCTTATGTTCCTCAGAACCCAGCTGACAATGTCCCATGTCTGTCTGTGTGGCTCTACTCAGATTTGCAGGTGTGCCGAGTTGATCAGCAACCCGTTAAAAATGACAAGGCACTTTTTCACTGACACTACAGGGCTCAGCTCCAAAACAATATCATGAAACATGATGCATACACAAAAAGCAGCCGAGTGTTTGCGCTTCATTCTTTTTATTTGCAGCAGTGGCACTTTTCAGCCACCGTAATTAGCAGACTAAAAACTACACTGAAAATGACATTTACTCCCACTAAGCTGTGTGAGTAAGGCAGTGACAGCTCCAGCCCTCTAGGCGGCAGCATGGTGTGCTGCACGGGCAGAACAGTGACGTCGGCATTCTTGAGCGGAAGTGGCAGCAGGATGAGAAGAACTACAGCCACCTGAAAGAGAGAGCCGAAAACTGCTGAAAACAGAATTAAAACCCTGTAAACTGTGAAATTTGGAGAAATAGACATGAGGACAGTATTTGTAACAGTCGGCACCACCTGCTTTGACGAGCTCATCGGAACAATCACGAGCTCAGAGTCTGCGCAGGTATGTGATATTTGTTTGTATACATCTTACTGTATAAAAAGTAATAGAAAATCAAAATCAGATCATGAAACGAACTTTTGAGTGATTGGACTCTAAATACCAGAGTTAACAGGAGCACAGTCTTTAGGAAATAGAAAAACTAGAGTTTCCTGTCTCAGTTAAATTTACTGACTTCTATAGGAAAGTGTATTAAACCAGAAATAACTTTAGATGGTGTTAAAATAAATCCTTTGTTGCTTAAAATATGTAAGTTCTATGCTACTTTTAGGCTGGCAATTTGTAGGCAACTATTGTAAATTGTTAAAATGTCTGTTTAAACAAAACTAGGGGTGGAAATCACCAGTGGCCCCACGATACGATATTATCACGATACTCGGTTACGATACAATTTTTTAATACAATTTTATTTAAATGAGCCGATATGATATATCACCAGACAAAATATCACGATACTATGCTGGATCTATTTGTTTTTTTTTCGCCAAAACTGAGAAGCTCTCAGGTATTTTAAGGCACAAATTACTTACAAGAGCTTTTCCTTTTCAAAAACAATCCCAATAATGCTTTACTGTGAAATGTTGAGAAATTGTTTGACTTTGGGAATTATTGATTTCTTTCATGGTATGTTTTCATTTATGATACAGGCTCTGAAAGCTCGGGGATATGAGCGTCTGGTTCTTCAGATTGGAAGGGGATCATTTGTTCCAGAGGCTGACAGCTGCCCACAGATCAAACTCGAGGTGTTTCGATTCAAAGACTCGATAGCAGAAGACATGAAGCAGGCGGACCTCGTCATCAGCCATGCAGGTGAGTGAGATTTTAAAAAGTTTATCCTCTGAGCATAAAACAGGCAGTGTGTAGTCTGTGAATTTTTCCACATGCCAATTTAACATCATTTTTGTTCCAGCACATTCATGCTTTGAGTGATTTAATGAGTATCACAGTTTGTTTTATCAGAGACATAAAGTTGCTGTATCGTGGCCATCTAGTACAGACTGTGATGTGGCGTGGAAGTTTGAAGATTTCTCTCCTAATGCCCCCACACTCCCCTGCCCATCCAGATATCTCCTGCATGCATTCATGTTGTTTTAGGAGTGGAGGGAGTAGCCAGGTCAAGCAGATAGTGTTCAGACAGGAGGTTCCTACCTTGCATCAACCATGAATACCCCCAGTGATCACTCATGATGTTACAAAACAGTTTTCTCCTCCTCTCACACACACACACAAGCTCCACAAGTAGCACATTCGAGTGGTCGTCACAGACTAAATGATGTTGTTCATTAAGTCGCTTATTTGATCAGCTGAAGCCTGGTGTTCCCGGTGTTACAGTTTGGCTGTTTATCTTTGAATCACAATGACTGCACAGTAGACTGGAGTCTCAAATTACAGTGAAAGAAAACAGACCAAAAGAAGTCATCAACACACAGATCCATATAACTGTGCTCCTTTTATAACCTGTAGGAAGAGGTGGAGGCATTGATCACATACAATATCAGGATGTGAAATTGGCAACAGGACAGATCATACCAGAGAACATCAGAGCAGACAGAGAGTCTAGAAAAAAACTCAAACACTTGATCACTTCTGTTACAAAATTCTTAGTCAGCTCTTTCCTCCTCAGCAGGAGTATTTCTATCTAGAAAACAGAAGCAGTCTTTTTCACTCTTCAAACATGCAGGCCTGTCCTATGTTTACGTTTTTATGCATAGACTCCTTCATCATATGTTGTACTAACATAAGAAATGACAGAAATTTATTTTTTTGGTGGTACAAAGAAAGAATACATCTATAAAACAAGTCACTTTTTAGGTATTACAAACAAGTTAAGTAGAAAAATTCACTTTGATTTATATAATTTTGAAATGTCTTACCCAGTTTCATGTTGAATGCAGTTCGAGCTTTGTTTTTGTTAAGGACAACCTGGCCACAGTAGGAAAGCCTACCAACCAGTTATTTAATTATATTGTTAAAAGCTTCTGAGTCCAGCTGCCTGGCTCAAAATAAAAAGTTTTAACTTGACTGTTGTGCATGTAAATAGAGAAATGTATGCAACAGCCTACTTGGATCACCATGCTGGTGTTATTTTAGGTGTCAAAGAGTTGAATATTGAAAAAATATGTATATTTAAATATATATTGTGAGTCTCAATATATCCTAAAAATGTCAAGATCTTTGTCAAAATTCATATCGCCAGCTCCAGCCAGAAGTCTTGTGTTACATCATTCCCAGACCACAGTTTTGAATTTAAAAACAAACAAAAGCAAATAAGATATGTGAGCATCGTGCAAACATTAAACAGGAAAGCTATGATCACGAGAGCAGACAGTCAAAACTTCAGGGTATCTGGTGTCATGAAGCAAACACAAGATTACACATTACATCATAATTTACTCTCCAAACATCGAAAGTCTACCACCCATGTTGTCTTTCCTCATCTGCTCTGTCTCTTGATATCATTTCTCAGCTATTACCGAGCATGTTTAATTTAAGGCTGGTAAAACAGCTTGAACAAAGCTGTATAGTTACAGTAGCACCAACTGTGTAAATCTGTCTTCTGCCAGAGGAACCAACATGCTTTCAGTTTGTAATGAGAGAAAACCTGATCCCTCTTTGTTCTTCCTACTGTCATTGTGCACCACATGCTTCAGGTTATACTTCCAGCTAGCCGATCACTTTATTGCAATCAAGAGTAAAATAAAGCTTCAAGCACGGAGCCCAAGGGAACTTTCTTTGTTACCATCCTGCTTGTGTAGATTGCTGGCTAACAGAAAGAAAGCCTGGCTATGTAAAACCTGCTTCATCCTGTGCTAAGCTGAAGTATTTCTAAGAAATTAATGAAAGATGAAGAAAAGACAGTCGAGTGGATGTACGGTCCGTCACATTAATGGGCACACAGGAGCACGAGGAGCAGCTGGTATGACCAAAGGTCAATATTTACAATAACAAGGACTTGCAGTAAGGACATGGATGACAGTGTGTTTGTTAATAGGATTATTAATCGTCTCGTCTTAGTTGAGGAGATGACTCATACGTACCAGAGAAACACATGAATGTTTTTGCAGATTGACCCAGTCTGCTGAGGCTACACAAGCAATCACATGATGAAGTTTGACAATGAAGGAATACCAATACAGGTACAAGTGCCCTGTTTTCACTTAGCAACCAGAAATTGACCAATCAGATAAAGCCACAGCTAAATGTATTCTACTCTTAGGTTACCTAATTGAGGTGACCGACAAGATGGCTGGGCTTGTTGAATAAGAAAAACAAGCTATTTTTGAATGTTGTTGAAGCAGGACCGATATAAGGACTACATTTAAATGTGAAAAACAGAAGCAACATATTTCAAGTGTTAAATTTGACCCACTAAAGATGCTTCATATACACTTAGTATCATTGCAGGATTGATCATGTAAAAGCTCATCATAAAGTGTGCTTCAAAATACCATAGAGCTCACATTATAACTCACTGCTTTTACAAGCTGTAAAGACACTTGTTTATAAACTAAACTCAAAGTAGAAATTGACCACAGTATAAGCTAAACTACCAAGATTGTCTTGTGTTTCATTCCTGTCTACGTTGTGATGTTGTTTACTCCGTTAACCCAACCCAGTAGTTGCAGAATCTCAGACGGGCTTAAGTTACAGTCATGAATAAGGATCTTGTTTTCCTCCTCAGGGGCAGGAAGCTGTTTGGAGGCCCTCGGAGCGGGCAAGCCTCTGCTGGTTGTAGTAAATGACAAACTGATGGACAACCACCAGCTGGAGCTGGCCCAGCAACTCCACGTGGACTCCCACTTATTGTACTGCACATGCAGGTGTGTGTTTCTCACATATAAAGAGTGTGCACATGTGAGGTTGTTGAGCTCAAAGAATAGTAAACAGCTTCGTCTTTTTTTCTTCTAATCTTTCAGCACCCTGACAGAAACTTTGAGGAGCATGGATCTCTCTGTTCTTCAGCCCTACCAGCCCGGACAGACCAAGATTTTTGCAAACTTTTTAGACAAAGCTCTTGGAGTTCAGTGAAGCATTGATTGAACAGGACTGCTCATTTTTTGTTACACTGATGATAACAGTGTTGTAGTAAGATACAACACTTGGCCCTGACATTGTAATTATACTGTATTTTACAATATTTTCAGTTTTTATATATAATTTATGTTTCATATTAAATTCTAATATCTGAAGTGACTTATTTGTGTTTATTTCAAATGTTGTTTTCAGAAATTTATGTCTGAATACAAAATAAGAGATCCCACCAGCTTGTGGGCTTGAGTCTTACAAAGTTTGCAGTCATGGCAGCGCTTTGAGATGGAACAAAGGTTGCATTGATTCAGAGCAGCAAAAACAAAGAAGTGAGTTCTCTTCATACTGCGGGTCAAAAACTCTCAACCTAGACAATCCACCGCCTGAGAGCCGAGTTCATCTTCATCATAGAGCTTTTTTCTGTTCATTCATTTAGAAGAAGAACTTTATAGATCCCCGAAGGGAAATTCAATACCATAAATCATTTATAAATTTTTATGGAATTAGTTCTCTTTATATCTATTGAGGAGCTTCATTGAGACATGAGTATTAATAATCAGCAATGTATGTCATCAGTTTTGCAGATTCACTTTTTCTTGCCCTGCTGTTTTAAAACTTTTACCCTCGAACATAATACAGCTGACCTCAGAAAGTGTGTACTTTGAATGTAGTATGTATATAGTTGGGACATAGTAGTCTGCTGGAATATCTCCTTGAACTTTGACCATTTTGCTCTTACATAAAATACAAGACAGAAAAGTGAAAACTGTCTGTAGTAGAAAATGTCATCATTTTTAACGATCTAGGACATACAAAGCAGATGTATTTTTTGAAGGTTTTAGCCGTTGTCTTCTTAAGTATGTACTTCAGCCCTTTTACCACAGGCCAAGCTCATGCTGGAGGAAACAAAATAACACAGTGTTCACTGAGGTAAAAATAAAAGAGTGAAGCATTTTGACATTTTTTACTCGAGGTGTCTGAAACCCTGATTTGAAGGATGGCTAAAGGAGTCGAGTGTCATTTGTGCTGGTTTACAAAGATTAAATCACTTCTTTGCAACACAGTCAAGTTATACCAGTTCTTGCCACAAGGGTGAGATGATGTTTAAATCATCATGACCTTGCTGCTTCATATCATTTGCACTCCCAGGAAAATCACAGGGAAAGGAACGCTCCAAACCTCTCCCAGCCCTGGCAGGAACAGTTTAGAAAAACATTTCAAGGAAATGTTGAAATATTGTTAAGTCTGTCTAATATAACTGCTTGTGGTGGTTTTGTGTTCACTCAAATCACTCAACAGTATTTATGACCTGATGAATATTTCTCCTCTGTCTGGCCCAACATCCTTACAGAGGATAACACCATATTCCTCATTGGCTTTTGACACAAACAACTCATGAGTGAACCATCTGGAAAACTCTGCAGTCTTTTTCAGCCTGTGAGCAGTCCCATTGTTGCACATCTGCAGATAAAGAGACCAAGTGTGGTTTTCAGAAAACTTATTGATGTTGGTTTAACATTTGATTCATCATTTTCTTTGAGCTACAGATATTTCACACAAGCAGAGGCAATAAAGGAAGTGAGTGAATCGCAGCACGTAGTCTAATCTGGTTGCTCAACCTTGGATCAGTGTTCAGAGTCAGAAAAACTTTGTTTTCCCTTCAGAGGCTGCCGAGGTACAAAGCTTTCAAACAGAACCAGGAGTTTTAACCAGATGAAAACTTTTGACGATGTACAAGAAAATGAAACAAAAACTGTCTTCCTCCTTGGAAAGTCCCCCATTCTGAAGAAAAAAAAAAGAGGAATCAGAGAATCTGTTCTCAGTTCTCAGTGTGATAATGTGATAAAAGGTGTGACTGTTAACAAACATGCAGCTGCCTTTTCTGCACACTGCTTCAGTTTCTGAATTTGTGGTCACATCAAACAGCTGTTCAACCACCCCAGTTGAAATAACGGGGGTTACTTTGACACACTGAGAAATCTACCTGACGCAGTAACTTTTACACCATGAAGCACACAAAATTATATAATCGAGTTGCCATCGGGACATGACACTGTTAAAGCCAGGCTTTGGTGTGGTTGAGCTGTAATCAGCGGTGATATAGTCTATGAATAAACTTTTCAGTTTCTGCGCCTGATTTTACCCCAGTTCAACAAACAGTCTCAAGAAATTTCCTTTTTTTTTTACATAAAATTATAGTTAAATTTAGACTCTGGACCATCAGCCACCTAAAAGACTCTAAAATAAAGACCAACTTTTAGCGTGCATAATCTGAATCTTGGTCATTTTTGAAATTTTGCAGTACATTGATCAAACAAAAGTTGTTAGTTGCAAACCTGGGACATTGTGGTGTTTTCCCCTGAATCAATTTGGCAGAAATCTGGTTTGGACTGGTTCAGCTTGCCACTCCAGTATGGTTCACATGACCTGATGTTTGTGGAAACTCCACATTAATCTAATAGAGATGGACACTCAAGCCTAGTGTCACTTGTTTTTTTTCACCAGGGTGACTGTTTGCTCTGAGCTACACACTCTCACACTCTACAAACAAACATTTTAGTCAATAGGGCTGTTTTCAACATACACAGGGTCATGTCTACATCTCAGCACAGTCTTGAAACTGTAGCTAATTCCTCAGCGATCAGCTGTGTAAACCTCAGACTGGGTCTGTTCTTAGTGTAACTGTATCTCTAAGTTAAATATAGCAACAAATTAACATCCAAGCATCTTTCAAAAAGGAAAAAAAAGTATATTTAATGAGATTAAGTGACCATTCACATTATTCACATGATAAAATTCTCTGGTAGATGTGACATAAAGTAAACAAGCTTTGATTATTATTATTTTTTAAATCTACAGCAAAGAGTTGTTAAAAAAATAAAATAAACATTAACATGCATTGAGGACTGTGAACGAAACTAATTGATGGGAATGTCGTAATTCCTGTTTTCCGGCAGAAAAACAATCTAATTCATGATATCTGACAAAGAACAAACTTCCCATTCATCATTCAGTCAGGAGAGAACTGAATAAGTCTATTTAAAAAAGAAACAACTGGGTCAAAGCAAGAGGGTCAATCAAACCAGCCTGAATGTAGTGGTCAGCTCTAATCAATGCTTTTCGTGTGTTTAGGATTAGATGAATGAGACACATTGTCTGGACTTTGGGACATTTATATGACCTAATTTTATGGCAGTAAGATAGTTAAGTTGTTTTGTGTCTGGTCAGATAAATCTTAGATAAGTTTGCTACATGGGTTTAAAACTTATTTCTGACATTTACTGTGGATGTAATGTGTAACATAGATATAGCTTTTTAAAAAATCAAGTTTGGGCCTTATTTTCCTTTCAGAAAAGATCGGGAACATCTTTGTCACATTCCAATGCAGGTTTGTGTTATTTCAGTATTAGATATTGCTGTTTGATAAGGCAATGCATCAGAGGTGCGGAGACTTTGACACCGGATGACTGGTTTATTTTCCAGAGTATTACCAACCAGTCTATACAAGTAAAGGCATGATTCTGTTGTTGCAGATGGGAACATTTCCTGGGGTCTTATCTATTACCTCCCAGTTTTATTCATCAATTGTGGTAGGGTGGGAAAAGTGGGTCAGATCATTAACACTTAATCTATAGTTGAGATGTGAAGCCTTTTTAAAGTGTTTGTGATTTAAAGGAATATTCCGGCGTAAAATTAATTTAGCATCAAACACACCGTAACACCGAGTTAGACAATCTCAAGAGAGAAATGAATATTGCCGACCGCTTGCTTCCCCAACTTTAGTAACGACCGCAGGATGGCAATAAACGGCGGCCTGAGGAGCCATAAACAAACCTCAACCAAAATGCCACTCTATAGCCACAAATAATGCTTAAAACAGCACCTAACTTCATCAACAGTACATATAGGGTCCCAGCCATAGTACTAGCCACCAAACATCTTTTTAGTTTTGCCTGATTTCTTTAGCAAAGAGACTAAACACAACTCACCTACTCTCTTCCAGCAGCTGCTTGTTTGTACGGAGACCTCGGGACAGTCCATTACGGACTGCTGCGGGGTGACGCAGCTCAAGGAAGAACATTTATGATTGTTTCTTTATCATTTCCTTAAAGTAAAAATAATCATATGAATCAATTTGCACTGCAGACGCAGTAGTTCTTCTGCCTTAGCGTCTCGGTCTGATTGTTTTTCCATGAAAAAATGATCATAAATGTTCTTCCTTGAGCTGTGTCACCCCGCTGCAGTCTGTAATGGGCAAGCGGCTGCTGGAGGACAGTAGGTGAGTTGTATTTGGTCTCTTTGCTAAGAAATTAGGCAAAGCTAAAATGATGTTTGGTGGCTAGTGCTGTGGCTGGGACCCTATATGTACTGTTGATGAAGTTAGGTGCTGTTCTGAGCATTATTAGTGGCTATAGAGTGGCGTTTTGGTTGAGGTTTGTGTATGGCTCCTCAGACCGCCGTGTATTGCTATCGTGCAGTCGTTACTAAAGTTGGCATAACTAGAGAAGCAAGCAGTCGGCAACATTCATCTCTCAAGGGGGTGTATAACTCTGTGTTACAGCGTGTTTGACCCTAAATTAAATTTTCGCCGGAATATTCCTTTAATGTCCATTTCTTTTAGATCATGGCTGCATGTTTCAACTCTCATCTCTCAGGTAACTCATCCTGCAACATATGGCCTGACGCCACCATAGTTGAAGAGTACTGATTCTTAAACAGCACATTTGTGCGCAGGTGTGCAGAAATTAGGGTAATGGTGCCTCCTTCCAAAAATCCTGTCCCAAGAGTCAGTGAGAAGTTAGTAGTCTGACCCCGTGTCCCTGCAGCTGATTGTTCTGCTTGCCCTCTGCGCTCAGTGTGTGCTGTTGTTTGCAATGTTCATTAGCATTTGGATATGAGCCTGTGAGCAAGCCCCGCCCCCCTCTGCTCTGATTGGACGCACTGTTACTGGAGCTGTCAGCTCGGCTGCGGCAAGCTTTCTGCCCCCTCTCTCCCTTCTCTCTACCCGTCTCTCCCTCTCTCTCTCTCCCTCTCTCTACCAGTCTCTCTCTCTCTCCTTCTCTCACCCTCAGTCTGCTCAGTCGTCAGCCGACTACAGACCTACTGTTTGCAGGCAGCGGCAGCCTCTCTACTGCCTTTGTTCGCTAGCTTAGAGAGAACCAAGAAAAAAAAGACAGGAGCCGTATCCATGCAGTAGAACACTTTTGTTGGAAAATGATCCTCTGTACGAATAAAATGGAGTACCCCCTAAGAACCCAGTTCCAGCGAGTCCAGAAACAGGTAGGTTAAAATTGTCAAGAGGGAGAAAAGAGCCTACTCCAGATAGTTGGACACAATCAGAGCTAACGGCTAACTGTGTAGCCTGAGTGACGTTCATTCATTTATTAAAACGGTAACTTTACGTTTTCAAAAACAACCCCCGCTGCTTAACCAGCTCTTCAGTTTTAACTCTTTCCGTTTACTTTTGTAGCTTCGTATTAGTTGTTTTTGGCAGCTCAAAGCAGCTGTGTAAGATGATAAAAGGGGGGCTGTGAACACTTCTTTCAGTCACTAAACTTTTGACAAACAGCAGCTGCGGTTCGCTGCTGAGCGAAAAGTAGCCGTAACAAACTTCCTAAAGGCTGCGAGCTAATTCAGTTAACACACAACCGAGTAAAAAATACAGTTTAAATCTTGTACAAGTTATTTTCTAATGAGTAAATACATGTTTAAGTGTCGTTTCTCTCACTGCAAGGAAACGTTTTATCTCCACAGCCGTTTGAATGTCATTTACCGTTAAAGTTCGTCATATCGGTGACAGTTTTGAACGTTAAGATTACGTTAAGAACGTTAAAATCTGCCGTGTAACGTTAATAATGTCCGTAACACACCACTGCAAAGACGACTCTGGCTTTGTTGTCTCTGCGAGGCTGGTTTTAAACGTTTTAAACCATCAATTTTAATATATCGCACTGATTTTAAGAAGCACAACGCTGAGATGGAGTTAAAGTGAGAGAGCGATGCTTCAAGACAAGAAACCTGACGATGACATCATCCGAGGGTTTGGAGAAAGTGTCAATCAAGCAGCTTGTTGGCTGTGAAGTAATGCAGAGATATTTATTCACTATAAATACGACAGGGATGAGGCTGTGAAGGGACAGGGCTTCATTGAAGGGTTTCGATCGAAGGATATTGTTGAGTTGAAATTGCATGAAGTGCTTCCACTGTTCGTCGACTTCTTATTGTGCTGTTTTCTTGCTGGCTGAACTGGACTGCCAATCAAAGTTGTTTTTCTCCTGTGTCGCTGCATTTTCACTTTGCGACAGAAGGGGGGCGCCGTCTCAAGTCCAAAAAGACAGGTTTGCTGCAGATTAGAGCGCAGAAATGGAGCAAAAACAGGCAGGAATGTGAGCAGCAAGGGATTCAAACCCCCTACTTTGATTTCAAGTACATTTAGTGTTTCTTTTCTTTTCTCTGACCCCCTTTCTTGCTTTTTATCCACATTGTTAGACAGCAGACTCTCTTAAGTGTTTGACCTCTTGATGGTTCTGTTGCATCTGCAGGCTGCCTGTTAAACAACTAGATATTTTGCAGACTAGAACAACCAACTCTACTGTAATAACCTCAACCCTCCTTGTTTGTTTGTGAATTAGGTCTTTTGTGACTTCATCTCCCTCTCACTCTACCTGCCTGCTGAGTTTTCTGACAGGTCCAGTCCCTCACTGGCTGCACTGGGGCTCAGATTTCTGTCTCGGGTTTTTTCTTTTATTTTTTTATCCTGCAGCACTGTATTTTGTTTGTCTTGTTTGTGTTGTATGCGCTGTCCTGCCCAGCAGCTCCTTTTCCCTCCCCTCTCCTCCCTTCTCCAAACATCTTTGGGCTGCAGCTGGTTTGTTTTTGGGCTACTCCCTGAGTTCAGGTTGCAGAGACAAAATCGTCCCCTGGCTGCTTGTGTTTCCGGCCAGGACGCCAGCGCATGATAAGAACAGACCCCCCGTCCAGGCTCAATTGGAATGCAGATTGAATGTCGTCGGCCTGTATCTGCAGCAGCCCCCCCCTCCTGCAGCCCACCAATACCATGCATGCTTACAGACAGACACCACATGTGCACATGCACGTCTCGTTTCATACTGACACATTTACCCTTGGAGGCCTGCTAGCATCATTTTCTCACTTCTTTGTGTGTCGTCTCCTCCTTCCTCTTGCCTGCACAGTACTGCTGTTTTGCTTGTCAGCCTGCTATCAAAGCCTGTCTTTGTCTCCTTTTACCTTTCCTCCCCACGGTGACGTCACTCCTGTTTTTCATTTCATCCATGCCTCTTGCTCCTTTCTGATCAATAACCAAATGACCTCTCCTGTGGCCAAGGCTTTTTTTATTTTTGAATGTCAAATGATCTGCACCTGTGAATACCTTCAAACAACCAGCCCTCTGTTCCTTGTTTATTTTCCGGATTTTTCTCAGCCAAGCCACAAGTTTGTATTGGTCTTGTGATTTGAATACAGCAGTGTTTTAATGTCGACATTTTTGTTTCGCTTTGTCACCCTGAGGCTTGTTGTTTCCCTCAGAAGAAATGGTTTTATTTTCAAATCAGTTGCTGCTGGGCATACTGTAAGCAGAATCAATAGGTTTATGTGCACAAAGCCTTTATGTGCATGTGCTCCGTCAGACTGTTAGGATCAGAAAATGCTTTGTAATACCACACACAGTTGCCCTGATGATGATTCGTTCCATTTTGTTTTATAAATCCACCCACACTTGCTTGTTACCAGATGTCTTTTCGTTCGTTTCATGCAGTTGTTTCTTCATGTGGGTGGACAATAAGGAGTGTATCGCCTCATCAGAGGAATTGCTGCGTGCTGCTTTTGTGTGTGTGTGTGTTTTTTAAATGAAGCATCATAGATGAGCTCATGAGCGCAGCTTAAAGAAAAAAAGGACTGCATAAACCTTTGTCTTTTAGAATATTGATTGGGTCTGATGGGAATCTTCCAAACATATAGTATGACGGCTCAGTAGTCTGTATATGTTATTGGATTTAAACTCAGCAATTTAGACTGATAAGAAATGAGAAAAACGCCTTTCATCAAACATCAATTCCTTACTGTTTTAATTGTCTGAATGTAGAAATTGCTGAGTCGTAGTTTTATTTGTATGTCCAAGTGTCAGCAGACTCAGTCAAAGCTGTGGGATGTGTCACTTCCTGCTGTGAGACACACAAACTGTAGTTCCTGTTTCAATTTGACTTTATCTTCATCACATTTGTCCAGACATGTTTATGAGAGTGCTCTTTCTTATTGTGTGATGCCAGTGATGACAAATCCCATCTCCCCACTTTTCAGAGGAGTAAGTGCTGTTGTTTATTTGACAGCAGATTTGATAGCAGGAAAGATTCAGTGAATAGCTTTTGATTTGTGGTTTATTTGATGCGTATGTCTTTTTATTATTTTTACTAAGGCCTGACTGATATGGATTTTTGGGGGCCGATGCCGATACCGATTATTAGGGGGGAAAAAATCTGATAACCTATTAATTGGCCGATTTTTTAATATTGTTATTAAGTTATCAGGAAGTTATAAGCACGCCGTCGATCGGTGCCTCTGCATCTTAACTCACATTACTAATTTCCGGTCTGGTCTCATCTGGAGACATGCAGCTGCCTCGGTAAGAGAAGTAGCTCGATCACGTAATGTCTATTGTTGTTTATTCTACCGTTACTGGCACGGCTAACAGTGTAGCAAGGCTAATAGCAGGTGGCTAACTCTAACTTTAGCTTGCACATTACATGGTGCTTCACCGTTAACTTGGCGTGAGCGAGACCAGCACAGCGGGGAACATCGTGAAGTGGGTTGAACTTAAACTTGTTGACTTATTGTGTATTTCACAAACTGGTTTATTTACCGTTGAGGCGGACCGCTCTCCTCCGTGCGTCCCTGAGCTGCCTGCTTCAGATCCGTCACTCTGCTGTGCTGTGAGGTAGTTAGTGGATGAAGATTGTCATGAGGTCGCTGCGCCATCTACAGGATAAGTTGAGGAACTTTTCAAATGGCAGAATATTTTCGAAGTGAAACTGAATCTTATTCTCACCATTTTATTTCTGGAAATATCGGCAAAAATCTGCGAGTTTTGGCCGATTACCGATTAGTCTCAAATGGGCTAAAATTGGCCGCTTTAATAAGCTCGCCGATAAATCGGTCAGGCCCTAGTTTTTACTGTATTTAGGTATAAGTACAGTAAAAACCTTACCTTACCTCATCATCTGTTGTTCATCGCCTTATTCATTCATTCATCCAGTGTTTCTCTCTGGTATTTAAATTGTGTACATTGTCTATAGTTTTATTTTCTTCTCCCTTTTAATCCCATGGGGGATTAATAAAGGAATATTCTGTTCTATTCTATAAATGTAGTTGGTTTATGAAAAGTAAAGAAGTAACAGAGCCTTGTGTGGGCAGTGGGAAGAGAAGCACGATTCCTTATAACACTTAAATCGGTCATCTTATTTTGAAGTGGTTGCACAATCACAATAACTGTAACTTGATGTTAAATTGATCCTGCACACCCTTGAACACAATTTTTCTTGCCCTTACTCTGCTCAAAAACAGCCGTAGCAGCGAGGCCCCTCATGAGCTCGGTCTTTCTCTGGAGCGCTTCAGCTGGGTGAACACCTGTGTTGTCGCTCATTACATCCCACTCTGATAGAGTTTTTGTCATCGCTCTGGTGGGAGTGGCAGTGTGGTTTTTACACAAAACCTGAGATGGATATTTCCCCAGAAATCCTTGACAGCTGCAGATTTCTGTCGAGATCATAAGTCAAGTTTTGTTTTTGTTTCATGTGATTTGAAAGCCCAAAAAAGCACATTGATGCCAGAGCCAGGCAAATACATCTGCAAAATTATATAATTCACACATTCAGCGTGTAGGCTTATAAATATATGAATAGAAATGCTGCACCACTATGCCAAAGTGGTGTTCGTGGTGAGGATTACAACACTTATTATCAGTGTTAACAGCTTGTATGGAAAGGATATTTTTCTATTTTGATTTTTTCTTAAGGACCTTCTAATCAAAAACTATTTTACCCAATCTCATGTCATAAATGTAATTAACATTTCATCCTCACAACGTTGATACAGTGAGCTTAAATATAGCAGATTAGTAAAAATCTGTTTGTACTATTTTATAAACAATCCATCCTTTGCTTACAGTGATTTCAGGGAGCGCTATTGTCATTAAAACATACCTCCTGATAGCGTTCACCAGAATTTCTGTATCTGTACCTGAAATTTGTTTTTATTTCAAAAGAAAATGAACGTCTGTGACCCTTGTGACCCTTCTGTCTTCAACATCCGGCTCAGGGGATTCATGATCGGTGTTGTTGTTTGAGAAAGGAACTGAACAGTCCGATCATTCATACCTGATATTGCAGTGCCAGCTGGAAATATTCCTGCTATGTGTTCCCTATAGGTTGCACTCAATGCATGTTTTCAGTAAAATGTAGGCCTCCCAAATACTGCCATTCTACCACCAACGAGCCGTAACCTAGATTCTGCAAATCGGCATACTAATCAGTTGCTCTTGTGTTTGCAGAGAGGTACTTGTGTAAATGCGCTGTTGTTGGTGGGTCTATGATTGGCAGGCACCTATTTGCTCCAAGTACCCAGCATTTCCCCGTGGACTTCAGCTGACTCGAGAGGCTCTGTATCTGAGCGTGTGCTCCTCGTTGTCTCGCTGTTTTTATTTTCCTCTTGATTCCTTGAGCTCATTTTCTTTCTTTCCTTACATGAACAATAAGTTGTGATGCTTCTGAGCAGCAGCCTGTGGTTAATTTGTTAAATGTGTTGTATGTTAGCGTGTCTTTGGAGATTTAACTGTATGTGGGTCAAGAGGTGGAGCTTCTTACAGAACCAGGAGGAAGCCCTCATCCGCTGCAGGGAGAAGTGAAATACCACATGGAGCTACCAGCCACATAAACATGGGGCTGAGTGCCAAAGGGCTGTACAGGGCTAAAATTAAATAAGAAGGTGTGCTGGTCTCCATTTATCCTCTTCTATCTGAGACACCAGTTGAGATGCATGGATTTGATTAAACAGTGATGATCCTAAAGAGCAAGTTTGAGTGTTTAAAACGAGTTCCCACCAACATTCATACAGTCCAAACCCAGGGAAACCATTTGGCTCTGATCAGCGCTGAGCACTCAGGTTCTGCACTCGGGGAAACTGACCGCTTGCCCCATGCTGAGCCCCCAAACACCTTTTCTTAAGAGGCCATTGTGTGACGGCTAGAGAGGTAATAAATGGTTAGAGGGGCAGGCCAACCAACTTCCCTTCTCACATGGGTCCCTTTGAGTTGGCTCCAGGCTCCTCAGCCCTGTCCCTCCCATGTTTATGTGTTTGGTTTCATCCATTTCATTGCTGCTGCAGCTTTGTTTCCAAGGCAACTTTCACATCACTTTCTTCATCATGAAGGTGGTTTTTAATTTCAACTGAGAGGTGTCTGAATTGACTGAACCAGCATTGAATTCGCAGAAGTTGAACTTTAGGCCTTCTTGTGAATGTAATGATACTGTCATGGATTTCTCCCAGTGGCGCACTTCTGTTTTATTTGGAGAAAAAGTATTGCCTGGAATGTGCTTACTTGCCAGTGGCTTCTGTATCACAGCACTGTGGCCGCTGTGCTTCCAAGAGCGCCTGTCTTCGTCTGATTTAAGCACGGAGCATGACTCCCGTCCAAGGCACAGTCCGAGCTATCACATGGTGCGGACAAGTCCAACCTCATCCACTGCCAACCTGCTTTGGCTGCAAAATGAGTTCTAATATTTCCACTCATGGATATCAGTGTTTATAAAGAAGTGTCCTAGATAGACGGAGTCCTTTCTTTGCCAGCTAAGTATTGGAGAAGTTTAAAAGCTATCAGTGACCTATTTTCCAACCCTTTGGACTTGTTTGACAAACAGTCAAAACACAAAGCTATCTGTTTGCATCGGTAAAGAAAAAAAAACAAGAGTTATCTGTATTTAAATCTTGGGGGATTTTTCTTTTGTAAAATGTCTGGTAAAATATTCCTTTTCCTTGTTTGTGTAGGTGATGGTGAACGGTGAGAGAGAGCGGGTTTCGTTGCTGTTCATGAAGGCTCTGGTCAGCAGGGGGAGCGTGGACGCCGTGTCCCAGCAGATGGCCTCTCACCCTCAGTATCTGGAGAGCTTCCTGCGCACACAGCACTACATCCTGCACATGGACGGCCCCCTGCCCCTGCCATATCGCCATTACATCGCCATCATGGTCAGTCACCAGGCCTTTGTTGTTGTTGCACCTCGCTAGTCGTCATCCCCCCACTGCGCACAATGCTAAACCAACACAGAATCGTGTAACAGGCTTGTTTTTTGATTAGTTAACTTCCTTCCTTTTTCATTTCCTTGAGGGAACTAAAGTTTTATCCAATCTCTAATCTAAATCTTCCTGCTAAACTTTCCTTTTCTTATAATTGTCAGGCTGCTGCACAACATCACTGCAACTACCTGGTGTGCCTGCATTCTGCCCAGTTTCTGAGGGTGGGTGGGGACCCTCTGTGGCTGGAGGGTTTGGAGGCAGCACCCCCACGCCTTCGTCTCCTTGACCACATCAATAAGGTGCTGGCCCACCAACCCTGGCTCACTGCCTGCTCAGACATCCAGGTACAGTAACACATTTTACATCCCCAACAAGAAAGTATCGAACGATCGCCTGTTATCATTATTAGAAATTTAAAATCTGTTTTTTTTAGCATCCAGATTAAAATATTCTCTTGTTCTTGTGGTCTATCTTATCCTCCAGACTCTGCTGAAGTCAGGCGAGCAGTGCTGGTCTCTGGCTGAGCTAGTTCAAGCCGTGGTGATCCTGGCGCACTGCCACTCTCTCTGCAGCTTTGTAGTTGGCTGTGAAACAGACTCAGACTTTGTCCCTCTCTCAAAATCTCCCAACGGTACCCCTCCAACCTTCTGCCCTTTCGACGCTACCAACGGCAACACCAACGTGCCTCAGTCTCTCGCTGCTCCCTCTGAACACATTACACGGCGCCGGGTAACGACACACTCTGTTTTCAAGTGCTGTTCTTGACATTTATAATGCTCTCAAAGTGCAAGAAACGTAAGATAACTGAAACAACAACTTAAGTTTCATACAAGATGACCTGGCGAGACATTCGTAAAATAATTCACCGTTAATGGTTACAAATTGTTCTGGAGAAGATAAATTCTGTTGGTTTCTAATCTGTTTTTTTTTTATGTGTATCTTTCCTGGTGTCTCTCTACAGTCTCTAGACTCTGGCTGCGACATGGTGTGTCTAAAGGAGAGGATACAGAAGTCTCAGGAGGAGCGTGAAAAGAGAGAAGAGCGTCTTCTGCAGTCCCACACGCTCCAGCAAACAGGTAACCTACAAGCGCACCATCATCACTCACATCTTCATGAGGGTTATGTCAAGTGTAACATTCAGTTCACATGGTGTGAAACTTGATTACCACTCGTTACCCTTATTTACGCACTCTCTCCGCATCCTCCCCCTCCATCTGCTTTGCTTTCGTCGTGTCTTTTTTTAGACATGGAAGAAGAGGAGGAGATGATTTGCTTCGCAGACCCGACGTGTTTCATCACAGACCCCAACTTCTGCTATCACGAGTTTGCACGGAGGGAGGAGGACCACTTTCAAGTGTTTAGAGTTCAGGTTAGGACAATAAAGCTTTGAATTTATCAGGAGGCAGGTGACGGAGACCAGTGGAGATGTCTTTATGATTGTCTGGCAGCCTTTTGAGTGATGTAATAGGAAACCTGAAACATCGAGGGACTTACCGCTCGGTCCAGCCAAAGCTTTTGATCTCTTTATCAGACTGCAGCCTTAACTTTATAACACTTTGAGCTTTTACAGCGTTGTAAATAGGGAGTTTCCTGATTGAAAGTTTACTGTCATATGTGATTTAACTCTGACTAAAGCAAAAATGAAGCCTCTAAATGAATGAAACACTGCTACTCTTGAACATTTGTTTTATTTGAGAGCTGTTAATCAGAACTGTGCTGTGTTGTATTTCTCTTGCAGGACTACTCATGGGAGGATCATGGCTTCTCCTTAGTCAACAGGTTGTATTCAGACATTGGGCACCTCTTAGATGACCGGTTTAGGAGCGTGACCACCCTCTCTTCATTGCACAGCCCTGACCTGAAAAGGGCCATCTGGAACTACATCCACTGTGTGCTAGGAATTCGGTACGCAACAATCTCTTATCTAGCATGTATCAAAACTCTCTTTTTGTATGTTGAGTAGATGGTTGAATCTTCTTTGTGTTCACAGGTACGATGATTACGACTATGGAGAAGTGAATCAGCTTTTGGAGCAAGATTTGAAGCTCTACATTAAGAACTTAGCCTGTTTCCCAGATGCAACCAAAACTCCAGTGTGTCCACTGAGCTGGGCTCCACTTAAGAGCTCAGAACGGGTAAGAAGAATTCAGCTTTTCTCACCAGTTTAACCCCCACCTTCTCCGTCACTCTGTCTCAATCATCTTTGATATCCCTTTTCTTTAGATACATGTGAATCTACTCATCATGGAAGCCCGGCTGCAAGCTGAGCTGCTGTACGCTCTGAGAGCCATCACCCAGTACATGATCGCCTGAGAGCCCGAGAGGCACAAAGCTATAACTTTCCGCCGGTACAGGGAGAACCAGAGACACAAGGACAACGACAGCTGAACTGCAGATAGCAAAGCGGGACAAGAGTGGCACTTTAGAGGACACAGAGCTCTGTCACTCTGAAGCTGTGCCTCATGAATGTTGTTTATTTTCTTTCAGAGTTAATGTATTTATACCATAATGTGCCACATCACTCCTCTCCTCCTCCTCCTCCTTCTCTTCCTCCTTCGCCTCCGTCCCCTGCTCTTTCTCAGCCCTCTCCTCTCGCAGCTTGTTGTGAAGTCTTCTTATCCGACATCTCTGCTCTCAAAGGTTATGTGCAATCATTAACTAGACTTGTTTTAGTTTTTACCTGTTGTTTTTTTGTTACTGTTCAGTCAGTGTGTTACAGAGGCCAATACTCCTCTATTTTAGTTCACTCCCTTGGTATTAACTACACTGTCCCTAGATACAACAAAATAATTTACAAGTTGATGAATGTTTACGGGGAGATTAATGACCTTTTTTTTGACAATCTTTGTCAGTGTTGGAGGAGGACATTTAAATAAGAGACAACAGTTCAGCGCTCCCTGTCATTACGTATTAATGCTGTCCATGAACAAACAACAATGACACTGCTGGAGGTTACCACATCACTATAGTTTCTTTTAATAAGCACTTTTTAAAACTTTATATATTTATAATGAAAGGTAGCTCATTAGCGGACATTAAAACAGTGCACAGTGTTGAGTGTGACGCCTTTCTTCTCCTCTAGTCAAAATGTAACAAACCTTTTAAATGTCAAAACAAGACCGACTTTGTTATAAAGCCCAGATTTCTAAGTGAAGACACTTGACCCGTGATATTTCAGAGAAATATTGGAGGGACTTAAAAAGTAAGGATATTTGCAAAATAGAACTTACAAGCTAAAAACTGAACTGAAAGGGTCAGGGAGCTGTTTCCTAAACTGAGCCATTTGCTAAATGATTGTTTTTGTTTGATCAAAGCGCGATCAGAAATGATCGAAAAGATGGACTGAATTTCAGATCAAAGATAGATTCAAAACTCGGATGAAATGATGAACAGAAAGATTCATGTGCTAAGATGCAGAGCTGCACTGGTCATGAGTTAAGGTAAAGTACAGATTTATTTCTAGACGCTTTATGTGAAAGCTGTTTCTGAGAGTTGTATCAAAGCCGACTATCAAGTCAAAATCCATGGTACAAATTTCTGTGCAAACTAGCTTGTCAAAGCTCCTTATTTCTGTCTTTTTACTTTAACTTTTACAGTTTTATAAACCATAGAGTCCTTCCGTTAAGTTTCTGGGTGTGATGTAGGACCTACTTGTTGTGCTGCCACCTGTTTAGATGTAGAGAGAGGTGTGACAGACTGTTTAGAGTTAGGCGTTAGTAACTTCTGGACGTAGAAAAGAAAGCTGAAATCACCTGAGTGCATATCGACTAAAGCAAAGCGCTGTCAACACAGGTGCCTTCAGGCTCTAACTGGAGTGCTGCTGAAGTGAGGGATGTGACTGCTGGAGGCTGAATGCAGGCTCTGCACATGAAAACACTCAGCTGATGAGTAGAAGACTTGTGCTTTCCCCTCTCACAAATGGGAAATGTTTTTTTCTTTCTCAAACTTGGTCAGCACCATTTCTCATTAACATTGACATGTGAATCCCTGTATTTTCAGACACTTTCTAGAAGCTCCAGCAACTCAGCAAAGAGCCTTTGACACAGATGGATGTGAAAAATGTTCAACACGAGCAGTTAAAAAAAAAGACAATTATTTAAATAAATTAAAAAATATTGAAAAAAAAAAAGTACAAGAAGAAAGACCAAAAAAAGTTTTTTGAAAATGTGAAGAAATGTTTTCTATAAAGATGCTCTATAAAAAAAAAAATTGTGTTTTGTTGTCTTTATTGACTTTTGTCTGTTGGATACCGAAAAGCACCTGAAATAACTTTTTTTTTAAGATTACAGACACCTTAAGTTTAACCAAATATATTTTCTGAACACTCTCAGAGTTTCTGTCACTATCCAGGAAGCCAAACATCTTTATAATAACTGACTTAATTTGATTCTCTCCACAGTCAGATAACTGTTCTGTCCCCAAGTACAAGTAGAAACAGGCCATATGTGTTAAAAAGTGATCTTGCATGGACCAAAGTAATATTGTAAAATGATCCCCATTCTTATTTATCACTGTTAAAGCTCAGCTGAAGAACTTCCCAGTTTTCCCAACTTTGGTGGCCCCTGTTGCCAAAGGAGTCTTTGTTTATCTTGTCTGTCACATGCCCAAGTTGTGTGTTCAGACAAAAATATTATCTAGCTGACTTTTGACAGACAAGCACTGAGAATATGTTCTGTATGAAATGCAAAGAATAGCTTTTTTTAGTTTCTTGATACCTACCCTCACAACGCTTTCAGGCATTCAAAATGTCATATTAAAAGCTGTCAGTGTTGTTGCTGATGGTCTTGAAAGCTTTTGTATATTGTATAAGGCATAAATATGAATTTTAAAGGATTTCATCCATATCAAAAAGATTTGCACAGCAGCATTAAAGTCATTCCAACATGTTTTTCCATATTTTTTCACCCTGTTTGTGGCGGTAGCTCAGATGATGCAGTCTGATCAGTTTAGTGAGATAACATGATGCACAGATCTGTCCTTACATATAAAAGGAGGAATAACTGTTTTTTTTATTTTGTTAAATCCACAGCTTGTTTTCGTCTAAGTGTAAAAATAGTCGAAGGTCAAACCTCACAGATCTGAAAGTCCCTTTTCTTTGATCTGTGATGATTTTCACAGGAGCATGTTTTCTTCTCTATGCAGTTCCAGTATTTATTGCTGTATTTGGATGAGTGGACAGCGCCCCCCAGTGGCAGAACAGGGGGTGAAAAAGTTGATCTGATCGACCTAAATCAGAGGCGTCTTTTCTTTGAGTCAAACCTTTTTCAACATCTGAAAAGCGTTTAAACTAACACTCGGACGTTTTTTTTACTCCCAACTGACCTCTGACCCCTTGCCTCTGTCTCACACCTGTCCTCACTGATAGAAGGATTGATCCTTACTGATCATTATTCCTTCAATACATGCACATATGTATGGAAGAAATAATAATCAGTAAGGAGTCCATCTCAAATAATTAAAAGTGGTTATTAGAGTAAAGTCTTCATCTTAAAACATAATCATGTCTCTGTGTAGATCTCAGCATTAACGCAGGATATTTCCTGAACACATTTTTTGTTGAGTGTGAAACTTCCACTTTTTTCCCACTATCTTTTTGTCACATTTGTGCTGTTAAATAGCTTTTCGAGTACCCTTAAAGCTTTTTTTTTTTTTTTGGTGTCACATATTTAATACTCCGTAATGGGTGTATATGTCAATATAAACACTATTTTAATGTCAACATGATCAAAAGTGATGTCCAAACACTGTTGAGCCGTATTTGACTGAACATGTGATGATATTTCACAGAGATCTCTTCTTGAGAGAAAGTCGGGGGTGATGTGAGGTAGTTTGCTCCCAGAGGCCATCACCATGGATGTTAAGGATGATGCATGTTTGGATCGCTGGAAAACAGTGACGCAGTGTTTCACTTTTAGTAAGGAAGTGGGCATAAAAGTCATCCCTGCTTCCTCTCAATTAACTCTATCCTCAAATACGTATTTTAGATATCTGGATGACACATTTTGTTAATGTTTCAGTTCAGTCTATATGAATACATACATCGCTGTCCAGAGGATTTAGCTAAGAGTGTGTCATATCTTATGTTGATGACCTCTTCATCCATGGCAGCTCTGTGACTGTGATTTTTTAACTGTGACCTGCTGCAGGACTACAGATGTAAATTATCTTTAAACTAGCTGCACCAAATGGCAACATTCGTTGCAATATTGAACACGGTGCCTTTACAAGTAAAATAAAACTAGATTAATCCACAATAATAGACCGGCAGACTTAGAAACAGTTGGTTAAACAGTTTATTGAATTTATTCCTGCTGTTCAGAACTGTTTGTCATCTCTGGCTGACTTTACAATGAGAAAAGAAGGAAAAGATACTGAAAGGGGGGAGAAAGAGAAATAAAGAAAACTATCAACATTTATCAAATTTCTTTAACATTATTGGCTTATGCACAACTTATCATTCCCTGTCCACCCCACCCTTCTCTATGGGATCATTCAAATATAAAACCCACCCCATGCCAAATACTAAAATGCTGTATTAAATGGGTCAAGTTTAAATGTCAAAACAAACATACAGTGACTAACTTCTAGTTAGAGATAACTGAAGAAAAACATATGCAGATAGTTGTAATAACACAGAGAGGGAATACAAAGGAAGTTTTAACACCAGGGGGTTGTTGCATATACAACTTTCTAAAATAGTTACATGTTATGATTTAGAGTAATAACAAAATAATCATGCGATAAAACAAGCTGGTCGTCTGTTTCCAGATCTAAGTCACCAGTTTGGGATTTGGAGGAGGGGGTCATAGATATATAAACATAAAAACGATGAGGGAGAAGGACTGCTGATTGTGCGCCACCATTCAACACCAAATCAAGATCCTTGTGCTGTATACAGAATATTCAAAATAAACCTGATATGTACCCTGTTGTATGATGGCATACTCCAGGATACATCACAGATGACATCTAGCACCATTCAAAAAAAAAAGAGAGAAAAACACAACAAAAGTGAAAAAAAGAGAGTGCTTTTTACAAGTCAGAGGCTAAAATATTCACATAGCTACAGTGAAATGATGAGTACAAAGAGAGATTAAACTGCAGGGGTGTTATTCGTCAACATTACGATATTATGAACGTCATTAAATACAAACAAGAAACAATATTTTTAGGGGGTAAAATCACAAGATAGAGTTTATCTTGCCACACAGGGAAATCATGCGATAGTGTTTTAAATATTGGCAGTCAAAAAAAAAAATAAAAAAAGAGATCGGTTAGTTCTGATACCTGGCTGCTGTAGGATTAGAAAACATTTCTCGAAAAGTAGGAGTCAAATTTGAGGTCAAGTTGACAGAAATGTCTCCAGGAAAACAAAAGCATTTCAGTTTTGATTTCCAGTCTGCAATAACAGAAGAAAAAAAAATACGTAAAAATAAATATGATAGTTTCTTGCTTGCTATGACACAAGATCTGATCATGTTCATGCAGAATTAGTTTCCTGTGGAGTTCTTTACCAAGTGACCCCTGGAGGTAACGGTTGCACTAGTCTCATTTTGAGATGAGGATATAATGATCTTTTTTTCTTGGAGTACGGCCACATTTCAGATCGCTTTTTGATTTTTACTTGGTTGCACGCTAGATGCAAAAAAAAAAAACAAAAAACGGAAAAAAACAACAACAACGTGGCAGGTCACTTGAGAATTTTAGTTCCAATGGTCAAGTATTGCTCTAGTTGCCTCACTCCTCTTTTCAGAAGTCAGATTTTTTCGAGTTACAGGCATCTTTTACAAAGCTTATGTACACCGAGATACTGAGTCAGGTCCAAGCGCTCCCTAAATGCCATGCAAATGCTAATATTAGTGTTCCTTTGGTTATGTAAAAAAATCTACATGCATCTCATCCTTTACAAAAATAAAAGTATAGAAAATTACCGTTAGAAATTATCTGAAAATTCTTCTTCCAATGTAAAAAAGCATCACTTGTCATTAGTAATATATTTATGTGTATTAATATCTCATTTATTACCTCCATCTAAATTGTATATTAAAACTATGATCAAATATATTCTTTTTTGCACTTGTTACACAATGAATGTTCCTTAGTTAATTGAAGTACTGAACAATTCAACTGTGAGCGGGTATCCTGACGTGAAGCCCTCACAACCCCCTACACAAGAAAATATCAGGAAAATATTAAATATCAAAACCCTTCAAGAAGTGATTTTTTTTTATTTCCTTCAATATTTCATCTAGTACTCCTGATAGGTCTGCATAGCGTGTCATCATGTACATGTGCAACATGTGCATCACATGCTTTACAGGGTTCAAACTCTCTTTCAATGAAATGGTTTAACCGAACCTGGATTATTCTCTGCTGAAGTTTGGGGTTCCCGTGTTGCAGGAAACCTAAGTGCTATGAAAACGCACAGGTGTGAAGAAAAAAGGAAAACACAATTAGGTAGAGCGTTTGACAGTAGAGGCGTACTGCTGTCTGATTAATACTTGGCCAACCAATCACTTGTTGGCAAATACATTAACCCTTGAATGCCCTGTGTAAAAATTCACTAATCACATTTCTTCATTTTGTTAGATCAACTGCACATCAGGGATTAAAAAAGGAAAACACACCCTCTATCTGACATCTACCTCAAAACACCAAATGCCAAATTGCAAAAACAAAGCCCTCTATAACTGTTCAATCACCAATCCTTATTGGAGAAAAACAAACATCACTTTATCCAAAGTGAGCAACTTAAAATCGTACGTCCAAGTCCACGGTTGAGGGAGATGTGAAGCCAACGTTTTCATACGTTCAATCATCCAATCTTTTTCTTCCATCTGCTTAAAGCACAGTAAACAGTCCTCAGAAATCTCCTCTACACCTTTAGGTGAATCTTATTTCTCTGTGAACCTTGCACAGACAATCACACGACATTTGGTCTGGCGAGTTTCAGTGGAAAACTGGCCACTTCTCCAAACATGCATAGTCCTTTGGGTCGTCAAATCCAAAGCCACTGAGTACCATATATCCACCCTAAAGCTGTTCAGGTGTAACAAAGTTGAAACAAAAACTCCCGGCAGTGGGAACTTAATGATTTGTTTTTTTCACTCTGAAAATATTACATCACACATCTTTAAACGAAATCAGTTCAGATAAAAAGAAAAATGGCGAGCAGCCCAGCTATTGTGAGTGTTATATTTTACACAAAAAAAATAAGAGAAAGAAAAAAAAATGTGCATAGTCGCCTGAATCTCCTCCCTGTCCCCACATCTCTTGGCACATGACACAAGTGAGGTCTGGTTTTGTCTTTACAGTCCAAGAGAAATCTCGTATTAACTTCAGCCAGCAGGGAGGAGGAATGCATGGATCATTCTGTGAGGTTATCTTGATTGGAGATTAGTTCCTGCAAGACAAGATGATAACAAAAGTTACCAGGGTTGCTGCCTCTCTGTGCCATAAAAACAGGTTACATAAGTGATGTACTTCAAACTCTAGCTTGACTATCTCACTGAGATGAGGTCATTGAAAAACACACAACTGGACAGTTAGAGCTTCATAAACTTTTTGTAATTTCTCAGACAAAGAAACTGATGAAAATAACTTCAGAACAGATCAATAATACTTAGTGTACCTAGCTAACTGTGTAGTCAGCCAAGAGATTAACTGGGCACCCAGCTGTGGGCAGAGCCCTGTGTAGTGGCCGGGCCCGCGTAGCCTTGGCCTCCAGGCAGTATGGGGTCAAAGTTGAAGTCTATGCCATCTCCGTCCATGAGGTCACTGTTGATGATGTAGTCCACGTCACAATCCAGGTTCTCAGTAAACATGTCAATGTCCAAGTCTGTGGGCAGGCGGTCCTGACCGGTCTGGAAGCAGGTTGGAGCTCCGAATGGATTCATCCCCTGCAGACTCACACTTGGATTGGCTGAGGCAACAGGTGCTCCGTGATGTGAGCCCATGGCCGGCCCCGCGGCATGCTGGGCTTTCAGGGCAGAAAGCTGCGATGGGTCCTGAGACATACCTGAGAGGATCATCCCCAACCCCATCTGAGTGTGGTGCTGATGCTGCTGTCGTGGCTGTGGTTGTTGCTGCTGGTGCTGCACCTGCTGCTGGTGGTGAAGGTGATGCTGCTGTGGCTGCATTTGGGCCTGAAGGCTCATAGGGGTCACCGTATTTGGCTCAAGGCCTTTACCCAAAAGCAGCTGGTTGGGTTTGGACTGAACGCCCACCACAGAGGTGCCCAGGCCCATCAGGCCCACTGCCCCTGGACTGGGCATGAGGGGGTCCACCTGGGTCATCATTACATCACTGGGTGGAGGGGAGTCAGAGGTGAGCAGCGCCTCGAGGCTGGAGGGTACGCGGGTGCTGTAATGACTGTTTCCACGAGAGGTGGAGGAGGGCATGGGGTTGAAGAGAGAGTTGCTAAAGGTTGACGGCTCCTTGCTGGTGGGGCCACACTGAGAAATGGAGGCCTGGGTCCCAGTGTGGGAGGGGGCCTGTGAGACATTGGATGGTTGCAGCTGATGGAAGGTGGAGAAGCTGGATCCACGAGGCAGCAGGGTGGAGGCAGAGGGCAGTGGAGTCGGAGGTGCTGGTGGAGCTGTACTAGGACTTGCTCCTCCCTGCGGCCCAGTCATCAAGGTGAGACCGTCAATCAAATCCAGCTCCTCCATCAGGGTCTCTGTGAGGGTGGGGGTCAGGCTGCTGGCTGCATATCTTCCCAGCAAGGAATCTTCAGGCAGGTTATCGTCATCCTCTTGTACAGGGGGGATGGGCGACAGGCGACCGCTCAGAGTGCTTGCGTTAGAGCTGGTACGGGGGCGGAAGGTGGTCCACATGTCACTGTCGTCCAGGCTGCCACGGGATGAGGGACTGCTGCTGTTAACAGCCCATTTAGGAAACTGCTGAGATGAATTAGGGCTGTCTGCACCACCTGAGCCTGTGCTGCCATCAGCTCCGCCTGTGCCCCCCAGGCCACCTGCTGCTGCCTTCTTAGTCTGCTTGGCCCTCATGCGGCTCTTCAGCAGTTTGCTGCTGTTGTCCATGGAGGCGGCCCGGCGGCGAGGAGCTTTGCCAGTCTTCCCTCCCTCTGGATTGAGCATCCACCAAGAGCTCTTTCCTGTTGATTCATTGTGGACCCTCAAGAACTTGTTGTGGAGTGATAAGTTGTGGCGAATGGAATTCTGTGAAGATGGAGAAAGAAAATAAAAGTTATCAAAACCCACAGAGGCTTTCTTTCATCATACTATGTCTCATTTCATGTCCAGACACTTCGAAAGATTTAGTTAGAGTTTAGTTTAGAGTTAGTTACACATGATGTGACACTGCAACACACAGTACCGGTGCAGTGTTAAAGGGATATTCTGGCGTAAAATAATTTAGGGTCAAACACACCCTAACACCGAGTTAGACACCCCCTTGAGAGATGAAAGTTGCCGTCTGCTTGCTTCTCTAGTTATACCAACTTCAGTAACAACCGCAGGATAGCAATACACAGCGGTCTATGGAGCCATAAACAAACCTAAACCAAAACGCCACTCTATAGCCACAAATAATGATCAGAACAGCACCTAACTTCATCAACAGTACATATAGAGTCCCAGCCACAGCACTAGCCACCAAACATCTTTTTAACTTTGCCTGATTTCTTTAGCAAAGAAACTAAACACAACTCACCTACTCTCTTCCGGCAGCTGCTTGTTTGTAGCGAGACCACAGACCAGTCCATTACAGACTGCTGAGGGGGGACGCAGCTCAAGGAAGAATATTTATGACCATTTCTTTATCATTTACTTTAAGTAATAATCACCATATTAATCATTTTGCTCTGCAGACGCGGTAGTTCTTCTGCCCTGATTGCATTTCCGTGAAGAAATGATCATAAATGTTCTTCCTTGAGCTGAGACACCCCGCTGTAGTCTGGAATAGACCGGCCCAGGGGTTTTGCTTCAAACAAGTGGCTGCTGGAAGAGAATAGGTGAGGTGTGTTTAATCTCTTTGCTAAAGAAATCAGGCAAAGTTAAAAAGATGTTTGATGGCTAGTGCTGTGGCTGGGACCCTGCTGTTCTGAGCATTATTTGTGGCTATTGAGTGCCGTTTTGGTTGAGGTTTGTGTGTGGCTCCTCAGACCGCTGTGTATTGCTATCGTGCGGTCGTTACTAAAGTCAGTATAACTAGAGAAGCAAGCCGTCGGCAACATTCATCTCTCGAGGGGGTGTCTAACTTGATGTTACACTGTGTTTGACCCTAAATTAACTTTATGCCGGAATATCTCTTTAAAGTAAAATACTTACACTAATAATAATAATAACATCAACGACTGTAATATTGTTATCATTATCATCATAATGTGATATGCTTTTAAAGTAGAAAAGATTCATTTGTTTGAGGATTTGTTGTATTTCTCCTGCATAGCCCTACACTCATAATAGCCACCCAAACACTAATGAATTTATAGTGTGACATGGTTGGAAAGACTCAAGTCTGTGACTTATGACAGCTAATTAGTTTCCACCTTGTAAAGAGACTCAGTGTAGAAGATGAGCACCACCCACTGACTCACCTTCCAGCCGGCTGAGCTATTGCTGTCTCCTTTGTCTCTGAAGTAAGGCACAGTTTTCACCATCCACTCATAGATCTGCGCCAGGGTCAACCTCTTCTCAGGTGAGTTCTCGATGGCCTGACTAATCAGATCTGCGTAGCTCTGGTTCCCCCACGCGTTGCGCCGAGATGATCCCTTGCGGGGCGTCACGCCGGCTCCGCCCACGCCGGCCACGATCCCACCCTCCGCAGCCGCTGCACTCTTCTCCGGCTCGGAGGTGATTTGCTGCGTCTCGGGTTTGTCCTCATCCGCGGGCGGGGTCCCGGCGGCGGACTCGGCGCCATCCGCTCCCTCCGGTTTGACAACCGAGATGTCTGGTCTCGGTAGAGGCCACGTGCAGGAGCGGGGTCTGCTCTGCGGCTCGAAATCTGGGTCAATCGGGGGCACCGACGAGTCTTCCATGGCGGTGCTCTGAACTTCCTCTCAAGCAAAGAGGTGAACCACTGTAGTCATGTAACTTTAAACTTTAAAGTTATTTTTTGTGCGGATGTTGCATCAAAAACACTTCCTGAAGTGAACAATATGCTTCAGCCACTGCGGGGTGTAAACAGAGGGGTCTAGAAGAGACGTAATAATCTGGACACACCAATGGCCTCAGTTAATCCTCAGATTGGAGATTAGGGAACCCAAATAATCTCCTTAATAGTAACTATCATAAACCTTGTGATTTATGTAGAATGAAGGAGGGCTGGGATGAGAGTCTCTTTGTTGTCCGAATGAAACAAAAACAAAAGTGGTAAGGTGGCGATGAGCACCAAGACATCTGGATCTGCAGAGGTCTGTGCTCACCTGGGAATGATTAACAAAATCTGCCTGTGAAATAGGTACAAAATACTGCCATTCCAGTGGGGGGGTAAAAGTGTAAATATTCTGGAAGTGAGTGAATAATGTTGTAAACAGTAACCTTAAAACAGGTTTCCTTAATGTAACAAGGTTGAATATCCCGTTTTTTTCGTACCAAATGAAACAATTTTTCTCTTATAAATTCGGGATTTGTTTAAAAACTGTATAACAATGCAGACAACCAGCAGGGATTAACTGAGTCGTGTTACAGAGGAGCGTCTTAGGACAGCCCCTGACCGTCTCCACAAGTAAACAACGTGATGTCAAGGCTTTCCACAAGCCGCAAAACCTCCAACAAAACTTTGTAAAATATCCTCAAAGGACCCCCCGGGTGGTCTCAAGTAAAATCAATTTCTAGTGGAATATTGTACAACTTGATAATTAAAAAATATTTTGTTCAGTGAAAAAAAGAACATAAAAAAACAGCAATGAGACGCTGACCGCCGCCGTTTCTTTGGCCTGTATACTGCAAATAAACAGCCACACTAATGTCTCGTTACCAATAAAGAAAAGAAGAGCGGGTTTAAAAGGGGGTACACTGATGTGTAACACAGCATCAGCACAAGTAAAGGAGAGAAATGTGAGTAAGAAAGTCCGGGCTTCAGGTCTGCACGATCCGCCACATTGCGGCCAGGCGCATGTCACCATCTGCCATGTTTCTCCACACTCCTGCCGCGGCACACGATGCTCGAAGAAGCGCTTACAAAACCTCTCCACTGAGGCCGGGAGCCAGGCAGATTTCCTCTCCGCAGCCCCTGCAATCGAAGAAAAGAGCGAATTCCCGGGTGTTATGTGGAGTTTGGCCGCCTCCGAGGTCTGTCGGCTCCTACTTGCCGCACTTTGAAAATAGCACGATAGCCACCGTAACGTTAGCTGGTTAAGCTCCTGCTACTCCAGAGTTTACTATCCGAAGAAAAGTCCATAAAATGGCTCCAGTAACTTCCTCCAAGTAGTCGTTTATTATAGGCGATAGATTTAGTAAAAGTTTCTGTCGTTGTAGCCGCTCAAATATCCATTTCTTCTTTATCTTTTGACTTGTTTTGTTTTGTTTTGTTTTGACTCGAGGCGAAGACTCCCTTCTGACGTCTGTTTACCACTGTCAGGCAACATGTTCTGCGCCTGCGCGGAGAGGATTTCTGGGAAACGGAGTCATTCATGTGACAGAATCGGCGTAAACACCCAGTTGTAGGAGCAACACCTACCTGTATTGGTTCATTATGTAACAGTTTAAGAAGTGTGCTAAGTCTCGTCACACTAAGGCCATCTGAGGTAGCCTGCTGCTGATTATTACAGTGCTAATGAGAATAGACAGCGAAATAACACTTCATCAGTTATGTAATTATGTAGTTTGCTGTTTTTTACTCATATTGGGCCTTCCTTTGTACTGTGTCACCTCTGAACTATTATGCACAATCCACACTATATGTGCAATTCAAAAAACACAACTGAAGTTCAATAAATGTTTTGATATCCATGATGTAATAATTTTCCTACCATGGCTGATACCTGTATCTTTATATCATGCTGCCAAAAAGGCTTTCCCCTGTGAATATGTGGATTAAAAGATAAATAAAATAGAAAATATTTAAATAATAAAAGTGCAACTACAATCATATTTAACTCATTTAAAGATAAGAAGAACTTGGCCACTTTCACTCTCACCGTCTGGTCATACTGCAACAAAATGTTGCAATTAAACAAATAAAAAGCAATCTTAACAACTCGAATATTCTAAAACATATCATTTTAATGTTAAGTGCAACTTTAATTGTGTAATTATACATGTTGTGAATCACAGATGTCTATTATTACCACAAAGATATGAGTTTATAAATAACTACAACAGCATATAACGTTTTACAATAATGTTGACTGTTAAAGCAAACATGGTTAGAGTTTATTAGCATAGGTAAACACAGTGTAAAATTACTTTTTTGACGATGTATTGCTTATTTTTTAATCACTCGTAGTTGAAAAAACAGTTTCATGTAGATAGCAAGTCTAAATGCTGAAACAAGTTAATTATTGCTAAACAGAACAAATGAAATAATAAGAGGCACATTATCCCTTAAGACAAATCTATAAAAAACAAACCCAAGGACCATAATCTTTGTTAGAGTGCAAAACATATTCAAAAATATAAATTTGTATGTTCATAACATTTTTTGGCTCAGTCTATTTAACTACAGGTACTGAAGTGTTATTGTGTCTCACAGTTACTGACAGTACACAGATGATACATAATAATAATAATAATAATAATAATAATAATAATAATGATAAAAAGTGTATTATTCTTTTGTCATATTATTATTATCATTGTTATATTTTATTTTGATTTTTTAATGATTTTTTTCCTCATTTGTATGAATATACATATTTTAATATTGTTTTTTGCATTCCTTTTCTAATCTTTTTTTTTTAAATAATTTGATACTAATAAAGAATTTTTAATGTGCTTTCTTTTCTTGACTTGTATAAAGTCACCACACTGATCCCTATAAAAGAATAAAGAAAAAATTATTCATACTATGTCAGATCTGGTCCTGGCCAGTGAAGTATTAATATCTCAGGACATCTTGTTTTATTGGCATGGATTATGGTGATAACAATCCAGAGTTTTCGCATGATAAGAGTTGTTTGTCTTAACACAGTGGTGTGATTCTGTTAATAAATGTCTTCCCATTGATATTGGTCTGGCAGACTTCACACTAGTTTATTGTCATTTTTTCTCAGGGATAGTGAAATAAGTGTAAAGAATGCATTTAACAAGTTGCACATTTTCTTGCTATATTATAGCTTAGTTTTCTTTTTTGCTCACTGATTAGAGTTTTAAGCAGCTGGTGTGATTAGGTGTACCGTGTGTTTTAGTTTCCATGTACTCTTAGCATATCTGATGAGACTGTTTTTACATTTTTTTTCTGCTAATCTACAGAAGGTGGTAAAGTAGCATTATGAAGAAAAACAAACGGCTCCATGAACAGTGACCATGTGGATTTGTTTTCAAACCCTGTTCCATCTCTTGTTAGTTGAGTCACAGAAGAAAACAGACTTGCATTCTGTCTAATATGTCACCATTGATCCAGGTGCTGATGACTCACCTACAGACTTATACATGCAAGATCAACAGGATCTAGACAGCATGTGCAGTTTACAGGTTATCATACAAAAAGAGGACAGGATCCAACACATAACCACAAAATAAACTGTCTCCTGTTTTGATTTACATGTTGTTCCTTTTTTTTGGCTATCTGGCTCAATGCAAAGGAACTATAATGGCCTTTAAAAGTTTGCACATGTCACAGAAACTTGATATGCTGATGATGTTTAGTGTGGATCTTAAGAAAAAAGGAGGACTGGTCAATGATGGACTGGTCGAGGTCATTACAAACAAGCCGCTACTGGAAGAGAGTAGGTTAGTTGTGTTTAGTTTTTTTGCTAAAGAAATTAGGCAAAGTTAAAAAGATGTTTGGTGGCTGGTGCTATTGCTGGGACCCTATATGTACTGTAGATGAAGTTAGGTGCTGCTCTGAGCATTATCTGTGGCTATAGAGTGGATTTTTGGTTGAGGTTTGTGTGTGGCTCCATAGACCACTGTGTATTGCTATCGTGTGGTTGTTACTTGAGTTGGTAAACTAGAGAAACAAGCGGTCAGCAACATTCATCTCTCGAGGGGCTGTTTAACTTGGTGTTAGGGTGTGTTTGACCTTAAATTAATTTGATTCTGGAATATCCTTTTAAGGTTTCATCTGTTTTAGTTGGAAATAGTTGGAATAAGTGGTGGTGGGTAAATGTTTTAAAAGATTATTTATTACATTCATGTGCTTTAATTCTTTGTGAAAGCAAGACATAATTCGGCCAGTTATTATACAAGATGATAAATACAGAATACATCAGGCAGCAGAAAAAGGGGATCTTTTAAAACACAGGTGTCAAACGCAAGGCCCGGGGGCCAAATCTGGTACGTAGAACAATTATTTCTGACCCACAAGATCATATCATATTTGTTTTATTATTGGCCCACAGGTATGAGGTCTGCAGATTTCCTCCAGTATAACAATGTAAACTTCAGCAACACTATTTAAAATGTTCTTAATAGGCCATGAAAATCTAGGAAATTTAAGAGTATGGAAGATTTGATAAGTAGTCAAGAATGTAGGGGAAAAAAAAATCAAACATGATTGGATTTTTTATTTCATGCTTTGATTTTGTTCAACTCAGTATTTAGACTTGTGTCATTTTTATACTTTAGATTCCAATTTCAAATTTTAAGTCATATTCTGACCTTTTATACCTGATTTCCTGATTAAAATTATTATTTTCTTATTTTTCATATCATGCTCTGCTCTTTTGAGCTAATAAATAAAAATAGAATAAAAAATAAAAATACAAAAAAAATTCTATCTCAGATTGCCTTTAAACATATCTTTCTTTTTTCCGTTTCTTTTTTTTTTTTTTTTTTTTTGAATTTCCAAATGATTTATAATCATTGCTGTTTTTGTTACATATTTTTTTAAAAGGAGGTTGACATTTTTGGTGAAATGTTGACCCTGTTTGGCCCTCAGGTTAGACCTTAATCCAGATCATGACTCTTGCTGTGGTTGAGTTCGACACCCGTGTTTTAAAACAACCTTTATTTTAGTGGTAGAGTGCCCAACAGGTCCCACAGTTTTGCTGTGTGTCTTTGACTTCAACTCCCATAATCCTTAGCGAAGGTTCTCTGTGTTTACAACCAGCTGACATCCGGCGTCTTCCCGTCCATTAGCCTCCGATACCCACAGCAAACGATTTCAATCTACATTCGATGTTTTCCAGCTGAAAAGCCCCCACTTCTGCTTCGCCAACTAAACTGAATGCAACATTTTATGATATTCATCAGATGCAGGTAAGGTCGACGGGACAAAAAGCTGCACATACAGCTGGCCCACAGCTAACAGGATGGGAATCAGCTAACATTTAAGCTAAAGGTAACGCTAGTACAAGCCTTCTCTGCTCGCAGGGATTCGACATTTGTCAGGATGAAACTCGGTGCCAGTGTTAGTGCTTGGACGAGATATTTTACTCTGAATCCTGAAACATCCACAGTCTGTTTTTATTCTTACACTCTGCGTATTTGCAGTGATGGATTAGTCTAGCTCTTGTAAGCGCCGCTGCCGAAGCTAACCGAGCTAAGTTAGTGATTTAAATTAGCTTGAACACAGTGAGGTGAGCCTGTTAAATCTACTCTCACACCATATTAGATAAATAATAATAATCATCTACAGACTTGATGTTTGATTGAGCTCATTATGGCGCGAGCTGTAACGTTAGCGACATGCTGTCTCGCTGTGGTGTTATAGATTATTCAGGGCAGCGGTGGTACCAGGCTGTGGGAAGCTGCCTCACACTGTTTGTGTTGTTTGTGTGTGTCAGGGCTCTGGCCCCGTCTCCAGCAGCTGAAGCACGCCAGTCCTGTCCTCTCTGATCCACGTCCACGGCCTCCACACTCACTAAGCCATGACCACCCAGAGGGATCTTGATATGGTGAGTTATTGAGGGTTTGCCACCTCACCTTGAGTTATTTCCCAACTAAAACACCCAGAAAATAAGGCAGTAAGCTCTGTTATTTCCACACACAGTGCAGAGATGCACTTGATTTCAATGGTGACATCTTTACTTGAATCTTTACCCGCCCTCAAAATAATTCAGGGTATGAATAGGAGGGAAGGAGGGGGGTCATGGATTAGCCACAGTGCACACAAACACTTAGCTGGGACAGTGACTGCTGTTCCTGTGAACACCATCTGTCTAATCTCAGTTAAAACGCTGCCCTACTTTCCTTTCAAGGTTTAGACGCCAATTGATTGCAACCTCTCAATAAATCCTGGTCACTGTCCTCCCCCACCATAGGAATGGACAACACTAGTTTAAAAACAGCAGAGAAGGTGGCAGCACTCCAACAGAGACTCACTTCACTTTGATTCAAACTGCTGTCTTACCTTTAAACATGCACATGATATAGAGATACAGAAACCTAGCAGATTTTTGTGCACCTGTAACCTGCAAAGTTTTGTGTTTTTTTTTCATTGAGCACCAAAGACTCAAAGGGATCACAGCATAGAGATTTATTTTCCTCATGTAAATGTTGGGGCTCACCACTTAGAAGTGGAACTAAAAGTTAGTTCAAGGTCAGCAAATGCCATCAGTAACATTAAGAAGCAAAAAACTAGTACGTAATAGTTGCTGGTATGTCAGTTCACTTTGATTCAAACTGCTGTCTTACCTTTTAACATGCACATCATAGAGATATCTTACAAGAGACAACATAGCAGATGTTTGTGCACCTGTAACCTGCAAAGTTTTGTGTTTTTTCTTTGAGCACCAAAGACTCAAAGGGATCACAGCATAGAGATATTTATTTTCCTTCTTTAAATGTTAGGGTTCACCACTTAGAAGTGGAACTAAAAGTTGGTTTAAGGTCAGCAAATGCCATCAGCAACCTTTTAGAAGCAATGAACTAGTACTTAATAGTTGCTGGTAAATCCTCTTAAGATTTTTTAATAATTCGGGACTCTTCATCAACGACGGATCACTTAAATGCATTTAAATTTAGCAGATTATTGTCCTCATTGATTTTAAGTGACATGCTCCCTACGTCAGAATATTGCAATATATAAATATATATATATCGTTGATTATAAAACTTGTTTAAGAACATCTTATTCAGGTGAAAGCAACATAACAAGGCAGAGAGGGATTTGATGGATCGTCTCTCTTGGCAGTTACCCCACAACATAAGCTCATGGTTGGTTTAATGTTTTTAGGAAACCCAACCAACATGAATGAAGAGTGGATAAGCTTTTGGTAGCTCTGTTAACCCTTTTAAAGAAGGGATCCACCTCGATGAGAAAGGATTTGTCTTCCTTTGGATTGGCAGACCTTAACTGGGTGTTGCCACGAGAAAGCAGGCAGATTTGACTTTGTTTTTATTTTGTTGGGAATGAAAGGGATGGGGAAGAGGATGAGGACAAAGCCTGTTAATGATGGCATGGGTATGTAACCCCACATTGAGGTTATTCAGTTCAAAGAGGTAGGGGGGCAGGGCACCGGACCACCGGGGGAGGACTGTATTTGTAAACAGATCAGAGAGCAGGGCTGTTCCTCCCTGACGTCACACCTCATGGTTAAGGCTCTTTGTTCTTTCTGCTGTGATTTGTGACCCAGAGAAAGTTCATGTGCCACCTTTCTTTAAAGAGGTGCAAACGTGGGGGAAATCAACCACATCCATTGAGATTCTTACCTCTGAGTAGAAACGCACCACAAAAATAAAGTAGATTTGAATTTTTTCCCCTCAACTAATAAGTGAAAGTGCTGGAATAATTGATTAGAGAGGACGGGTGAATAGATTAATGAGAAACAGTATTTGCCACAGCATAAATGAGATGACTTTGCTCCAAAATGGATCAGTTCTTGGGGTCTGAGTGATGTGCTGAGCCTCACAAGGACATGGTGACAGTAAGAGTGAAACACAAGAGGACAAATAATATCAACAAATGAACATCAGTGTCAGGGCGCTGACTTCAGTCCATAAATAGTCAATATCTAAGTGTATAGTAGTGCACATAAATGTCCCAAATATGTTTGATTGTTAAATGTAAACTCTTGTGAAACATGTATGCAGCTTGAAAATCTCTACTCATGTTAAACTGTGATATCTGATTCTGCTGTGATTTTATACGAATGATATTTTTCTATATTTCATCACTCACACTTTAATCTTGTGTCCACTTTTAGTTGTATTTCTCATTGCTTCAGCAACCGAATACTTAAACGAGCTTTATTTCATGTATTTCTGTTAACATGAAGCAGTGGCGGTGTGCATCATCTTTGATGTCTTGTAGTGTACATCCCCACCTGTCGGCAAAGTATTTTTCTATATGATTGTGTCTTTTTTTAAATATATTTAACCAGATGAAAATCCAACTAAAAGGTTATTTATGCCTTTTTTGATACAGTTGTGGTTTAAAGTAAAAAGTTATTTACCTTTTTGATTCTTAAAGTCTACTCCACCATCTTCAGTCTTGTGGGCGGAGGTCCGGTTCTTCCTGTGTACGGCCTCAGAACCTCATTGTGTTTTGTTCTCTGGTTATTTTGGATCATTACTCTTGATATGAGAGACTTTGTATAAAAAGCCTTTTATCCGATTATTAATAATCTATTTATTTGATAAAAATGCCCTGCCTTTTAGTCTCCTTTAAATATTTAGTCAGAATTTCCTAGTACCGTTGCAGCACTTTAATACTGTCAGGAAAAAGTCATGATTTCTTTGTCTAGCATTTTTAATCAGACAAAGATGGGCAAAAGACTATGACTAATAAAGAAAACTAATAAAATGCTTGGTGTTTTATTCATGAAAAATTGATGACATTGTAAAATCAGGAAGTTGAAGATCAGTTTTTGTGGGTCATTTAATGGTTCAGTTTACAAGCTCGCCTTAATGTGTTCTGGTTTTGTGCCTCTCCTGATGCTGGCGTCATATTTAGGCCTTGCAGGCATGTTGGATAAGGAACCAGCTTTTTTTTTTTTTTTTTTTTAAACAGATTGGTTTGTGTAGTTGGCCAGAGGATAAAATGTAGAGGATACCCTGCTGTTAAAGACCCTCCCACGCACATATGCACTGTCCCCCTCGGGGCTACGCACTGGCCATGTAAATTTAATAACATGGCCCAGAGCTGTCTGGGACACCTGGGGTTATCGCATTAGGCCGACAGCCCAGAGAGGCACTCATGGCGCCCTGAAACCAAAGGGCCAGTGTTCCCCCCTCAGCCCCACCCTTATCTGTTGTCGTCTCTGGCAACAGGGGCTCATTTCAGTGTAAACCCTCAGTGAATGAAGTGGCCCAGTCACAGGGTGGAGATCTGCAGTGGATAAATCTAATTAGACTGGAATGCCCGTCTCTTCACAGCCCTCTGAAGGTCACCTCATGTCTGAAGAGGTTAGGGGAAGTGGAAGGATTCTTCTACCGCTAATGAAGACACACTTAATTGGAGCGTTGGTGTTTGTGTTGGCTGATGCAACATTTCTCCGGACTGGTAATCTGTTTTTGTTTGTCGTTGTAGGTGCACCTGCGCCTCATCTTGGTCAGTGGAAAAACGCAAGACTTCACTTTCTCTCCAAATGATTCGGCCACGGACATCGCCAAGCATGTGTTTGAGAACTGGCCTGCAGGTAAGTTGAAACACTATCAGTGAAGTCGGTCTAAGTTTAGTGTTACTCTGCGTCTGTTTGTGTCTTTCACAGATTTTATTACTTTGTTTTTAAAGTAGTTCAACTGATTCAAGTCTTAAGAGACACACTTGTGTAAGTTTCACACTTTTGTTTGTCATTATAATAAAAACAGTGACCGTCAGGGGCGTGTGATTCACTGTGGCATTTGTCAGTCAATTATGACCTTCAGCTACAACAGTGATCACTGATGATTTTTATACAAAGTCTTTAAAACCAGATACACGATTTTAGACGTTTTTTGTATGATTCAACTTAAAAAACTAAAGTCACCTGGTGGGTTATTATAACCAAGCTGAGCTTATTACAGATATATTGATTCTTATGTACATAGAATAAGAATAAGCCCCTCCTATGATTCCAATAGGAACTCATCAGAGTTGTTCCTGGGTGTTTTACTTGGATAACTTGGCAGACATTTTTGTGTACTGTCACTCTGAAACTTAGACAGGGTAAAAAGCTTCTTAACATGTTAGCTATGGTGCATGACTGTATAATTTCATTTGAGGCCCATATTACATCAAAAAAAGTTCATTTGCCACTCTTCGTTATGAGATGTTAAAAATACATCAGTATCAGGCTGATAACTCCAGTTTGGGTGTGGCTGTAGTGTGTCATGTCATGTCATGTGTCTCTGCTCCATGCCAGGATGGGAGGAGGAGAGGGTGAGCAGTCCCAGCATACTTCGCCTCATATTCCAGGGGCGCTTTCTTCATGGCAACGTCACCTTGGGAGGTAAGTTTGTCTCTGAAAAAAAAGCCACCACTGAGGTTACTGTAAGGCCTCTTTAAATCCATGAATCTTAATGAAAAGAAGAGTGACCAAGATCAAGATTTCCATGCACAAAGTCTAGCGGGTAGCCCTTGATGGACCAAAGGGCAAATGGTGGTGGACAGCTCCTCTCTCTTCGCTGCAGGACAGAAAGATTTAGAAGATCTTTTGTACCAATAGCCATCAGGCTTTATAACTGTTATGTAAATAATACATAACTTTTATAGACATGTTACGTGAGACAACAGACAATTGAATTTACCAACGGAGATCAATAAAGTTCTTCTTCTTCTTCTTTAATGCCTGACACCACAAATTATGGCCAGAAAATTCAATTTTTTTGGAGCTGAAATGTTAATTTCACTTACCACTGAAAACCCCAAATTTCAAAAAATGTCCTTAAAATTTAACAAATATATTTATTTATCTCATTTGATACATTAGATGCTTTTGGAAACTACAAGAGGACATTTTCATCATTTATCAGACTGTATTCAGGTGTTTTTTTTTGGTAATTTGTTGATCATATTGATTTGATAGAAGTATATAAAAGTATGTATCAAATAACATACAAAAGGCATTAAAGGGTTAACTTTTGGGCATGACTCTGTGGCTTTTAAGAAGCAGTGCTCCTCTGACTTCTCACTTTTAGAAATAAAGACAGTTAATTTAAAAAAAAAAAGAAGGAAGTGATTCACTCAGTCAGCAAAAATGGCACTGAGAGAGCGTCATTAAAGGGCAGTAGTACAGACAAACCGAGCTTCACAGATACAGGACAGAAGTAAATATGCAAATCATCTGCTGTCACAGTTGAGTTGAGTTATTTTCCTTTCACATCACTATTGTTGTTTTTTAAGTGAGCTGTACCTGATTTAAGTACATCCACTGACAGAGAAGGAGATCCTTGCTTGTTAAAACAGTATCTAGGGTCTTCTGCAAGAAAATATCTGACCGGAAAATCCTTATCAGATATTTATTCAATACAGGGAACCGGTTTAGAACAAGAGTTAGAGAAACCTTAGGTGTTTGAAATGTCAGTGGCTTTATTGAGCAGATGTTCATTGATCAAGCGTATTTGCCTGAAAGGTTTGGCTGCACTCATGCACTTATTGCAGCGCCTTTCATAGATTCTAGCTCAGAGGAGGGGCAATCAAAACACCAGAAAGTCGACTCAAAAGTAGTTGTTTTTTTCATGTGGGTAGGGTCCATTGTCACCAGGAACAAATGCGCCTCAATTGAGTTCACTTAGACAGAAATTCCCTCTGATTGCTTTCAGCATGTCTGTCTCATCAGAACTGCACGCTTGGCTAATAGCTGTTTGAGGATCATAGAGTAAATACTGATCAGAAAATTAATTGGTACCTTCTTTGTTCACAGCTCTAAAGCTACCAGCAGGCCGGACCACCGTTATGCACTTGGTTGCCAGAGAGACTCTTCCAGAGCCGAACTCTCATGGTGAGGATTTGTGCTTTCTTCGTGTTGCAGCGGCTTGTTTCTTCTTTTAATCTTAACCTTGTGTTTCTGCTGTCTTGCTTTTGTAGGTCAAAGGAACAGAGAAAAAACCACAGAGAGCAACTGCTGTCTCCTCTTGTAAAGCAACAGAAATGAAACCCCTTTATCCCCTACCTTAAACTTACACATACATGTACACAAACACAATACACACACACACACACACACACACACACACGCATACATATAAACACACACTGACTCGTAACATACATACTCCTTGTTCTCTCCTGCCCGTCATCCTGTCAGATCTGGATAAGAAACGAATCCGAGGCTGGTGTGGGCCGTTGTCTGCTCTGGTTGAAGACCGGGCTTTATTTTGTGCCAACTTATTGACTTTTAGCCCTAATACTTTAAAAGTTTTGCTGTTATCTCATTTTGAACATCATGACGTTTAACAGTATCTGCATCACCTCATGGACACGTCTGCTGTGGGACAAGTTTTCCACAGCTGTCAGGAACTTGTCTGTCTTTGTGGACACAGAGTTGTTATAAAGGATGTAAGGATTTGTGGGCTCTTACCCTTCCTAACTAAATCTTATGGATGTTTCCCCAGGTCTTACTGAATGGTGTTAACCCTCTCATTGCACTTAACCAGTTTGTTAATCCAGAAGTGTTTACTGTGTTTCATTGCATCTTTTCCCCCCATTTGCTCTCGTTTATTTTCTCGGTCAGAGGAACAGACTCTTATTTCCTTTCATGGTGAAAAAATGTGCCATCCTCCTCATGAGACTGTTTCTGCCTCTTACTGACTGAATGACTGAACCAATCAGTTTGTATCAGCAACCAGTGGCGTTTGTGCCATGACCTTAACGCCTGTTTGTTCTTGGAAATTGGACCAATGGAAAACAGACTTTAAATTCTGGAGGAGCCACGTAAACACCTGAGGGGAAGTGCAGGGTGCAGACCCCCTGCGAGGCTTGTGAAGACAGAGTCAAAGGATTGGGTGGATTGCTTGTGTGTCTCCGGCTTTGACTTTAAAGGACTAGATTGTCGGAGGTAAACACGGCGGGCCAGTTAAACGCATACAGGGGAAGCGGTTGAAGATGAGAGGGAGGGGCGTTGTCGCTGTGAGACCCACTTCTATTGGACACTGAATGAGGAAGAGGGAGAGTTTCTCCCACTTGGATGACGTCAAAAGGAAAATTTTGGGCGGGGTTTCACCTCCTTTTTCATTAGGATGCTGTCTTTACTTCTTGTTTGCCTTTTATCGTGGAATTCAGTAATATCATTAATAATGAAATTTAAATATATCAATTTTTATCTCGTGTAAAGGTATTTGTTCAACTTTTGTGTGGTTGAGTTTGTGTGTGAGTGTGTCTGAGGTTGTGTGATGCACGTGACAAACTGTGTGAAGACTAGTGAGGGCATGTGGTCTTAGAAAAAAGGGGTGGCGCACTGGGAGTGTTGATGGGCTGGGTTTCTTCAGAAACAGTCAGAAACCTTTTGATTCCTTCCATTGAGTGTCCTTTGGTTTGTGTTCATGTCAATCAGTGTCACTGCTATGAAGTTCAGCTCAGTATGAATAAATGTAAAAACTAAAATACAATGTGGTCTACATAAAAGCTTGTATTATAAATTAAAAAATCTTTAATAAGGCAAATAATTCTGCTTCTTTTTGCTTTTTTCTTTCATGGTGAGAAAATGCAGCAGCTGTCGACAAAGAGAAAACAGGGTTTCTTATATTGTCTGCACTTTTTAACTCTAATTTTACACCCTTTTGTCCTCTTGTGGCTGTTTTTATCCACTAACTTTAGCTGCTGTAAAAACATATTAGAGATATTTTTTTCATTTTTTTTCTTAGATCTCTTCATCAAGCTCAGTCCTTACCAAAACTATATATATAAAATTATCATCATAGATTTTAACCCTTTAAATGCCAATTTCAGATACAATGTCACTGGTTTGGTGAAAAAAAAAAAAGATATTCAACATAAAAACAAATCAGAGGTTGTAGGGTTTTTGCATCCTATCATACTCTTGTATATGTCAAATCTTAGTAACAACATTGACTTTGATGCATTATAATTTTTTGGGCAGCATCAGATTTTAAATCTTACACCCTGTTTTCCTCTTCCTGCTGTTTTTAGCCACTAACTTTAGCTGCTGTAAAAACATTTCAGAGAAATCTTTTTAAATGTTTATTCTTAGATCTCTTCATCAAGCTCAGTCCTGTTAAGAAATACTGAATTTTTAAAAACAGATATTGATCTTAACCCTTTAAATGCCTATTTCAGTGGTGATGTCACTGATTCGGTGAAAAAAACACAAAATGACTGATTTTTATTTAAAAAAAAAGGTCAGAGACTGTAGATTTTTTGCATGCCATCACACCCTTGGATATGTTAAATATTAGTAACAACAGTGATTTTGGTGTAATAATTGATATAATTAATAATTCATAGATCACAGAATTTGTTTTAACTTTAAACAAACAGAAAGGTGAGTCACTTTTCCTGCATGAACACACAACACACCAAAATCCTGCTCAGAATCAGTCTGTCAGCCGGACACAGCAGACTCAAACTAGATTCTTGCTTTTTTCAGAGCTTTCAGTCACATCCTTTGTTATGAGAGGTTGCCGTGTTGTCATGGAAATGGTTCATTACATCACCTAAATGTTGGATTTCAATAACAGGACAGCAGATTGTTTCTTTCTAGAGAGATCAGGGACAAATCTGTAGCTGTTGGGCACATCTGTAAGAAATTTAGTACATCTTATTTATAATAAGGTCTGTAATAACCAAACTGTGTGCAGTTTTGTTTTTAAACTCTAGGTGGCGGTGTTTCTTTGTATACCTCACCACTAAGAGTTACAGTGAGCTGATGAAGTGGATTGAGGTGTATTAATTATTCTGGTTGTGTATGATACAATAGTAGAGGTTAAAGTTGATCAAAATTTAGAATAAAAAATCAATTTGGAAATGTGTTACAAAGGGTCACATGTTATAATTCACACTGATAAAACTGCACACGCCCAAGAAGAAAATTAAATAAATCTTAAATAAAATATCAAATCTGCACACACAACATAAATCCAGGTGAAAAACTCTCTCTGTTGTACAAATTGGGTCATAGCTTCTGTGCTGAACTGATTTTCAGCAGCTTTCCCCTCGTCCGCCTTAGGAATCTGCTCTTGACGTGTAGCTGCAAGAAGTTCAGGTTTCCAGTTGACACTGGCAGTGTGCGTTAGGAAAAGAGCAGTCAACCCACATGTTTCTCAACATACTCCTACAAAACCTCCTGTTGTGCAGAAAATTCTTGTCATGCGATGTCTCTCTATACTTCCACTTGCTCTTATCTGACCTGGCTCCATTTACTGGAAAGTCATGGGTAAACAGCAGCTGACCACAGAGGTGATCCACAGTTTAAATGAGAATCCAGGGAGGCAGCCTGTTGACATTTTAGCTACTTAAGTCCACCACATTTACAGCTCAGTGGCTGACATGACTCAAAGCACAGTCATGTCAGTTGCATGATCTGTGGTCTGACCAGCATCTCAGGAGGGCCGTGTTCAGTCTCAGATACTGAGCATCACTGTGGTGGGAAAGCCGAACATGTGAGAATGATCAAGAACTCCAGAGCAGAAGTCCGGGGCCCTCCCCCTGACCCCTAACTGGGGCTCTGACATAGACAGGGGTGGCTGGGCTTAATTGTGCTCACATAGACATTAGTAGCATTTACCTCACATGTCAATAATAACTTTAATAACTATCATTTAAAGCTCCTGTGAGCAGTTTTTGATAGTTCCATATAAATGTCTTTTCATGTTGTAAAAATGAAACAAAACCATCATTAACAAGATGGATTATTTTTGTGTTGTAATTTTTGATGCTTGAAACCAGTGTAAGAGGTAATGCTGTTGGTCAAGCAGTCAATGAAACATCCCTGTTTTTATCATTTCTGCAGAGATATTTACAATAAGGATATGAGTGCTTAAAGTCAGCAGGATGAGACAAGTCTGACCTTTTCCTTTAATTGATTTTTGATACCTGGCATTACCGCTGCGGGGCTGGCGTCAAATAAAGTAAATTAAAGTAATATCTTCTGCAAATATTCAGGATGAATGATGCATTTGGCAGTGAAAAGACAGCAGAATGAGCTTCTTCATTTAACTCTTATTCCCACATATAGAAAATACAAGTAAGAGGAAAAGATGTGTTTGTTATTCCACAAGAGGGCACTAAAACCACCACAAACCTTAAGTTTCTGAAAGGAGCTTAAACAGATAATAGTCTTCATGACTGATTGGTTGACTCTGAACTGAAATTCACAGTTTATTTTTCTGGTTTTCAAAAGGTTCAAACATCAGTGAAAAGCAGCAGATGGATGCAGTAGTCACAAAAGCAAATATTTCTTTTATGTGCAGAGGAAATCCTCGGTATAATCTTTGAAAAGCAACATTTCTATAGAAATCTCCACAGCTGCTCCACATAATGCTTCACTTAGATTGATTAACTGCCTGATTCAACAGGGGGCCGCAGCTATGTGTTATTTTCTTTTATGGCCTAAATCCTTTTTCCTCTCACTGCTACTGGCCATTTTCTTATCTGTTAGCTCCTTCTTTATAGAAACCAGCTGTAAAAACACACACACACACACATGCACATACAGTAGAAAGGACTCAGCGGTCACAAATACCACCAATTCCTCTTTTTTTTAAAACAGGAATCTAATGTGTTAAAAAAAAAAAGGCATAAGGAAGTAGCATCTTCAGAGTTCATCTGAAGTGTGAATGTGCGGTCATGGTGTCTTATCATGAGTGCATTCCTTTGAGTTTATTTTTCCACACCAGAGATCCTGCAATGGTCTGAAATGAAGGAGTTCAGTAGGCCAGTGTGAAAACATACACACTCATGCAGGGAGTGAATTAACCCAGCAGGACGTTCATAAATGAGCAGCTTTCATGCTGACTCCAGAAGCTGCTGCTGTCTCTCTTCATCTCCAGACCTCCTCTCTGGTCTTAATTGGGAAAATGACACTGTTTTCTGCAGCTCTTTGTTTTCAGATGAAAGGATCATAAGGCAGAGGACAGGGACTTCTGACCAGGTGTGTTTGTTTGTGGAGGAAGAGCATGTCCATGTCAAGACAGGAACAGAGACACGGAGAGCTAAGGGCAGGGTCAGGTCCTCATTTCATGCTATAGCGTATTTTACAAGATGTCCCTAAATTCCCTGTAATTTGCCCCCTTCAAAGGCTGCAGCTTTGGTGATGAAATTAGCTTTGTGCATTCGATACACCGTGGAAACAACTGCAGCTCATTTACACAACGAAGACACAAATATGTCACAGATTTTCTCTGGAGCCAAATAGCTTTCACAGTCCTGGTTTGTACTGAATCCATTCTTTATAGTGAGCCACCTCTGCAGAAACTATTTAAGTTATTCATGAAGAGAGAATCTGGAAAAACTCTGCGCAAAAGGGCCAAGGCTGAAAACCACCACTGCATAGCCATGATCTTTGGGCCCTCAGGCAGTATTGCCGCAAAAAACAGACATAACTCTGTTGTGGAAATCACTGCATGGGCTCAAAATGACTTCCAAAGACCATTGTCTGTTTTTTGTTGCATCTATACGTGTTGAAGCTGTATCATACAGGGAGGGAACCACATATGAACATGGTTTAGAAAAGCTGGCAGCCATATTTTGCAACTCTGTATTGCACCGATTACATAAACTTGGATGTTAGTTTTCTGTTTGTGGAGATAACCAGGCTTACTGTTTTCACCTGGTGTAATTTATACTGTAATATCATATAACTATAACTCTATTGTACATTTAGACCACAAGGCTTATTCTGGGGCCCTATTCTTCCAAATTTGATCGATAATAGCAGTATATCATAGACTCAAGAGGCTAAAGGGATATTCCGGCGTGAAATTAATTTAGGGTCAAACACACCACAACACCAAGTTGGACACCTCCCCGAGAGATGAATGTTGCCGACCGCTTGCTTCTCTAGTTGTACCAACTTCAGTAACGACCACACGATAGCAATACACGGCAGTCTGAGGAGTCATAAACAAACCTCAACCAAAACGCCACTCTATAGACACAGATAATGTTCAGAACAGCACCTAACTTCATCAACAGTACGTATAGGGACCTAGCCACAGCACTAGCCACCAAACATCTTTTTAACTTTGCCTAATTTCTTTAGCAAAGAGACTAAACACAACTCACCTACTCTCTTCCGGCAGCTGCTTGTTTGTAGTGAGACCTCGGGCCAGTCCATTATGGACTGCAGCGGGGTGACGCAGCTCAAGGAAGAACAATTATGATCATTACTTCATGAAAATGAAATCAGACTGAGACCAAAGACAGAAGAAGAACTACCGCGTCTGCAGTGAAAAATGATTAATATGGCGATTATTACTTCAAGGAAATGATAAAGTAATTAGCCTGAATGTTCTTCCTTGAGCCTTGAGCTACTTGTGTCTATAGAGTGGCGCTTTGGTTGAGGTTTGTTTATGGCCCCTCAGACCGCTGTGTATTGCTATTGTGCGGTTATTACTAAAGTTGGTATAACTAGAGAAGCAAGTAGTCGGCAACATTCATCTCTTGGGGGGTGTCTAACTTGGTTTAGTGGTGTGTTTGACGCTAAATT